GGTGACGGCAGCAGAGCTGGTGCCAACGAGGGCAGCGACGAAAGCAGCAGTGAACTTCATGATGATGATTGAGCTGAGTTGAGATTGGTGGTTGAGGAGATGAGGCTTGATGAGTGATGAACTTTTCTTGGCTCAGCGGATGTCAGTCAGTTTAAATACTTTTACAACCACTCAATTATCACAAAGCAGAACGGCTAGAGTGAGCATTGATGAAGTGGTTAGCATCCAACAAGAACCCTTCCCATCTCGTCTGCATCAGCCACTAACCAATGAAAAGCCCAGTAAGCATTCAAGCTTCCCAATCCGGCAATGAAAGCTCTCAACTCGAAACTCCGGCTAGGGTTACATGATGAGTCTTTCCCCAACGCCGATTCGAGGGAAATTTTAACCATAAATTGTCCGTCAGCCCACGACCAGGTACATCTCCAACCCCCAAAGACCCCTTTCCATATAGAATACCCGGATGATCAGTTTTAAAGCCGAGAGTGTGGGGTAAATCAGCCCGGTAGAGGGAACCAGAAATCACAGCGGTGTTTCCGCGAGTCTCTACCCCATGATTGGCGGGTCTTTTGTTTCTTTTTGCGTCGAGATTAATCCACCAGTATTTGGAGTCAAGAGCAGCATGCATGATACACCTCACTTCGTCGCACGGATGCTCAGAGGTGCCGACTTCCGATTCTTACGAGGTTGAGATGTTATTGCACCTAGGAGAAATCAGTATTTCTTTCACCGACCATTGATCGCCCCTGTTTGAGCGTTCTGGGGTGTTACGGGACGAGGGTTGACCGCCTGTGGTATGGTTTTGGCGTATTAAGCATATTAAAGGAGTTAAGGATATGCATATCGTTAGTCTCGTTGGTGTTTTTCTGGAGGTGGATGTTTGGCTTGGCAGGGACAGTAATTACGCGAGAGCCTATGAGGGGATAAGCTGGCAAATAGAACTACGATTGAAAGATCTTCAAACTTGAAAGATATCTTCACATTTCCGCCCCTCTATCCGTTGAAAGTTTGCATGAAGGGCAACCTACCCTTGAGGACATGCTCTTCTCACTTCACCCTGTCTATATGACACATCCAGGTAGCATCCAAGCTATTCATTAGTAAAGAACAGTATTCTCAATGCTTGTACGCCTCATACCGCCATTTCATCACACGTTCTCTTGAAGTCCATGGCCTGTCGTCTAGACTCCACTTATTGTTCCACAGCGTCGTCCGCATTGTCGGGCCCGCCAAGCAGCAAAATGCCGAAGACAACCCCGGTTCTTGGCGGTGATTTCACAGATGGTCTTATCTTGAGATTAGATTAGATAGCGGATACCCATCGGAGCAAGTATAAAAGCATGGACATTGGCACAAGATTTATGGGTGCAAATAGAGTCTCTATGTCTATATCTAACAGTAAGGTATGCTACGCTCTATACATCATTTTACACATTCTCTCTTTGCAGACCGGCTGCTTCAAGTAACACGCAAGCAGCTTAAGAAGAATGCTCTTCATCCGTCGTCTGACCTCCACGGTTCTTGGTGCTCTGGGTGTTGGGGTCCCACTTGCTTGAGGTGATGGGGTTGACATGCTGCACATACATCGTGTCAATCTCCTCCAGAGTACGGTCCTTGGACTCAATGACGAAGAAGAAGACGATGGCGACGAGGGCAGCACAACATCCGGCAAAGACAAGACCGTAGAAGTAATCGATGGCATCAACGATGAAGCGGGTGCTGTGAAAGTTAGTAAGAAGCTTTAGTGGGGTGACAGAGGGACATACAAGAAAGAGATGAGGAAGTTCCAGAGCCAGTTGGCAGCAGTGGCGAGAGCCATACAGCGGCTACGATACTGCGAAGGATAAAGCTCGGCAACAACAGCCCAGACGAGAGGACCCCAGGTAGTAGCAAAGGCAGCGATAGCCAGACAAGAAAAGGTGACAAGAACAGCACCAGCTGCAGGAGTGTTGAGAGGGTCTTCACTGTCGAGGGCAAAGTGTCCGACAAAGGCGTAGACGCTGAAATTGTTAGCGAAGTTATAGGGTAGGTCCGGGGTCGACTTACAAGAAACACATCATCATCCAGGCACCACCGACCATGAGGGCCATACGACGACCACACTTTTGCACAACGTAGAGACCGGCGAATGTGCAGGCGCAGTTGACGGATCCGAGAATAAGCTGGGTGACGTAACTGTTGCTCAGCCCAGTAGAGGCAAAGATGGTGGTTCCAAAGTACTATATCTGTTAGTATATCGCTGGCAAATGAGGTTGAGAGGACTTACAAAGAAGAAGTTGATACCAGTAAGCTGCTGACCAGCCTGGAGAGTAATTCCGAGCACGGTACGGTAAAGCATACGAGGTCCAGTGAAGATTTCGTGCCACTTGGTATCGGGTAGAGCTCGCTCTTCGTCAAGCTTCTCCTGGATCTCAGCGATCTGGCGGTTGACGCTAGGAGCATTGGGCTCAAGACCAGCCAGACGAGCAATGGTGTTTCGAGCTTCCTCCGCACGACCCTTTCGGAAGGCATATCGGGGACTCTCAGGAAGGAACAGGATACCAGCACCGAGAATCAGAGACCACAAGAAGGAGAGACCGTTGGGGATTCTCCAAGATGAAGAGTCGGCGTTCTTCTCAGTACCCCAGTTGACCATCTCAGCAGTCCAAATACCAAGCGTGATAAAGAGCTGATATGTCGAAACGAGGATACCTCGAATGATGGCGGGAGAACTCTCACTCTGGTACATGGGGACCACGACAGAAAGAGATCCAATTCCGAAACCTGTAACAAGTCGACCGATGGCGAACTGAACCCAATGCGTCGTGGACGAGATTTCGATGATGGTGCCAATACAGGTTGACAGAGCTGTGAGGGAAATGGTCATGCGGCGACCAATAGAGTCGGCGAGATTTCCAGCGATAAGAGATCCAATCAGACAGCCAGCGCTGAGCAAACCGACGATTGTTCCCTGGCGGACAGCACTAAAGGTGTATGATCCATCGTCTTGTAGTTCTCCGAAGCGGCGGGAGTAGTCGTCCATCAAGAAGAAGCCGGAAATCTGGCCACTGAAAGGTGTTAGAGGGGTCAATTGTAGGAGTACAAGTCAACATACCTGACATAGCCAAACTTGAAGCCACCAATCGAGGCAACAAGACCCAAGAAGCAGGCAAGAAAGGTAACCTTTTGCTCAGCCGCATCGTTGTGGGTGTTTTTCCTCTCAACGTGTTGCTCCTCACCCGCCTGTTCGTGGCGTTTAAAGAACTTCATGTTTGTTGTAATGTAAAAGATGTGTAATAGTTAATGGTTGTTATCAATGATGAGTGTCGAAAACATAATCCATCGCAAAAGAAGGCAGCGAAGGTCGCCCTTTTGGATGTTCATTTTTGTGGACCTCGCTATGCTCATCTGGCCATCGTGGGCACCGAACGACACGACTAAGCAGAGAATCTACTGGGTCCCTGGATCACGAGATGGATTGGCGGAGATGCCTATTGTATCATGCCTGTAGTTGGAAACGCCGGACCTGGGGTGGTCGGCAGTCTCGGCCTGAGGCTCATCACGTCACTGGATCTGATCACGAGAGGAAGCGAGATGGGCCAAGCCAAGAGGGAAAAAGTCAATCCAGATGATCTGCGTTCAAACTTTTTTTTTTCTTCGTTATTACCGGAGAGGGTCTCTAGCTTGGCCGGCAATCAAGGCCGGGTCCGGCAGTGATGACGCAGTTCACTCGTGTCATTGGATGTCATGCCATGAGAGGCCCCAATTCTTTTCTTCTAGGGTTGTTCTTTGTTATCTCTTGGCGTGGCGACCCTTGCTCAAGCGTGGTCTGACACGAGGGGGAAGGGATGTTTCTTTTCGAATTTTGGCTGAAGACACCGGTTATTTAAGAATAATAGTATTCTTAAAAAGATATATCTTGACAACCTCGCACTTTTTGAGAGTAAAGGCTTCTCTTTCACCTGGAATGATCATCTTTTCCGCATTCTTTCTTCCTTCACATTCCAGCTGTCGCCTCATCCACAGCCCCGTTGGAATTCACCACTGGGACCGACCGAGCATCGGGCCGACTAGTAATTTTCGCGCTCATTAACCCCGAAGGACCGACACTCGGAGTCGCGAAGAGCATTTGCCATGATCGATCAACTGACAATTAAGATACGGGTTTTTTTTTTTTTTTTGGTGAACAGTGGTGTGACTTGATCTCGCAAGATCACTACGCAGTATCTGCCGATAGATTTACTGCAGGCGACTTCCAAGATGCAGTCTCGAAGCTGAACGGCGATACCTGGAATGGCGCAAACTCGGTCAATTAGACAAGTTATCTATCCACACCGTTTTCCACCGAACGTCCCGGTCGGAAAAGGCCGAATAAAGACGTCACCTACCGGACCGACACACGCACCAGGGGTCTCGTCTTCAACGGAAGTCCGTTGATGCCCGTTGCAAATGACACGGTCATGATAACGATGGTCTTCAAGTCATTTGACTGTTTGTATGCGTGTACTGAGCTGACAGTCGGTGTGAGCGATCTACATACTCACACCTGCGACCGAATCCTTCCAGAAGCAACAAGAAGCACAGTCATGATCCAGAAAGTCTCGCAAATTCATCAATCCCACGTGCATCATCTCCCCCCCTGACGCCTTTCGTCACTATCTATGCGGCTCTGCGACGCCGAGATATCCACATGCGGCCCGAAACCACAACTCGGTGATTTTGTGGAGTTTGTGGAAAACGGGGGCACAGCGACGTGTAGAAAGCGTTGAGAGACTAAAGCAAGGAGGTTTTTATTTACGGCGTTTAGAAAAGGCCGCAATGCGACTGCGACTGCGTTGTGCATCATTTTAACCTGATTCTCGTGCGACTCTGGGTTTGAATCGATATGCACTCCTCTCCAGAGTCAGCTGTGTTTTCCTGAGGTTCTACGGCTCTGACTACTTCATACGGAGGGTAGCAAATGCTTGAATTTCAGCTGCATTCGCGTTTGCTACGTCTGTCTACCAAGTCTGCTTCAGCCCCTACATTTCCCCCAACTTCCTCTCCTGGTCCTTCTTCCCTTGGGCATTCCAAGCCTCGATTCGACTGTACAAAGAACCGTTGAAAGAGTTATCCAACAGTCTCCTTTTATTAGTCCCCTCATTCTCTCCACCCTCCACGTCCTCTTCCCCATCCTCCTTATTATCCTCCACATCTCCAAACCCGCTATCATCCCTATTCGCAGAAGGACCAAAGTCTCCAAAGTCTGTGATCGTCTTCATGTCTTGAAAGTTGTCAAAATCCCCCAGAGCTCCCAAATTCAGGTCACTTATCAGCTCGCGAAAATCGCCGTAGCCTTCAAAGTCGGCGTACTGCACATCTGACTCCGTGTCCATCTTCTTTAAATTCTTCTTTTCAGCTGCCTTTCTCGCTGCCTTTGCGCGAGTAAGGCCAATACGGGGTTTGCCCTTCTTTGCAGACTTGGCAGCTTTGCTCCCAGGGGTTTTAACTGGTCCTAAGTCGTTCCAATCTTCGACGAGATCTTGCTTCGCGGACCGATAAAGGTGGGCCAAGAGTTTCCGGTCGAGGTCCGTCTCAAGCTTGTGTAGAAGCGGGCGCGAAAAGGGGTAGAAGTAGACCGTCTGCTGGAACCCGGGTCTTTTGAGTAAGTGGGACACATGCTCATACAACAAGGAGTACTCGATTGTATGCGCAATGAAGAAGTAGTCTTTTGCAGCCTGGCGCATGTCTGCATCAGACAATGCACCTCCAGGTACTTGTTTAAAGTCATTCCTCTGAGCCTGGGCGTTTTGTTCGTCCCATAGAGGAAACCTCTTCCTCTTGTATTTCCTTGCACCGGCCATGTCGCAATAATCGTACTCGAGATCGACTCCCGGGACGTTGGTTCGAATCACGAGTTGCCCATCAGAAGACATCATGTGAGACATCTTTTGAGGGAATTTCTGCTTCGTATCTACGAGCTGAACGATATTGTTCATCTTCTGTAGCTCATACTCGTACAGAATAAATGACTGCCAAGCTGCTTCATAACTGGGCCTCAGTTAGTCGCTGTTCATCGTGGGTGTGAAGGAACTCTACCGTGTCATGAGAGAGTTGGTCTCAGAGGTGCCAAAGACGAGATTGTGGGGGTTCTGACTGGTAGACCATCCACTCTCATATCCAGTCATCATGAAGCCTCCGTATGCAAAGCCTGATAGGTGCAGCCACTGGAGTCGTAAGTCGGTTGCCTTGCTTGGGAGAAGAAGGGCCTTACCTCGGCGTTACTAAAAATTACCATCTCCTTGGCCCAGTTAAGCGAATCTGCAATCTATAACGAGTATCAGAAAGAGTGAAGCCCGTAGATAAAGATTTACTTGCCTCAGGCGCTGACACGTTGCCCATGACCGTCTTCTGACTATCCTCACCAGTCCGCTTATTCACAGCGTCCAAAATCTTCTGTGCCTCCAGGTATACCGACATGCCAACAGAATTCTCATGTGTTTCGATATTTCCTTTTGGCGAGAAGCGAGCGTGGAAGCGCTTTGAAAGAGCCTGCGCCTTTTTCTTTTTCGAGAGAGCAGCTGGCTTGCCGTGTACACTTCCATTTCCCTGGGCCATGAAAATCTTTTCGTATTCTTCTGCGATGCCATCGAAGCACTTGTCCATTGTTGCAGTGCCATCGAAGATAAAGTCCCGGATTGAATTGGGTTTGCTGGTAGCCTTGGATCCAACGTTGGTCATCCATGCATCCCAGTCATTGACGTGGATATAGGTTCTAAAGATGCCAAACGGATCGACTGACATCTTTCGGCTGTATTAGTCCATCTGAAAGTCTTCAGGTGCGTGTTTTATGGTGACATACCAGCATGTAGTCCAGATTTGGAGGCGTTTTGGTTAGGATGAGGTGGTCTCCGCCGTTGTCTAGGTTAACCAGCTCTACGCACTCTTCCAACGCCGTCAACAAGCGTTTAACCTTTGTAACCGGAACGATATACAATGGTTCCAAGAGTTCAAAGTTGGTGCATCGAGGTGGCTTCCCGCCTTTACTTGGGATGGAAAACCTCTTCTTGACCCAACTTGACCAAAATGGCGCAGCTGAGCCTTTCTCATCGACCTTGAGGGTTTCCTTGATCGATTTACCATCCTTGTCTCGCACCCACACTTTGAAATGCTTGAGCCTTGTTTCGTTGGCACTCGTCGGTTTCGTATTTTGTATCCAGTTCTTCTCCACCGCTGCATGCATGTCCATGGAAAAAATGTTGCTAGTAGAACTGTCAAAAACCAACAGTGGACGGTTACCGAGACGACTTACGAACACTTTTCGGTCCAGTCATTGTTCTCACCATTGATGAGATCCTTGACGAGAGAAACGGAGACAAAAACCGAAGAGACGCTGGCTCTAGATTGGGGCACGAATAAGTGGTCAAAGTCCTGAGGTATGACCTGCAAGTAGTAGGCTGTTTCGGACGCCTGAGCGGGCTTTGGAGCATAAACATAGCTCTCGCTCCCACCCCTGGATTTGTTCAAACCAAGGCCTAGAGAGATTGCTTGACCCAGTTGCAAAGTAGGATGGCTTGGTTTGTACTCAAAGACGAGATTGTCTATGCCGGGAACAATCTCCTTGTTTGGCACCATCTGCTGGAACCCTCGCCTGGTGCTGGATGCCATCTTGACGAGTGGTTGATGACTTTGAGACAGTAGAGCAGGAAACGTCAAAGAACTACGTTATTCATTTCAGAGGCATCCAAGACTATTACAAGAATTGAGCAGAGAGACAATTCCCCGTATCTGGGGTCTAGGAGAGTCTAGACCGTCTCCACGGGGCAAGTGTCTCGGTTCGGTCCGGGATCGAGCGGGTCAAAGCGGTTACGACGGCGAACAGGGCAGGAAATGGTCTAGTCTCAAGTCACCATGCGAGCTGAATTGCGCCTGTCTCGGGAAAAGTAGCGCAAAAGAGAAAAGCTGGGGTTCAGCACTATCAGGTGGCGGCTCGTAAGCGTTGATATCACTCGATAGTCTGTCAATAGTTGCTCAGCTCGCTAGACTAGGGTGTGTGGAATTGCGCATCGCTCGTTTATCCGTCGCTCATTGGCTCTGAGGGTTATTCACGAGTTTCGAGCTTGTCTATTCTCGTGTACTGGAGCTGTCATCGCATCTTCTCTCACATAAACATGCATTTTCGCTCGCATAACCACAACGCATTTCTCTCTAGCCAACTCTGGCTGTCCGTGGCTGTGATCTTGAGCTGAAATGGACAATACTCAGCAGTCACTAAAACGTCAGAGATCCTTGACGTCCGAGGATCTCGATCCCCCGGCCAAGGTTCGAAAGTCAGACGTCGCGTCTGATGACTCTGGGCTCAAACGACCCAGGTCGCCATCGTCAGCAAATGGCGGCCCACCGGCCGAGCGCCCCAGGTTATCAGCGGAGTCAACTCTCGTGGAACTAGAGGACAAAGATGAAGAACCACTCGAGATTGGCGGGCTACAAGTTTACAACATTCGCCGAGCCCTTGTAGGCACACACGGCGAAGAGTTTCCTCTCCCAGCTTCAACCACAGAGAAAGAAGGCAATCTTCCAACGCAATCGACCGTTCTTGGCCAAAAGAGCCCACTTGCCAGATCACCAACAGCTAGCGTCGCGTTTGTTGGCGATACGAAACTACTGAGATTCATCCCTGCCACGATTTACATCTACCAGAGCGCCGCCACTACCAGGGCTTTCCATTCGCAACCGTATACCGAGATTGTCCGCGTTACAGGGACTGAGAAACTTTCCCTCGGTACCTTTGTGCCAACGCTCGCAGGCAGCGGCTGGGATATCATCCAACTTATTGATCCCAAGCTCGGCTTCGTCGAAACCACCAATGGACTATTAGATGAGCGGGGTCTCTTTTTTGAGACCGACCTCATCTTTACGGGGGCATTGCAGCCTGTCTCAGATTTTCTCCATCACTTTTTCAAACAGAAGGAGCCTGGAATTCACTTTTCAGCATGGCTTGGCCGGGAGAGAGCATACGACCGGATCGAGTCCCTGGAGACACTTATGCTCCGAGGCACGCTTCGGGATGTAAGCGTCAACATCTTTGACATTCTCGAGTTTCGTGAGATTGGAGTTGAACTGCTGGGTAGCCGGATTTATGATATGCAAACGGAAAAGATGAAGTGGCACTTTGGCTTTGGTTTCTTTGGCCATTTGCACGTCACCATGCCGAGGTCGGCTGTGCCGCTACAGGTTGACTACAAGCTGCGCAAGATCTTGTCTGTCTGGGAGCTGGAGCTATGTCTCAAAAACGAAGATTGGGTGAATGTCTTGGGTGTCGATGGACTTACAGTGAGCTCAACGCTGATTCTTGGAACCTGAAACTGCCCCTTTACTAACACTAACATCAGCTCGCCGAAGTCATGTTCATCGGTCGCCTTGATGGCAGCGATCCAAAGAGTAGCAAGTTGTCATTTGATGTCACGGCTGTCATGCAGCTTCGGAACGCAACAATGCAAGTTCGCGGAGTCTACAGCAAGGGTAGGTGTCTTTTACATGATGATAGATCCGTCCCACGATATACTAACGCAAAGAGAAAGAACACATAGAGCTCTCGGTACTCCTTGGAAACCTGACACTCCAAGACGTCGGCGAGATCTTCTACGAGCTCACAAAAGTCCATTTAGACGTCTTTGACTACGATGTGACATTCAACGCCATGTCCCTTACCATCTCGTCTACTGAGCTAGCTCTGTACGGAGCCGTGACCATCAACGGCCACACATCTGTTCGAGGTTCCCTCAAACTGTCAAAAGATGGTATTGAGGTTCGTGGTGCCATTGGTGACATTACTTTCGACGACTGGGACCTCCTCATCCGAGAGGCAGGGTTTGATGCCTTTATCGCCAGCAAGATGAAGGGAGAGACTGCACGTTCGACAAAAGTCAGCATTTCAGGCGACGTCAACTTTCACGGCATTGATGCCCGTGCCGCCTTGTTCACCGAGAAGCATCCCAAGCTTGGCTGGGTGTGGACAGTCTATGGAGAAGTTTCAGGCGATTTGTCTACTTCTCGTCTTGTCCCAGAGCTCAAGGGCAACTCAATGCTCGATATATCTCTCAAGCGCCTTGCAATCATCGCCTCCAGCCGTGATGCAGCTGCCGGTACGCTTCAGGGCGTCCCATTCGATATTGTAAAGGGCGTGCAGCTGTGTGTCACCATCGACAGCATCGCGGCTATAGAAGCACTTCTTGGTGGGAGCGTCGGGGGTATGGTTCTACGGGCTGCTTATACCAACGGCGCCTTTGCTCTTAGCATATCGCTTCCAGCTGCTCGTACCATCCGATTCAGCGATGATATTTGGACAGGTCCGATCGAGTTGAGCATCCTGGCTGGCCCAGGAGTTCCTAGCCCCAAGTTGTTGATTGCGGCTACATTGAACTTTCAAGTGGATGGACAGCCAGACGACATGCCTTTACAGCTCGAGTTAACTCTCGGAGCTGATCTCATCGGAGCAACGGCGTCTGCAAAGATGCTAACCCCATGGGTCAACCCGTTTGACGCTGGAAAGAATGTGGTGATAAAGACATGCGTCATGGAGATTGGCATCATCTACACCTCATTTGTTGCCACTGGTGCCCTTGGAAGCCTCGCTTTTGGGGGTCAGTTGGCCATAGGATCCAAGACGGCCGGTGCCGCCTTCAAGTTCAGTCAAAACCCCAAAGAACAGCTCGTGGATATTTTTGTCGAGAACCTCGGCGCTTCAGACCTCATGACTTTTGCATCGCTTGTAGCAGATCGAAAGCTGCCCACCGTCGCGGATGATCTCTTGCACTTTACCAAACTCAATATGTACTTTTCAACGGGGACCACTATTGGGAAGGACGTATATCCCCCGGGGATCTCGGCGAACGGCGACTTGAAACTATTCGGTAAACGAGCCCAGTTCAATTGCACACTGGGCAAGGCAGTCAAAATCATGGCAACGATAGAGACGTTCTCGCTTGGTCCCTTGACTGTTCGAGGCGCCACCAAACGCGATCCACTTGTTGACATTGAGTTCTCTGCACAAGCCCAAAAGATCTTGATTGACGGGGCAGTTGACATCTGGGAAGCGTCTACTGCTCTTCACTTGGACATTGGTTTACTACCAAAGACAACATTTGACTTTTTTGTCCATCTCAAGCTGTCAGATCTTTTCCTTCTCAAGTTGGAAGCACAGCTCAAAGGCGCTATTGACATCAAGAACTACAAGACATGGGAAAAGGCCGACTTTAATATGTACGGGCTGATAGAGCAGCGTGTTATCGACTACGTCACAGCTCAGCTTGACCAGCAGATCTCAGCCGCTCATGAAGCCGCCAAAGAGGGCTTCGAGATAGTCAAACAGGACATGGAAGCCAAGGAAGCTGTATTCAAGGCTGGTTGCGATGATGCAATCAAGAAACTTGAAATCGCCAAGGCTATCTGGCTCGCCAAGAAGGCTCAGGTTGATAGTGACTTTGCAAATGCCAGCGCGTCAGCTATGGCAGAGAGAAAGCGCTTGCAAGGCAAGGTTGACGAAGCAGAGCGTGAATTTAAGAATCTCATCAGGCAGAAGCAAAACGAGCTAGAACAGGTTCACACCAACGCAGAAAACGCCATACGCGTCGCTCAAGCTGCAGTTGACTTGAAGCAACGCGAACTAGACGACGGTGTTCGTGTAGCCCAAGCCGGGGTACAGGTCGCTCGAGCCGACTTCATACGGAGAGCTGAGATTGTTACAAATGACATCAAAAGCAAACAGGCTGAAGTCGACCAAGCGAAGAGAGAAAAAGAACAGCTCAAGGATGCTATTTGGAGGTTGGAGCGACAACGGGATGCGGCGGACTGGTTGGACAAGTGGGAGTACAGAGGCCAGATCGCAACCGCAGAAGGACTCCTTTTTACGGCTGATCAAGGTCTGAAATTATACGAGAGGTATCTGGAAGAAGCAAAGGGAGCTCGACTTGCTTCCGAGTACGTCCAGAGCGAAGGGGCTGTTCGGGCAGCTGAACTGGCATTGCAGACGGCGCAGCAAGTTCTTACGCCGGGACTAAACCTTGCAAAACAGTCGTTTACCGAGGTGAACAAGACGCAGCAGGTCTTGATCCAGGGAGCTATCGAGGGGCTCAAATTTGCAGAGACGGCGAGTGACGAGTTGAAGCTGTTTGAGCTTGCCAAGCGTGGCCTTACCGAGGGCGACAGAGTAACACAGGCGCTTCTCGACACGGCACAGAATGCAGTCGACGAACTATCGAATAGCGTGGAGTTTGTCGGCTTCGAGGCAGCAAAGAAAGGAGTCCAATTCGCCCAGGAAAACACAAAAGAACTAAACCTAGCCCGACACGCAGTTGAAATAGCCGAGGATGTTGTCGAACTGGAGCTAGATCTAGCCAAATGGGCAACTGATCACGCCAAGACCACGTTCAACATTCGAAAGGTTGAGTTTTCAGGATCGGTGCGGAGTTTAGTTCATCCTGATGAAGGTGGGCCGCCGTTGATTGTCAAGATTGAAGGGACAATATTGGGGGAGGAGATTAATTGGGAGATTGTGTGGAAGCCCAAATTTGACTTGGTCAAGTTTATCAAGGAGCTTTTTACGCTGTTGTGGGAGAAGATCAAGGAGTTGGCCAAGGAAATTGTTTAGCAGAGCACTTTTTAAGATGTCTTAGAGCATGAACGGTACATGAGATCGCAATAGTTGTCATTCGAAGAGAGGCGAATACGCGAGTCACCTTAGTCTAATGGATTACAGCCTTGCAGGAGGAGGCTAGTGGTAACATAACAGGGCTAAGATCAGGGTGGGTTGTCAGTAAAATGCGCGATTATGGCACACGTGAGGGGCGTTGTCAAAATACAGGGTGCGTAGTGACGAGAGGTTAGATCATATGGGATGAAGATAAGCGGATGTGCAACGGTAGCTATATCAGCAAACTCGAGTTCGTCTTTCACTCACTTCATCAGAGAAGCGGTTTCTTGGCCTTTTACCTTTGTACCAAATTCAAGGAAATTAAGCTTATTTACATCAACCGCTCACTCACCTTCTTGGGCTGGGTCGGCAACGAGTTGAGCCGATCTTACTCAACGACAAAACATACCCCTGTGATATAAAAAGAATAAATGGTAATCTACCAGGGATCATTCAGAACGCCATCTTCAGCATCAACAAATCAGAGGGGCACGAAGATCAGACTATGCACCCCTAGCATCTGCACCATGCCACAAGCGACAGGGTGAGGCGTAGACTAGCCAACAAATAAAACATGCATCACCCCGCGTCGCAGCGCGTCGTCCTCACAGGAGCTTGTCTGCGTTGTTGAGAAAGTCCGAGAGCCAGAAGTTACAGGATCTTGTGAACTTCAGCGTAGCTCTACTCATCCACAATGCTCCTCGGTCGCTCTCTCACGTATGTCTTATCGGCCTTCTCCATCGGAGCCGGCAAGGACGACCTGGACAAACCACAAGAAAATGGCATCACCTGGGTGACAAGAAACTGGCAAGTCAACCGCAACCAGCCCTTTACCATCGAATGGGATGGCCATGAAGGACCAGTCTCCGTGACTCTTGTGAGACGGGCAGAAGACAAATGGCAGTCTCTATGGAAGGTAGCCTGTAAGTAAGACATTGTTCCTATTGTCCACCAGCTAATCCTCATCAGCCGGCAACACAGAAAGCTCCCTCGTCTTCCGCGTACCAGAGCACCTCTCCGAGATTCTTGGAGACTCCGAGTACGCCTTTCAGATCAATGACACTTCTGGAAAATCTGCAATATCACCGCGATGGACTGTTGAGGCCCGTCAAGCACAAGGCTCTGGGATACTCTCGCCACCAGATCCAGCCGAGACTAGCAGCTCAGAGAGCGATCAGCCGACAAGCTCCAGCAACGACGATGCCACTCAGACCACGGATGGTGGGAGTCCACAAAGAACCGTATCAAATGGCAACAATCAAGATTCCGACTCGAACTCGGGTAATTCAGGCTCCGACTCAAACTCCAGCAGTGGGAATGACTCCAGTAGCAACAACTCTTCGAATTCTTCGTCCTCCAAAGGTCTCAAAGCAGGTGTCAAGGCTGGCATCGGCATCGGCGCTGCTGTTGGTGTTGCCCTTGTTGCCGGCCTCATTTGGCTTTTCACGAAGAAGAACAGAGAGATCAAGGCCTTGAAGGTAGCTAACGCCGCCCCTGCACCAGGGGACAATTCTGGCTTGGAAGTGGCAAAAGAACCGCAACAGCAAACACACCAAGGCGGATACGCCCACGACTCGACATACCAGGGAGGTCAAGGTCCTGCAGAGCTACCACCACAGCATAATCAATTTCCACCTCCTGTTAGCGAGTTACATGACCAATCACGGCCGGCTGAGCTGGCGTATTCTGGGCCAACGGTACCTGAGCTACCAGCGAAGCGGGAAGGGTAGTGAAGACGTTGATTTCAGGCCGAAGATGGCAGGCGTCTTGGAATTTTGGATGATAAGATTCTGGCAGAGGTCGTTAGAATACTGTGTTGTTTCGAAGCAGATACCCGAGGTTAAGGTGGTTGTAATATCTGAAGAAGTGCATAGTGGCTAAGGCCCAGGGTGAGAATTCGGGCATAGTGACTCAAAGATGACGAGGATGTAAATCTATTAATGAAACTCGATTTTGAACGCTATGTGATATGAAAGTAGTTTCAGGGCAGGTATTGACTATTGTTCCTCTGATGAGCCTGTCAAAAAAGGCATATACTGCTTCGAACCCAAGGGTCTCCTCGCCCTTCAGACCTACCCGACATCCATGCCCCATTTCTAACTACTATTTTCAACTATACAACTGTATATCTAATGAGTATATATGTGCCATGCTCGCATCAATGCCTTACAGCGTAGCATAAGCGATAACAACGCATCCTCAATCGTAACTACGACATTCAACCTTCTCACTCACTCAAAATTTCGTCCCCATACAGCCTCAAGCAGTATGAGGGCAAGGAGGGCAATGAGGGCATTCTCTGTAAGAACTAATTCAGATGTTCCATCTTACAGTGATGAGATGTCGAGGACGCCAACAGCAGTACGGCTGCAAGCTGATGGGCCTCACACGTTCCAGGTAGAGATACAAGGCAGGAAGGCTAGTCCATTTCGGACATTTTTTAGACTTGGATAGAAAGCTATGGTAATATCCTGATCGTTTACCGCCCATCTCAAACGCACACAAGTACCAGACTCACTCAAGAACCCTCGGTGATTAATAAAAAAGGAACTGCCCCAACCAGCCAACCTTTGTCCCATCTCAATGTCCCACCTTGAGTCCAATCTCTTTTGACATTCCACTGAAAGGACAAGTCGAAGGCCCAGCGGGTGCAGGAGCTGTAGTGGGTGCTGCACCTGGCGCACTGGCCGCAACAATGGCAGTACCATTTCCTCGAGGCACCTGTATCCTGGCGACAGCAGGATTATCCGGAAACTCCTCTCCATCGCGGACATACCACCTAGCAAAAAGGTCATTCTGTATCCAGATGACCTTGCTGAACGACTTGACGATGGCGGCCCTCCTGGAGATCGGAATCGAGCTGTGGTCAAGGATGGCTTGCGACATGACGCTCTGTATCAGACTGAGAGTAAGACTGATGTGGATGTAGTCGATGCGGAGCTCTCTGCTCTTTTGCAAGCCGACATGCATAGCACTGACTCGTCAGAAATATTCACATGATATGATAGAAGACCTACCCAACACTATCAAGATACTCCCAAAACGCCATCTTGGACTGATCGGAGGACCCTTTGCTGAGTTGCGACATCTTGGTGAGGTACGAATTCAAAAAGTTTTGTCGCTCCATCAGCAGGGAGCTATCTGAGCTAAGCTCATCTTTGGAAGGCGACTCTGAGCTTGTGTTTCGGACCTCGAAGGCGCGGGCTGTAATGTCAAACTCGGAGAGCTTGTGGTAGATGATGTGGACGACGGCGGGGATGAGATTTTGGATGTGCTGGGCTCCATACGCGAGAGCCTCGATGTCTCCTACGACGTGTCAGCTCTGCCTTCAATGGCGAAAGACACCGTCAGCTGAGGCGAAGACTTACGGTCATCCCAGTCGAGAAACTTGTGCAGGTAATCAATCCTAGCTTCAAGGCTCGTGTAGAGCGACTTGCGATCAACGTGATGCATATCAGGAGCCATGGTTGCGAAAGAGAAGGACAGACAATGGAACGAACTCTACCGCGCAAGGTAACAAGGGCCGACCGGTATTTAACATCATCACCCCATCTGCAAGCGTCACCATGGCGTCTCACGGATGGACACGCCACAGGGGATCATGCTCTACCGTCTGGAATGCTGCACTCCAATCCCCCATTCAACCTTTTGTGGCTTCTCCAAAGGCATCCAACCCGCTCTCATCTTGGGTTTAGCCCGCGCACGGATTCGTCTGGGCGGAAATGCAGTCCAGAGCCGAAGCGACCAACGCCAAGGCGGAGTTTTCCCGGGGTATCGAACTCTGCTGTCTACAGCTGTAGATCTGTTGCTTGGAGTAGCCGACTTGGAGTGGTATTGTTGCACAGGTGGCGTTGGATGTGTCAGGGCTGTGCAGTAGACGCCGGGGAATGAAAGACTGTTTCCGATGTAACCTGTGTAGCTAATCGGGGCGTGTTTATTGGTTGGTGATAATCTGCCTTGCGTCACGTCACACCATCTTATGGGTCGCTTTGACTCACTATTGACTCACGGGTGCCTAGAGGTGGATGCATTGGATTTTCAGTGAAGCCATCGTGGTGAGTATTAAATAAACTGAATTTCTCATCTTTTTGTGTTGAACATGAAGACACAGTCATGGCGACTTTAGACACTCTCACTATATCTGACGACCCAACTGCGTCCACTCTCAAAATTGCAGTCGTCGGCTGTGTGAGTGAATATCTTGAGTGACCAAGCGCTTGTGAATTGACGAAAATCCAGGGTCACGGGGAGTTAGATACAATCTATGCGACACTCGAAAACCAATGTGAAGCAAAAGGATGGGCTCTCTCAGAAATCGACTTTCTCATCATCTGTGGTGACTTTCAGGTGCAACCCCAAGACGTCATCACCAGTACTCAAACTCACATCATAGGCGGTTCGAAATGACCTCGACTTGAATTGCATGTCTGTTCCTCGAAGGTATCTACGCATGGGAGACTTTCACAAGTACTACAGCGGCGCTGCAAAAGCTCCCGTCTTGACTTTGGTGATTGGCGGTAACCACGAAGCATCCAACTATCTTTTCGAGCTGTATCACGGAGGCTGGCTTGCACCGAATATTTACTATCTAGGTGCAGCTGGGGTCATCAACTATGGACCTTGTCGCATTGCTGGACTTTCAGGAATCTACAACGGCTCGGATTACCGCAAATCTCACGACGAGCGACTACCATACGACAGAGATCTCATTCGTTCGATTTATCATGTTCGGGAATATGATGTGCAAAAGCTGCTTCAGGTTACTCAACCAGTCGACATTGCTCTTAGTCACGATTGGCCAACTTGGGTTGAGTTGTTCGGGAACCATGAGCAACTCTTTGCTGAGAAGCCTCACTTTTTCGCAAGTGCAAAAGTTGACAACCTTGGAAGTAAACCGGCTGCAGAGGTCTTGAACGGTCTTCGACCTTCATACTGGTTCTCAGGACACATGCATGCAAGGTTCGAGGCTACAGTTGAACATCGAGGTTCAAAGATGGAAGACTCGGTAAAGCAGTTGGACTTGCCTGATACTCTCAAGGATGTGCTTCCACTTTTCAAGTCTAGACGCAAGCCGTCACAGGCCTCTTCATCCGAGTCCGTGGGCAGGAACCAGCAAACGGAGTTTCTTGCCTTGAGTAAGGCTGGCCAAGACGTTGCGAGTTACATGGAACTCAAGGAGCTAAAAGTTCCTACACTCCTAACTGGGTCTGCCCTTACAGAAACCTCTAATGGGGGGAAGTTTCATCTTTGCTACGATGCAGAGTGGTTGGCCATTACTCGCGCCTACAATGACACCCTGAGGATTCCAGATCCCGAGACTCTAATTGTACCTCCGCTGAAAGGCAAACAAAAGTCTCCCGCATCAACCATCCCTAAACACAAAGATTGGGTCAAGGAGAACATCGTCGACAAAGACCTTTTGAGAATTCCCAACAACTTTGCCAGGCATGCACCCGAGTACGACCCAAACGTTGGTCAGAGACGAGAGCAACCTCTGGAGTATCCGAATCAGCAGACGGCTGAGTTTGCAAAGTTGTTGGGAATTTCCAACAAGTTTCATCTGGAGGATAGCACTTGATCTACTGGGTACTGGCGAGTACTCGTACCGAAACCGAGGAGACTTGGTGTTTGATTTGAGACGCAAATGGCAGCTCTTCACATCAGTAGGTGGTTGGCGTTTGGAGTTTGGGCTGCATTTTAGAACTTGTAAATGGGATGCCAGCTTACATAGAAGACTATTCTTTGGGTTTAGCTAGACAAATCATTACGAGTTCTTGTTCTTGTGAACCTGACGCGCATCATCAAATGTTAGTTTTGACCTTTTTCACAAGCGTTTAAATGCCCGAGGCCATATGTTTGCTTCGGGTCTACTTATGCACCTAGCATCCAACGGTCGCCGCATACTATCCTGTCAAATCTGTGACAAATCATCACATTCTGCAGAAAATCCTCAATCGTTATTGAATACCGTTCCAGTAAGAGCCCTTAACCGAGTGGCGCAGATCGGAAGCCATGCCGATTACGAAGCCTGGGCGGTTCGAGACCTCGATCGACCACACGACAACTACGTCAGTCTGGATCGATTTTCCAAATTGAGAAGATTTCAACGTCATTAAGGATTTGTCGTTGAAGAATGCAGTAAAAATTAACTGAGACCTGGACAGAGACCGTGGTCTAGACCGTTGGATCATCGACGACCAACACTACGACGCCATGGATCAGCAGGGTATTGATGTGCCTGGTCTCTAAATACGATATAAAGAGCAGCATGAAGAGTATACGAATAAAAAATTCGTCGTTCTACCTTTATATATCACATTCTTCATGCATCACTCACAATGGCGCAACCAAAAGACGCCTCCGACACACCCGACATGGCCGAAGACTTCTTCGATGGCGAATACCCAGATCCAAAAGACCTCTCTCCCGCCCAGCATGAATTATCAGAAATCATGCTCAAAATGAAAGACGACCCCACTTTGATGGGAATCCACATGCTGGGTAAAGATGGCATATACCGATCCTTAGACGCCGACCGCAACGTGGTCGATGCCGTCGCGTGTACGCCTCCCCTTATCAAAGCCCTCTTAGACCGCATGCCATATGATGCCGAGACTGAGAAGAGCTTCCGAGGCGTTGATGGAACAAAGACACCTAAAGAGCAGTGGTATAATCCGCTACCTGGTATCTTGCCACCACCACTGGAGGAGAAGCATCGCGAACGATCGGAAGAGGTGCTTGAGGAATATAGAAGACTGTACTATGAGAGGAGAAAGAAGATTGAAGATGGAACCTTCATACGGTGTGCTGTGTGTTTAATGTCGGATAATGATCTCGGACCAGGAGTTGGGAAACGCAAGGCACAGGATTAGGCACTAGAGAGAATGCCGAATCTGGTGCTGGCCGTAAGTCACTAATGCTTCACGCATATTAACAGGCTAACATATCGGCAGATCATGACGTCGAGGGGTTAAAGAAGGAGCACAAGAATATCTACACGCTTACTGCCTGTGCCGACCTGTGCTCGCATCGCGCTTGGGGTAACCACGTCTTGCCCGGGCAGCTTTGGACGGTGTGCCGCCTGTACGAAACTCCTAAGGTCTCCCACATAGTTACTTCCAGCGCTATTAGCCACGAATAGGACGCTACCGTTAAGAAGTGAGGCACTTTCAGAATTCTAGAACACATGCGCTCAACACGCCGTTTGTTTAGACGTGTACGACTGTTTCGGGTTTCAACAACTGTAGTGGTCTAGTCTCAAGAATAACCACCCACTGTACATCTAGATAGCTAGAAACACACTATATCCCCTATTTCATCCTTTCTGCTTGCTCCCTTCTGTAGTTCTGAGGTCGAAGAAATCGTGCCGATATCATCAACCACCATGGGCTCAAGTATTATGCCAAACTTGCGCCTACCCGGGAGGCCAGTGGGAGTTTGGGTCAAACTACATTTGGGGTTGCTGACACATATTAGTGGCCTCAAAAGTCGGTTTACGCTGATGTACGAGTGTCGGCTCAGCCGAACTTGGGGAAGGCTCAAGATAAATCAGTGACTGCTCAGGACGGCGGACGAAAATGGAAATATTGGAAGTCCATGTTCACATTACATATTCGGCTACCATCAAAGATTTCCGCCTACGATATGAAAAACGCAATGCATGAGATTTAGAATAATTCGACGAAGGATGCGACGAACAGAAGATTTGAATGTGCCCAAAGCGGTTGCAAAGATGTGAGAGCAGAGCCTATGACGTCAGTGCATCTTATCAAACGGCTGTGATTCACAGCCTCTTCAACGAGCAAGGCGAAACGGATTATCTAGCAATAATGGAAAATACTTCCGTTTGAATCGCTCATTTTGGTTCATTAACCCAAAGTGGTATTTTCTTTATTTTCTTTATCCCTTTTAGGATGCCTTACTTGAAACGCAAATATCCAAGTGAAGCAATGGCGCGCTCATGGTAACAATAGGTTCCTCAATTGTGCATTCTACTTGATAAAATATGTCTGTTTACTCGCAAGTGAATTCAAGCAGCCGTTTATTTCTTCTCTCTGTCTCCTCTCTTCTCTTCTCTTTCCTTCACTCAATTGCTGATCTTTCATCTCACAACGCATCAAGCTTCTTCGCATCAAGCCTCTTCCTTTCTTCATTCTGTCGAGTCGCTTTGCTTTTTGCAACGAGATACTTTTCGGTCAACTTCTTGTAAGTTGAAGTATTTTGCTTTATGACTCTGCGTCCTGCTAACCATCAGCTATCAGATCTCCCCTGCACAACTCTTCACCGCAACCACCAGCATCTCGCACCAGCCGGTAAGTACCTTGATTCATTCCGCATCGTCAACTTCCTCCTGAATAGTTGCCTGACTAGTATTAGCTTCATCATGTCGGACACTTCCATCAGAGAAACCATCGAATACGATGATAGCACTCCCAGCTTGACCGACCATGTCGAAGATGCGACCGACCATACCCCCAGTCCCGGCAACGACGACGATGATTCTTTCGGCGAAGATTTCGATCACGCCGATTCCACCAGCCCGAGTGTCTCCGAAGATGAAGACAACGAGTCCCTTCCCGCGGAATCCAATTCCCGCACCCTCGCCGGCGATAACCTTGGCTCCCCTCCACCCAAGACAAGTCGACTCTCCCAACTCTTCACCAACTTTGCCGATGAATTCCTCGACATTATTGAAGAAGATGCCCAAGAAGCTGTCATCGAAGCCGCAAAGGCTCAGAATATCGATATGGGTAAGATGGTGAAGAGGCACGATCACGAAATCGGCAACCTGATGGACGAGTTTTACGATCATGTCTCTAGCCATGAGAAGAGGGCCAAGGCAGAGTCGGACAAGGTCAGAGGCGAGATGAAAAGCCTCAAACGTTCCATCGACAACAGGGATGCGAGAAACAGCGCATTCCAAAAAGAAGTCAGTGATCGACTCGCCAGCCTGGAGAAGAGGTCCGTCGATCGTTTCCTTTTGTTGGAGAAGATTACCAGCAGCCGAATGACTCGTCTTGAGAAGGATATCGACGCGAGGTTTGCTTCTCTAGAGATGAGCATGAATGACCGATTTGCTGAATTTGAGGAGCGCATCGATTAGGAGTCGGAGCCTGGAAGCAAGCGTCGTCGTGTTGATTGAGGGATGGATGGACCATGGCTCATGTGGGAGAGCATGTTGGCGACTAAAGACTCGGGATGGATTGAGCGGACGCCAAAGTATGAACTGCGACAGATAGTCAGTTCAGATAATTAATGACGCATTCTTCGCCTTCTTGTAGTAGATCTCAACTGCATTGCCCAGCTTCTATAAAAATGCTACGGCCACTAGGGGGGATAAAAAAACATGAGACTAGCTCATCAGCTTCAAGATAGCCACAGCGCCTTCAATACTGCCTCAATTCACTTGAAGATAGACCAGATGATGCTCTAAGATCTTCTCTTTATAAAGATATAAATTTGATATTATTTCGTTTTTATAATGGTGATTAAATCGGTGATTGAAGTTGGCCTAATGGTTGCGATTTGGTAGTGTCAGTCTCGTGTTTTTTGATCCCCACAGGGGCCACTATCAGACTCGGTCTCGCTCCATGCATACGACTCGCTATCGTGGCTTAGATCTCGGACTCACAGCCATGACACAGCCCTCGTATCCCAGCCACTCCCTGTTTCCACTAACAATGCATGCGGATAAACCTGCGACGATCCAAACAGCATCGCCCCTTAGCTAATCAGCAAGGATACCCTGCTCATCTTAGCTTGTTTTGGATTTCAATGGCGAGGAGCACAGACGAATGAATAAATAGTGCAGCCGCCCGCCTTGGATTACGCAACCCAAGGTGAGGTCATTCAACCTGTCTCTGTCGCGCAACATGTCCAGCGTCAAGATCATCATCACTCCTCCGACGCCTTTGGAGGCTGAAGATCCTTTTCGTCGTCGGCCTCCAGTTACACCTCTACCCGATGTACCTGAGAAGTTGCCACTGGATTCTGACGATGACGCAGAGAAAACAGACAATGGGAGACCAGCGATTGATCCGACAGAGAAGGAAGTCTATGTGACGCGGCCAGATGTTGAAGAATCTGAAAAGGAAGTCTACGAGCCCAGGACAACGATATTATATGCCGACGCGTCCGAGAAGGAAGTTTATCACCCTACCCAATCTCAAGAGATTGTTGTAGACGAGAAAGAAGTCTACGATCCTCAAGAAGCGGCTCATCAGGCTTCCATCGATGCATCCGAGAAGGAGGTGTATCACTTTGAGACGGAATCTCATCGCGTCGATACCGGGAAGGAGGTCTATGATGGGAGCGCGCAGATGCAAATGGTGATACATCCTGGAAAGGATGCCTACAGCCCCGAGCCTACTCAAGCTCCATCCAAATCCTCTCAAACACAGCCAAATTCCTCTTCACCACAATCAAAATACTATTCACCACAGTCGGAATACTCCCAATCCCAACTCAGCTACTCTCAACCAAGTTCACCCGCATACACTCAACCAACCGAAAGCTCGAGTAGCACACCCGAGCCAGAAGAACCTCAAACTCAACCTGGGCCCAAAGGCCGGTTCAAGAAACTTCACCAAACCGTCGTCAACAAGCACAAGAAAGCCTGGGAGACACTTGCTGATCAATCCAACGCCATTATCAATGAACAAAAAGCTTGGATCGAAAAGACACAGACCGACGTCACCAACAGTATCGTCATGGGAGCTACCACTCGGTATGCACGGTTAGAAAAGGGCACTACTACCCGATATGCGCGTCTAGAAAAGGGGACAACGAACCGATATAACCGTGTGGAGCAAAACATCAACGACCGAATGGTTCGTGCTGGGCAATGTGTCAACAATTATGCCAAGATCAAGGATAGTATTCCTGGGTTGAAGCAAAAGCCACAGGTTTCTCCCGAAGCAGAGAAGCCTAAATAAATGGCATACTCATTTTTGCAGCCGAATTGGCAGGGAGAGATTTGCACGTGAGGAGGTAGGGAAGTGGGACATTGTTGGATATGGGATTGTAAAGTAGCAGGACGTCAAGCCGGATTGGATGATAATCATGATACACAGTGGGTTTCAATAAGCAATACTTTTTCTGTATGAATCAAATCAAGGAAGGTATTCACCATTACATTCGTCATGTTCCACATATTCATGTCAATTTCGTAGCTCAACTGCCACCCTTACTCCCCTCACAGACGCCTACACAGAGCCTCCGCAAAGAACTCCACAAGCTTCGGCACCGTCTCTGAAAGATCATCATATAAATCAAAATGATTCTTCCCTTTGATAGTCACCAACTCCTTAGGATCCTTAGCAGCCTCGACAGCATTCTTACTAAAGTGATGCGTCTGCGCCTCTGACCCCGCAATCATGAGCAAAGGTCGAGGAGAGATGAGATGCTGAAAGTTGAACGAGTCGTAGCTAACCATTAGATCGTAACTCGAGAGAGGAACCTTTTGATCCGATCTCTTGTGGTGTCCTCTCTTCGTGCCGTAATACTGAGCCGCGTCCTTGAAGAACGAATCCGTCTCTTCAGGTATCTTTGACAAGTCCGTCTCAAACATGGGAGGTGCATCCTCTTGAGATCCATTGGCGTGAGTTGTGCGCCATTTGCCAGCGCCGTCGAGGGCTACTTCAATAGCCGTCCGACTCTCTTTGTTGTTCTCGTAGAGACCTCCATTTCGGGTCATCCTACCGACGCAGGCGGCGCTAACGGTCGCCAGAGCCTTGATGCGATTGTCTGACTGTGCAGCGTAGGAAGTGTAGCCACCCGATGCACAGATTCCAAGGACACCGATACGTTCCTGATCGACCTTGTCTTTCAAAGTCGTCAAATACGTAACCGCAGCCTTGTTGTCTTCGACCCTCTGGTGAGGATCTTCAAGACCACGGGGTTTGCCGGAACTTTCGCCCTGATAACCAGCATCAAAGGTCAAGACAGCGAAGCCTTCCTTGGATAGGGCGCGGGCGTAGTCGGCAGCCGTCTGCTCTTTAACTCCAGTCATGGGATGGCTAATGACAATGGCAGCTCCAATGCGATGTTCTGATCCCTCAAGGGGAGCGTAGAACTCGCCGCAGATTTGCAGCTCAAAGGAGGGGAAGTAAACTTTTGTGGGTGAATCTGAGGACATGATAGCAGATGGGATTGATTGAGTACTGGATTACTGTGACGAATTCACGGCCATGACCTGTGCTTTTATCTTCTCGGCTCGTCCTTGAGCATGTAATCGCTATGACGTCTAAAAGGTTAAAAGAGTGGTCGAGAACCTTCAAGGTTTTTGCACAAATAAATCGAATCCTTACTGGTGTAGGTGCTGCTAGTTCTGTCATGGCAACGTCATGGACTCAATCGGTTAGACGGACTTGGCTCCGGCTTTTATCGATGGGCAGTTCGCATATTGTGTAAAAGTACAAGCTTGTGATATTTCTCATAACTGTTAATGCATTCACTTGGTCTGAGAGCTTGGGGAGCGAGCTTCCCAGAAATAAATAGAAATAGAGTAGTCTTGACATATCTGAAGCTTACTCAAAGGGGCCTAGAGACCGGCCCGGTTTCCCATGCTTGGTTCCTGTTTCAATTGGAGGTTTCTTGGTCTTCCAAGCAAAACAAAGTTGGGAACACCAAGATCGGAAGCAGGCCAGACTATAGCCTAGTTATACCCAAGCTTCAATAACCCACCGTAGGTTTTCTCTTGCAGTCTTGCCAAAAGGATAATAGTACCTTGAGTATCCGCCACCGCATTCTTACAAACCCAGTCCTACTGCGCCTCTAACCCCTCAATCGTAAGCAGACTGGGCGCGCCTTTTTCTTGACAAGACCATGGCCAGAACTCCTAGCGATTGGCTCTTGGCAACTTGCTGACATGAACAAGGGAGAAAATGTCGCTTCTCACCACCTTACTACCCCGCCGCTGATTAGATGTTGACTTTGAACAGGCATATCAAAAAGCACTCAAGTGAATCAACACATCAACATTTCCACTCTCGAGACTGATCCTTTGCAAACCATGGCATCTTCAAAGACAAAGCTTTCTACCAGGGGCGAGGCGTTGGCTACTCCTACCGGCAAGATGACGCTGTCAGATGTGATTTGCGACTTGTGGCACCCAGAGACCAACCCTGGCGGATATGTCAGTCTAGGTGTTGCCGAGAACGTATGCTACTTTGGAGAATACATGGTGATGGCCAGGCTAACGTCTGGCAGACTTTGATGCATAAGGAACTGATCGAGCACATGACCAAGAACGTAAGTCCTCCACCGATTCACTATCACCCTGATACCAACTTTTGCAGTTTAGCGTCGACAGTCATTCTCTGACCTGTGGTGACGGCTTCTCCGGCTCTCATCGCCTTAGAGACACGATTGCTAGATTTGTCAATCGTAACTTTAACCCTCATGAGCCCGTCACCAAGAACCAGCTCGTCATTACCTCTGGTGTGGGTCAGGCGGTTGAGACGACCGGCTTCTCAATCTGTGATAAGGGTGATGGCATCTTGCTTGGCCGCCCGTATTATGGAAACTTTCCTATTGATTTGGGCTGCCGGGTTGAGTGAGTGACGGTCTTGTGGCGATATTGATAGATTCGATGAGGTCTAACCGAAGACCAGGGCAAAAATCATTGGCGTGTCCTTCAAAAAAACGGACCCATTCAGCTTAGAGGCTATCGAGGTCTATGAAAAGGCTCTTGTGGACGCACAAGCGCAGGGGATACGTGTCAAAGCGCTTCTTCTCTGCAACCCGCACAATCCCCTGGGTAAGTCTACACCAATTTCTCTTCCAGGCCACCCTAATCTTTACGAGGTCGTTGCTATACCCGAGAGGTCACTGAGGCGTACATGACATTCTGTCAAAAGTATAATCTTCATCTTATCTGCGATGAGATTTATGCTCTATCAGTTTGGAAGAACCCCAAGTTCCCTGAAGCTCCCGAGTTTACGTCAGTCCTGGCAATCAACCCCGATGGCATTATTGATCGAGACCTAATCCACGTCGTTTGGGGAATGAGCAAGGTTAGAACTTCAACAACAACGACGCAGCCGGTATGCTAACTTGTCAAGGACTTTGGCTCCAATGGCATCAGAATTGGATGTGTCATCAGTCGAAACGAGGCTTTCATTCGGGCTTGCGAAGCAATCTCCAACTTCACTTGTCCCTCGTCTCTAGCTGACCTGACTACCTCGCGTATTCTCTCTGACGACGCCTTTGTTGAATCCTTTATCAGCTCGAATCGGTTACGCCTAGCTGACAACTACACCATGATAGCCAAGTTTCTAGATGGCCATCAGATTCCTTACAAGGAGGGCTCCAACGCTGGCTTGTTCATCTGGGCTGATTTATTTGGTCCCATTCGAGCGCAGATTCATGCTGCCGTGACAAGGCAGAGAGAGGCAGGCATATCTTCCGACAAGATTTTGTGGGATCTAGAAGAGAAGCTCTACACGACTTTACTGAAGCACAGAATCTTTCTCGCACTTGGAGCTGACTTTGGAGGCGATGTACCCGGGTGGTTTCGCATCGCGTTTGCTCACGAAAAGATGTATCTGCAACTGGGGCTGGACCGAGTTATTGAAGCAGTTGAAGCGTTTCGCCGTCAGCTTGAGGTAGATGAAGATGTCCACACGCTTGCTACAGCGGTTAATGGCGTCGAGGTATAGAGCATGTGTGCATCTGGCGTTTTCTCTTTTTCGCCTGGATCTCGGTAATGAGAATCCCCCCACTCGAATGCAATAAAGATCCAAACATGTTCTTTCATTTCCTGCAGCTCAAAGTTATGGGTGTCTAGGTTCGCAGCTGATTATCGTTATGCTAAGTATGTCCCGTGGTTACGCACCTCGGAACGACATGTTGTAAGCATGCTGATAGTCTCGGGTCAGCTACAGCAAGCCATAAAGAGCATCCCGGATCAGCTACCCAGGTTCTGCCAGGTGAACTATTACACGGGCTGCATTGTTCTGTAAGACGGCGTGTTACACTACTCCTTGTATAACTCATAAGTTCATGATTTGTCGAGCGTAGCGAGCGCGTCGTCAGTCCTCTTCTGGATCTCACCTAAGACGGCTACGCGGCGGAACCGATCGACACCGCAGCCGGCAAATGATGATAATAGGAGCTTTCAATCAACCGTCTTACCGTAAAACGGATCAACTGTCAACCTGACCCCGCTTGCCAAGGCTCGGAGTTCCCAACTATCTTTGTACTTAAACCGATGCAGGTCCCAGCAGGTTTCTTGAGAGTCACATCATGTTCCACATCCATCTTCAATATGAAGTCACTCACATTGTTGACAACATTTCTGTCCCATTGTAGCTTGGTTGCTTCAGTCAATGCAAGCCCCAAGTCTTGTTCTGATCTGAAACTTGGAACGTTTCCGGGGTTGACGATCCTCCATGCTGAGACATCCGAACGACAAAACTATACACCTCCGGGCTCTCAGCTGACAGTCAACATCTGCAACCTCACCCTCTCTCTGCAGCACCAAAGCGTTGATGATGTAGTCAAAGTGGGAATATGGCTTCCACTCCAGAACTGGAATGGTCGATTCATGGCAACAGGAGGATCAGGTATCTCAGCTGGTGATGAGATGAACCTGGTTATACCCGCGGCCCAGGGCTACGCGGCTGGATTCACAGATGCAGGCCTAACACTCAACAACACTATTGACTCTCAGACAACCAAATGGTTTCTGAGAGATGACGGCACAGTCAATGAAGTGCTGCTGGAGAACTTTGCCCATCGATCCATCCACGACTTGGCCGTTATCGGGAAAGCTGCCGTTAAGGCGTTCTACGGAAAACAGTCTGCATACTCCTATTACACGGGCTGCTCCCAAGGCGGCCGACAAGGATACTTTGCAGCTGAGAAACACCCTGACGATTTTGATGGCATTCTGGCCAATGCTCCAGCCATCAACGCGCCTCAACTCTCGCCTGCCGAATTCTGGCCTTCTGTATTGATGACCAACATTGTTGTGCCGCCTCAGTGTGTGTTCAGAGCATACCAAGATGCCATTATCGAAGCATGCGATGCACTAGATGGTGCTCGAGATGGTCTCATCTCTGCACCTGAGAAGTGCCGCTACGATACCTCGAAGCTTGTGTCGAAGAAAACCGAGTGCACTGAGACCGGTGGCACAGTGGTCATCACCAAAAAGCATGCCGAGTTGGTAGCCAAAATTCTCGAAGGTCCTGCCGATCCCAGTGGCAAGACTCTATGGTATGGAACTCCTCCCGGGGCAGACTTTGATGGTTTGGCCAACACCACAACTGTCAACGGCACAACAGTACCTGCCCCGTTTTTGACAGCCCAAGCGTGGTTCAAGTACGCCATTGCCCAAGATCCCTCCCTCGATACGTCCAAGCTGTCCTTGTCGGATTTCTTTCACCTGTTCCAGCAGTCAGTTGATCGACTGACTGACTCGGTGGGATCCGATAACCCCGATCTCACGACTTTCAAAAACGCAGGCGGCAAGCTTCTCTCATGGCACGGCATGGCTGATCCTCTAGTCATGCACGGCGGCACAGTTCTTTACTGGGATAGGCTGCGCAAAAAGGCCAGCAGCCAGGCCGAGTTGGATAGTTTCTATCGTTTGTTTCTAGCCCCAGGAGCAGGTCATTGTTTCGGAGGAGTTGGCCCAAATCCGACAGAACCTTTGTCGGCTCTTGTGGATTGGGTTGAGAAGGGAATCAGCCCTGATACTCTTTTTGCGGAAGCAGTCACGGGTGGCAAGTCTATCACCCGCAATCTGTGCCCATATCCAAGCACTTTGCGATATGACGGGAAAGGGGACGTGAACTCTGCCAAAAGCTTTACCTGTACTCATTGATAGCTTCATACCGCCGAGGCCGATACTAGATCAACCTCCACCGGGGTTGCCGTCGTTGCCCCATGATACGGGCCGACCTCAACAAAACAAACTTTCTACCTTGAAAAAGAGCACAACCTGCAACAAAGCCTGCAAAGCTTTATCATTGGGATTAATATCATACCTACTGCACCGGGCGGACGGTGGCATAGCTAGAAAAAAAAGAATATTGCTAGAAAATAGAGTTTCCTATCCCTTCTATCTTGTTCAATTCCTGCCATATATCTTCTGCCATCTTTATTATTTTGCCATTTTTACCATTGATATCCTTCCCCTTGTATCTCTCTCGACTGGCTCTGTGCAATCGCTTCTAGGGCTTTCTCTACCAATCGATTTCATATACAATAGGTAGTCAAGGGGAGTTTTGTGGTAATTTTCACAGATTCAGGAATAGGCCTCGTTGATTGCTTTGGTCATATCAGTCTACAGTCATACGTCCAACCGCCTAACTCAATGTCCCAGCTTTATCTCATGCGAGCTCATATGATTCATCACCTTGTGCCCCATTGCATATTAACTCGACATCGAAGCAGTAATCGTTGGTTCCCTTCATACTTGAGCTAAACTCACTCTTTCCATCCATCTCCAGCCCCCAGCATCCAGTTCAAACCCACCAGGTGAAGATTGTGCTTTTCAACAAACTTGGCCGGATCGAACGATCGTCTTTGCACGAATTCTTCACCTCCAACATCCTCCTTCGTCAGATCCAGGGTCGTGGGCTGTCGGAAGAGGAGAAACAAATATCGATGAGGCTTGGAGCTACAAACGGTTACTATCGCATCTCGGACAGGCATGTGTACCTACTCATCCTTGGGGCCGGGTCCAAGGTACTCTGTCAAAGCAGGTTGAACTTGTGCGACCATTCCCTCGTCACCACTAAGAGGCATCAAGCCTGGAAGAACCCAGTGACGCCAGAAAGCAAACTTGGGATCATCTGGGGTAGGAGCATCAGGGTCGACGAGCAACAGCATGTATGTCGCATCAGACGGACTATCGGGCTGGACAGAGTAAGCATCTTCCTCGAACAATGAACAGGCCTCAAACCTCTTTCGAGAAGCGAATACTCGGGGCGAGTCTGCACTGCGAAGCGCGAAACAGGTTCCCCAGCTTGAGGGCGTTCCCGTCAAACGCGACGTCGAGCTTTGTCGTAGGCTTAAAGTCCTCCGGGATAAGACTGGCAGCCACGCCAGGAACGAGCTTTGCCTCGGCCAGAGAGGCAGACAGGGCCTTTGCGTGTTCCTTGAGAGGCATCTTGAATGATTGTGTAGCTTCAAAGAGTAGCTGAAATAAGCTCGGTCGATGACGATGACCTTGGTTTTGATGCTACCCCACGTTGGGGGCTGTGTAAGGCTGTGATGTGACTGGTGGAAGAAAGCCAGTTACGGTACATTGTCATCATGCCCCCAATGTTGGCAGAGGAATTCAGCCACAATCACAAGCTGCATTGTCTTGTTCTGCACAGGCTGGCCGTGCACAAGGACGAGGTCGGGGAAAGCGGGGTGGTCACCTAACAAGAAGGGCAACGAGTTGGCCCTCGAGAAATCTTCAAACAAGCAGTAGATCCTTCAAGTACGGTAGTCTTGTCGAGACGCATCTGCTATCAAGATACAACAGGTTCAGGGAGCCTCTGTAGTTCCACTCTGTAGTGTTGATGTCGAGAAAATACTCCCCATCTCCTTGCTTGCGCAAGGACTGCCTGGGCGTAATAAAGCACTATCTAAGCCTATATAAAAATTATATGATAATATGTTAATCCCTTATCTATACTTTAGTAAGCCTAAGAAGAGTCTAATCAGAATTGGTCTAGATCCCAGCTCGGTACACTATGACAGTCCCCGCGCAAGCAAGGAGATTTCTTTAGAGTTGGCCCATGATGGGGGGTAAATTAGCGGGCGGGCCGAGAAAAAACAAGAGGGGCGGTCCTAAAGACGGTTCCGCTCTAGACCGCATGATTGACGGAGCCAAACCCGGCGTCGGTCATTTCGCAGAGAACTCCCAAACAGTCAAGATACGAATGAAATGCCAGGTCTACGGCCGCTTCACCGACACAATGAAGGGCCGAAGGATCGTGTTTCTGATCCTTTCGTTTCATGTTGAACAGAGTGGGTCGATTCCAGCTAATCAGAGTGAAATTTCCATGTGCTCAGCCAATCTAATCTACTCGCAAAGCAAACCTTGGACCAACACGACTGGATCCCTGCAACGGCATTGCTCGAGCCAGGTCATCATTCCACGTTATCTCGACCATATCCAACATCTTTCACCTCTACATTCATCCATCACCATCAACAGTCTTCCTTCCACCATGTCAGAACCAAACCCTCAGTCAAATTCTCCCCTTGTCAAACTCCCCCGCGAAGTCCGAGATGCTATTTACCTCGAGGTCTGGCGCCTCATCGGTCTCCGCCAACACATTGTAGCCCATTGGGGATCATCAGACGAAGACGCCAAACCTCACTATTGCCGCTGGAAATGCTGCACGCCCGAATTCGAAGTCGAGGATCGACTCCAGGAAGAAATCGACCAGCTCCGAATCAAAAAAGGAATATTTCTCGAAGAATATTTCTCACATAAACCCGAGTCTCCTCGCGTTGACTACCAGGGTTTTCTCTCTTCACCTTGGGATAACCACTGGGAATGCTGGCTTGAAATCACACAAAAGTACGGCAGGGAATATATCGAGGGTAATTATGGTCCACATGGTAACTCTGTCAGCACATCGGGCTGTCGCTGCTGGAAAGACGTGGCCAAAGATCCCATGAATTTGACACCACTCTGGGACAGAGGATCCAGGCCACCGCCACCCAAGCCTCCTAGCAGGTGGAAACGGGCTGTGGAAAAGGTGAAAAGGGCCAAGGACGCAATCAGACCTCCGCCAGTCATCGAACCCCCTTGGACTGGTAGCCCTTATATGCCAATTTTGCTGTGCTGCAAGCTCTTGTAAGAATTTCACAGCTACTTATGATGCGGCTAACTCCCTAGGTCTCCTGAAATCGTCGAGTCTCTGTACAGATCAACCACATTTATCTTTACAGACATAGTTGCTTGGCAGCTGTGGCTAGGCTATTGTGATCCTCAAACATCACCACGACCAGAACTTGGAGGAGCACCTCGAGCCTTCCTCGAGAACACGACAAGCATCGAGTTAGGCCTCCACCCCACATTCAAACTCGAAGTCCCATGTACATTCTCAGAAGAAAAAGAGCCCGATCACCCAGAACAGCTTCATGACCCCTATGACTTTCACTGGCTCAAGATGGACCGGTTCAGAAACCTGAGGAGCGTCAAGATTTGGATGTCTGCCCGGACTCTCTCCACGTTTCCAAGACGGTCCATCCTTCAGTGGAAACATTACAGGCTTGATCAGTTCAGCAAGAGCGAGCTCATAAAAGCTCTCTCAGCTTTCGAGAACCTGGATGAATTCATCATTAGCACACCTCTTGCTCAGAATATTGGACCAGAGGATGGGTACGTCCAAGACGTAATGGAGAAACCGAGCCATCAGGTCTGGAAGAGAGGCACCGGTGATCATTATCATCCAGGGATGGATATTGATCTTGGCGGCGGCGGGCCCATCACTAATATTGCATCATATCCTGAAAGGTACGTTTGCCTAATTATGCTGAGTTAGTCTAACGTCTCGTAGAATTGTGACTCCAAGTACTCATGGTCTGTCCTTCTCTTTCTCTTTCCGCCTGACGGGGCTTATATAACTATTGGTGGTCAAATACGTAATTCAAGAGAATTAAGGTGTTGGGGAATCAGCTCAACGTTTGATAACATCAAGTCTATACAAGAACAACCTTCCTGATGAATCCATCCACACGTTGCACTGCAGTCTCATCGTCCGACCTTATAGTAATTATACCCGCTCTTTCCCATTCTTGGTCATTCTTCTTGGTCAAGACAAGCCCGTTGTATTCTCTCCCTCCTAGCAAGAGCAACACGTCAACAGAACCACCACTCCCGCGAGCTTTTCCTTCCACAGGCCTTCCCTGGTACAAACAATTCCATCCTGCAAATAGCTTGCTTGTATCCGGGATTTTCACTTGTAAGTGGTAAGGTACCGTCTTTTCAGCCAGTTCGAGTTCAATCAAGGGTGCCCCAATCTCCAGTGTCTGATCTGAACGACTTCCAGGGCTTATCAACCCATGAGTCTTTGGAAAAGGGTTGGGAAGAACTTGGCGAATCAGTGATTGCCTGGTATCTTGCTCCATCCGAGTGTTGGCTACCGACAACGTTGGGAAATCGATATTCTTCATGACTGAAAGCCAAGACCAACCCGGATACTCAGTGTTTGGGTCTTGACTTGACCACCAGAGTAGACACTCTGCCAAGCTTGATCTGAATGCGCCGTAAAAGTAGTCGTCGTCATGCTTTCGGGAAAGCAAAGTTGCAACTCCCGAGATGGCCACCATCCTATCTGATGCAAAGGACAGCTTCATATTCGAGTAGTCGCGGACCAGTTCACACCATGCTTCGCCGAGAGCTTCCCTTTTGCTTAGTGAGAGAATGTGGTGCCTAACGAGTTCCTTTTCCATATCCTTTGGTTGGTCACTCTCAATAAGAGGGTGCGTCATTCGACACTCCTTGAACAAGCCGCTCAAAGTCCAGTGCAGCACTCGACGGGATAAAACTCTCTCCTGGAGGCACCATCCGCGTTCCATCAGGGGGTGTCTAACTCGGTATGTCCAGCGAGCGCTATCCAAGGTAGGTCGGAGCTGAGCCCACAAATACCTCTGGTTTTCCAATTCGTCCTTGAATGGTACTGGAATTGGTTTGATCTTGAATCGCCCGAGTGGTCTCGCTCTCAGGAAGCCTTCGGTGCTGCCTTTAGCACAAGAAGCAGCAATGCAACATAGGGAGCCAGAGTAGTAGTCGCCCATCCTTCCCGCTTCAGTCGCCCAGTCCCCCGGGTCATTTGGTCCATCTGCTTGAACAATGCAGATGGCATCGATCCAAATGTACCTGACTCCCATCAGTCGAGTGATGGTAATAGCATCTTGAATGGTGGCTGGGAGATCTTTGATCAGGATTCCATTCAGGCGAGATTGTATGTTCTTTGACGTCGTTCTTGCTTTGCTGTTCCCCGTTCCCTTTCCCCAGCAGTAACTCAATGCGATGTACTCGAGAGCTTTCTGATCTGTTTCGATCATCTTTACCATTTCATCACCATCCAGGCCAACATCAATGAGCCTTGTAGGGACGGCGGCCGCCGCAAACGCTGCGCATTGTGCATGTTGAGACTCGCAATTCCGGATCCATGGCCAAATTTCCGTTCGAATAAGCTCCTTCAAGTCCTCGTTCTCAGGGCCAGGTATTGATTCTACAGACGTCAGAGAGTTCTTCCACGAGCTAAGCTTTGTCGCATACCCTTGATTGAGATTGTTTTCATCTCCTCAAGATATTCTTGAACCAATTCGGTAGTGGGAATGCCCATTTCGTGATAGGAAGGCGGGGGAAACTCAACGCCGAGGGCAAGTAGTTCATGAGGGGTTTCATAAGCTGGGAAAATGTTGGACGAAGGGTTGGTGGTTGTCAATTTGACTTTTATGCTGGACCCCTCATATCGCCAATCTGTCATGAGTAGATTCTGAAAAGGCTCTGTCAGCTGACAATCCCAAACCGCGTATTGCCATATCAACTGGCAGAGCGGACATCCAGCATCAGCACAAGCTTGCAGCGACAAAAAGTTTTCATGGTGGTCAAAGGGGTGACGGTCTTTTGATGAGGTATAACTTCTGTTGAATGCGGAAGAGAACGCTTGGCATTTTTGGCACAATGATTCAAACACGCGGTGAGGGTTTAAATCTTTTATCGAAAAGGAAGCCGACATGATAAGGATGCTCCCAGGGAGTTGCGAGTATCGCCGTTGCGTTGTTATGCAAAAGAGCAGATGTGAAGCATTGGCTTGAATGATTGAAGTCTAAGAAAGATCAGGCACCAATTTTTTCTGGGGCTATTACGCAAGCGTCACTTGATTAATCACACGTTTTCAAGCATTGTCGTTAATGTGGCTGAAATCTTGTCAGATGACTGGCCTCAGCCTGGCTGAGTTGCTTCTTCAGCCGCAGCACCAGCCCAGCTGAGGCAGCAACAGCTCACGTTGAGGGCTCAGCTGTAGCTCTATGGCTGAATAGCATGTGTTTGTTTGCGAATTTACCATCATGGAGTATCTTGGCTATTGTCTGCAATGATGACAAGAAGCCATCAGCTACAACAGCAAAAATCACAGTCAGAGTATCCTGGCTCACATATCAAGAAATCAAGACTTCCAACTGCAACCCTCTGGATTGAGCAGAACGTGGTCCTTTAATATGAATTCAAACCCTGCCATTGGGGCCAAGACTCACAGAGCACCGTCTCAGGGTAACAATAACCGATTCAATGTACCCTTACGACGTCATCACTCGACGAACCGTTCAACCGCCAAGAAAAGAATGTGATTACGTTCATCACTTGCAAATTTCATCTTTATGCCCATAAGACCTCGGTTCCGTGCTGTCATCCCACCATCAAGCAACATGCAGCAGACCTCTTTAACCGTTGTCCAACGGAAGAATATGTCCCACCAATTGGAAAGCAGCCCGGGCTTTGGGGGTTCTTGGGGATTGACCCTTGCATGCAGCATCACATCTCTGAGATGATGGTTATTGGTGCTAATTAAGGTTCCGAACAGGCTTCCCCGCGTAAAGGTTGGAGACTGGGGTAGCTTGCCAAGCTCTGGGGAGCTCTGAGAAAAGAGCTGTACCAAATGGGATGTTGTATACTTAAGGAATGTTTCTGCCCATTGAATCCTCTCAGCATCTCATCAGTCTTCAGCTCTTCTCTCAATTGGCAGCATGAATCTGAAATTGTTTCTCTTTTACTTCTTTGCGGGCCTGGCCTTCGCGTTCCCTTCAGACTACCTCAAGTTGGCTACTTGGGGACTTGAAGGATATGCCAAAGACAATCCCATCGGTCCTACCACGGGAGGCAAAGGTGGCAAGACAGTCTTTGTGTCTACCGCTGAACAGCTCGTTGCTGCCGTTGCTGGCACAGATCCCAAGATCGTGAGGGTCAAGGGCAAGATCACTCTGCCTGCGCGTCTCAAGGTCGGATCCAACACGTCCCTTATTGGCGTCGGCGCCTCTGCCCATATCACAGGAAAGGGCGTGGATGTTTTTAACGGCGACAATGTCATTCTTCAGAACCTCAAGATCAGCCATATCCTCGACAATGATTGCATCACCATCCGGAACAGCACCCGTGTTTGGGTTGACCACAATGAGTTCTTCTCTGACATCAGCTACGGACCTGACCACTATGTAAGTTTCTTACTCTTGATATCCAATACTTTCTAGGTTGTGGTGTTTTGCGATTTGGTTCCGATGCTGTTGTGTGTGTTTTGGCCTTGTGGCGGTTTCCTCCTCTTACAACGCCATTGAAGACAAGAAGAATGCAACATGCGCTGACTTCTTTATCAGGACGGACAAGTCGACATTATTCGGGCCTCAGACTTTGTCACAGTGTCATGGAACTACTTCCACGATCACTGGAAGTCCTCCCTCGTAGGCAACGACGCGACCTTCCGAGACCTCGACTCCGGCCACCTCCACATCACATATCACCACAACTATTGGCGAAATATGGGCACTAGAGGTCCTGCCGCGCGCTTTGGCCGCTTGCATGGCAAGTTCTCATTCCATGATTGTAGTAAGACTAGAGCTAAGAGACCTTTCTAGTCTACAATAACCTCTACGAAGACTTCTTGTACCAAGCTATCCACAGCCGGTCCGACAATCAGGTACGTCCTTCCTTGATTTCACACTACAAAAGCTGACACAGCCAGGTTCTCGTTGAGGGCAATGTCTTCCGGGGCAACACAAGCGAAGCTCTGAGCACATACGGTCTTGTGATTCCCATGGATTCCCCAAACACCTGCACTTGCGGTGACGAGGAGCTCGACGGATACGCCAACCTTGGAGCTAGTAAGCAAAGCACTTCGCCTTTTGCTCAGGAGCACAGCTAACTGGGGACAGAAAACGACTGGGGCTCAGCTGGCGTCAACATCACGCAGAAGGGTACCTTTTACAAGGCCGATTATAAATACAAGCTGACTCCCCTCAAGCTTGTTCCAACTGTGAACAAGCTTGGGGCTGGCGTTGGCAGGATCTTCAAGTGATTTCTACCTTGCAGTTAAAATTGGCACGCCATGGGAACTGGAGAGACGTGACGAGGTGGTTTGGAGAATGTGTTGCATGCCAACTTTTGTTTCTATTCCTACCCACTTAGTCAGTACCTTGTCTACATAAAAGAGGAGCTTAACCAAAGCTCATATAACGATTTTTCCAAACTATTTCTTGACTTCATAACCAATTTGACTGGGATTTGCTAAGCCCAGGATGAGGACTCCGCGGGCCTATCCCAGTCACTAGACAAGGCTAGAGGATAAAACTACACACTCTTCGGCCATCCTGTGATCGTATCTCCTAAATAAACAACGTCGTGGTAATCATAACTACAGATGACGAGGGCTGGATAAACAAGTGCATGGAGCAGTTAGTGGCAAGACATGTCCAGGCCTATCATCTGACTGTGAAGGCGTGAGCCAATGTCGGAACTCGACAGAATGCACTAGCGTTGGTGGCATATCTACGATACGGTAGACGTAGCCAACAACATCACATTCACACGTAAAGAATATTGGACCCGAGCTTCAGGCCTTTTTCCCACGACGCTCTTTGTCACTAAACACTCCCTCCGACTCCTCAGCGTATAAAAACTATTTGTTGACTAGGATCCGTGAGCAATGAGTTGACGAGGCTGTATAGTTACGTTCAAGTGAGATGAACAGTCACGTAGAAAGGAAATCAGTTATTGTTCTCTACCATGCAGCGAGACGATAGACTGTTTGAAGTGCTCGCGAACTCGGGGAAAGGAGAATAGTTGGATCATAAGTGCAAGCGAGCAGCACTCAACGACAACATATATTTCAAGATTTTCTTCTGATCAATCCACAAGATGGGCTCATGATACCTGCTCTTGCAGAGACATGTCATGATCAGCCATAGCATCATGAGTTTTAAAGAATGGTAGTGAGGAGTTTCAATTAGAGGGTCTTATGGACACTTCCGGTTCTGCACTTGGCAAGATATTAGAATACATTAAGAAAACCGATGTACTGACATTATACTATCAATTGTCCACGCCATCTTCTTGTAGCTGTTGGTAGTTACGCGCGAGGGAGCATCACGAAGAGCACAGTTGGCGACGAGTGTAAGGGTGGCAAAAAAAAAGAACAAGGCAACAGGGAATCAAACCAAATCCCAAACACCAAAAAGAAAGGCCCAGATGGGAGTCATCGGAGAAAGCTGAGAACGGTCGCATTCGCGGCACCGCCAGACCATATGTTGAATATGGCCGCACTCCTCATCCCAGGGGTGACAGTGGTGATAATTTCCGGAATTAAGTACCATCGCCGCAGCGTGGCTTCTATGTGCGACGTCAAAGCATGGGAGTATCAAATAGGAATAATACCAAATATCCAGCCCACAATGAATTACGATCATCAAAAGAACTGTTCGCAGCAAAGAAATACAGAAAGGAGGGAAGAAAGGAGGAGAGCGAAAATCCGGGGAGAGTTGCAATGGTCCACTTGGTACAAGTCGGGAAGCCCCGCCCGTCCCGCCACACCAGAACAGACGAACTAAACTCATGCACCCTGGGGTGAAGATCCCGGTCCAATACTGGCAGAGAATAACAATCACAAGATCGAATTGGCTCTGCCCTCAACTGAGCTTCGTGTGTCATGTTCCCGTCGGGAGACCAAGATCGCATCTGGTACCCATACCCATGCCAACTAATGTACATGGTACCTGCTTAAGCTCAGAGTGGTCCACTTGGCACGAACGGGAGCCCCCACTCCGTAGCCTCCACTTTGGAGAGGCTCACATATCACCGACAACCAAGACAACAACAGTCAGGGCAGGTAAAAAAAAAAAGTGTGAAAGATCACGGGATTCGAACATGAGTCTGAAAGGTGAAAAATAAAAGGTCCAGCCGGAGTCATCGAAACGAACGGACCTCGGCAGAGGAACCGTTACACCAAAGGTGCATTTACTCATCCGGCTGGAACGATAACCCGGCTCAATGTTTGGCATCATAAGGGGCCAAAACCTCACTCTACACCCGTGCCTGCTAATTAACTGTACCGCCTAAGCTCTGGAGAATGGAGACTCGCTGCAGTGGTCCACTTGGCACGAACGGTGCCCTCACCTCGCAACCTCCACTTTAGACAAACCTCACATATCCCATCACCAGCCAAAACAACAGCATTCAGAGCGAGAAAAAGAGAGAGAGAGAGAACATGGGATTCGAACATGAGTCTCAAACGGGAAAAAGAAAAGGCCCAGCCAGAGTCACTGCAATACGGCTCACGCGAGTGGTACCGCTACACCAGTCCGAAGACTAAATGCATTGCTCATCTGGCTGGACAATAAGTCGGGTCAACGTTTGGCATTATAAGAAGACCAAGATCTCCCTAGGGTACCCGCATGTGAGGATGTGTAACAGGCGAATCGCAAAGTGTTCTCATGTGACGCAGTGAAGCAGGTATTCTATCTATGGCACAAATTTGACCAAGATTCCCGCCTTAGACTAGAAGCAACTTGGAGTAGTGCAGCGGTCTCCGTACGGAGCCGTGAGCCTGGCCTCTTTCGAGGGGCCAACCTCCAAAGTGGTTTCGAGGATGTCTTGACCTTTTTTTGTTTGAGCCTAAGTCAATCTATTCAATTCCCCGTCTGGTTCGACTCGCACTTATTCTTCTTTTTTTCTTCATCTGCCTTGCTGCTGCTCGAGACCAGAATGAAAAATTGGAAAAGATTCATGGCAAAAGGAACGGCCCTACGAAGTCAACCAAAAAGTAGACACTGGGAGACATCATCGAGGGTTTGAAGAAGGGGCTCATAATAAATCAAATACCATCAATCGCCCATGACCAGGACTTCACAGGCAATTTATCTAATTGCGGTCGAAAGTGGACCAGATTTGAGTTCGTAACCGTTCCTGGGCCCACCTGAGGTTGCGTGTGGAGTTGTACAACGACTTGTGCGGATGCTCACCAGCCTGCAGAGTGGGTGGTACAGGCACAGCGCGCCAAGCCAGCTGGTGTCCCACTCAAGAAGTTTAAATGCTTAATTAACTGGGATCGTGAACGACAACTTGACTCTGGGCATTAGCATCATCATTCCTCCTTGCAGACTTGTACGCGCTGAGTTATCATCTCGTATCGGAGGGTGCAGCAGCGTCGTCGGATCTGAGGCTCGGCTCATCCGGCGTTTATCGTAGGCAGGCTTGGGGTCTTCTTTGGCCAGGGTGGGAGTGGGCGAGCTATCAGATGTTCAGATCGGTAATACGCTGAGCGTGTGTTGAATTCTTTTTGACAAGAGCAAAAAGATGGGACATGGGCGGTAAGGCTCAGCTCTTTGAGCGACGATCAGGTAGCGAGGCGCATCGCATGTCGCTGTCTTCATACGTTGTAACGGACCAGATGGCCTGCTCCCGCAAGAGCAGGTCAAGAGATTCTGCTCATCCTTAACCTTGTTTGCCTGCTCCTTCCTTTTCTCAATCCTCCCGTGCTTCAGCCCTTCTCTTTCGGTCTTCCAAAGGCAGCGGCGGGTTCGAGTCGATCGCGTGATCAAGTGCTTGACCATTGTTGTGCGCTCTCGTAGGCGGGATCGATGGGTGAACAGACTAAAATTAAAGATTAGTTAGTGAAGGGTCTCTCCAGAAGCATCCAGCGTTTGACCGCTCTGGTTTCGGCCGTCGCATCATCGATCGGCGATGAAGGGGCACAGGTCGTTGCCTCTCCCATCAAAAGAAGCACCCAGATGCTCGTCGCGCGGCACCATGCATCCAGTAAGGCACTGAAGGCAGGCTGTGGTGTCTTGAAAGTCCAAATGGTCCAAATGGTGATAAGAAGAGAAATCGTGGGGAGAAGAGATCAGGGTCATGAGGGACTGGGAGATGATGGTTTCAACTCAACACATTCGGATTTGAAGGTGGGGCGCAGTTGTCGGAAGCCAAGTTGATGTCGTGGACTTCCTTCCCAAGCCTCCTTGCGCAGCCGATGATGGGCCAGTTCTTGAGTCAGCATAGGGACTTGCCCTTACTGCTGCGCGGTATGTAGAAACCCGAAAGAAAGCCTGAACATAAAAACAGAAATCGAAACTAGGAAAAAGGAAAATTCGAACTTGCGAAGTTCAAAAAGAGAAGTGGGGCAGGACCAAAGACATCATCGCCAGTTTGCAAGACGCGCCTCATCCGAGAACCCGCTGGGCCACAGGGTTTAACCCCTGCGCCAAATAAACGTTTTCAATGCTAGTCTTGGAGGTCCCGCCCCGGGAACCGAACTTCGGTTTGGGTACTAAGTGGGGTTCCTCGTCTCACCGCCTTGCATGGGTCGTCAATGCTCCATGGTTGAGGTGCTGGTTTGCATTGCCTGGCACCAACGCAGTTGAAGTCAGTGATATATAGTAACTTCCCAGACTAAAGTGTCCAGTCAAGCCGTCAGTTTGCCGCGGAAAGAGAGCGAGTTTAACCCTCAAGCAAGGCCTCATGGTAATACGAGTCGCAGAAGGGATTATACTCCAGGACTATTAATTCTTTCTCGCTAAACTCATTATGGCTCACAGTGGACCAGCCAAGAGATCAAATCTATTAAACGTTCCATGCGGGCCCTGCATGATGCCATGCAGACGCTGTCTACCGAAGGTCCACTGGAGCGGATACACTTCAACGCTTGATTAACTGTTACTTTGAACGACATCTTCTCCAAGCATTGCCAATTGTCCAAGAAATCCAGAGCCTGCTGAGAAAAAAAGGGCACACTGACCTGTGATCATTTGCTCCTGTGTGAATGAATGGCGGAGTTCAGTCAGGTGGACCCAGCATTACACACAAACACGGAGAAGAGCAAAGTCAGACAGGTTGGTATCACTACCCTCAGCACTCTTCAGTCGCCAAGTTCCCTCTACCCTTTCAGTGCATTGTGTTCATGCCGGGAAGTCTGCCATCTTCCCCCATGTCATTGTCGTGGCCATCATCAGGGGTACTATCAGACATTCTGTCCAGGGTGTTGCGCAATCACTCCGACCCCATGGGTCGTCAGCTGAGAAAAACAGAAGCATATGCAAACAAATTAAAAAGGGAGGGGATGAGGGATTCGAGCCACCAAGCACGGGTACAAAAAGACAAAAGGAGCCCCGGCGAGACATCATCGGTAGCGAGTATAATAGAGACGGCCGCATTCACGGTTCCGCACCGTCACGCTACCTAGTCTTTGCCGGGGCGGAAACCTGGGTCAACATTCGGCATTATAAGGGAAGCCAAAGGCCCATCAGACTAGGTAGCACCTCAGCCCTGAGGGGAGGAGGTTGTATCTTAGGCGCGTGGGACTTGATCCATCCGCAGATGGGCAATGCAGTCTGTACTCAGGCGCATCATTTGCAGTCGTCAGTATTCAAAGTTAATGCAGCAATTATATGAATTTGAATGGGCTCTATTGCATTGTTTCTGGTGATCCCTTGAAAGTGTTCGCCATCTCACTGATTGATGAGAAACCTACTTGCAGTGCTGGCTGCCACTGATAAACAACCAAGCGAACCGCAAACGCACCACAAAGAGTCCTGGAACCTGCTGGAAACTCTGCAACTTTGTCATTCTCTGGATTTGGACCCACCTGACAATCAAAACAAACATCGCGATCTCTGCCCCGCTTCCTTTTCTTCTCTTCTCCCACACACAACCTACTCTCAGCTTGTCCCGTCACTGCTCGCGGTGACATGACAACTAAGTGCTCAGGCTCACGATAGACGTCAGGTCTATCCTTCTTTTTCGTTACGCTAGATAGGGGTTCTGTCTGAAGCTCTGTCAGAAAGGACGACTGAGCATCAGTCGATCGTCAAAGTCGAAGCCTTGGTGGTGCGGTGCCGCGAATGCGACCGTTGTTTTCTTTGGTTCGCCAAAGATCGATCCGAGGTGAAACCCGAGACGTTAGGCCGGTGCGACGGAGTCCAGGACGGCGGAGTCGAAGATCGTTGGGAGCTGCGACACTCAACCGTTGACGTTGACCTGGGTTTTTTTTTACCTGCGGAACCGTGAATTCGGCCGTCTGCTTATCCAGGTCTAACTGAAACGTTAGAGTCGTTGCAGAGGAAAGGAGAAGGAAGAAGAAGAAGGCTCTCGCCATGTCGCAACCAGAGAGAAGCATCGAGGGCCCAGCCCAACCCACCGTGGCCACCAAGTCGAAGTCCACTGATTGCGCCCTCCTGTGAGTGATTCACGTCGCAAACATGGACCTCACTGACTCACTGTCTAGCCTCGACGAGTCCGGCCCCGTTATCGCCAGCGGGAAGCGCCTAGCCCTGTCAACAAAACTTCGCTCCAAGTTCTTCTTGGTCGCCCCGGCCGACGCAGACCCTTGGTTCGGTTTCACGCTGGATTTCCCTTTGGGCCAGGATCAGGCAGCGAACGAAGATTCCGGCTTTGGTATCCGTCACGAAGGTAAGTTCTAGATGTGTTTGAGCTACCTGTCCACCCACAGAGCCAGCTAACAGAGTGTTTTTAGTTCAGAGAGCCTCGGGAGACGCGGTGGTACCCGTTGATAACCACAGGCTCACCATTAGGTTCCCTCGCGGCGGGTTCCAGACGATCGTCGAAGATGCGACATTGCCGCTGATGAACCGATTCCCCAACGCCAAGCGTCGAGATCACGGTATGACGGTCCTCAAAGTCGTCATCGGTGATGCTTCGGTATCGATCCAGGGGTTTGGATACCCATTCGCCAACGTCGACGACCTCGAGGTTGAGGGATGGGTGAACAATAAGCCCATCGTCGATGGCCACACCCTGATTGACATCTTGCGAAGCAAGCGGTTTGTCTTCGTGTTGCCCAAGCCTGTCGCCGCCGCCGCCCATACCTTCAACCCGGACCGCCTTCCTGCGCCGTTCAGCTATCCATACGGCCCCAATCAGGAATGGAACCTCCCGCTGTACAGGGCGCTGATCGCCCAGAACAAAGGGCACCGATTCATTCCAGCGTTCCGGTAAGATTATCGATGCCCTTGGTTGACAAAGCGACTAACCTCCTGTCTAATGGCACAGCCACCCCGACGACCTCTCTCACATCACCTCGGTCGTCCAAGCCGCCGTCCAGGACGTCTTGTGGATTGACGACGCAGTCAATGAGGTACTAATCTGCTTTCATACCAAGTTGCGAACGTGGAATTAACCCCTTTGCTAGATCTTAGCCATCAGATTCCCGGCCTACTTCGTGAGCCCCGAGACCAGTGCCTCCGAGCCCCGTGCCGTCGAGGGCATCAAACAGTTCTACATCGTCGTCGCTTTGACCCCGCAATTCCGCACAGAGTACGACTCCGCATGGCGCCGTCTCATCAAGGCTGAGGGTTTCCGCGTCCGGCTCTTCAACTCACATGAGTCATTGAGCCCCCACGAGACCTGGTACGAGTCAACAAGGAAGTGTCTGAGAGATGACTGGTTGCTAACAGTCAGCAGGAACTGCAAGATCGTCGAGTATCCCAGCAATCTCAGCGCCCTCAAGCCTCATCCGGTCCGAAAACATGAGCTAGTCCTGTGCGCTCGACGACCCACGAGGGATGAGTTCCAGAAGAAGCAGCCATACGAAGTCAAGATGTTCCCCGACCGTACAGCAGCGGACCATGCCCTGGCCGAAGACCAAGAGCAGTAGAACTGCCTCGCCCTCGAGTTTGATGCCCAGTTGAATGAGTGCAAGCGACAAGTTGACGCAGCCCATCTCTTCCATCCCGAGGCCGACCCATCCAATATTGTTTCCTGTGGCCTACCTGAGGATCCAGAGACCGGCAAGCTTCCTGAGGAGCTAGACACAGAGGATAAGAGTCTTCTGGACAAGGTACGGGACCGTATGGATCTGCACAGGGCCCTTCTACGAGGGAACGGCTTCTATGACTGGATGGTGAAGCCTGATCCACGAAGCACCAATGCGCCTCCTATGCTGCGAGCCCTGCCCAGCATCAACTTCCTCGACATTGAGGATAAGGCATACGCCAATGCCATCGTCGCCGAGGCTCTGCCTCAAGATCAGGCCCGCTTCCGCGGGTACCTCAGTAACCGCCCTCTTGGACTTGGTCTCATCGTAGCTGTATGTACTCCCTTTTCCCATACTCCTCCTATCCTTTTCCTATTCTTTTCGTATACTTTTCATATTCTCTTCAACTCCTCCTCTCATCATTTTCTAACTATGCTAACTGTCTCTTCTAAGGGCCCCGGTTTTGGCAAGACGACCGCTGGAGCTGCTGCCACCCTCGCGATGCACGCAAAGCTCGGCAAGATCCTCTGCTCGGCGCCCACCAACGTCGCCGTCGACAACTTTGCGAGTCGACTCGATACAAGAACCCGCACCGTCGTCGAACGTTACAACAGGGGATTACAGGGAGGCCAACCCCGTCGCAGGCACACCTTCGTTGTTCGTGCCTACAGACCCGAGCACGAATCCGTCGCCTTCAAGAGGCTACTTCAGGACTCGCGTATCAGTGATGGCGCCGCTCCCAAGCCTTTTGCTCGCCGACCCTCCAAGTGGAGACTGCATTTGTCGTGTGCATTCTGGCTTCTGGTCTTGCTCCGCTCTCCTGCCGTGAGGGGGTTGCACCCAGACGATAGCCCGGTTCTTCATGAGATGCAGCAAGCCATCCATGACCATGACAGCACAGTTCTCCTCCGCGATGTTGCCACAGGTGCCATCACCTGGGAGCAGTTCAAGGAGGCCGATGGCTACACCAGGGCCATGACGGTGGCCAATGATCTGCTGGCTTACATTCCAGATCAAGCAGACTTGCTGTGCACCACGCCCTCTTGCACCGAGACCGTCAAGCAATATCGGCAGTGGAAGAACAGCGTGGCCCGGGGTGTCTCCATCGACGAAGCTGCCAACATGCATCGCGCCGACCTCTACTGCGTTTGGGGCAATACCCTTCTGCCTTGCTTCCTCTTTGGCGATCCCAAGCAGCTCTCTCCCACCGTCATGACGAACAGCGAGCAGCACAAGGCGGTTCTTCATCGCGACGACGAAGGCGACGTCGACATGGAAAGTGAGCAGAATCCTGTCGGCTTCCTCAACCGCTTCGCCATGGATGGCAAGATTTCTGCTCTGCAATACTTGCAGGGCAACGGCATCCCGGTCTACCGCCTCAAGACCCAGCTTCGCATGGCCAAGGGGATGTTTGATATGGCCGCCAACGTCATGTACCCCGACGTCCCTTTCAACTACGACTCCAGCCGCGAAGTCATCGGCAACGCCGAGTTCCAGATCGGTCGAGACCTCGAGGCTTTTGCCCAGGTCAGGTTCCCTGAGCTAGCGGCATGCCCCGTGGGCACCCTCAGGCCCTTCTTCATCCACTGCGAAAAGTCACGAGTTTACGTTGATCAAATGACTGGATCGAGGATGAGCGTCGACCAAGTCAGGATCGCGCTAAACTTTGCCGCAGAGTTCGTCAAGTCCAAGAAGGCCGACCCTGGGAGGATCGTCGTCATTACGCCTTATTTCGCCAATGCCCAGCTCATCAACATCATGATGAAGCGGCCCCAGTACGCGTGCCTCTCCGGCATGCAGGAGGCTATGACGATTGATTCGTTCCAGGGGCAGGAGAACGACATCGCTATCGCCATCATGACGACCGCGCACCCCTACCCTGGCCCGGGCTTCACAGCTGAGGCCCAGCGCCTCAACGTCATGCTCACACGGCACAAGTGTGGGCTTGTCATCGTTGGTGACATCTATGTCGCCCGTGCGGTAGAGAGAAGCGATAAGAAGAAGGGGAAAGGAGCAGTCGCCCGGAAGCAGATCCGTTTTGAGGGCCCCGGCGGCGAGATCTTCTTCACCAGGGCGACGGCGCTTCGGGAGCTCTACAAAGAGCTGCATGCTTCTGGTCGGGTGGCGACGGTGGAGGCGCAGGACAAGGAGGCTGGGGAGATCAAGGAGGAGAAGCAGGACTAGGTCCGATCGAGCTGGGAACTGACGCCGTGGACGACAAAAGCATCAAGGGGGTCCTCTAAAAATTAGATGAGGCCTTGGTAGTTTTATGTAGAAATTTGACAAAGCTTGAGCGCAATAAGGACAAAGATGTTCATAAATACAAGTAATACTTAGAGTAGCAAGAACAAGAGGTCGTCTTGGCTTAGGATGAGATGTCAGAACGACGATAATTTCACTCAAAACTTATAACAAGGAATGCCAAACTTGCTCATAAATTGAAGGGAATTCTTGACTGTTTTAGGGTTCAGCAGTCTGGCACATAAGTCAACTTCAAGACGCAACCCGGGAGCAGACTATGTAACAAGAACTTGATCTGGCACGAGAACATGACTGTGGGAGGAAACGCCGCAACCATCGAGGGACTGGTGATGAACAACGATCGAGAGTTTCCAGGTGACGAGAAACTCATTGAGACATGGCGGCGGGAGCACGCCCGGCTGGGAGAAAGGTTCGCATCCGCACCTCTGACCCTCACACTTCCATTCGAGGAACCCGGGCGTTCTCATTCCGAGTTTTCGATATAGTAGACGCACAAATCCAAAGAGCACACCCATTTCTATTGGAGATCTCCTACCTTGGGACACTTGCCATCCTGAAGGAGCTGGGCGGCCGAGTTGATGTCTTCCTGTGGCAATACCCCTACAATCTGATTCCCCTGCAGGCAGCGTTCGTCTACAAGCGACTCAAGGATTTGAACGTTTGTGAACCGTGAGCGCTTTATGGCAGCGAATACCCTCATCGTAGCTCAACTCGAGCCAGCTTCTGCCGCCGGGATCAGGTGCATTCGCCGGGGCGACAAACGAGGGCCGTGACCGGAGACGAGCGGTCCCTGGGGCCGAAGTCGGCGAGTCTAGGGTAGCTCTGTCAGTCGGAACCTCGAGAAATAGGACATGGGGAGCCCATTCTTTTCGCAATATCTTGCATAAAACTAGAGCTAATATCAATCAGACACTATGGTTCTTCAAGTTTCGACGTCTCCTATAAGGGAAAAATACTCGGTTGGGTTGTTCGCGACGCATTGGACTTTAAGAGTCTCATGCGGAAGTTCACTAAAAGCCAGCCATCAGACCAATGCTTTATTGCAGGCATGCTTAGCAGACTGATCTGCCCCACCTACCCCGCGTTCATTGGACGATAAGTCTTCTGATAAGATAAGGCTTCTCTGATAAGACACTTGTCACGTGATACTACCGCCTCGACAGCACGTGGTCCGAGCTCCCGGTCTGACTGCCTCGCGACGATGCTGTAGTTATTCGCAGCGAAGAGTGCAGAGTAACAGTCATCGTCTGGACTCCTGAGTGAAGCCCTGAATCCGCAGCCAATCCAAGTCTCCCAGGCCATATGCGGCCAGTCCTTGAGGCTTCGTTTCTCGACTCCCTGCTCTTCCTTCCCGCGCGAAATCGTGATCTCAACTCCGCTGCATTGCTCAAGCCCGTCATCTCAAGCGTCATTTCATCCCAGCCGGCTTCCAGAGTCCTTTTGAGTTCTTTCGCCATGGCCTTTGACTCCACAAAGGCCACGTATTCTCGCCAGCTCTGTCTCCATTTCCCCGTCACGATCGAAGCCCTAGGATCGCTGCACTGGCGTCGCATCAGATACCTAAACGCTCACGAAGGATTACACACTTGTGCCGATTCTGTCAGCCAGGCTGCGTAACACGAAGGATAAGATACCACCACTTCGAAACACACCTCTTCCCCTGGCACTAAGCAATGGACTCCAGGAGGCCCGGAGCATGTCGCACAGAATACGGTGTGTTACAGCATTGGGCTTTGGTGTTGCCGTGTGTCCCTTAGTGTGTTTTTGATCATATACGTCATTGACAAAGCAGAATGTCGCACAGAACATCTAACACTGACACGAACCCATTGCGCCTCACTCATGATGCTTCAACCCGTCTCCGTGAGCCCACAAATCGCACCATCTTCCACCACAATACCTCTCCGAGATATGTGTCATGGAGTCAGAGCAACTCAAGTAAGTGTATACAATAGAGCCGCCTCTTGAAGGGTAACCTGGGCGGTGCAGGTGTTGGTCAGCAGTCGCCAAGGCGGACTAGCCTAGTGTATGATCGTCATATCCAATCTGCCTGGGGCGCATCTATGCATATGAGGAGGCTTACTCGCAGATCTTCCTGCCCTGCAATTCGTTCCTTGGTTGTGCGGCAGTCAGCCCGGCTAGCCATGACTTGTCTTTCAAAATGTGGCGCAGCCCTTTGCAACTGCAAGCCATGTTTCGAATAGCAGCCCACACCAATCCTACGCGCAGAAGAGAATGGCCAAGGCCAGCTGAACAGCCTTGATGCAGGTATGTTGATCGGGGCAGCACATAAAATAGACACCCAGAGCCCGATATGCACACAGCCTCTAGAGAACGGTTGTATTCTTCAAGGTGACTCTCCCCCACCTCTTGATGAGTTGCCCTCACTCCGCTTGTATTCCCAACCTCACACTCCGCCCTAGAATATCACTATGGCCTCTTACGAAGCAGTTAGCGACATGCAAGTCTCGCCCATGGAGAGCCCAAGAGGTTCCTTGGAACCAGGTCGCGATGCTCCTCTACGATATGAAGCCCTCCCCAGCGATGAGACAGAGCCCAAGCCCGACTCCGAAGACCCTGTGCCCCCCTCGATCTCGATGCCGATTTCTCTCAAGCCCCGTACCAGGAGTCAGCACCTGTGCGACAAGATTGGGTACAGTGGACTGCTTGTTCTCGTACTTGGTAGCGCTGCCATCCTCGTTTCCTCCGCCATTCTTGTCTTCCTTTGGGCTGGAGCCGAGAACTCTCGGAACCGCCGCCGATACCCAAAATTCTGGGATGGCATCGTCTTTAACGATTGGTCAACTCGGGTTGTCACGATATGCTCTGCTATCATCCGCATATCGCTGACCTTTCAAATCGGTTTCATCACTGCAGCCATGTCAGCAATCATGCTTGAGGCATCCAGATGCCGATTTCGCGACCTAGCTACTCTCTCTTTGCAAAGAGCCTCGAGCACCAATGCCAGCCCTTCAAACATTCTTCCAGCAGCTCTTAGGCAATGCGACACAAGTGGCCTCTCTGGCTTCTGCTGCTTCTTGCTTCTTTCAAGTGCATTTGCCGTCGCCCTCGTGTCGACATTCACCTCTACGATTCTCCTTTCCGACTTTGGAACAGCCCGCATCACAGCCCCAAGTATCACAGAGACCATTCCAATAGGGATAAACTCGACATTTTATGACCGTTTTGAAGAATTTGAAATTGGTATCCCGTCTTGCTTCAAGTCAAGGCCCTCCGCACACTGGCGATTTGCGGAAGTCAAAACAAGCCAAGCTTCCTCGGCAGAGCTTGGGGATACGGGAGATGTCTACCGAGCCATGCTCCCGTTTAGTAGCCCGGAAGCCAGGGCCTCTTTGGAGTACTACTCTGGTCCTGGGTTAGTCAATAACCACAGAACCGTTTGTGTCAGCCCAAAGTTTGAGTTCCTGAGTCTTAGCTTCACTGACACTTCGGGAGGAAGGAATTTGGGAGGGAGGCTGTCTGCTGAGGTTCAAAACTCGAGTTTCGGACCCGTACTGATGGGCTGCTCTATAGAGAGGACCTGGTACGGAGATGGAGATTGGCCGCTCTTGACATGCCGGTTATACGATTCCTTATCTGGATCAGTCGACTTTCACTCAGTACACACTGAAGACAAACTATCCGGACGTAAATATCTTTTCTCCCCGATCATGCTTATCAACGCGAGTGCAGCCCTCCAGATATCCCGTGGGACCACATATTACCTTGGCGAACCTATACCCAATCTTACCACGACAGACGAGTATACAAGCAATCTTACCACGAAAACAGAAGGGCTATGGACAAAAGTTTATACTTTGAATGGAACCCCGGTTCTGAACGCCACTGTCTGCTTTGTCAATACAAAATCGCTGCCAATTTTTAATATTACAATGTCTGGGCGGCCCATCCCATCGGAACCTGCAGTTGACTGGCATCGGCTCTTGAGCAAGAAAAATAGCACGGGACATCTACAGCAGATTGGCATCGGTCTTTCGGCTGATAGTTTTGCAAGCCGTGGGATTTTAGAGCTTCAGACTCAAACCAGCATCATACCGCTAGAGGACATGGGCGGTGAGGACATTTGGGCCTTCTGGGCGCATGAGCTTCTTCTTCAAGCTGCACTGTCCGAGGAGAACCCTTACCAGAGCTGGAATCTAGTGACCAACGTCACATCTTCGGGCATGTTTCCGTTGACTGCGCACCCAGAGAACTCTGCCCTTGTTCAGAAGGTTTTACAGGTGACGCAAGATCCGGCACAAGCCATTCATGCATTAGCCTTTCGGTTCTCTCAGATGCTCTATTACGCTCACCAGCCAAGGTTCACTATCAGACGACCCATCACAACAATCAACACTTCCGAGATGCTTATCCCGACTCAATGGACCGGCCTCTCCATCGTGCTGACGACACTTTCAGTTCATTTCATTGTTCTTGTTGTTACAACGGTCTTGTTTGTACTCTGGACCAAGGCTTCGTTGTTGGGTAACGCTTGGCAGGCGGTCTCGCAGATGGTCTCGCCTCAGACGAGAGAGGTTATGGATACACCTAGCGTCGATACCATGCGCGATAGTGATGTGGAGGAATGGGCCAGGGTTACAGGTCGTGATTTGCAGGTATATCATTCGTCACGCTCTGGTGATCTAGGCCGAACAGAGATACGTCTGCGTTAGGGGTTGGGGCGGATAGAACTCTACGTCAGATATAACAAGTCGTACGGCGAAAGAATATATCAAAGCAGTCGTTTTAGCGTCTCCAATGTTCCTCTATGGATCGATGCCTTGCGCTAGATGTCTTAGCGTATGGACTGGAATCCATCAGTTCTGGGGAGCGATCGCAGAGCCTCTGGAACTCCTGGCTTTCTTGACCTGGCAACGCTTCGAGGGCTTCTGTTGGAGAATTTGGTGGGCATGGGTTTAGGTATCCCCTGATGCTTATCGACTGGCTCGCAGTCCGAGGATCAAATGCGGTCGGAGGAACGCAGAAGAGAGTTATGAAGAAGTGTACCTGGCAGTGGCAGAGCTGCGTGACTTTCCTTAACATCATAAGAATCAGCCAACAGTTTATCGTGAAATAATTTTCCTCCCTCGGAACCTTTGTGTCGTCTTTCGCAAGAATTGGTGGCATCAACACGGGTGCCTTGTTACCAAACCAATATTGTGTCACATCCAACATTCGTCCATGCGACCTTATGCACTATTGACCGACCATGCTCTCGCAGACTGACAGCGATGTCATCGAAAAACTAGACTAGAATGCTCTCGCAGACATTATATTCTTTTTATCGCAGTACCTAATCATATCTCAAGCAGAACCATTCTTCCCTGGTCCTCCTCAACGACACTGCCATCCGAAGCGGCATCGGCCATGTTCGTCACGGTATCCTTGTTTTCTTAATCACACTTGGTCATGTGCAATAGCAGAGAACCCACTAATTAACACACAGCAGCATTAAAACCCCAATGCTGGAAAACACCGCAAGTATGTCACGGTATTCCTCACTTTCATGTCGTTTGTGCTGACTCTCATTGCTTCCTAGAAGTCTCTCAGTCGGGTCAAACACATTCCTGCCATCCTGCCATCCTGCCATCGAAGCTGGTCGCCACCTAGCACCCACCGTCGACTTCCCTTTCATTCGACCCATCGATTCAGCGCACTGAAGAACAATCGTCACGTTATCACGAGAGGGTGGCTCACACAAGTAGCTGCAATATATCCCACTTTGTGAAGACGTGGATCCATGTTCACGTTTTACAATCACAGCAAAGACAAGTTTGGTGCAAGATAACAACGCCATTATTCAGCCCGAAGGGCGTTTTACTCAGTCAGAAAAAAAGAGCATAAAACTTTTTCTGATTGGCTAATTGGCATGGTCTATGCTCAACTCGTGCTTGAATTAGTCAATTATTAACGCTAACGACGCCACTACATGGGAAAGCCCGCGATCGTTGACTAGGTAACGCTTTTGGCAAGCTCTCCAGGAGCTTTAAGGTTGTCCTTCAATCAACTCTGGCCTCCAAGCGCGATTCTGGCCGGAGCACCGACATGGCGTCTGCTTTCCCTTTGCCGTCAAAACTATTATCCACCAAACCTTACGAGGTTACTAACGACGTCTCGGCTCACGTATCACCTGCCTCCGGTCGAGCGGTGAAGTATCCCCTCCTTCCCTGATCGTTCGAACCTAATCAAAACACCCTACAGATAACCTCCCATATCGAGATCTATTACGCTACGGTATATCTAAGCAAACCCTCGCTGCCTAAGCGGTACCTACCCGGTCGTCTGCATAGGTAAGAGGCGGATAATAATATATGTAGCCGGATAGAGAATAATATACCCCAGGCAGTTTGGAACTGCCATACTTGCAAGCAAGACCTACCCGAGGTTAAGTTTTAAAGCATTAAGGACCCTATGAGGCTTACGAGATAGTATAGTAGCTATAGGGCACGCTAAAAGGAGCGAATGGCCGAATCCCGAGCCGCCGTTGCCGCCATACGGAACATCGCCTCGAGGCTATCGCCGCGCAGAACGACGAAGAGGACCGATTCTCAGGCTCAATTAACGCCTCCACGGCGAAACGCGTAAGCGCTCATGTCTATTAATAGCTCACAACCCCCTGCAACGCCTACTATATTCCGTGGTCTAGCGCCCGTCCTCCAGGGACTACCTAGACCTCTGCTAGGCCTATCTACCTTAAGCGCAGCGGAAAGAGCCCTCCCTATCCCTCCCACCTTAAGCCCGCTAAGAGTAGTTCTAGGCACGCCGATTCCTAGTGACACGACCACAACGGCTCCTATTATGCTAGGCACGCCTATGCCACAGGAATCGTTCCCTACCACTGCTTCATTACTGCCACAGGGTCATCGCCGCGGCCGCTATATACGTCAAGGCATCGTGAACCAACGGCCACGGCCATAGCTTCAAGAACGACAGTTTAATCAGATAGTTAATCCACCTTTTACAGGGGACCTTAATTTGCCTGCCCTTAGTGAGGAGGATTAGGCGCTTATGCGGGAGTTCTATACTACCCTGAATGACGACAAGATACATAGTTACATTCGCTGCCGGGAGCATTAGTTCGATATAAAGAAAAACAGCTTAGGAGTCTACAGCCGCTGCATTAATCGAGATAGGGAGAGAACCGCTAACGAGCCCTACTTCTTTAGCGCTACGAATAGCCTTAACTTCAGGGAAGTCCCCGGTAATCTACCTAGCCTAACGATAGTTAAGGAGATACTAATTACTAGGGTTCACGTACACGTGAAGGTCCTACAGGTACGTAGCTCTCAGTATAAATACCGCGGCCATATTGTCCACTTCCTTCGCAATATTGGTAGGCTATTTGAAGAGCTCCCGGTCCTACCTAAAGAGCTAGATATTATGCTCCTGCGGCCTCCTAATATAGAGGGCGACCCTCACTTCTAGCAGCAGTTTACTCGCGATTTCCGGGTATGCCGCTCATGCCTATTGACCTAGCTACATTACCTATAGCGCCACCACCCGGGCTATCGCGATATCGTTGTAAGGCAGGATCGCTTATAACGGCTTCCTCTTAACGGCAGCATAGTTGCTTCCGTTGCTAGCTAAGTGGCTGATATACCTAACGGCGAGGCCCCCTAAGGTCCCGTTGAGGAGGATATAGAAGAGGATCCAATAGATACAGATACATCGGCGATCCCCGATTTGCAGGTTACAGACACCGAATTAAATGCCCTGTAGTCCTGATTGCTTTATAGTACCCCTAACCCTAAGCGTATAGCCGATCTTGAGTATATACCGCCTAACGCGCAGGCTCAACACTAGATGCCACTACCTTCCATTCGCAGGACTCCTATCAACGAATTTAACCGTTCCTAGCCGCTATTGATGCTCGCGTTCCCTACCCTCTACCCCGACGGCAAGGCAGACTTCGTAGAGCCTCGCCTACGAAGCGTCATATACCAAGACTACCTTGCCTATGCGATGAGATGGCAAGACGGACGTTTTGCCCGGCATAAGACATGGCCTTTTATCGCCCTCAACACGCTATTACGTGCGCAGGTCAGAAAGCGGAGCAACTACTCGGTCAAGCAACACGAAGGCCGCCGCCGTTAACCCCTTATGCGCGCTAACATAGAGGAAGCGATGGCTAAGCCTGACGAGCCAGAGGCTCAGGCCCTAATCCAGTCGATCACGCGCCAAGCCGCCGTAATCAAGGGCACCCATCCATATTAGTATAAGCAAAGGAAGGAATTAGAGGCATGTGCCTACAATCTAGGCAGGCCTGGCCTTTTTGTTATAGCAAGTGCGGCTGATTACCACTAGGAGTCCTTATATCGTTATATGCCTCGATTCCAGGAGTGGAAAGCAGCTCCTAAGGCGGCGCGAATAGCTCTATCCCGGCAACTACTGCGAGACAACGCCCATATTGCCGCTTATCACTTCTATAAGCGATATACGCTCTTTAGGACTATTATCCTAAGGCAGAAGTTTAACCTAATGGACTTTTGGGGTCACTATGAGTAGCAGGGCAGGGGTTCTAGTCACTACCACGGCCTATATTGGCTAAGTGGCCACCCGGACTTAGATCCCAATGATAGCTAGTCCCGGGAGCGATTTGCCTGAATCTAGGGATATCACGTATCCGCTATTAACCCAGAGCCTCAGAGGGTGCAGGCACCTAGGGAAGGGAATCCCTTAATTAGTAATCTATTGGAATATCCCCTTACCGTCTAGTTCCTATCGATAGTAGTAAACCGCGTGCAGCGCTATCGCTGCAATAACTACTATATGCAGCTCAGCAAGCATACTAAGCAGGTGGAGTACCGCTTTGGATTTCCTCACGGGCAGCGCCTACTAGCCTCCCTTGAAAAGGTTCCTCATTCTAAGCACTGGAGCTTTAGGGGCGAGCGGAACGATAGCCAGATGAACCACTATAACCGCTTACTTGCCGTTGCGTGGCTAGCCAATATAGATATCTCACCCTGCACGAGCCTGCAGCAGGTGATCGATTACGCAGCTAAATACTACTCCAAGTCGGAGAAGAAGAGTAAGTCTTTTGCCCAGATTGGGAAGGCCCTGATGCCCCGGGTCAAGGACCATAACCCGCTGATTTCCTTCACGTCAAAGCTCCTAAATCAGCTAGTTACTAAGCGAGACTACTCGAAGCAGGAGGTTAGCTACTTACTCCTCGGTCTACCGTTACAAGAGGGCTCACGAACCTGCTTACACATTGATTGCCGTAATCCTGATATGCATTCCCGCTCTTTACGGATTAACGCCGATGAGGTTAACGAGGCCCCTAATGTCTACGAAAAGTACTATTAACGCCCCGAATCCCTAGAGGACCTAACCTATGTTTCCTTTCTCAAATACTAGAATTTCTACTCTAGGGACCCTTCCAAGTGGAAGCAATAGCAGCCAGCCAACGTCAACGGCAGGCCGCGTGTATTAGTCTACTTTCCTCGCTATTAGGCTAATCTAGAAGGCCAATAGTGGCCAGAGTACTACCGCGTAAAGCTAGCATTAAACTACCCATATCGTCGGCATAATGAGCTCCTTATATTTAATGGCTATCGTTTTAATTCTCACGCTTAGGCCTTCTCCTATTATTAGCAGCACCATAGTCATAGTAATAACTATTACGGCCGGCCAAAAGAAGTTCGATTATAACCTCAAGAGGATCAATACGAGGCTCTGCTAGTAGAGGAGGAATTTAATGACGAAGACTGGATCCGTCTCGCCGCCCTTTTACCTAACAACCCCCTTACCTAGGAAGGTCTTAACCTACTTAGCCGCCGCGATATCGATGTTAATTACGACTGGACACGGCATATGGGCACTTATTCAGAGTTTCGAGACAGCTACTAGAAAGACCTTATCGCTAGCAACCCTATAGCCAACGATATGGAGGTCCTTGGCCCTCACTGGCGTGATCAGCTTAACCCGCAATAGCGGTTAGTATACGATACCTTCATAGGTTACTTCCAGGCGCAAAATCCTACTCAAATCCTTCTCCACATTAACGGCGGCGGTAGCACAGGCAAGTCCTTCCTTATCAAGGTGCTTTCCTCCCACCTTTAGGCGGCTACCCTGCCGAATCCTAGCCCTATTTGCCGCGTAGCGCCAACAGGCGTTGCGAGTAACCAGATATAGGGCAGCACCATATATTCACTACTCCGTCTCCCAGTAGGCGGTGCCTTTACCGAACTTCGCCTAGCTAACGCTACTGCCCTTCAGTCCCGCCTACGGCACGTTAGGTACCTCGTTATCGATGAAAAGAGCATACTAGGACTTAAGCAGCTCGGGCGAATTGATTCTCGCCTGCGACAGGCCTTTCCACAGCGTAGCCTCGAGTTCTTTGGTGGTATGAGCGTCTTACTTATGGGCGATTTCTTCCAGCTACCACCCGTCCGACAAAAGCCGCTATATTCAACCGCTAGCACTAGCCTGTCTTCGTTGGAAAAGAGAGGACAGGTGGCCTACCGGTTGTTTAACCGCACCGTCTTCCTGACCACGGTATAGCGCCAGACTGGTGATAATCAGGCCCGGTTCCATCAGGCATTACAAGAACTACGTGAAGTCAAGTTATCTATACCCTCCTGGAACCTCCTCAGCAGTCAAGTGCAGGCCAAGCTAACGCAGAGCGAGGTTAACAGATTCAAGGCTGCTATGCGGGTATATTCCATAAAGGCCCGGGTCAACGAATATAATTACGAGCATATAGTGCACCTCAACGCCCCGGCAATACAGGTGGAGGCAAAGAACCTAGGCAAAGGCGCGGGGCAGGCGCCAAGCGACCATACTGGCAATCTATCCAATAAGTTTGCTATTGCTAGAGGTACCAGGGTAATACTCACAACTAATTTATGGCAACCAGCTGGCCTGGTTAATGGCGCCCAGGGTACGATATATAATGTCGCTTGGAATAAAGGCGCCAACCCGTAGCAAGATCCCCCGGACGTTATCATAGTGGACTTCGATAACTACGACGGACCGCCGTATCTGACAACTAACGAGGGCAAGAAAATCGTACCCATCCTTCCCGTCACGCGTGATTTCCTAGTGGGCAACGAGACCTGCTCTCGCACCCAGTTTCCCCTAATCATGGCATTTGCTATCACTGTTCACAAATGCCAGAGCCTAACGAAGGATCAGATAGTTACTAACCTCGCTATACGCGACTTCTAGGCCGGTATTAGTTATATTGCAGTATCACGAGTTACCTCATTGCAAGGCCTACTCCTCGAGGCGCCTTTCGACCATCAGAACCTCTATAACCACACGCCCACGGAAGGTTTATACGCCTGCGTTTCCTACGTACTGCGATTATAGCTAACTACAACGTAGGGATAAAGATGCGCCTTGCTGACCAACGACGCCGTCAGGCTCAGCAGCTAATTGATCCGCCATATCCACCACGGTACATTAACTAAACGACGTTTTCCTATAAGCTACAGGGAAGGGGGAACTCGATATACAGTATATAGTTGATTGGGCCTAGAAGGAAGTGGTAGAGGGACCCCTATGTCTATCAGTCAACTCCCTTACTACAGGTTTGAAGTGGTTCTGATAGCTGGTTATCGCCACAGTCGAAAGGGGGCCTCCCAGAAGAGTTTAATAGCAGGTAGACGGTATTTACCCTTCGGGCTGAATATTCAGCCGTTAAGCCCCTTGCCTTGGCAACTTAACGGGTGTTCGAAGTATTTTATTCCCATGTAACCCCCTTTGACCCATAAATCTATATCCCAGTCAAAAAAAAGAAAAGAAAAAAGCATAAAACTCCGCTATATTCGCTTCCTTTTCTATTCCCATTCCCATTTGACTTCCCATATCCCATCATCCATCCGCCCAGTCCCTTGACAACACCATTTACAAAAGACAACAGAAAAAGACAACAACACCAACCCAGATCACTAATCCACAAACGCCCAGAGAACAGAGGGGGGAAAAGGAGACGCCAAGCAGTCATCAACGATGCTTTTTCTTTCTTTGGTGATTCTGCAGGTCCCCTTTGCTCTTGTAGGTCTTGTCGCAGGGGGGTGAGAGATTTTGCTCCATAACCCTCAAGTCAATCCGCTGTTAACAAATGGACACACTTCTCTTGGATTACCAGCTAATCTTGCACTGGAGTAAATATCCTTGGCCTGATCTGAATTGGTCTTCCCCCGTGAGTCTGTGTCTATCCAACCCAGCAGCACATAGCTATCCTCTATTTAATCCATGGGTTAAACATCTGTGTAGACTAGCATCGGCCATAATTTTTTAGCTAAAGTCGCTGGTAAATTTGCAAGTAAAAGCCAGAGTTTAACAAGGGATACATCTCGCAAAGACGGTTCACAAAATTTCTCTATCTCAAACTCCAAAGGCAAATCTGCTAAATTGACTTGTGCTAAACTATTTCAACCATGGCCCAAGTTGGACCAGCGAAGCAGTTGGCTGCATATGTCTCCGGGCAGGTTGTCCCTTCCCTCCCTGACCTCGGCGTCTCCCAAACTGACACTAGAGACACAGAAGCCAACATACTACAACCTCAAGGACAAGTCTCAGTGACGCCGAATCTTATATCCCGACCAACTCCCCATCCGAGCGTATCTCGAGCACGCTGACGGCTTGGACCTGCCTCCCGAAACAATAGACCAACCCCTCGCTCCTTCCCAGTCCAGCTCACATGGACACCTCACTCGGCTTCTGTCGCACCGGCTCTTCCAGCTCGTTTTTTCTTTTCTCCTCTCTTGTAAATTATCTCAACAAGAAGACGCGCTGTCACTGAGCGATACAACCAGGGCAGGCAGCTAAGTGATCTAACCCCCCGTCGCCAGCACCTGTTCGTCCTCTGTAGCTATGAGCCCACCGATGAGCCCGTCGATGAGGCCATCGCCTTCCGCAACCTTCTTTGCAAGCTCTAGGATGGTAACAAAGCGGCTCCTGGCCACTTCTGGACGCTACCATCTAAGTGGAAGCTGCACTTATCCTGTGCGTTCTGGTTCTTACCTAGTCTTGCTGCGATCTCCCCACGTCTGAGAGCTTCACCGGGACGGCAGCGACGCGTCTCTTAACCCACACTCGACCTCCTCAACTCTTTGTTCAACTCCTCAGAAATCCGGCGCGGTCTTGGGATTCCTCCGTTCTATGGTTGCAACCAGACCTACCTCCGCCTCTCCCGCTTCCACGTCCTCCCTCCTCCATGCCATCCTAAGTCTCTGCCGGTCCATCCTACAGTTTATTCAATCCCAACTTTTCTCGGCCCAATGTTTCAGACAGATCGACAACAGTTGTCCTTGTCTCCGAAGGCATAATGGCTTTTATCGTGTGTTCAGCCTCTCACTTGCTGCTTCTAGTCCCAGGCGCATCCTTAGACAAGACTAAAAGACCTCGATTTGCGTCTCTCTCGCCCGTCCGCTTGTTTGTATCCCACAGACTCGAGAAGAAACAGCGCGTCGAGGACGAAAGCGAGTAAAAGGACGACGGCAGCGACAACCACTACGAAGATGACGACTGGCTCGATTCCACAGATTTTGCTGGGCTCGACGGGCTCGAAGAATTCGACACACTCAAGAGCCAGGATGAAGGCGTCGATATCAAGGACCTTCTTGTCGACAACGAGTCCGACACCGTAGGTCGTGCAGACGACTTGACGCCAGCTGAGTTCGAGTACTACCTCACCATCAAGGTGTGCCGACAGGAGAGGTTCTTCTACCCCTACCACGTGCTCCCAAGAAGTCAAGCTGAGGCATACGGCTCGCTGGAATTGGTGGGCTATGACCGTACTTTACATGCAACCGCCACGCCGAGGAAGCTCATGTCTGCACCGATGTTTTGGATGATCCACTACTTCTGCAACAAGGACCAGGCCCTCAAGACGCAACGATCATGAGGTGTCAGTGGGAAGAGATCGGCTTCCGCATTCTCGATCGATTGAACCTCAATCCTGTGTCCTGGAGGCTAGAGGAGGCACGCGTTCAAGGCCTCGCTGTGCAAGGGACCCGACTACAGCATCACGATAAAGCTCGGGTACAGAACAGAGAGATGTAGCACATAAGGGCTGTCCAAAGGAAACGCGTCTGTTATGATGAGCATCATCCTTCCATGTGCATAAATTAAAGATAAATTCTTCATAAGCTAGCACTAGGTTCTTCATACTCTTATGATAGCTACTATCTCAATATGAACTCGTATCTCCATATTTTTATGATATGGATTGTCTTGACTTATCCCGAGATCCTCTCAATACCGTTGCCATAACGCAGGGAAGACGATGGTACATTTGACAGGCGCCTGGGCGATATGGCGCTGGATGTACTCATGTACCAATGCCTTCGCACAGGGTTCTATCGAAGATCTCACCCCATTTTGTCCGAAAAGGACACAGCGATTTCTGCCAATGCGTGTGTGTTAACAGACCGAGGGAGTCGGAACCTAGAACCAAGCCTGGAACAATGCGAATATCTTCATTTTATGGGTAAATAATACGAGAGACGTCTAGCTCGGTCAAATGAGGAAGATTTCTAACATCTACATTTTGCCTGGGGCGTTCTTTTATCAGGGAATTCAGCATGAGCTATTACTGTCGCACCACCGCCTACTTAATCAGGAACAGTGGTCCCGAAGAGCACCATACCACTGTGCTCTTCTCCCTGAGGCATTTTCCACTTCTTTTTTTACTTTTTTATTTCCGCCATTTCTTCCCTTTAATCTCTCAGTACTGCGATGCGCTTACACACGCAATCTGGTTTGCACCATCTTCTCTTCATCATTATTAATTCTCGAAGGTGCTTGACACCCGCCAAATGCCACTTTGGACTGCGATGTGGGGCAGGCAACCTACTTAGCGTTGAAGTTCTCGCCCACTAGTACCGGCCTAACAAAGGCTAGCAATGGCGTGGTGGGTAACTCCCCTTAACTCAGTTGGTGTCTAATACCTCGGCAGCGTTTGAGTTATCCGGAGTTAGGCTGGTACTTTTTTTGGCGTCCCGGATCTATTGGTCGATCCCCGCACCTTCCACTTTTTTGCTTTTTGGGATTTCCCCACTTATCTTATCAGCACATCTTATCAACGCTTGGGTGATGCCAACACGTGATCTCGCCGTCCCTCTGGCATCGTCTCTCATGTCGCGAATGGGTTGCCCTTTTTTGATTGCAATGTACATAGCTGCGACATGTCTCGACATCTAATGCAAAGGTTTTTCCTTGATAAAATTCAATCGAAGTGAATGATACTCATATAGCGGTTACCATGCTCCCTTATTTGCTTTCACCGGTGGCTCTGTCTCTGGGAGGGTCCCAGACTCTTGACACCTTATCCAAAACAAGTCACATGCTACAGAAACGGCTTCAAGGTCTCAGCCGTTAATGACGAGTGCCTTGCGATTTTCTCTGCCTACTTTCAGGGAAATCTTCTTGATCCTTCGGTCACTTTCCGTCGCTGGTTTAAATATTTGGGTTGTCATTGTAATAGTTGTAGACTTGCAACACCGCACGGAAATCCAGTCGCACACTACCAAGACGGTCTGAAAGCTTCAATCGCAATGTCTTGCAGCATTGTCTACCCACAAATGAACATGGACCAACCATGCGCACATGGCTGCGCATCGTGACACCAAATGCATGACTTCCCCGAATGGATCGTGACTGGTCGGCAATGGCTGAGACACCTGCACTCAAATACAGCTGTACCTGACAAAGATGGTCTCAAAACTCCGGTCGCTAACAAACCGAGTCTCACAAATTGCCGCTTGCTTCATGCATAGAATGGTCAACTGCATGCGCCACCGTTAATCACTGCAGCGTCAATTGAATGGTTCCTCCATCTTAACTGTGTAGAGTAGCAACATCGACATCACACGCGCGCAAGAGGATCGTCAATTGAATCATAACTTGTGCATTACTGTCATTCTCAAAGTGGTATTTTGCTACATTCAGGCTCATAAATTACAGACGAGGAGAAACGTTCAGCGTAGGCGCCTTGCCAATGTCGAATCGGTCCAGGTTCATCACCTTGACCCAAGCAGCCACGAAGTCCTTGACCAGCTTCTCATCACCACCAGCCTCGGCGTACACCTCCGACAGAGCGCGGAGCTCGGCGTGAGAGCCAAAGACAAGGTCGACGCGGGTACCGGTCCACTTCTTGGCTCCGGTCTTGCGGTCGGATCCCTCGAAGATGTCGCCATCGCCAACGGGCTTCCAGACGGTGCCCATGTCGAGAAGGTTGACGAAGAAGTCGTTGGTGAGAGCGCCGGGGCGGTCAGTGAAGATACCGTGGGAGGAGCCATCCCAGTTGGCGTTGAGGGCACGGAGACCACCGATGAGGGCGGTCAGCTCGGGCAGGGACAGAGTCAGAAGCTGAGCTCGGTCAATGAGCAGGTGCTCAAGCTTGACACGTGGTGTCGACTGTCCGTAGTTTCGGAAGCCATCAACAGAGGGCTTGAGGTAGTTGGCGGACTGGACGTCGGTCTGCTCCTGGGTGGCATCGGTGCGACCGGGAGTGAAGGGGACCGAGACAAAGAAGCCAGCGTCCTTGGCAGCCTTCTCAACACCGGCAGAACCAGCGAGGACAATGACATCAGCAAGAGAGATGCGCTTGCCGTTGGGCTGAGCGTTGTTGAACTTCTGCTGGATGCCCTCAAGGACGCTGAGAACCTTGCTGAGCTGGGCAGGGTTGTTGACCTCCCAGTCCTTCTGGGGCTCAAGGCGGATACGGGCACCGTTGGCACCACCGCGAAGGTCACTGCCTCGGAAGGTAGAGGCGGAGGCCCAGGCAGTAGAGGCCAATTGAGTGGCACTCAAGCCAGACTTGAGGATCTCGTTCTTGATGGCAGCGACATCGCCCTCATCGACCAGCTTAAAGTCGACCTCGGGAACGGGGTCTTGCCACAAGAAGCTCTCCTTGGGAACCTCGGGACCGAGGTAGCGCGACACGGGACCCATGTCACGGTGGGTAAGCTTGAACCAAGCCTTGGCAAAGACCTCGGAGAACTCGTCAAAGTTGTTGAGGAAGCGTCGGGAGATCTTCTCATACTCGGGGTCGAAGCGGAGAGAAAGATCGGTGGTCAGCATGGTAGGGCGCTGCTTCTTGTTGGGGTCGTAGGCATCGGGGATGATCTCGGGAGCATCCTTGGCCACCCACTGGTGAGCACCGGCGGGACTCTTGGTGAGCTCCCACTCAAACTTGAAGAGGTACTCGAAGAAGTTGTTGCTCCACTTGGTGGGAGTCTTCGTCCAGGTAACCTCGAGTCCACTGGTGGTGGTGTCGGGACCCTTTCCGGACTTGTAAGTGTTGGACCAGCCGAGGCCCTGCGCCTCAAGGCCTGCAGCCTCGGGCTCGGGACCGACATGGTCGGATGAACCAGCTCCGTGGGTCTTTCCGAAAGAGTGGCCTCCGGCAATGAGGGCAACGGTCTCCTCATCGTTCATGGCCATGCGGCCAAAGGTATCGCGGATGTCTCGAGCAGCAGCCACGGGATCGGGGTTGCCATCAGGACCCTCTGTAGATTTAGTCAGCAATTAGCCCCACAAATACGGGTAATCTCACGTGCTGGCAAAGTGAGGTCATCGCCAACTCGGTCAACCAAGATGGTCAACCAAGCTCCCAATCAACCCCACGATGCCACCACATGATACTACAATGAATAAAACACTCAGAAACGCAAGGAAAAGGCGTACAAACCGGGATTCACATAAATCAAGCCTAACTTTTCGATTACGTAAGCAGAATACGATTAGTAATGTTCTTATAAGGTTGCGATGGTGGATGGTGGAGGTCAGCTGGTGAGGGAAAACACCACACCTGCTTCGACCACAGCTGGATTGAACTTACATCTAGTTACACGGTTAGCATATGGTTAACAGTGGATGAGTGAAATGAACTTACGAACTGCGCCGAGGGGCTCCTCAAGCTTGCGGCTGTGGATGTCCTTGTGAGGAGCCTCATCAGAATCGATGGCACCGGCCTTCGATGTGCCAGGATGACCATCAGAATAACGGACGTCGTTGCCCAGCCAGGTGGTCTCGCCTCCCCTGTCTGCTAGTTAGCAATTGCGAGAGCAAGATATTGTAGAAAGAGACTCGCCAATAAACATCCTCTGCCGCCTCCCAGGTGTCCTCGCGGCCACCGGCGAAGCCGATGGTCTTGAAGCCCATATCTTCAAGGGCGACATTGCCAGCGAGGACAATCAGGTCGGCCCATGAGATCTTGTTTCCGTACTTCTGCTTGATCGGCCAGAGCAGGCGACGGGCCTTGTCGAGAGAGACGTTATCGGGCCAGCTGTTGAGGGGAGCGAATCGTTGTTGTCCCTGAAGAGCAATTGATGTTAGCTGGAGCAAGGTTTATTGGCCTGGTTGTTGGCGCATACCTGTCGGCCACCTCCTCGGCCATCAAATACTCGGTAGGTACCGACGCTGTGCCACGACATTCGGATGAAGAGACCGCCGTAGTGGCCGAAATCAGCAGGCCAGTACTCCTGCGAGTCGGTCATGAGCTCTCGCAGGTCCTTCTTGAGACTCTCATAGTCGAGGGTCTTGAAAGCAGCAGCATAGTCGAAATTCTCGCCTCGGGGGTTGGTGACGTTTGTGTGTTGTCTCAAGATGTTGGTCTTGAGAGAATCGGGCCACCAGTTGCGGTTCTGCTGGCCGTGGCCAGCAGCGTTGATGACTCTATGAGCAACGGGGCACTTGGACTCGGACATGGTGACGATTGTGTTTGATGGAGATGTATCTTCTTCGCAATCCGCAGCAGCAGATCAAGGAAATAAAAAAGAAGAGCAAGCTCACCGAGCACGGATTGCGGGGGTGGAGCTGGATTTATAACACACTCTTGACGATTGGCAAAGACGCAGACACACACCAAACCCCGGCATCCGGGCTTCGGCATCTGCTACGCGCTCCTCGGGTACTTCTACCTAATCCGTGCAATGATTTGAGTTCTCTTACATCACGCACTGTTGCACCGCGGCGTCGCAACTGCGGGGAAGCTGTCCTAACTGAGGAGTTGGCCCAGCTCGTGCCTAGGTACGGACCCGGTAAGCCATCGGCAGAGGGCCCGGTGGATGAAGTGGGGACGGAGTCGCTGTGAGATTCCCGTGCTGTAAAAAGCACAAGAGAAGCGTCTAGAAAAGATAAGCTCTTTGCCTTTCACAAGAAAAGTTCATCACGACAATTGACAGCGGGTGGTATCGTCATCACCTCGATGCCACACTCAATGGATGGCCAATGCACACACACACTCACATCATCCCCCTCACCAAGCATCTCGTGATCGGCTTGGGTGTGCAACAGAGCCGAGCCTCGGGGTCGCAAAAAAATCCGGAATAGCTCTCAGCCGAAACTGCAGCAAATTGGTGGGGTGGATTCCGGTTTACTTTGCTACCCCCTAGCCGAGTCAAGAAAAAACCGGCACCTGGAAAACGATGACCGCATGTCGGGTTAGCGCTACCTCGGGCGAACCCCACCATGACGCTGTAGCAACCAGGTTACTCTTGCGCGTAGCAACCCTTTTGGTGCTAGAACCAACCGACGTTTTTGCTTATTCATGCTGGGTCGGTGGACCATACGGATTGGTCCCCTCACGCTGCGGCGAAGGATGCGGACAGAGTTGCGGCGAGAAGGCCTTCGCGTCTGGACTCAATGCGGCAGCTCACAGAGCGGGGTCAACTGCCGTAATGCCCGATTCGGTGAAAAGAATGAGAGGTATTTCATAATACACGACGCAATTATCATCAATTGAGGCTTGCCTGATGAGGTGAACCAGATGAGAGGGAATTCATCACAAGCCAGACTTGCCTGATTGAATAGTTCGGGTGTCAACTATCAATGATAAAAGACTCGGCTTGTCCCCAATGTGTGCGCGCTCTACCTAGGTCCTCAGACAATCCTGCGAAACTCACCGTGTCGACTTGGCTTGAAACACGTGCTATACCGAGGGATCCCTGGGCGAGCTGTTACTAATGCCGATGGAGACATGGAGAAGACAGGGAGCAGCTGTCGCCAGGGTCGGCGACCTGTACGTGCTGTCCGCGGGTGAAGAAACGAGACGACACTGAGCAAGACAGCTAAACATAATGACAAATTATAAAACAATACGTAGAGATCTGCAAAATATTACTTCTTTTAATAACCCGAATTTATTATTTGAGTTATACTTTAGAGCAGTTTCTTTCCGATGAAAGTCGTCTTTGAGAGTCAAGAGGCTCTGCTCTGGTGTCTCATTAATTATTTCTTGACCTGATTGGCGCGACCTGCAGGCTGGTCGCCACCATTTATTCCAAATCGTTATTCCAAATCGTTATTCCAAATCGTTATTCCAAATCATTATTCCAAATCGACCCCAGACCGCCGCTCAAATCATGCAGGCTTGAGGGTTCTCAGCCACGCGCATAGTCAGTCCAATCAACAGAACATTGATGACCTAAAGAAGCAAGAAGAAGGATCGGAATTTTGCTAGTCTCAAACAACAGGCGGTAAGCTCCGAAGCGGGCTGTCCGTCGCTGCCAGAGAGTATTTCCGAAAACGGCAGTAATTCGGCACAAAACTGACGGCGTCAACTCTATGATTGATGATTGATGCAGAAATGCGTAGAAATATCTTCCAAGTATTTGTCAGGCCAACATTGAAATCGGAGCATCGAATTCGTGGTGAGCCATCCATTTTGCCAGGTGAAGCGCCGGCAACGGAACGGAGCTCCGGGGAGTCGGGCCCGGCGCGGAACGGAACCGGAGATTTAGGGTAGCTGACTCGGAAAGACCTTCCGCAGTAGAAAACGGTACCTGATGACCGTTCTTTGGCGCAATCTTTTTGTAACAAGTGAGCGTAGACTGACAGAAATGAGCCGCCATTTTCTGATTCTGCGTTGGCCTTCCTGGCGATCCTTTCTCTCACTCTACCCACAGGGAAACCTGTTGGACGGGACGAAACTCAAACGTTTTGTTGAGGTTTTCTGGGTCAAGCGGACAACCCCACATGAGCGATCATAATTGGCCGAAATCATCATCGATAAGATAAGATCTTGTAATAAGATCCATTCACGTGTTCCATCACGTGATCCCCTTTTCTCAACAGCCCCGGATGAAATGTTCCGTTCCAAAAATGACACAACAACATAGGAGATTGGTAGCAAGTCGCATGCGTTGATGAGTCTGTTTGCGGTTGTTGGTCACCTGTGGCCTTGAAAATTCCCGTACCCAATTATCCACCTTTTGCTATTGCAGAGGCATTTTAGGCCATATGTGCTGCTTCAGACATTCATTCCTGAGTCCGGAGCACCGGGATATGTTGGTTCTCAACGGTGTTCCCATGCTGGACGAGATGACAACACACCCAGGTCTTGGGAAATGCGCCTTCGTCCTTCATCTCGACCTTCTGTATGTCGTTCGTGTATGTCGATCGGGTATAGGGGGGAGCTGATTGATCTAGCTTGGCTTGTCGATCTTCGAAAAGGGTTTGGAAACGGGCTAGATCATGATCCTAAGGAGGGGGGGGGCGCATGATGTTTGCGCCGCTAGTAAGGGCGTAATTGTAGGAAGATAGTTGCCTTCCTGGCGAATAGGCTGTGTACGCTCGTTGGCTGGTTCTTCGGGAGTCTGTGGTAACTGGGGGGCATTTGCGGGAGGGGGACGTTCGAGGAGGCAGCTGAGTTAATGATGAGGATGGAGTGCCGGCAGAGACCGAGTTTCCTCCATCTTGAGTAGGGATAGAGAGTTATCAAGATGCGGGTGGAGGAGAGCCCGTTCTGGCAAAGTGCACCATGCCTGTGTTGACGGAATTCCCAAAGGCGAAAGGGTTCTCAGTCACGCCGTGGATCTGATTTTCGACCCGATTGCCAGATTCATACCCACCACATTATTTAACGCTCGGGTCTTTTTCATTTTTACGGCCTTCTGGTGTGAAGGTTGTAACGGGTACAGGATCAGCGATGGTCGGGGCAGGAGATTTCGCGGCAGCATTGGTCACTAGCTGACTTAGTAGGGACTTAGTGAGAGCTTCTGCATTCTCGCTGGGCGCTTGAGGTAACTGCGTGTCCGGCATTCCCATAGCTGGGAGGCTAGCAGAGTCTGTGTCTGCCGTCACAGCATCCGTGGATGGCATCGTGGAAGTCTGATCCGGATCGGTGGTAGGCTGCCATGCTCTTATCGTTGGTACTAAGTAGCGATGGTGCAGGTAGAAGCAAACAGTAGCCCAGAGCAATACCGAGATTGATACAGTCGATCATACATTGGTATGATGTTGGTGGCTCATGTGTTAACAGTTGTTATCTCTTGGGCTTCCACTTCCTGGAGCTTAGATAGAGTGGATGGAGTAGACAAAATATGGGTTGTTGAGAACAAGGGAATCGGTAACTTAGATGAAGGAGGAGGGCCCGTGGTCGAGTCCTTGTTGTTACTCTTTGTTATGTCTCAGGAATGGAATAGGATTAGACTGTTTGTAGTTGTCAGTCGCAGAATCACAGTCGACTCCGAGTCTGTTCCTATTTCTCTCCCGTCCAAGTGTCGATATTTCTAGTTGGTCTTTGACCAAAAGTAAGACAGCTGCAGAGAAGAACATTAAGCTCATCTCCGCTCTCGTGGATTTCAGTCAAGATTGGCCATGAAAGCCTGGCTCACCAATATAATAGCTCGAGCGAGATCCTTCATCGGCCCAGGGCCTCATTACGCGTTTTTGACTGGTGAGTCAGACTGCATCTTGAATGAAAACTCCACGTAAAATATGTAGGACTGATTAATCACGTTAACGTTGCGTATCTGCATATTATGGGCTTAAAAAAGGCATCATCCCAACCTCAACGTACTTGTATCGAACCCTCGAGATCAGGGGACCTTGCCCTCCTTCATCCCTAACGTGCCAACCGACCAGAAGTATACAGTTCTTTGTAGAGCGCCCGAATCCTCCACAGATAACTTGTTCAGGACAGGCTTCTTGCCCTTCGCCACCCCGCCACCAACGTAGACGTCGCCAACGATGTCGAGCCCACACTTTTGCCGATGAGCATGACGTTGAGGCGTTGGGAGTTCAACATATTGACAGAGGCTATCCTACAAGTCTTATCCAGTGTATTTTTGGATAAGGTCTTATAAAAATGCCGATTCACTTGGAAGAGCCCTCACCTGTGAGCGAAGCGGTGAGCACTCTCCTCTTCAGAAAGAGCTTCTGGAGGATTCTTCGAGAACTTTACGATCAGGCATCGGCCAAAGACTTGAGGCAACTGGCATCTGCTGGCAGTAATATGGCCCTTAAATGCCGCCCTATGCCTAGTTGCGGAATGTCTTGACCTGGTAGAGTGGCCTTGTGGCCGATAACTTCTCCTGGAGGCGTCACTGATGCCAACATACTTCATCAAATTCATGCATAATTTAGGGAGGTGCCAGCACCTTCAATTAACGTCAGAAGCTGGAAGATTTGGCTCAATCTAATGTGGTGATTAGCATAGACAGCTGTACGAGACACAACATATTGTGCGATTGCATGGTCGAGTTGCGGATGCAGCGAGGGCCTAACATGACTGGATCGTTTTCCACATTTGTACATGTGCAAAGGTGCATGCCATAATGCTGTGAAACGGAGAATTCATCGGGGCGAATCATGCATGAGAATCGCCAGCATCAATTTAATGTTTTCAGGGGCATGCATTCGATGTCGAGACAAGTCACAGTGGTGGCTGCAAGACATGAGAGACGGTGTTGTGAGGCACAGCGTGTTAGCGACCAGAGCCCTGGAGTTTCCTCTGTAGGGTGCTGTGACTCAGGTGTAAGGGGGTCTTACTTTCACACCCAACGCAGTAAACAAACAAACAAACAATGCAACGAATGATCAATGATGAATGACAAACACTTCGCCATCGCATTCAGCTCCTCGATGCCGCGTTCTTAGCACCTCGGCCTTCGGAATCCCCAACTGCACCAGCGGAAGACCTTCCGACCGTGCCGATCATGTGAACGCTGGTGGCTGAGACAAAGATCAGCAAAGCGACAGTGGCTCAGACAAAGCTCAAGCCCCTGGAAATAAACAACAGTTCGCCACGTGGAGACCGGCCCAACTCAATCTTTATCAATCAGTTCAATCTCCGACCACGAGAAACCGGGGAGTCGCGTGCACAAGCACCGTTTATTTTTTTTCTTTTCCCCCTTTCCAATGCAGATTTGGTTCCTGGTTCGCCCCACTGGAAATCGGACCATGCCGAGGCTCATTGACCTCAAAGATGCGTGAATGTTAATTGTTCCTGATGGGCTCGCAAAAGGTTTGACTTTCTCAGCGACTGTTGGTTCATGCTCTTGGTACGAGTCGCCTTTTGAGGAAAATGGCCTGTCCTGAAAGAGCTAGCAGAGGCATTTCTTGACAAGACCCCAGCAGCCCAGCAAGGACCACGGGGAGCACCGGCCGGATCGGTCGCTTCGTTCAGCTGTTTTGGCCAAGGATTCAGGAGACTGCGGACATCGGCGAGAATTTCCCAGAACCAGGGCGTGACTGGCTATGAATTGCAAACGGAAGAATTACCTGAAAGTCCTTCATTGGGCGCTCTACGTGTGCAATTTCCTGTACCAAGAATGCGCTACGAAGAATGCCTGCTGGGGTGCGGAGGCGGGCAAACAGTTAAAACCCCCACTCCGTGCCTTAACTGACAGCGCCAAAAGTCCCCCGGTCCGTCATTCCCAAAGCAGCTACTCGTACCATTCCCGAGTTGCACTAACAGACCATGTCCGCGGGATGCGCTCGGTCTAGACGTTGGAGGTTCTATTTGGGGCTGAACACCGAGTCAGGCGCTTGGAATTTCTTGTTGGCCGAGTCAACCGTGAGGATCTCGGTTGTGTTGGACTCGGCCTCATGATGGAAGCCTGGATAGTGATGCTCAGGGAACGCCATGGTGTCGAACCAACAGGTAGGACTTTGCATCAAGGTTTTGGTTTCCCCGAGGTTCGTAAACTCCGGCTTGGAACGGGACAAGCTACGAGGGGATCTCGACATTGGTGACTTGAAGGGACAGTTGAGCAGAGGCATACACCAAAAATCAACGGTTATGAATACCATGGGCACTAACTTAGTGCATTGACGGTGATATCTAGATCGAGATGCACTAGTTATGCTCGCCTTTACCCGCGCTGAGCTCGCAAGTGCCGGGTAGATCAAAGCTTGTGTCTCCCCATATCGAATTATAGCTTAGTCTACAGATCATATCATGGCGATACATTCCCCCAAGGCCGCTTAATGGGCTCTCATTGTTCTGTTCATTGTGAGAGATGCGTATGGCAGTAAATGGCATCGAGTAATAGGTCTCTAGAGTTAGAAACGTTATACGAAGGTCTTGCCGTTTGCATTTTCAGTGGCTGTCCGCCATCGTGAAATCACAATAGTATTCCACAGTGCAGGAGACTGGTGCATGTAACTTCTGTCATGAATACAAACAAACCAATCGGTGAACTGATCTCGGGAGATGGTATCCTACATACATTCTCTTCAGAACTGGAGTAATCTTGAAGTTAGTGAGTTTCTTCTAACCCTCTTGAGCTGACACGTTCTTCAATAAGAGTCTCTCTAAGTATAATACTGCAAATCCAGAAACACCGGCATCGAACCCCTTGAATGCAGATGCTCACTGCTAGAGCTCCCAACCAAGCTTCAATGATCCAGTTCCTCTAGTGTGTTCTTTGTTATAGCTGAACTTGGCCCTTGATGGGTGAACTTAGTCAGATGAGCGACCCAGCTCCTTTGAGTTGAGCATTTGGTATCCCACTACGCGGAGCTTAGGCAAATACTGTGTGCCATGTACAATTGACTGAAAACTTCCTGACAACCAGCTCGCAATTATTCTACGCTCGTCATGAAACTACCCTGAACTTCATGTCTTGGTTCAGCTTCTCAGATCAACTTGCTAGATCAACACCATCATCACATGCCCAACTTCAGGCCAACTTCATGCCCCCACTACCATCCTCCGCCTCATCCTGTTACCTGACCCAAAGAGGCTGTTGTTGGTCTTGATCTTGGAATACGAACTCATCATCCGACGCTACATAAACTCCCGGACATGCAGGAACCCACGAATGTCCGGGACCCATTCTCAGGGGAACTCCTGGGCAGCTGAAAGCTTGATTTAGAAGCTGCATGATGATATCAACCAAGATGAATGCGAGAGCTTACATGCACGATCGATGAGTCCAACCCTGCTCATCACCAACACCATCAACACCATCATCAACGTTGCGATGCTGCGCCATTTAAACCCTTGTCAGCCTAGCGACCCTTGTCTGGCGCATGAATTCCGTCCATGTGGGGAACGGACCATCGGACGGACTGCGTGATCCGAGGAACCCTGTCACCACCAGGGTCTGAGTCTGGATCATCAGATTCACCTTCTGGATCAGGATCAACAATTGCTTGGAGCTCGATGCGCTGAAAATATCGGGTTGAGTGATTACCGGTATTCATTCTATTCTACATGCCAACAGTTTAAACTGACGCGTTGTGCGTAAAGAAGATCGTTACAAGACGGATCAGAGACCCAGATTAACCCCTGCCATATCCCGGCTTCCCCAAACCTTCCCCAGACTACAGCTCGCCTAAAAGGCGGCGAGGAGACCCAACACCATCATACCGAATCCGCCGATGGAGCCCATGACAGCCGCTCCGTCGGGTGAGGCGGTTGAGCTGGTGGCAGAGGCAGCAGCCTCAGGGGTGCTAGTCGACTCGGCTGCCTTGGTGGTAGCTGATCCAGTCTGCTTGACGGTGGCCGACTCGTCGACTGGTGGAGCAGTGGCACCACCAGTCACGTCGTAACAGAACTGAGCAGCAGCTGGGAGGACGTCCTCTGTGAGATGTTAGTGGGGGTTGCTTGATGAGGCTGAGGCAGGCCGACTTACCAACTGATTTGGCAGCACCGCATGCTTGAAGAACGCAGGCCTGGGCTCCAGTGTAGATGTTGCGGTAGTTGTCCACCTCGCAGAGACAGTCATTGTCCTCGGGCTTGCAGCTGGATGAACCCTTGATGGCCTTGGTGAGACAGTCATGTGAGCACTCGGGGAGCGCATCAAACATGGTCTCTGCGCTGGCGAGGCCAGCAATGGCGAGAACAACAAAAGCGGCCTTCATTTTTTCGAGACAGATGTAAAGTTTACTAGACCAACCGCTGGAAGCGGGCGATTTACCCGTCTTAATAGTAGGTGAGCCATCACAAAGGTTGCATGTCAAGTGCGGCTGTAGAGCATGGCCCTTGGCGACCTTGCCAAACTGAGCGAGAATGGCCTCTTGGTGAGTACGAGATGCCGTCCTAGTAGAGCGGTATGGCCATTCTTTGTGGCCGAGCAATCTCTCAGAGTCACTCCCCCCACTCCATGTTACTTTTCAGCTCCTCTTCCTCGGCTGCACATGGCGCAACGGCGAGCTCCCTAGCTTGGCTAGCCCCGTCCAGCCGTCGGCTCGTGTGATTTTGGCTCGGTTATGCTGTCCAGGGTCAACGTATCGTTAGTGGCGTGAGAGGGTGGGATCTGATAAGATAATCATTTCATTAGTGCCAAATGAATCGACAGGGAGTTCGTGGGGTGGACAGTGAGGCCCACTGCGACAGGCCTGTGTTAATTCGGCTCGTCCGGAAAAGACCTCGGCGTCCTCTTGGCCTCTCGAACGGGCCAGCTGCAGATGAGCTTGTACCAATGAGTTTTCTGGGACTGATAGCGGAGTCCCTGTTGGTGTTGACAGGGTGTTTGACAGGGTAAGAAGCAAAAACTAGACTATCAGATGATCTGATAACTCTAATCGTATCCGTACAGGCTTCAATCGCCACCGCCAAGGTCAACTAGATCCAAAGCGAAATTAACGCCGCAGCCACAACTACAGGCCCAGGACCAGGAGTGCTTCGAAGCGGCCAATGATCGGAGATGAGGCCCTTGCATGCCTTCTCAGGCACCTCTAGACTTGATGAGATCCATGCCGGTAGAGACTTTCCTCAGAGATATTAATACCCGGCATCTCTCGCCTCTCAACCCGTTTCTCTTTTCAGCATCTCAATCAGTCTTCAACACTCGCTCACTACTTGCTTCCGTCGACAACGACCACATTCGCTAGAACATCACTCGTTCGATTTCAACAAACACCTCAAGCAAGATGAAGACTTCCACCTCGATCCGCTTTGCCGCTGCCGGCGTCATTGGCCTGGCCTCCATGGCTCAGGCTCAGTCCGTCTGCGCCATCAACTGCTTCCAGAGCGTCATCACCGAGCACCCCCCTCTGGACTGCACTGAGGAGAACATGTACCTGTGCTTCTGCAAGCGCTCCAACCTCCAGAACTGGTTCGCCGAGTGCATCTGGGACGAGTGTGATAACCAGGCTGATGCCGCTATCTCCTTTGGTGTCGACCTGTGCGCTGGTAAGTTACATCAAGTTATCGAAGCTGAACTTGTCTAATCATTTCAGACTACGGCATCACCATCACTCCCCCTACCAAGCCCGAGGAGCAGCCCACCACCACCAAGGCCGAGCCCCAGCCTACCACGCAGGCCGAGGAGGAGCCCGAGTCGACCCAGGCTGAGGAGGAACCCGAGTCCACTCAGGCCCAACCCCAGCCTACCACCGAGGCTGAGGAGCAGCCCGAGTCCACCCAGGCCGAGGAGACTCAGGCTGAGGAGACCCAGCCCGCCGGAGAGACCAAGGCTACCACCGCTGCCGCCCCTGCCGAGACCACTGCCGAGACTGAGGCTGCCGCTCCCAAGCCCACTACCGTTGTCGTCAAGCCTTCGCAAGCCGATAACACCACTGTCGTCAGCCCCACCAACCCTCCCACCGTTGTTAACATGGTAAGTTTACAGCACCTCGACTCACAGACATACACTAACAGACACAGGGTGCTTCCAACGCTGCCTCTGGCATCCTGGCTGCTGCCGGTCTTGCCGTCGCTGCCTTCCAGCTTCTGTAAGCATAGCTTCTTGGATGACCAACCCCTAATGACCTGGGTTATGGCCCGGAACATTTAATATTCAACGTGTATACATCTTCTTTCCGGTTCGGGTCCGGTTGGGCTTGACTGGGTACATGTCGGGTAGTTCTAGCTTAAGGCATGAGCCTGACAATAATATTATTACCTATTACTGAACTTGATGACGGATGCAATGTGAAATGGTTGGCCTGTGTGATGTATGTTACTTGACCTGATAGACCTGTTAATGCGTGCAAGTCTTGATGTATCATAAAGTTGCCATCTCTGTGCCACAAGCCAAGACTAAGATCTTCCAGAGTGCTTGCAGGGCTGCATGTCCTTGCTGAGCATGGGGCTGACGTGATATTCTTCGCCCATGCAACCCGTGTTAGGCGAGTGAAGCGAATTAACTCTATTGATCCTTCTGTCCTGGTTGGGGTTCCTTGCAGCTGCAAAGGCACCTTCCCTTGTATCGTGCATACACCACTGCTGCCAGTAATTCCTCTGACACTGCGGTGTTTGTTGTGCGGCAATAACCTTGGTGTTACTGGAAAGTCCATGGCCTTTCTTCCTTCGTCCGACATGCTGTCGCTACGAGAAGAGAAGAGCCCTTGATCAGTGCTACTTCTAGTAGTCCAATGCAAGCTGGTTCAGACCGGAGATAATTCATAACATGTCAACCCTAAGGCAAGTTGGTTTGACTTTACAACGGCGCGGCGAACTCTGAGAAAAGATGTTGGTTTGAGTGTAAGAAAGCATTCCCCTCATAAAGCCTCCAAGTGGTAAACTGCATGGTCAAGCTCAGAGCGTGGTTGGTGGAGAAAGGGAGCGGTTAACGGGGATATACCAAACGATATGGCTGGCTGCATCATGCATGAGGTATTATGATTGTAAACCTGTCATAGTACAACTTTGTCTGAACTCTATGTATCTAACCTTCGAAGAAATATGTGAAACGACTAACTGTGAAACCTTCCTGAACCCGAATGCCATGAAGCCAACTGAATGTATACTGAAAATCTGAGACTAATTGCTGTTTGATCTGGTTCTCCCGGTCTCCTCATCTTGCAGCACTGATGGCTCTTGCATGGCTGCAGCATGCTGAGCACGAATCTTGTCAAGAATTTGAACAGCCTCAGAGGCATATTCGCACTTGAGTCGGATGCGATGGCCGTATTTGTAGAATAGAAACGGGAATGGGACACAGGCAAGGGCCAAGAATGCTGGGACGGAAGCTGCCCATTGAACACCGAGATTCTCGTACATGTGCGGCGTGAATAGAGGAAAGGCTGCCCCGAAAAGAGATCGAAGGACAGAGTTGGCGGCCAAGACTGAAGCAGCAAAGACCACATCTGTTCTTCATTAGAGTTATGAGCGTGTATGAGAATGGCAACTTACAAGAATCAATCAGATAGTTTAGTAAAGAAAGGAACACCAGAACCAGTCCTAGACCAAAGAACACAGTACCAACAATTGGCACAGCCCAGTGGATTGAAGGATATGTCGTCCAAGCAAACCAAAACAGTCCGATAGGGATGAAGATAGACCCAACCATTGCCAGAGGAAGTCTGGCCTCTGGGTCAAGCATACCACCCTTGGCGGCTGATAAGCGTGTATAACGCCTGTTTTCGAAAATGCCCGTAAGAGTGGCGAGTGATACACCAAGTGCAGTCCCAATGAAAGCCAGGCCTCCAATTCCCGGACTCCAGCCTCTTCCTACTTGAAAGACAATGGGAAAGGCGGCAAAGCACATGTATAAGGTGCCGTAGATGATGGAGATGTATATCGAGAGGAGCAGGACGATGGGCTCTTTGAATAGCAATATCCAGGGCCGTGTGAGAGCGACTTTTAGTTGGCTGGAAATGGACTTTGGAGGTTGACCGGCGTCGAGCAGTGAGATGTAAACTCTGCCTGTTCTTTCAGAGAGCATTTGGGCACGTTGACGAAGGAGATATGGGGCGTATGTTTCCGGGACAAGAAGTGTGATTAGAATCCAGAAAACGCCAGTGAAGATTGCCATCAAGCCTAGAAGCCAACGCCAACCTTCCGTCTCTCCGAGGAAGCCACCGACAATAGGGCCTATAAACGAGTTAGCAGGTCATTCATGATAGGTACCATCTCTCATACCAATGGCTGGCCCTAAGAATGGAGCAAGACCAAATAGACTGGAGGCTAGGCCGCGCTCAGTATGGTTGAACATGTCCGCAATGACGCCGCCTGCATTGGTCAATGGAGAAGAACCAAATGCGCCTGCGAAGAATCGAAGAACGAGTAACGCCGGCATTGTCGGCGCACAAGCAGCTCCAATGTTGAATGCTGTTAAAGCAAAGTACGTGACGATAAAGACCTTTTGCCTCCCATACAACTCAGACAGAGGAGCCCAGAGTAGTGGTCCAACAGCAAAGCCCAGTACAAAGAGCGACACACCCAGAGTGGCTACTACCTGGGACACGTCAAAGGCGCGGATGATTTCCCGTATGCCTCCAGTGTATGCAGAGCTCACAAAGGTGACAGCCAATGTTGCGATCGCCTGAAGAATGGTAATCATCCATTTCCTCCATGGCGCAAAAGTCATCGCATCTTGAGGATCATTCGGCAGAAATTTGACGAGGAATGGATTCGATTCTGTCCCTTCGCCTACGTAGTTGTGCTCGGAGAACTTCTCCTCGTCGATCGGACCTCGGACTCTGGCCTTTGCCCATTGAAAAGGCCTAAAGGTTGTGGTTTCTTCGATTTCGATGACATCGGCGATCGTCGTCGAGGAGGACGAGGGACTCGGAGGAGGTGCCATTGCTTCGCCGGGGTCTGCGATCGGATAGAAAAAAAATGAAGATCAACCGTTACATGGCCACTCGAGATTGATGTCTTGTTAAAGTCTAGATCCAAGATCTCAGATGCGGAGGTCGGTATAAGTCAAGCTTGTCCCTCGGCATTTCAGTCGATATTGCCGCGGAGTTTTCTTCGGGAATAGCAGCTAGCACATGCAACGGCAATATAGAAATTCCCGAGCCGTAGACTAGGCTAGATGAAACTCCGAAAGGCCGAGACAAGAAACCCCTGAACGACGACTTGTTTAAACTCCGTGAATCGATATGGATTACAAAACACCCTCCCCTCAGCAGAATGGAGCGGGGAAACGTGGAAAACCTAGTAAGGCGTGCGTTCCCTGCCGCGCACGCAAGATCAAGTGCGACGCTGCGGTGACTGGACTGCCCTGCAGCAGCTGTGTCAGCCGACAGTGTGTCCCAAACTGCGTCTTGTCGGCGCGCAAACCACGAAGACGGTCAGTGAAGACACTGCATTTAATACAAGTGTTTCTGAGACTGATTCAATATCACACTAGGACTATACGTACCGTTGCTGCCGATAAGGAGCCTGGATCACCAAGGCGTGACGAACTTGTATGTGAAGTAATTTTATCCCATGTTCCTCGGCCACACTCCTGTGCTGCTTCCAAATACGCAACGAAGGGGCTAACACCCCCCGATAGACTCCAGACCACACAGCAAACAGCTCCCGAACTACACGTACGGAGGCATTGGACCAGGTGACTCCAACCCAGACTTGTCCTCTGGATCACAGTAGCTCTACTCCGCGGGGTCCCCCATCTCGGCCTGACTTGCATTACCTTAATATCTTGCACGACGCTGTCACCGCTTCGCCAACAAGTCCACAGCACGCCAGCGACGGTACTCCCGGCAGCCGAACTGAAGATGACCTCATCCCTCGGATCCGGCTCTGGAATAAGCCACCGGCTCTCGACGAGGTGGACAACGAGTTTCTTACTAAAAAAGGAGTTTTTGACTTGCCCGCTCGTTGCTACATGTGAGTTAGGCCTGGCTCACAGCATGCGTCTTCCACTGACACAACCAGGGACATGCTCGTCAAGACATACTTTGATCAGGCCTATTCTTGCAGTCCAGTGATCGAGAGGGCGGAATTTCTTAGAAGCTATCAGTCAGGGGACTGCTCCTTGTTTCTCCTTTACGCCATCTTTGCAACCGCGGCTCTCTTTGCTCCAGGAGAAGCCATATCTGGCTGTGGATTCGCCAACCGTTGGACTGCTCAAGAAGCATTCTTTTTAAAGGCAAACTTGCTTCATGACTTTCACTACGAAAGTGATACTCTTCGTATGCTCCAAGGCACAATAATCTTGGGAGTCATCATTCTCGATCATCCAACAGACAGGGACTTTCAGTATTGGTTCCATAACGCGATTCGACTTGCAGTCAAGCTCGATATACATAATACGTGGGTTCTTAACCCTCCTTAGAGGTTTCTGACTGATGATTTCATAGCTGTGCCCGAGAAGACGCATCCTTCAAACAACTGAAGCTTTATAGGCGGATCTGGTGGGTTCTATATGTACTTATGCCGCAGTTCCTTCTCACTTTACTCGATGCTAACTCTCGCAGCGTCGTGATGTCTTTCATTCATTCGTCAACACACAAAACTTACGGCTCCTTGAGAATGTTCCCTTGTTGAGAATTCTCAACAAAGATGACTGGGAAATCGAGGACATGCCTGAAGAATCTGACCTGCTGTCACCAGTATCGTATCAGCAAAAGACTTCACTCATTGCCCACTGCGAGCTAGTTCAAATATGTAAGTTGTTGAGTTGATCTATAGAAATGAAGCCTATGATAACAAAATTGTAGTTGGAGACTGTTTGTCGACAGTCAAGAATGGATCCCGTCAAGATGTACGCCAAATGATGCGGCCACTCGATGCTTGGCGTGCGTCCCTCGCCGAGAAGATGGGTATTACAGATCCTTTTCACGATGGAGACATATACTACCCAGAGACTCTCGCAATAAGCTACAGATTCGAAGCCATCATGTGTCGCCTACTTCGTCGCTGCTGGCGTTCACGAAATGTTAGTGGAAGTGAGTGGGCTAAGCAGAGACTTCGGTCAGCCATCTTTGAGCTTGACACCATCGCCAAGAGAGTCCTGGCGAACGGAACTATCCAAAAGTTCCCAATGACATTGTAAGTACCAGCAATTATTCTATACTACGGCCTTTTTTAACAATCATGTATAGTGTCAGTACAATGCCCGCTCTCCTGGCGCTTCACATCGAGACAGCGCTTGATCCGTCAGAGACAGACCTTGTCCGCTCAATGGCCAAGCTATCAATTAACCAGACAATGCTGGTTATTGATCAAGTCAAGGATGTTCCTGCAATATCGCGAGCTCTTCCGGCGTTTGAGATGGTGCTCTCCAAGAAGAACCTTTACTCAACCCCATCAAGTCATTCCGAGTCCATGCAGTCACCCTCGAACCAGGGTCCGAACCAGTCATCTGTGTTACTACACGCACATACTGACATAGATTCGCACACCGGGCTTGGGGAGCATCTTTCTCCTTATGGGGACTTTTTAGGATTCGATTTCTTGGATCGGTGGGAGATGGAGGAGTTGGACTTTACAGGCATCTACTAATGTAGTCTATTTGGTCACGAGAGTAGGCATCGATGAAGAAAAGATCCAATTTAGAAATAGCATCTACTTGGCCTCAGACTCAACGGCCTCAGACTCCACGGCCTCAGACTCCACGGCCTCAGACTCCCTGGCCTGTAGATACTTGTTCCATTCGGGCATACCCGAGATCCAAAACTTCACAGCGTCGGCTTCATCCTCAGGACCAAGGCGTTCCAGCTGCTTCTGGTATTGCTCGCGCAGCTCATCGTTCCCGGCCGAATGACAGAGAGATCTCAGGATCATACGAGTTACTCGCGAGCTCCCAGTGGTAAATCTAGCGATAGTCTCCAAAGCCATCGTCCAGTATGAGTGTGCCTGGTCAAAGTTGCGTTTGGTATGGTAAACCTTGGCCAGAATGATGTAGGCTCGCATCTTCTCATACTTGAGACGAGGGAACTCCTTCAAGACACTGAGGCAAAGCATTTCGGAATTGTAGTATTGCCCTCTGGCAAAGGCCACCTCAGCCAGGGACACCTCTAAGAGGCTTTTACCCATGGCGGGGATGTAGCTTCCTTTACGGCGTTCCATCTCCCAACGCACAACGTTTTCAGCTGCTGCGGTAAATTTAAAGTCTCGAAGCCCGTCAGCAAGCTCGCAGGTGAGGTCGCGGAGATCTTCATCAAGGACAATATCGGGCTCGTCCTTCAAAAGACGCCCTGCGTTGAGTTGCATGATGGAATCTCGTAATTCTCCCCGTTGACGAAGAGATCTGCCCCGGATGATGGTTTTTCTGTAGTTGACTGCTTGCTCCATTGGAGATGGGGTCTCACTCAGGGGACTCCAAGCTTCGAGTACCTCTTCGGCTGATTTCAGCTCTTCGACTTGCATAAAGTTGAGAGCTCGCTGGATTGCGTACTGGCCAGCGATGCAATGCATTCTCACATCAGGAGCAGTTTCTTCGCTGCTTCTGGTGGCCAGGTTGGCTGCAGATCGAAGCATGGAACCCTCGATGCGGTTTAGAACGCATTCCGCTAGTGCAATGCGAGAGGCGAGATATTGGCTCTCGATACCAACTGACACGCGCTTGGCTTGGTTCACGGCATACCGCTTCCAAGCCATGTCGGAGAATCGGGATGACTCAATGAGAGTGAGTCCGAGATCGATCTTGGCAGCGTTGGAGAGGCCGGGGAAGCCATCTGGACAGGCCTCAAGCGTGTGCTTCAGGTGTGGGAAGGCCAGGGTTGGGTCATCAGAGCTGAGAGTGATTAGTGAGGAGATGAGTGTATGTTGGGTTGAACCTACAGATGCTCCAGGTATTTCCAAGGAATAGATCTGTACGTGACGATCAAGGCCCAGTTCTTCCAGCGTGTCTGATCATCGGGGACGTGTCTCTTGCGAGTAAGATCGGCAATTTCCCCATCAACCTCATAGAACTGATCTGAGGTCTTGAGATAGGCGTCCGGTAGACGATTGATGATAGATACAAGCCTTGGCTCGTACGATAGAATCCTGGACAGATCTGAAGGAAGACCAACAGCGCTTGCGTCTACCCTCTCGATATGGCCTTTGGAATTCCATCGCTCCCGGCCTGTTGAGCCTCGGATAAGGAGGTTGAAAGGGATCTTGGTAGGTGCAAGGAACGATGAGAGATCTAGCAGCTTGTTCGAGTCATTCTGCTTGTCGGCCGTGGTCTGGGACGGAGACATGATGACGTGGATCAATCGGAGCAAGTGGAGGAGTGTTGCTGATTACTCGCGTACTGAGGATGCACGCTGAGCTTGACGAACTCTGGCTCTCCCCGCCTAGGCAGATGGAGTCAAGATTGATCAAAGGACGAAAGAAGTTCGCCTTGGATCAACTGATGATGATGAAGGAAGTGCGGGGTCGACTCTAACCGCCAGCTCGAAGTTATTAATAAATCAGGCTGTGAAAGGGTGGCCTCGATTGGCCGAGTTGATGTTGAAGACATGCATGTTACTCGTGACCTGTGTATGTAACCAAGACCTTGGCTAGTGTGGTAGGTCTCGCTAGATGTAGTTTGCTCTAGAAAAGTTCTTATGACTAGCCGTTTTTTGTGGTTGTGTCTACGCGTGGTGCTTATCAACCACGCGATAGTTGACCTAGATATCTTGATATATCTACTCAAACTCTCATCAAGATGAAATCTCCACCGGGTATCCGATTAACTTGGTAAAAAATTGGCGACGCAAGAATAATGCATGTGACTGCCGTCGTCTAGCTCAGCGACGTGGCTGGCTTGTATTGGCTGTAGGTGCATATGGCCCCCAATCTCTTATCGTGCCTAGAACCGCGAAAAGTATTGCGACCGTCATATATCACTTTCTTAACAATTTCGTCTAAAATGCTCTACCAGCATATCCCATTGAAGAGTAACTCGCAAACGAGGGTGTTGGTTCTCCAGCCTGCTCAAGAAAAGTCGGAGGTTCTGGTTGGATCTTTGAGAGTATGTGACCTACAAAAGTCGCTGGGATTCATCATCCCATCTTCTCCATTTGAGGCCCTCTCCTATGTCTGGGGTCCTCCAAGCGCGATGCACACCCTCACGCTCGGTACTGCGTCTCTGCCTATCACAGCCAACTGCGATGCTGCACTGAGAGAGCTGAGATGGCCCTCTAAAGAGCGCCATCTCTGGATCGACAGCGTTTGCATAGACCAGACGGACGGTGGCATCCAAGAAAGGAACATCCAAGTTGCTATGATGGGTGACATCTATGAAGCAGCTTCTGATGTCCTGGTTTGGCTTGGTCCAAGCGACGAGAAGACTACGGCACTCTTGCGACACTTTAAGCGGCTGTATCTAATTCAGGATGACTTTTGGGAAGACGTGAGACACAACCTCTGTTCTAAGTTCATGAATAAATGTGGTTAGTACCTCCTAAAGTGATATATAGCTTGCGCTTACATTCGCAGAGGACAAGTGGAAAACGTCACAGATGTGGGCTGTCCAAGAAATCATCGAAGATCTCCTCAGCAGAACTTGGTTTGAGAGAATGTGGACCCTCCAAGAGCTTCTGCTCGCAAACCACGCTACAGTCATGTGTGGCACTCAGTCCATGTCATGGGATGCGCTCTGCCAGGCTTTGGAGCTCATCGAGGCCTCGTTTCCCTTGTCGAGTAAGGGAACTCGGAACTTTGTGAACTGCTTCTACGCGTGCTCCGACTTCAAAGAGATGTTGGAGAACATTGAAAACAGCGAGGCTGACGATGGAGCTAAAGTGCTTTCGAGGATGGTTCATCATTCGAGAATCAGACACGCCACAAACCCCAAGGACAAGATCTTTGCACTCTACGGCCTCTCACAGAAGCTGAAGAAGCCCATGCCGCAGCCTGACTACACTCAATCCATTGCAGAGATATACACCAAGGCCACTGTTGCTATCATGCAGCAAGACAACTCTCTCTGGCCACTGGAGAACTTGTGGAGCGAGAACCGGCGAGGTGATCTTCCTTCATGGGTCCCGGACTGGAGTGAGGACTCCCGCTGGTCCGATGATCTCAATCAGGACTTTGGGCATATTCCTTTGGATTATGCAGATCGCGACATCCCTTCTCACTGGGATGGACCAACAGAGCCAACCGCGGCGATCAAGATATCTCCCGACTACAACAAACTCACCCTCAGCGGCAGGGAAATAGGAGTTGTTGATCATGTGTTTGACGATTCCAACAGAGTGCAAGCTCAAACCGAAGCCATCGCTGCATCTAATGAGACTGTCGAGTATGAACTGGTGATGCGAAAGCACGGAGCAGAGACAATCAAGCTCTTCCGAAGGCTATGCTCGCGTGGGTCTGAGGGAGACCAGTCTGAAGCTCAACTCTGTCAGTTGTTGCTCACAAACAACCCAACACAACCTGAGACATCCTTCATGTCAGGACTCCGAGCTCTGAAATGCGTGTTTGAGACAGAAGCATCCGAGAAGAACCGACGGTATATCTTTACTCGAGCAAGAAACAAACTGATGAGAGCCACAAATCAGACGAGAGCTACAAATGAGATGAGAGCTACAAATCGGATGAGTAGGGATCCGCAAGTCCTATCCTACGTTGAGTCTGATGTCGATGCTGCACTCGACGTCATCTTTGGCGAATCTGATGTTGATAGTCACGAGTCATGGATAGAAGGCGACTGCGATAGATCGTTGTTCAACTCTTTGATATCTGCTGCTAGCCTTTACCGTCTGGTTAGGGGCCTTTGGATTAAGAGGTCGATCTTCACAACAGACACGGAGCTCCTCGGGTATGCCCATGGACGAGTCTTCAAAGGCGATAGGGTGGCCATGTTTGTTGGTGCCGATGTTCCAAGTGTGATCAGGCCTTGCGGGGGAGAGTTTAGGATCCAGGGGCCTGCTGTTGTCAAGGCAAGAGGGAGCATTGTGGATGTTCTTCAAGGCTCGTCGTTGGAAGAATTTGTATTGCTCTAGGGCGAGTTGTATTATATGGCTCGTTATTTGTCTGATATATGGCATCTTGTAGATATTCACTGTCGCCAAGACCGACTGGGACGATCCAGAGGAAAGTCAACTTGTTGCCAGCACTTTGTTCTCAAAGACATCTGCATCTGCTCAAAACAGCTTTTTCCCTCTAAATTATAATGACTTAAGCACCGGCGGTAGCGGTTTACATAAAGTACAGAGCCCAAGCAAACAAGGCCAGAACCACGTTAACCCCCGCAAGACGCGTAGCAGAGCTGTCATCGTCTTTGTCATCAGACGATGAACCGGAACCCTCCGAGTCAGAGTCGTTGCCAGAACCAGAACCAGAGCCACTGCTATTGGTCTTTTCGTCACCCCACGAAACAGCAGCGTGAGCATCCGAGATCAGCAGGTTCGAAACAACAGCCAGCTCGCCCATAGTCTGCTCCAACGCATCGTCTCCGTCTTTGTCGGCGTCAGACTCTTCAGCTGACTTGCGGAGTGCCTTGAGAATGATCTCGGCCGTGAAAGGCGCAATTTGACTCGTCACGGCGAGCCATCGCTGGGAGAGAGCTTTGAAGGTCAAGAGGTCCCTGGGGCACTTCTTTTCAGTGGGACAAGATGCTTCGGCGAAGCTTCCGCCCTTCTGGAAGAAGGTGTCGATGAAGGATGATGTGAGCTTCTCAACTCGGGACTTCCAGGTTGACGAACCGTCGGTCTAGAAAAGCGTTAGACTCCAAAAGCTGGTTGATCTGATGGAACATACCTGATTGTACATATAAGCCGCACCGAGCGCCAGCGAAGAAGCGGCTCCAGATCGCTGGACCTTGCTGATCTGCGTACAGTTTGACTTGACGCTGCTTCCATCATAGACGGCAAAGGTATCGTGGTCGATGAGTTCGATGTCGTAAAGCCAGTCCCATAATTTCTCGGCATACTCGACGTAGGTCTTGTTACCGGTCTGCCTGGCAAGACGGGAGCTGAGGGCGAAGAAAAAAGTATTGGCCTCGGCTGCTTGGATTAGTCCTTGAATCCAAGAGAAACCCGATCAAAACCTACCCGACTTCCAATCGTATCCGTTGTTGATAAACGCAATCTGCCATCGCAGGCCTCCATCGCAGGTCTTATTCTCGACCTCTCTATCCCATCTCAGGCGTTGCGACTCGAACACAGATTCTGCAAGGTCGAGCCACTGAGGCTCATCCTCGGGAGGATCAGGGAATCCATACTCGGCAGCAGTCAAAGCAGCCATGGCCCAGATGGACTGATCATCGTTGGCGGCGTTGAGGCTCTGATTCGCTGGGATAAAGTCCTCGTTCTGGCCGACCTGGTGCAAGATGCCCTGCACCACCAAGTCATTGTATGTCTCGTCGCCCGTCAATTGCCAGTAGTCGATATATGTGCTCATGAAAGCCCCAGACTGATAAAAGTAGTAGGTGACATCGTCGTCCTTCGTTTTAATTGTCGTCTCCGGCAGAAGGCCAGGTACTTGGCCAGTTTCGTTTCCGTGGTAAAACTTGATGAGATCAGCAGCGAGTGACTTGGAAGTCTTGAGGATGTCGTCTCGGCTACCGATTTCTAAAGAGTGAACAGGCAGGAGATGTGCCAGAAGCAGGAGGCCTGCGGCTTGGGTGTGGAGTGCAAGCATGTTAGCGAGGCCAAGAAATAGAATAACGTATATGATAAGCGAGCGTCGCATCCAAGCGAGCGTCGCACTTTTCAGCACCTATAAAATAAAAGCCATTATAAAAACGCAACAAATCAATTGATCAATTGAAACTACTCGCTATACTCTTCCCCAGACGTCTCAATCACTACCTGACACGTTCTTGCATTATGCCCGGGTTTACTGCATATTCCACAGCGCCGAACGCCCGGTCCGACCGACCTTCCTCGACCACCACTTCTCGACGATTCCGCAACTACCTGCGCATCCACATCCATCTGATCAATTGCTTGCCGTGCTTCCTCCACTGTTAGTACCCCTCTCTTCTGTAGCCGTGTTCTTTTTGCTCTACGGCGCCGGCTTAGTATCTCATTCGCCTGTCGAAGATCCTGCACCTCAGCCTTCAAAAGGGCATTCTCATGCAACATACCCAATGTTCCCTTAGTTAGAGACTTAAGAGCTCCTAAAATTGACTCTGGGGAGCTACTTTGATGCCTTCTGATTCGTCTCTCAAGGTATTCAGACTGAGACCCGGCCTCAAGCACTGTCTTTGGGGTCTTTGAAGCCCAAGCGGTCAAGGGCCCGGCCTCCTCCTCAACCGGCGTTGGGGTCCGTAGCTGCACATCAAGCTTTAAGACCACACTTTCTGGGTCAAGAGGGACAAGCCCGGCCCCTCTGAAAGATGACCTGATGTTTTGTTCTGTCATGGTAGCTTGGTAAGCGGCATAAAAGGCCGGGAAGAACTCGGTCTTTGAAACGTGGGTTATAGAGCATCTGATCAGATGCTCTATTTCTCGACCATAAGCCTTCTTTAGCAGGCTAAAGTACCCGACGTCGAGAGGCTGAAGTAAATGAGACGAATGAGGCGGCATACAAAGCGTAATGATCTGGTTCTCCTCGCAATATCTCTCAAAGTCGACGGAGTGGTGACTTTCATGCCCATCGAGGATCAAGAGACGATAGCGACCAACTGATCGCTTGGCTGTACACCGATCAAAGTGCTTTAGCCACTCAAAGCCTATCTCGTTATCGGTCCAGCCATTTTGGGAGGTTGCAATTGCCCAATCGCCCGGGAGGTTGCTATCTCGGTACCAGTTGGCGAGGTGATATTGGCCCGCACCTATGATGAACGGCTGGACCGCCCAGCCTTCCGCATTGATCGCCTGAATCACCGTAATCCATTCCCGGTTTCCAGGCTGCACTGATTTTGGTCGTCCACGTCTTTCTGAACCTGTGACGACCATTCCGCTTGCAATCATACCCATAAGGAAGCCAGTCTCGTCAAAGTTATAGATATCATCTGATCGGATGCCGTATTTCGCGATCACGTTCGCCACGAGCCGAAACCAATCGCGAATAACGGCTGGATCTTCGCACTTGGCCCTCTGGTAGTCGTATTTACGAAAAAAACGCGTCTTCAGCTTTTCCTGTCGCCTGACGAAGTTATGAGCCCAGCGCTTGCCGACGGGTAACGCGTCGCGGTCGGCGAGTAATCGATTGGCCATTTCTTCAACAATACGCAGTCGCGGGGGAAATCCTCGTGAATCTAGGTCAAGAATAAACTGAACTATGATCTCTTCCTCTAGATCAGATAGTCGGCGTGAATTCGGGATAGTATCGCGTCGGGATTGAATGCCCTGCTGGCGGCGACGAAGCCTATGATCAGAGACCCTATAAGTCTTTGCAACGCGTCGGATGCTAAGTCTTGGGTTATTTTGAAGGGCCTGAAGGGCAAGGAGGGTCCTAGCCTCAGTATTTGAGTCTGACATGATTTTTGGTTGAGAATCAATTGATCAAATGAAAGGTTAGGTGTAAGAGGGAAAAGTGCGACGCTCGCTTGGATGCGACGCTCGCTTATCATATACGTTAAATGAATGACAATGTAACGACCGTAGGGATTGACGCCGTGGAACCGATGGGAAGGTTTAAAGAGGAAACAGTGGCTCTTTAAGGTTGACGGGGGCATAATTACCAATTTAAGCGAGATGACGATCCTTCTTGGCGTGATCCTTCAGAGTAAGCAGCGCCTAACACTGCCACCGCAGAGATGCAGCTGAAACGTGACGATGGCTTCGTTGCTGAATACGAGCAGTGACTGCATATTTATCGAGCGTTTCCTGCATAACATGGGCCTTGGAAGAAGATGGTTTCCAGTTAATCTTGTCTTGGTTTTTGATCAATGTCTTGGTCGAGATATCGGCGATTACTCTTTATGGTAGCGTCCGTGAGGTGACATCCAAACCCGAAAACTCGTAACGACTTAAACTAGCAGCATCTCGAAAACCCCTGGCTCGTTCTCTGTCCAATCGGTGGGATTCTATTTCTCCTGCTTCGCCTTCTGAGACTCGTACCGACATACGGTCGCTCTGCCCGCTGGCTGATACCCCTTGCCTTTTCGCCTTACGATAAACTCGGAATTCAATCCCTCGATGGCGCACATCCTGTCCCCAACGCGCACGTCCCCAGGACCAGTTGCCAGGTTTCCCCTGCTTGTGAGAAACAAAACACATCTGTCTAGCCTTCGTGCATCGTCGTCAGATCGAGAGGGAGTTTGCTCTGCTTCCCTCTTTTTCTCCTTTCTCTTCTCCCTTTTTCGATCTTGTCATCAGAATCCCATGTATTAGTTGAGATTATTATGCTGACTTCATCTTCTGCTTGTCGTCTCACGCGGAGATATTTTAGGTGATACGTGATGACTCGCAACGCTCGATAATTCGGGTTCGGAACAGGCTCTGCTTCCTCCGACTGTGTGAAACTGCCGAAACCCTGGGGATGCACCATATAGTAAAATAGATATGGTGATTTACTTTAGTTATGATTCATGTCGGTGTCCGTCACGAAAGCAGCCCAGTGGTCTAGACATTGAGAGCGCTCTTGGTCGAGCTCCTTGGGGGATATGTTGCCCGAAATAGGGTCCCAAGGCATTCTGGTGCTTATTCGAGTGATGGCTTCAATCTTTTTGGCTCGCACGCGGAGCTGGCCTGTATCTTCTGCGGCTAAGAGAGACTTTGTGGTATACTCGCTTCCTTTCAAGGGGGGGAATCCTTGTCTATCTCCGGGAAATACACTATCAGGATTGCTGAGGTCCAGAACCTAGGAGGCTGAGAGATAAGATTTTGGACCGGAGGACCCAAGAGTGATCTATAGGGGCCATAGTCCCTTGGTGGTGATGATTAAGAATTTCGTAAACTGCTCATATACAGTCTTAACAGAGAGAGAGTTCAACAACAGGGAGATGCAGGTCCGGCCATCTGCTCTTGAGAAATGCCAGCATGCCGTAGACCTTGTCGTGAGGATCAGTCGCGTTGTTGAGCGCTGCCAGTTGAATGACAAGGATCATGAAGTTGACGAAATAATGATCGTTCGTTGATGGAGGCATCATCTTCAGCAATGAGTTCCGCATTCTGAAGTGGGCCATGTCTGCTCGGGTTGTGAGGCCCTTTCCAAAGCAGAAGTATGTGTAGAGAGCCAAAGGAGGACATTTTAGGTTTCCCATCACAAACACGGCTGACTTTGACAGGAGGAACTCTTGGATGGTCCATATCCTGAGGAACCAGGGGTTTGAAACGACCTTTGTTATACGTTCAGTCTCAGCAGCAGCTTGGTCTTGTTAGTGAGGCCAAGTTTCGGTATCAACATGCTGTACTAACAAAGGATCGGTGCTTCAAAGAGACTTTCACCGTAGGGCAGACTATCATCCGGCCTTACCTTCCTGTAAGCCTTCTTGACGCCCTGATACATGTTTCCATATCGCGCAGCATGCCGCATTACCGAATCCAAGCTGTCATCCGTGTTGGGCCCAAGCCAGAGGATCGTGCGAGTGGTAGAAGTATAAATCTCCCCCATCATGGAAACTTGCTGGTTCTTCTCTTCGGTGGACTGCCGGTTGATGCAAATGGCGTCGATCCAAAGGGTTCGTGGCTTGAATCTCTGGCCAAGATGGAGGAGAGCTTGCTCGCAATTGGGAGTGACAAGGATTGTTCGGCCCTCGCACTGAATCGTCCGAGTGCCTCTTGGAGCACCCCATGTATACGAGAGAGCTTCGTATTCGGCAGAGGCGACATTGCCTTGGTGGGTGATTTCCCTAAATGAGCATTCAATTGGCTGGTTTGACCGCCGAGCGGGATGCAGGATGAGAACACGGATATTCTTAGGGCCTGACAACGGGATGTACTGAAAGGTGATTACAGTGTCTGCCATCATGTGTCCTAGGATCAAAGAGCACATTGACAAGATATTGAAGGATCTCAGTTTATTTGAAGGATCCACGAAGTGGAGGGGGAGGGGTTTTCAGCTGATACGGGGGTAATCCTCCAAGCCACCCCCAGGCAGCTCAAGTGCCCATGCAAGGCACCAGTCGCTTTGATTGGCCACAAAGTGTATGAGGCCGCATACTATGCCTTCGGTATCCGAGGGAATCACCTCAGGTCCAGGTGCGGTTTTTCTGGCTGCCATGGTGAACGCCATCAATATTTCTGTAGAAAGACGAGATCTATTAGACATGACTTGCCCCAACAGGCACCTCAGCACTACCAAAGTAAGGAGGAGAAGGACGGCCCGGGCCGCTCGGAATGTAGAGTGATGAAGGAGCATGCATTCCCGCCCGTGGAGTTTCTCTGGCAAGTCTCCTTCCAAGTCTTGCGAGCATCAGCCTGGAACGATTCCCATAGACTCCGTTCCATCTGCTGATAAGACTCTATCGTATACCCGTCGTCGTCTTCAGCTCCACGGTCCGCACCTCTGTCTACCAGCAGGTTAAAGATGCGCTTGTATTCCTCGATCAAGGGCATCGTGACGTCGACTTCAGTCTGTTGAGCTTTATCCGCCTGTGGGGTTAGCGCTAGTTAATAAAGAATCTGGGTGGTAGAGGCTCACGATCCAGTCAGCACAGCTAGAACAATCCCTGTCGCGTTTAGAGATTGCTGCCCTGGCGTGGTGCACGACGGCGGTAGACCAACACAGCTCGCGTGCCAGCTGCAAGAGTGGTGTTTGACCCCGTTCATCCGTGGAATTGAGGTCAATGTTTTTCACCTTGACCCAAATCTTGACTATGTCTAGTTCCCCGCTGGCAATTGCGTAGCATAAGGCTGAGCGTCCTGCATTGTCGCGTGAGTTTGGATCAACCTCGTCTTTGGCCAGGAGAAACTTGAGCACCGCCATGTTGCGTGTAGTCTAACCACAGCCAAATAGAGCGGTTGACTTACCATCAGGGCCCTTTGACATAAAGTCAACTTGATCATTCGCCAGAAGGAATTTAGTCACTTCCGTGTGTTTCCAACGCAAAGAAAGCGACAGTACTGTTTGACCATGGTCGTCTTTTGAATTGACATCCACATTGCATTTGTCAATCAAGAACCTAATAACAGCCAGAGAGCCCTTAGAGGCAGCTTTTCTCAGTAGCCGAACCTTGTTCAGCTCGGTTTCGCGTTTCCCAAGTAGCAGCCTGATGATGGCGGCATCATCCTTGGCGATCGCAAGCTCAGCCGGGGTTTTGTGGCTGCGGCCGCGTTTGTTCAAATCTGCACCATGATCAAGAAGTAATTCAACCGCAGCTACATCCCCGTAAGACACAGCAATGTGTAATGCGGTATCGCGGCTTTCATTACGAGCGTTCACGTCGACATGACCTCTTGTGAGTAGCAGCCCCATCACGACCCGGTGGCCTCTTCTTGCCGCGAGATGCAACGGCGTTGTTGAGACTGAACCTGCAGAATTTGTGCGTACCTTGCCCGTGTCGAGAAGATAAGCCACGACTCCAGCCTGTCCGTTGAGTGAGGCCCATAAGAGCGGTGTCCAGCCGAAGTTGTCTTTTAGATCAAGGCAGCTTTCGTCTCCCAGGAGCCGTACTGCTTCCAATATTCCGAAATAAGCTGCCACATGAAGCCCGGTTATTCCCTTTTTAGTTTCACTGTTGTAGGCAGTATGGCCAATGTGAACGGAAGCCAGTATTTGTCGTTGCGTTTCCAGCTTCTTTTCACATTTCAAAAATTCAAGTACGGCTGGGAGAAAAACCAACGTTTCGCGAGCATGATATCCCCAGCTCACTGTGGCATACCGATATAAGGGGTATTTCTGATGCCGCCTAAGGCCGCTCCTATATATCCAGGAGATGTTTTGAACGCAATCGAGTGAAATGTACGCGAGGCAGACGGTGGTTAGATGGCTCTGCGCATGTGGTAGCCGCTTCTTCTTTTCTCGATCAAAGTATTCTTGAGCCGTGTAGTGAACAAGCCGAACAATGTCGCGTCCTGGATCTACGATAACCAAACCGGCGCATACAGAGATCGCGTCGTTCATGTCAGGGATATTGGACTCGTCAAAATGCGTCGAGCCGACAATGACAGCAAGAGCGTGTTGAAGCTGAGCAGTTGTGAGATGGGCCCTTGCATAGGCAACCCACGATAGAACTTCAATGGCGAGATCGCGTCTGTTCTGAACTTGACCTTCAATTCGATCTAGGGCAAGACCATAGGCGTGGTCGTACGCGTTGATGCCAGTTGGGAGGCTTCCTATAGTATCACGGAACGCTCTCACAGATCGGGCTCCGATCAATGAGTCCAGATGAAGGGTTGCCAGTAGAAACCTAAGTGATATCAGTATAATCTCGGAAAAGGTTAGGATATTTTACCGACATTCCATCGATAGCGTTGACGATGCCTTTCCTGGTCTCCTCTTGTAACTCTGGACTCCGTGCGACGAAGCGAGGGAACCTGGTAATGTAGCTATCTACGTAATTGCGCACATCTTCATCACTTGCACGGATCTCAAGCTTCTTGGCTCCTTCAAATCTCCTTTCGATATCCGGAATGTGTCTCGAGGTTGCAAAGATGTTGGCTCCATATGTTCGTTGCAAATGGAAGATCTCTAAGAGAAGCTTGTCATAAAGGTGCTGGTCGGCTTCATCAAGTGCGTCCACAACAATGAATATCCTCGAAAAGCTAGGGAAGACGGACTGAAGAATGTCCCGTGCCTTGGAGAGTGGGAGCGACTGGGATCTGCTGCTGTGTTCTTTGTGTAGTTTGTCGAGAGTAGAAGGATCATCGGCGGCCAGTTGCCTGAGAATACTCCCGAGAAGACTTCCTAGCTCAAATTCCTGTTTGAAATCGAGATAAATGAAGGCTACTCCGATTTTTCCAGTGTCATTGCCGTCAGAGTCTTTTTGCAGCTTGAGTAGATAGTCCACCACGACTGATGTGAGGACTGTCTTGCCGGCTCCGGGTATGCCTGGGCAGAAGAGACTGTTGCTGCGTCCGCTGAGGAAGTCCTCGAACTCTGGCGAATCCAACAGCCACTGGCCGGCTCTGGTTTCGGGATTTCGACTTCGAGATTTGTCCATTTGAGTTTTGAAGTGGTCTATTGGCGAGACCCATTGCCACAGCTTCTCCTCTTCCACTCTCCGCTGATGATGAACAACCTCTTTCACATCCTCACAGAATTCGGCAAGAACTGCTGCTCGTCAGAATATCGAACATAGATACATATATATCCAGGTAATGACACTAACGGGATTCGATTTTGCCTGCCCATGCTGGCTGTGAGGCTACCTTCTGAGGTCTCACGATACTTAAAAGATCCCTCGCGTACGCGGCGGCTGTGAGAGCTGCGTAGTTGTGCCATTCGTCATTCTTATGATCATCAGAGTAGTCGCAGATTCCTCGAATCACAATGCAGGGGAAGTTGTTCATCAAGCCCGCTGCCTCCATCTCGAAGCAGAGCACGTTCAACTCTGGGTCACTAGCATATCGATCTCTTTCGGTGGGATTCTTCATAACCGTATTTCCAGATGCGATGGTGCCATAGTGGATAGCAACTGTTCGGTCTGAAGCACGTGAGGGGCGATCTACCAGTCCCGAAGGATCGCACTGGTCGCAAAGCCTGCCACTGTGGTGCCGAGAGTCGACGCGATAAAGGTTGTCGGAAGTAGGGCGCGAATATTCGGGCATGTCGTCCATGCGAATCAAGTTTTCGGCCATAGAATGCCTCTTCCTTGGGTCATTGTGTCGTCGACGGACTTCGGGTAGGGCACCGAGAAGCACTCGTGGGGGAGCGTTGAGCTGGCCTGCTCGTTTGAACTCGCCATTTAACAGTTGCTTCCCCAAGTCATACTGCAAGACCCCTCCAAGCTCGCCTTTGGGCTCGCTGACGACGACATCGCCGAGCCGGATGTCCCTCTCAGGTGTCGGAGCACCTCCGCCAATTCCAACCATGAGGGCAAACCTCAGGTTGGGAAAGGACCGGACCATGTCTCTGGCAACGCAAGCAGCAGAGGTGGTGCCGTAGATACCAGATGGAAGACATCCAATGACAACATTGTGTTTATGGATGCGGCCGAAGACATAGGTATTGTCGTCGTTGGGATCGGCAGCTTCTAGGCCATCAAACTCATCGTCCAGCATGCGACAGGCGGCCTCAAATTCTTCTTGCAAGGCACAGATCCAGCCAATCGTGTAATCCTCGGCGGCTGGTTCTGACATTGTGGAGGGATTGAAACGCGTGCAGGAAGTAGGTCGCAGTCGACCACTCACGGCAACTTGAGAGTAATGGAGCTGACAAAGGAGAGAAATAACAGGGGAGAGAGGTGACTGATACTGTAGAAAAGGGCCTGCATGTGTTGAAGTCGGGTGTGGGATAACAAGACACCAGTGTCGGCTATCCGCGACCTAACCAAGGACGAAGGAGAAAGAGTGAAAGAATTCGGGGAAATGATCAGACAAATCTCACGGAGGGGACTTTAACAACCTCAGGCATCAATGCATTGCCAGCGTGGCGCAGGAGTGGTTGTCGGGAATCAGGCTGTGGATTGCTCGCTTTGTATTGGTAGTTGGTTCGTACAGCCACGCTGCCTCGTTCTGCCTGGGCGGACAGCCAGCCAGACACCCGACGATGGATCTATACCACTACCAACCTAGCTAAGATACAAGAACGATAGTGTGTCTAAGTCTCAGCTTGGGAAGAGGGTCGGTTGTCCGCGGCCCAGTACCCACGATGCCCAAGCTCGTAAAGATCAAACCGGGTGCCCCAAGAATCACACCCAACGTTGCGTTGCGCTCATTAAACACGGTCGAAGCGTTTCTCTCTCGCTCCTCGTAAATCTCCAGGAAGTCAAATCGGGCTGAGTCCCACATCACACAGCCCCATTCAAAGAGAGGGTCAGTGTAAAAGTCATAGACCCTCTCCTCCAACGTATAACGCCAGGTATCCTCGGCGCCATCATCGCCATCGCAGAAGAAAGGAGGAATCTTACGCATGGCCTTGACAAGCTTCTTGCTTCTTTCGTGTATGTCCCAGATGTGTTCGAGAGCGCACTTCAGGAAGGCGTTGTTCATTCTCTTAATGGGGATTCCGCCCCCAACCAGCCTGGATTTCTCTTCAAAGGTTTCGCTGCGAGCAATCTCGAGAATACTCGTGAGTCCAAGAGTCATGAGGTGCTGATGCGCCCCGCCGCCGTATCCGTTGAGGGTAATACGGTACGCTCCCCAGACAATGTCATGTGCAGAAACGTAGTTGTAGACTAGATGGAAGAAGTGAGTATTGTGTCTTGGAACCATGTCAGTGTGACGTACCTTGACCTACTTCACGGGCCAGGAACTCATGAATGCAGCCTAGCTGGGCATTTTCCCAAGGTGCAAACTTTTTGAGGAAGGATTTAGTCAGAGGCAAAAGTTCTTCCTCACTCTGAACGAAGCGTCCAAAGAGCTTTCGAAACAGCTCGAAGCGATACAAGACTCGTTCAATCCTCTCCCACTCAAGTCGGGAGACGGGACGCTTCTCAATGCTCTCCTTGAGTGGCTCTTGCCAATCGTGGCGCTCGGTACAGATGACGATGAATCGCTGCGCGAGAATCGAGACGGTCTGGACGTGGAAGTCGCTGAGGACCAGGGCCTCAGTCATGGAGATAGTTGCATCCTCAAAATCAGATCGCTTGAGCCGCTTGATAAAGCGCGAGACGTAAGCAACTTGTCTTTCCATTCTAGAGTGGAGTGGACGAGGCTGCTGTTCGACATCGGTACTCAGGTAGGGTGGCGAGCACCGGTGGGTCATGAGGGCTTCGGGTAGGTTGGCAGCTCCGATGCAGTTAGTCAAGACGGTGCGCACGAGAGCGGGCTCCTGGTCCTTGAAGGCGACATAGAGTTGTCGGCAGGACAGTACGGCCGCAGCCAAAGAGGGCGCATCAGGGAGAAAGGATAGAATGTGCTGATGTATCTCCATGGGAGCCGCTAGAAGGCGACTGTCAACTTCCGGCATGATGGATATCGCTGCCCCAGGCTGCGTATCTTGCGACGATCTGATGGGAAGCTTGAGCGAAGTCATCGTTGAGGAGGGTGGGAAGAAGAGGGAGAGGAGGAGTGGGATGGCGGAGTAGAGAAATGCCATCAAGACCACTTGATAGGAAGTTAATGATAGATCAGGCAGATGATTTTCTATTTGCTTGATGGCTTTGTGTGAATGCGTGCATGCGTGTTTGGTTGGTTTCTGCTTGCCTCATCACTGCAGACGCACTTTCCCGAACAAACGAGGCAAACAGTCAATGACAGTGCCGTATCAACGACGTCAAACCCAGCAGCTTCTTGTATGAAGAAAATAGAAAAATGTTCGCTATTGATCAATACCTCGTGTTGCAGGAATGGTGGTTTCCGACAAGTAGATTTCTCATTCACGAGAACACGTATGGTATGCCAGTTCAACGTCACCGAGAGACAGACCTTGCATACCACAAGTAACCTTTACTCAGAGATAATGACACAACAGTAGATCAGAGCTTGATCCCTGGAGGGTTTGGGTGAAAATCGGCTTCTTTGTTCTTGTGTGTTTGATGAGACGTTTGGTGGGAACCCCAACCAGTGGTATCACAACAAAGATATTTTGAAACATTACATGTCATATAGGCAACGGTATATATTATCAAAATTTAATTCGTTCGCGATGTGTTATGTTTGGCATAATGACAGCAAGCTAATTTAACCATCCTGGCTAGACCTAGTGGTACTCAACTAGTCGCTCAACCTTGAGCAAAGACGCCCCCCAAGGCACTCAACTCCTTGAAACGACCATCAGTCACAACCTCGATCTTCATATCCGGCGACACAATCTTGTGTTGCTCAATTTGCCGGGTTCCAAAGTCAAAATCCTTGTCATTCTGGACAAATGCAATGAGATTTTGAATCCATTCACTCATCATGGCTTTCTCCTCGGTAGTCGGCCCGTGGTGAATAGAGTAGCTGTCGAAAAGTCAGTATGACACCCCTCATTCAGAGTCTAACCCGATACTCACTTCCAGTAAGATTTATCCATGGCGTGTGTTACACCATACGAAAGAGGAGCCACCTTCTCAGGAATAAAAGAAAGCCGGTAACCGATTTGATACCTCCAAATATCCGAGACAGGAACGCCATGCTTGTGCAGATTGTCCACAAAGAAACGCCCCGGGGCGCGGACCTGTCCATCAGCAATGATGTTTCCAAAAACGGCCTTCCATTCATTGAGATCTGTGCCCTCAGGTAGCTTGTATTGCTTGATGACGCGGTCGGTTGTTGCTGGAGCGTAGTAGTTGGATGTTTGCAAGCGCAAAGCGTCGATGTTTCCTTGTTCAGGTGCGTTGAACTGGGCATAGAGTTTGTCTTCGTTCAGCACCTCGCCAATGAGGAGTTTCATGCCACGTTTTTTGAACTCGGAGGCGAATCCTCCGTCTCTGAGGTATTCTACCATGCCGGAATGGAAGAATATGTCATCAGTAACGGGACGGAAGGTATGGTTGTTAAGCTTCGGGATAGCGGCCAGAAGTGTTTCCTGGCTTACTTGTCGTAGCTTCGCAAGCCTCTCGGCTCCCGACAAGCTCAAGTCAATCCCCAGGTATTGGCAAACTTCATCAAATTGCTCTTCTACTTCAGCAATGGTCTTGGGCTGTGCTGGAATGGCGTTTGATGTCATAAAGATGCGATGGAAAGGCTCAGCCGGACCGTCATTGTTCTTCTTTCGGAATTCGTAGAGGGTTTGGGCCTCGACAGAGTAGGCGCCTGCACTTCGTCCAGAGAGTGTGATGTTGTTGACATCTCCCCCAAAGCTGGCAATGTTTTCGTACACCCACTCGATAGCAAGCCTCTGGTCCCAAAGGCCAAAGTTACCAGCTGCCTCGCCTCCATTCTCATCGCCAAGGGCTTGAGTCGCAAGGAAGCCAAAAATGTTGAGGCGATATCCAACCGCAACAAAGATGGCATCCAATCCACTGGTTCCGACCAGCTCAGTAGGATCCATGTCGAGATCCTGGGATGGATTGCCTATCTGGAACCAACCTCCGTGGATCCAAATCATCACAGGCCATTTCTTGTTTGGGTCTTCTGGTTTCTTCACCGGTGTCCAGATATTCACAACGAGGCAGTCCTCAGATCCAGGCTTTGGAGCAGCGCCATGGATCTGGGCTCCTTGTGCACACGGAGGCCGAAAGGATGTGGCATCGTAAGAGCGCCCTGGTCCAGAATACGAATATGAGGGAGGAAGTGGTCGTGGTTTTCGCCATCGATGCTCTCCCGTTGGTGGTAAAGCATATGGGACTCCAGCATATCGTATCGCCTTATCATCGTACTGCAGTCCCTTGATCTTACCCTGGGGACCAAGATCGAGGATTTTTTCTTTGGTATCGTATGAAATTGTGTTTCCCATATTGTATTAATTTGAGTCGTGGTTGGTTGCGGACAATCTTGTCGCGGCTCTGATCACGTCTTTATCCCCTCATCGGAGGCTAAATCAAGCTCCGATCTTTGGGACTCCGGGACCAACAGGCGCCACATCCTATCAGCCCTTGAATGACGTACAGATGCTAATAGATAAAGACCTCATAGGAAATGAGATTATGAAGATAATGAAACAACTGGCATTGGCGTTTTTCAATGTAGGCTCGTCGTAGCAGGTGGTGGATGGGTTGGGTTTGTGTAGCCTTCTACTCACTTCAGCTTCGAATTGAGTGAGTGCCAATATGCTGTCAAGATGGCTATATGCGTCCCTAAACACAAAGGAAGACCAAAATTCATGTTTCATTGCTACCTCTCAACGCTGCTTGGCTTTCCCTAGCCCGGAACTTCTAATTTCCTCGTTCCTTGAGATATAAACCCAGTCCCATTGAAACCGACCCGAACGCCGCTGATTGAACAGCTATCATGATTTCCTAGCTTCTAATAGCGCCGCCGAAACAACTTGTTGCGATACCTCATGAAGTAATAATAAAAGCTCCCTGCGAAACGGAGCAGGAAGCTAACCGAATTGGCCCACAGCCAGAACTGAAAGAACCTAATCTTGTGCCAGTAGCTTGACCCAAGAAACGCCAGAGGCTTCAAGCTGTCGTTGAGAATGATGAGACAGAGGAAAAAGTTGGAAAAGATGTAGCTAGCAAGGAGAACTGTTCGAAACTCCAGTAGCGAGTCGCTCTGATTCGGCTGCTTCTCCGTTTTCACCACCGGGTCTGGCGTCAAGGCTTGAATAACGACCTTTTCATACTCGGCGTCAATGAGGTGGATATCTTCGTGAAGGCTTGCGTTGCTGGCTCCAGAGACACGATTTCGCGTTTCGGCTAGTAGTAGGTAATTCCGGGAAGGTTCTTGTGATGGAAGCTCTTGCCGCTTGCTTTTGTGGCCCCAGGAGACGTCATGGACGTTGCTAAAGGCAAAGATGTTGAGGATGTTGACGTAGGAAGATGATACGAACAAGAACTGGGCGTATGAAGTGAAGAGATGCCATGGATCCAGAGCCAAGAAACCGACGGCGATGTACACGCCAAATATCGATATTCCTGCTGTGATGATTGTCGCAGGTCCCAGGTCTGTAAAGTATTCATTAATATAGGCATAGTTACTGCCATTATCATTCTCCAGACGAAAATCGACGAGCCGTTTTGTAAGATAGATCAGGTTCATCATCATGTAGACTTGGATGAAGCCAAACATGAGAAACGACACTGTATACCCAACGACATGGTTCTTCGGTCGGCTTCCCAAGGCCAAGATGAACTGAAACAGAATCATGGCCAGGTAGACGATCTGGAGGACGGCATTGACGGTCGGAGTGGCCTTGCCAAACGGGAAACCGCTGATTTGCTTGCCTTCCGGAGGATCGCCTGCGATATCGTTGATCGTAAAAGTAGTGAGTAAGAAGGCCGCGAGAGAGAACCAGGCTAGGATGAGAGCGAGGATATTGTGGAACAACTGTAGATGAAAGGCCGCCAGTCTCAGAATGTTGTGTCCAGAACGATACATGCGGCCCCAGTGTGTGACGACGTAGATGGTAGAGAAGAACGCGCCGTTCAACCATCTCCTTCGCTGGTTAATGAAATCCACCGTAGAGGTTGGAATGTCCGTTCTGGCAACGATCGAGCTATCGTACTCGAGATGCCATTTTTGACCTGCTTTGCTGACGACTTGGAAGCAAATAACACGATCGTCGGCCAAGTATCTGTTGAGATTCCACGGTCTCTGAGAACTCTTCGTCTGTATTACAGTTGGGTCTCCGAGAAGAGTGTCTTCGAGAGGCTTTCCCATCTGTCCCCGGAATCTATAAGGTGTTAGTATGATGTGTTAAGAGGAGGGGTTTGCTTGTCAGACTGGTTCCTTACCTCCAGGCAGAAAAGGCCCCCGGAAGTAGAGCCAAGTATCCTGTAGCTGACTCGAATGTCCTATCCAGCTGGAACCCGATCTTATACTCGAAGTGTTGGGCCGCGACCAAGGGGTTCAGGATGTTCGTCCAAGTCTTGCCAGTAGAAGCCTTCAGTTCACCACACACCCCACCGAGATCCCTGTCGTAGTAGAACTTGTTCCACACTGATAGCAAGCCGGTTGGTTCAATCTTAGTTCCCGTGTCGAGGTGCACAACGACCTCAGGGTTGAGTATTCTTGACACCGAGTTGTAGAGCCATCGATAAGAGTTGAGTTTTCCGTAGTTCTCGTTTTTGATGATTAAGATGAACTGGGTAGGACCGGGAGAAGGATTTGTCAAGTTTGCAAACTGTGAACTCTTGAGCCCTCCAATCTTGAGGTCTTCCGTCACCGAGAGCTCGGTGGTGTATTCGAACTGGCTTGTTAGCTTCTTGCGCCAGACTTCAGAGACTGTCACTTACCACGTGTGCGCGAACAGGCTTGTTATTCACGGTTTCTCTCAGTAAACCATGTCGATAAACTCCAATAGCAGCAAGCACGTCCAAGGCTCCTCGGTCAGCAGCCCTGAGCCCGTCAATAGTGATGCAGACAACGAGCTTCTGCCAAGCGGGTCCACCCTTGTTCCAGAAGTCATGGCGTTTGAGGACATGGATTCTGCGGCATGCTGTCACGACACTATGCAGACTTCGAGATAGGAGGGATTTCTCTTCGTTGTAGTACGTGATGCCTACCATTAATTCAGTGTGCCTGTTCTGGCGTCTTGCGTGCAGATCGTAGCCGTTCTTCAGTGTAAAGTCATTGGCATCGTCAACAACCGCGGTATCTACATACTGTCAGCATCTAATAAAGCAGAGTTGAGGGTAGACGTACATCTGAGGTTGTTAATCTCCTCTTGTTCGTCATGATCGTTATATTGGCTGGCCCAAGTCTGATTTGATGCAATCAAGGAAGGGACGGGGTGGAGGGAGTCCCATGGGTCCATGCCCTCTCGGGAGAATCTGACCGGGCGATTATCCAGATTAACTGATACTCAATTAGTCCCCTTGTCCACCTTGTTGAGATATAGTGCGGGAGTGACCAGCATACCTGAGCTATCCGTCTCCGGTTCTCGATAAGCGTCGTAGCTCAGATCGCCATAGGAGTCGTCCGGCCCTTGAGCGGCCTGGGTATACGAGCCGTAAGAATTCCAAGCCATGATGCACGCCAAGTTGAAGAAGCCAAGATCGCAAGAGCCAAGAACCAGATGCATCCCGGTTTTAAACACCCCTAAATGCCGCGAGAGTCGTTCGGGGGCTGAAAGTGCTTCAGCCCCAAGCCACCCAACCTGTCGCAAGCCTCCAACTAAAGAAGTTAGCCGGTGTGTGGTATGCTTCGATCTATTGGCTGGCCGCACACTATCAACTGTGACGAGAGCCTGCAAAGTCAGCCTTGGCGGCAAAGCAGTACACTCTGCTCCGTAGGGGCTAGGGAAATGGATTTATTGGCAGGCACCTATTTGTAGAGGGTGCTGAAGATTGGTGAATAAAAGCCTGCATTTCCCGTCTCCGATGAAGATGGGACAAACATGACTGGGAAAAACTCTCCCTTGATGATTGCAGATACCAACCTGTGGCAAATCCTCGATAAAGAAGGGCGTTTGATTGCTCAAAATACGGAGTTACAGTGTTTCAGACCAGCATTCAGGTGCAGAGAATTGATCGTGTGCCAAGGCTCTCACGGGTCTAGAACCAGCTCCCGCCCCAATATCGATTTGTGAACCCCTGGTTTACGCCACTAGCTACAAGTCTAGACCGTGTCAGGTGAGCTCAGAGTTTGGACTATCAATTCCTGACTGGCTTTGATTCGCTTGCTCCTGAGACACCTGCGGCTGAGGCCTCTTATTAATGCTGGTTTAGGGTAAACCGCCGGTTTAGGGACATGTATGATGGGCAGAATTGGCTTGCTTGGAACGTCGTTGTCTGTCAACCAACACTGTCACCACTCAAGTCCTGTCATATCTTTCATTCCGTTTTGGGATAGAAAGGTATGAGAAAACTCTTTGTGCGCATAATGATGCCTTGGGGTGTTCTGGCGATTATGTGGAGGAAATCTTCTTCTGGTCTATCGTAGCTGCGCTTGGACGACGAGAACAGAACATTAACTTTGAGTTTTTATAATTTTTCCAAGGTCTTCATATGGTACGTCAAGTGGCCTGCTTCAGAATACTGTTTGTTCTATTGTCATTCTCGCATTTCCTTTCGATGGCCTCTCGAGAAATTCCTTGGCCAAGTGTCTGGATAATTTATACTCACAGTTATGCACAACTGTAGGTATCCAGGCATGATGTATGTCTCTATAATCACATATTGGTTGAGCGACTGGATATGTGTTTTTAAACCCGGTTGGCCAATTTATTCCGTCTTTAAAGTCCTTGCAGCGACTGCGAGCTTGCCTCCAAGCTACTCGTTCAACAAAACAAGCCAAGCTGAGCTTTTCCATGTCATATTGGCCCTGTCAGCTTAACTGATTGCTCTCTACACAAAGAGACTGATGGCTTTCGTCGAGGTTCGTGTTAGTATCACGGATACGTATAGAAGAGGTACTCAGAATACTAGAAGTAATGAGGAAGTCTCGGATAATGCGCAACACCTACTGAACTGCGCGTGATTAAAGCACACCTTATCAAGACACAAACCCGTCACTTGATCCTCAATTAATTGGAATTATCACTATCAAAACCGACAAGATCAACGCCAGCTAGCCCAATCTGCCCGAGGCACGTCGCCAAGGTGAGGGGTTCACGGTTTCGTTCATTGGCCAAGTCAAGACACCATGTTCCCATTCAAGCCAAACAAGCGAGAAATGGACGATTGCGACAGAAACCCCGCGCATGGCGATTGCGAAATGCCCAGAAACGGGCTGAATCGAGGACATATAAACCCTTCTCGGTCGCGATAAACACCTTGATGGGCAATTATCCCTGGCTTGAGATCCTATTTTGGCTTTTACCATGTCTTCTATCGTTCCTGAATTTGAGGCTGCCAATGCGCAGTATGCTGCTGCTTTTGACAAGGGAGACCTGGCTCTCCCGCCCTCTCGGTACGGCCCTAGGTTACACTCATCCTGCATCAAGTCTGACTGGCCATAGGCACGTTGCAGTTGTCGCATGCATGGATGCACGACTTGATCCTGCCCAGGTCCTCGGCATCGAGTTAGGATCTGCTCATGTGATCCGCAATGCAGGCGGTCGTGCAACCGACGCTCTGCGATCAGTCATCATCTCTCAACAGCTTCTTGGAACTCGAGAGATTATCATTGTCCATCATGTAAGTGCCCGTCCTGTGATGTTGGGCGTCACTAACAAAGTAGACCGACTGTGGCATGCTCACCTTTTCCGATCTCGACATCAAGGCCAAGGTCCGAAAAGACCTGAACGAGGATGTCGATCACATTGCGTTCCTGCCATTTGGCGATCTCAAGCAAAGTGTTCGAGACGACATTGCTTTCTTCAAGAAGAGCCCGCTGGTGTTGGACGTCCCCATCACTGGCTACATCTATGATGTCAAGACTGGCAAGATTGAGAAGGTTGACGCCTAATGATTCATGATTTTGTCGGTTTATTGTTCCTAGCGAGTTGCAAGCTGTTTTCTTGGCGGCAATGGAAATGTTTCGGATAGTGAGCCCTTCTGTTATTGTCGCTGTTGGTGGCTGAACCGCCAAGGCTCACATCGCATGACAATTTCTTTATTCTGTCTATTTGATACCTCGATCGAATTAAATATTGAGCTGCCTTTGCAATTTCCACCTCATGTTATTACTTGACCTGGGCGCTTACCAGCGGCCAATTGACAACCCCCCTGGCCTTATATCTACCTACCTATCTCGGAACCGAGGCAACAGGAGATCACGTGTGAAAAAATATCAAGCCTCGTCGCGTCTGTTGGAGATCTGACATCAATTTCAACAACATTCGCCTTGACGGCTTTCATTTCTCTTCAATTTTCAATTCTTTCGCGCCAATCTTTACGACAACTCTATAAAACACCATGACATTATTACACCATGCCTTACTCATTCTGTCCCTCACGGCTGCTGTCAGTTACGGCCTCAACAACCGCACACCGCCAAGCGTCTCACGCATGATCAAAAAGACATCTGCAATCGGAATATTATCCATTCTGAGCATTACACTTCATGCTCCTCTTCTACTTGTCGCAGCCCAGTCCTTTGGCGCCATTGGAGACAGCTTTCTCGCCTGGGAAGGAGCTGAAGCATTCCTTTGCGGCCTGGGGAGCTTCTTGATTGCACACCTCTTCTACATCGCCCTATTCGCTCAAAGTGGTGGTGGCATAGAAGCCCTCTTGTCTGAAAACTGGAGGGTATTTTCTGCCTCGCTCATGATGGCGCTAGCTGTTGGCATGCTCACCAAATTGCTGCCTGCCCGTAAAGTGAAAAGAGATGGGCTCCAGATTCCAATTCTCATCTACTCCATGGCAATTTGCGCCATGGTTCTTGCGGCACTCACGATGGATGGTAGTCGTTTGATCTTTGGTGCAATCATGTTTACTTTTTCGGATACTCTGCTGGCCATTGAGAGATTCTTACTTCCTCCCATTTCACGCAATCGAGCTTGGATGGAGCACACTGTTTGGGCACTTTACTATCTTGGACAACTCTTGATCATGGTGGGGTTGTTAGATTTCCTCTAATTCCTTTGAGGATTTAGCATTTTCAGTTGAAGGATAGCTTTGGAGGCAGGCCATGAGGACGAAGATTAGGTGGATAGAGCAAGCGCGGGATGCTTGTACAAGAAGTCTGGTTACTTACACATTCCTACTACTCCATTGCATTTAATCAAGTATTGTATGAGCGGGCTGGATGTGATTTATGGAAATGGCGGATATAATTTACGCTTTCAACTTGTCTGACGGTATGTGCCATGAATTTGATTTATCGAGACTGTGCAGTATCCTTTCTATCTCGAAATTTCTCCAAGACCAAGGCCTAGTTCCACCCCAGCTAGCATCACCATCACCCTTCCATCTGTTCTAATCTGACCCTTGTACTTGGAGTCTACTGAAACAGACAGTTGATACGAAGACCAGTAGCAAAGTATGGACCGGCAATCGGGATAAAGTCAGCAACAAAGGCAGCAATAGCCCCTGCCTTTCCACAACCACCCGAACCAAGGGCCTGGGAGGCGACTCGAGCTTGGTAGGCATCGGCACGGAGCGATCCGTCGCGGTTGTAGACGTTCATGCGCATGATGCTAGGAAGCCAGGTGCCCCATTTCATGCCAGTGCACTCCATACCCTCCAACGGACAGTCCTTGTTCTTGGGACATTTGGTCTTTGACAAGCCGCCACAGGCAGAGTTGGCCTTGTTCGGCTTACCCTCCTGCCAGGTAAAGCCGTAACAATTGTTATAGACAGTGTAACCGTTCTTCTGGCCAAGTCCATCGGCCATCTTCCACATGGAGCGAATCAAGGCATCTCGCATCGCCCAACCAGTCACACGGCCCACAGCGCCCCATTGACCATCAAGGATAAAGTTGGTGCTGACGCCGGCGCCTGCAGAAGGACCGTTGCAAAACTTGCTCCAAGCACCACGGCTGACATCGGAGAGACCTCCGCGGTCGTTGGATACGTCGTACATGCGCTGCCAGAGCATGTAGAAGGTATCGACATCGCCCACGTTGACCAGACGGTCAGTGTACATGCCATAGATTTGGAAGATCCAACTGGCTCTGGAATCGAGGGTGTCGGTTTCGTTGGCGGCTATGGCTTCCTGCCTGGCAGCTTCTTCCTTGACCGCCTGGAGCCAGTTGTCAGGGTCAACTTGATGGACCTTGGCCAGCTCGTCAGGAAGCTTTGCTTGTTCGACAGAGGGTTGAACTTCAGCTGGCAGAGCGAGAGCCAGAGGAATGCTTGCAAGCATTGCAAGGGAAGTAGAGAACTTCATGATGATCGATCGTTGGAGGCCAGATAGGTAATTGAGGAATGAATATTTGGGTACGGATTCCAAGTTATCGGTGGGAAATGAGTGCACTTTTTATGCTGCTGGGAACCATAGCACCGGCAAATCTCTTCTAACTGTAATTATCACAGCTTCCTCATGTACGCGGAAGCAATACGAATCTCTCTAGGCCTGGCTTCCGCTGTTGAGCCAAGCTTAGCGTGGTAAGAAGTCTGGTTACCGAGAGCTTGTGCAAAACCACCTTCCCTATGAAGCCCATCCTCTTAGCGGTGACTGAATATGAAGAAGGCTTAGTCGATATCTCAATGAGTTGTTTTTGGGGGCAACAAGGGCTACCATCACGGACCACACCAGCTGTTACTCCACAATCGATATCTGACTTTGAGTGACTGACAAACGCTATGGCCTTTGGCTGAAAATGAGGGTGCGGTTTGTACCGCAGCGCTGATAAGATACCTCCTTCAAAATGGATCTGCCCATATTGTGAAATTACTCGTCTTGGTATTGTGTTTGATTGGATTGTCAGTGTTAGAATACCTGGGAGCCTGTTCGGATACCGGCAGGATACCTTGTCTAATGGTCATGCTATCATCGACGAGGGTATGTCATTAGACTCCATAAGTCACAGGGGTTCAAAGAAGAGGGAAACTTTAAATAACATTGCCGAGCCAGCTATTGGATTAATAATCTATCCGTCTTCCAAACTTCGATGAAACTCATCACGTCTACTCTACCTCGCAGCAAGGCCCTTGCCGATGGCTATGGCTATTTTTTACACCAATCATATAGGAGGGAATACGGAGAGACCGAAGCTCTGCCACTTCATCTTGGCAAGTCTAATCCTCTCTAAGTAGCGCTCGGCAGATGAAGTTGAAACCTTAAAGCTAAGCGTGATCAATTTCCTAGGGTCTTGCGATAACTAACCAAGGGTCCAACGGTAGTAGATAGGCTAGGCTGCCTTGATGCCCGCGATAACTGACATGGTACCGGTCTGCCCCTGCAATCATACCCCTTGTAGGTTTTTAGGTTTCAGATGGAGCCATGAACGGTTCTATTCGTATTCCAGAACATGCTAAAATTTGGCATTCGTGCCGTGACCCGACACTGGTCCAACAATGGGGCACTAGTCGTTTGACAGTTGTAAAACGGTTTACAATACCTGCCGTTTATGAGCTAGCTTTGAGATGGAGAGGGCAGTTTATAGTTTGTGCTAAACTTTAGTCACACGATCACCTGAGGCAGCAATGGTCAACGCGTGGTCTCTTATCTGAAATGGCATGGCTTGACAGACCAGTCGTGGTAACTCGGATACCAAAATAGGCAGTTTGTACCCTGATATAGAAGCTTCATGAATGGGTAATGATTTGAATATATGGTTCAAGCTTTCAACCTACCTTCTGATAAGCTTCAAGTTCTCACCCAAGTTTCTCAATCCGTTGATCGCATCACCATGCGTATCTTTGCCCTGCTCTTCCTTGCTTCTCTTTCCACTCCAACGACATGCATCAAACTCCGCAAAGCAGAGTTCAACGTTTTGATATCCTCAAGAAAATCGCTCATCCTGTTCACAGCAGACGGCTGTAAGGAATGCGATCGAGTACAAGGGTTGCTGGACAATGTATCCTCGGTACTCACCAAAACAGCCATTGCCTCAGTCAATTGCAACGAGGAGCCGTCTGCCTGTGATGATGCACAGGTCTTCACCGTCCCTACGTTGAAGTATACAACAGGCGACGGCAATTTGATTACGTACAAGGAAGCTTTGGATGCGTCTTCGTAGGTTTCTACCTCAATATTTACCTGTGCAACACTGACCATGACGGCAGAGTTGTCAAGTATATCGAAAGACAATCTGGTTCTCCAGTCACGGACTTGACTGGTAAAGGTCACATTGATTTCGCGACTCCAGCCCGAGTGGCGGTCGTTGCATTTCTTGGCTCATCAGACCGCCAACAAGACCGCAAGAATTTCAACAACGTTGCTGAGCGGTGGCGGGCGCATTACAGCTTCGGTTCTGTTGATGCTTTAGACGGACACAGTACGCAACCTTCCATCGCTGTTTATACACAGGAGGAAGACGATCCTGTCTACTACCGCGGGCCCTTCAACGTGGACGATATCAACGCTTTCTTGCAAAATGCAACTACACCTCTGATCCGCGAACATGATCCAGTGATCTATGAACATGCCATTGCAGTAAGTCATCCTTACTTGAACACATTCATCCTGCTAACCGATTTAGGATGGGAAACCACTGGCTCAAATCTTCTTCAGTAAGCGTGAAGAAAGGGTTGAGCTTGTCAAGTCTTTGATTCCTCTTGCCAAAAAGTACCAGGATCAAATGACATTTCTGAAAGTCTTTGCCCCGGATTACCCTGCAAGATGTAAGCAGATGCATCTAAGCAATGATGTCAAGCTTGGGTTCGCTATTGCAGATCCCCAAGGAAGGGCGTATCCGATGTCGACATCGGCTTGCAATGCCAACAGGATTGCCAAGCACATATCTGCATTCTTGGAAGGGACATTAACGCCGACGATCAAATCCGAGCCAGTGCCTGCTTCCCAGCCCTTCTTGACCACGTTGGTTGGCAGCAACTTTGACGAGTTCGTCTATGACAAGGCCCGAGATGTCCTCGTTGAGTTCTACGTCCCGTGGTGTGAATACTGCACAGAGTAAGTTCCCCAATCTCCAAAGTCGCTCTAAATAATTACTGATAGACATGGATAGGCTTCATAGGCATATGAAAGAGCTTGGATCCAGATACTCAAAGTTGGGCCTTTCTAAGCAGGTTTCTATAGCTGTGATCAACGTCGATGCTAATGATGTGCCGATTGAGATTGACTCGTATCCGTCCATTAGGTTGTATCGCGCTGGCACGAATGAGATCGTACCCTTCCAAGGCAACTTTACTCAGATGTTGACAGAAGAACAACTGGATAAGTTGATCTTTACAAGTGGAAGTCATGGAGTCAGTGCATTTGACCGGGATAGAGTTGGTCACCATGATGAGCTGTAGTTTAGAAGAACTGTGATCTATCAATTACTTCAGAGAACCTGTACCTTCTGCCTTCTCCTTCGCCTTTCGCAATGCGGTCTCAAAGCTCATCGTCTGTCCAAACTTATCCGTAAATGGGATCAGACCATCCATAACCGTATGGTGTCCTTCTCGTGCTGTAGTATATATCTTGAGGGACTCAAAGGCTGTGTCAAGGGCGTCGCAGAGAATTGCAGCGGTGACAGCTTCTTGAGATGTGAATTGGTGCTTGAGGGTGCTGTTCTCTCAAGGCTGTGAGTAAGGTAAGTAGGATTCCAAGAACAGCTCCTAGTGTTCAGCCCATATCGTCGACAGTATCGGCGATTTCTTGGGGTATGTTGAGTTGCCGAATGCGTCTTCTTATATCATTAATGAGGATATGCTCTTTTTGGTCGTTGCTCTCCTTGGAGACGCTGCCCTATCCCCACTCATCCTGGATTCTGGCCCTTTGGACCCCTAGCCGGGGCGTGATGTACCTAATCAAGTATCCTTCGTTCATCCACACGAGTTACGTCGTGGCATCAGCATTCGCTCCCGTGTTCCGGAATAACCCTCGGAAATATCTCCGCCACCCTCCCAGCCCAAACCTGCACCAACAGGTGGAATGGAAGCAACAATCTGGGTTAGCAGGGGATCGTCACACCGACATTGACCGAACAACGAAGCTGCACGGACACAAGAGTGAGGCGGATCAAAAGGTCATCGTGTGATGTGCTAGGATAAGCCCAAGACACCACAGCATCCCCCGCATCTCCACACTCCTTCCCCAGCTCTCCACGTCATTATCTCCAGCCTGTAGCATGGAGTATGGAGTATGGCTGAGGAATCTTAAGGCAATCGGGAGTACAGAAGGAATGTTCTCGCAGTACATATCCTAAAGAGAGGATTCTTTTTAACAGGACGTAGGCAGTTATAGCAATCACCCGTTGAGTACTTAAAGAAGGTTACCTTCTGTTTGCGGTACGATTGTTAGGTGATTGAGTCATATTCATGGTTGCCAACTCGCCATAACCATAGGTAGGCACAGGTGTCTGTCGTAGCCCCTGGGTCGCCGACAGTAGGCACCATGTGATCCATGCCCAACAAGCATAATCCTTCTGACTCGTTGGCTCTGACACCAATGAATAACCTGCTATCTCGAACTTCATTTCTCCGTACCCACAGATACTTCTCGGCCCTCGTCGAAGCTTGAACCGAGCGGCAAGGTCTTTGGCTAAGGCTGTCTCCTCACCTTGGTAATCGGGCATCGGTGTAATCCGGGACGAATTGATCGACAGACAACTATAGTTTTAAAAGAGATCGGGCGTCTGCGGCTTTTTCCGTCTCATACCCATCCTCATCCATACCCGATCACCAATGTGGCACTATGGAAACATACCTTTCGAGGTCAGAAACTTGTTCTGGCAATCACGTTGGCATCATGCCAGGCCTTTCTTCTACTCGGTTTCGACCAGGGGGTCATGGCTGGGCTGATTGGTGCTGAAAATCGGTTTGGAAGAGACTTTAATCACCCTGATGCTGATATGCAAGGCAATATCACCGCCTTGTACGACATTTGCTGTGTGGTCGGATCGATTACTTCGATATGGTAACTGACTGAGCATTTCCCAGGATGGACTATGGAACCAGCTTCACCGAGTCTTCGCTCCAGTGGAGATTCCCCCTAGCATTCCAAGCGGTGTTTGCCATCTGCCTCATCTTGCAAGTCATTGGTCTTCCCGAATCCCCCCGATGGCTCGTCCAGCATGAAAAATACGAAGAAGCTCGCCAAACCATTGCGGCAATTGCTGATAAGACTGATGACGACCCGGATGTCAATAGAACCCTACTCGATATCCGAAGCGGTTTGGAAGAAGAGCAAAAGGATCGCCCCTTCAGCATCAAGGAACTTTTCTCCTGGGGCGAAGTGCAGAACCTTCGAAGGCTACTCATCACCATCTCCATCCAGCTTGCACAGCAGTTCTCAGGCAGCAACATGATCAACTACTATGCGCCCGTCATTTTCCAAGGCAGCATGGGTCTCGATCGAAATACTTCTCTCATTGTGGGAGGCTGTTCTCAAATCACCTACCTCATCGGCAGCTGCATCCCAGTCTTCTTGATGGATCGTTACGGCCGGCGGACACTTCTCATGGCGTGTTCAGCCGGGCTTAGCTTCTGTTTCGTCATGGTTTCGATTCTTCTCTCTCTTGAATCTACAGGCTCTGCGTATGGAGCTACTGCCTTTATCGTTCTCTTCCAGCTCATTATTGGAGTCGGATGGTTACCTGTGCCCTGGTTCTATCCCACCGAGATCAACACTACCCGAGTTAGAGCCAGAATGCAAGCCATTACCTCTGGCTGGAACTGGATGGCGGTCTTTGCCGTTGTTAAGATAACTCCCATTGCATTCAGTAACTGTGCCCTGCGACACTTGGATGCCGTATCTTGCTGACTCTACAGAAAATATTGGGTGGAAAACTTTCATCATCTTTGCTGTCCTCAGCGCCTGCTTCCTTCTTATGGTGTACTGTTTCTACCCCGAGACAAAGGGTATTGAGCTAGAAGATATTCTGCTATTGTTTGTCAAGGGTGGCGTCACTGGAGGCGTCTTGTCTTCTAAGGGTGGACGCACTGTTATGCTGCATCAACATGCGCAGGAAATGCAGCTTGACGTCAAGGTTGGTGGAGTTCGCGAAGAGGTCGAGGATGCCGAGGCGTAACTACATAGCGGCAGGGACACATGTGTCAGTCTACGACAGCCATATCACCTAGAAGCTATTATATTCCTTGTCCATTTCCATAGCTTTCTCTTGAATGTAATGAAGTGGGCACGGTGGGGTGTTCACATGGGCTCTTCGCACGTTCCAGCTCGTTGACAAGGATTTTTGCTTCGCCACAATACACTCCCTCTACCCCTGAATTCTTCCTTGACCCTCTTGGCCCTCTTTGTATCCACAAGCGCAGATCAGCTTCAGGGACATCCTCGTTCTCCATCGTCCATCAATTCTGCCGTGCATCACCGCCTCATTGGCTGACAGCCTGACAGTTATGAGTAGGACCGTGTGCCACCTTCTCTGCTAACATGCACGCTCTTCTTAATCTTTTCATCAGCCGGTTTATCTTTCTCTAAAAATGTCTCGAGAAGAACCACTCGAGCTACGGGAGGAGGTGGGACGGCTTGACTTCAATGTCCTCAAAGCAGCTATTCGAGGAGAGGCTGTCCCACAAGATTTATCCCACTATGTGACGATTCGCTGCTTGGTGAGCGGTATTCGCCAACATGATGGATTTGCCGAGGAGCTACGAGGCAAAACACAGCATCCGTCAATCTTACGGGCACTCAACGCTCGGGCTATCATGAGCAACCGTCTCCCAGAGCCAAACCCACCGACCCAAGAGCTCCCCTATTGCTTCTGGTATCCCGACATACCAAGCGAGCAGACCCTACGAAGTTTGTTGAAAGCTTATCCGAACCCGATAATGCCCTACTTGGTCGCTCGTGCGTGTGCGGCTGGCGGGTATACGGAGCTGTACGATGAACTCGATGTGTTGCCTGATGTTGCCGTTGCCGAGGAAGCCCGAGACAATAAGGCCAGCGGCCAAGAAATCTATGACAGAATTATGAGTGCGCCGGCAAGGTACAGGGTTATGGACGACTATAACTGCACGGTTTCCCTTCATCCGAAGCCTGGGGCTCTTCTCAACGGCGATACTCGCGTGCGATCAGCTCTAGACAAGAGGCAGCCAATTAGCCGAGACCTCTACCCGCCTTATTTTGACATTGCCGAAGACTGGAGGTTGGGAGCTGAGGGTCCTCATCCAGGGACGCGGCCGATCCCGGACGATGTGGTCTCCCTGTTGTGGAATCCATTGCCTCTCGATCTTCCAACCGTGGACAAGGATCTCTTGATCCTCATGGCGGCGTATTCGGGCAACATCGATCGATACGCTCGTCTGCGGCGGCCACAACTCATCAACGGTGAAGCTCAGTGCATCGTCCGTGGGATTTATCACAACACTTTCTTCGCCAAATGGTGCTCCCAACAACCCGATCTTGAGCGATTCCGAAAGTTTGTCCACGCCCGCTTCATCATGAACGATGACCTTACCTGGGTCGACGATATCGACACTTCTCTGCCTCAAAAGGACCTGCCGTATACGATCTGGTACCCAAGGCTGGCAAGCCCCGAGACCTACATGGAGCTCGCCCAAAGAGTGCCCGTTTTGAAGCAAGCAGCTGCTCACGCAATGATCGTGGCCAAAGACTTTGATCGCTTCGTCGAGCTTCAACCCAAGATCAACAACCTCTTGTACGAAGAAGTCCAAAACCAAGGTTGCTACGACAACTTCATGGGATACATCAAAGAGCACGCCTCTGCGGAATCCATCGCGCAGTGGGATTCCCTTTCTGAAATTCCGGATGTCGACGAGGTGGCCATGGATGAGGCTTTGCTGTGGAAGGAGATGAAGCCGTCGACACCGACGCCCTTGGAGGAGGTCACTCTGGACAATGTTAGCGTCAGCAACCGAACGATGCCTCGTTCCTACGAGCAGAATGTGGCGGATATCATGAATTATGCCTCTGCTTTCCCGAAGAAGCAAAGAGAATCGGGCCGAGGTGGGCGAGGAGGTCGAGGGGGTCGTAGAGGTCGTGGACGGTAGTCAATCAGATAGATCAACCTGCATTGAATCACATTCTTATTGGTTTTACATTGCTACCGACCAGTTTTTCTTTTGCGAGACTCCATCCATCCTCCAACTTGCAAACAATGATGCACTCCATCTAGACGATAGATACGAACACTCAGGGGCGGTCGAACCGCTCGGGAGTCTGAGACAACTTGGCCTCTGGGTGACTTAGACCACTCATCCAATCTTGCAAGTCTGCTTCTTCAAGAGGTTCTGAACTGCTTCATCCTTGCGTCTAAAAGCAGGAGAAAACAGCTTGAGCTTGCCAGTATCAAGGACACGACGAGCTTCAGCAGCATCGTTGAAGGCCTTGCGAGGGCCCTTGGTCTTGATACCACCCGCACCGATGAGCATGCCCAGAATGGCAAACGGCGCAGAGAGGGGGTCGTCGACGATCTCAACGATGCTCAGTGCCGCGTTACCGGCTTCTCCAACAATGAGAGCGGCACGGGCGATGACTGCGGCGCCACCGAGAGCTGAAGCTGCTTGACCGACAAAGGGGATGACGGCAAAGACGATGGTCAGAATGTTCATGACCAACTCCTTCGTCTTAGTCTCCTTCTGCTTCTCACCAATCTCCTTGACCGTCTTGATAGACTCGATAGCATCCTCAAGCATGAAGACAGGCATGCTGAAAGCAGTGGCAGCATCCTCACCAGACGCGTCAAGACTCCTATCCTTGCTCTTGCTGTACGTGTAGTCTAGAAGGTCGGCAAGTTCATCCGTCTTGGGAATGGCCTCGTCGATCATCTCCTTGGGATTGGGCACATTGATCTTGCCCGTGTCCTTTCTTCGACGAGGATAGTTCTTGAACATTGTGGCATCGTTGAGGCAGGGACAGAATGCGGCCGCCTTAGCTTCCGCCTTCAGTTCCTCCTTGGCGTCTCGAGCCTTGAGGGGTCCTGTTGCACAGGGGCAAGGATCGGGCTGAGAATAGTCGCGCCATTCGATCCAGTCTTTCTCAATGCCTGTGTGCTCCAGGAGGGCCTTGTAGAAGCCGTCTTCGTCAACCACCTTGTACTTGATGACTCTCAACCCACCCCCCATGCCTGGCGGGACCTTGAGGTAGACCTTGGTACAAGAGCCGGACCCTTCGTTGAACTGGGATGACCACTCGCAGTCCATGTACTTGTTGCCTTCGCCGGCAATAATTTGCATGAACTTGTCCAGAGCGGGATCGATGCCGTCCTTGACCCAGTCGACATACCACTTGAACTGTCGTGTGTCAGCGAAGGGGTCTCGAAGTGAGGATTAAAAGCGCATTCTTACCTTGTCATCTTAACCTTTGGACACCTCCTTGTAATCCGTTATGGCGGTGGCGAGTTCTTTCTTAAGGCCTCCTAAAATATACGAGGGAATGCACTTTCCGGGGCTCGAGTCGGGAATGTCTTCAACTGAGTCGTACTCCTTGTCGCACCACTCGTAGGTTCCGTCGGTTCCTTCGGTAAAGTTGCTTCGAGTATCATCGATGTTCTCGGTATCAGCCCAGAACTGTTGAAGATCGATGGCCCAATCAGAGGTGCCGCCAAAGTTGAGGCCCTGGAAACTCGTCAGTTCTATGCTCTATAGGTAGACGTAACAAACTCACCTTGTACTTGGAGATCCTGCGCTTCTTCGTTGTCTCTGTCATGTACGCGACCCATTCCGTGTCTAGAACCGTGTCAACCATTGCCACCTTAACTCACTGTCCACCTCGTCACTTACTGTCGTAAATCATGTAGTCAGTATCCGTGGTCTGATCCCACCAAGAGTTGACATTCTTTTCAGCCTTGATCGTCTCGATCTCGGCATTAGATATGTAGCCAGACGTATCGGTGCACTTCCCCTTCTTCGCTCCATTGCCAGTAAACGTGCACATGGGACCCTTGCAGTTGGCGTTGCTCATCTGGAACGATCGTCCGTAGCTGGAGACACCAACCACGACTTGTCGTGCCTCGACACCAGCCTTGGTGATCATGGCCAGTGAGTTCATGGTCTCGGTCATGTTGACTATATCTGTGTTAGTCATAATCTGGTATGGGAGAAAGAGCGCCACTTACCATGTGATCTAAGACAGCTACCCTTGGGACAACCCTCAGCGCCCCATGACGACTCGAAATCCCATTGGCCTGCGACTAGTTAGCTATCAGTCAACCAGAAGAAGATTCAGTGTCTTACCGTGAAGATCATACGTCATGTAGACAATCTTTGTGAGGCCTGTTAGCCTGCTGTTCTCGACCAGGTCAAAGGTCAACTTACATAGTCCACGATCTTTGAGATTTCACCAATGGGAAACTGCTTGAGGTACCAGAAAGAAGCAGGGGCTGCAATAGAAAGAGACTTTTCCTTACCCAGCTTCTTTCTGACCAGCTTCAAAAACTCGAGATAGTCATCCGGTTCTTTCTCGCCTCCAGCAGGAATGTCCGGTAGATCTGGGGCACCTGGATACTCCCAGTCAAAGTCGACACCGTCAAGCTTGTTGTTGTTGACAAAGTTGACAATCTCGGTGGCAAATGCCTCTCGCTTGGCTGGCTTGACAGCCTCGCGTAGAATCGCGTAGGTAGGGATACCAACAGAGAAGGACCATCCACCAAAGGCAACAATGCGTTTGACACCCTTGAGACCCTTGAAGTTCTTGAACTGGCCGTATGTGTCCTCGACGTTGACCTTGTAGTCCTTGGTGATGTTGGCAAAGGCAAAGTGAACATGGGTCCAACCAGACGTGAAGGCGGATGTGAAGGCACGGGCGATCTTGGTTCCAGGACTCAAAGTAGGCGATCTTCTTGTACTCAGAAGGTGCTTTGCCATTGTTGACAATGTCCATGCCGCAGTTAGACACGCATCCGTTCTCGCCTGGCTTGGCAGTGCCTGGGTTGCCCGTTTCGGACTTGGACTTGGTGCAGTAGTCCTTGGTAGTTCCTGGGAGGTGTTAGCGGTATTTCGGCACAACAAGTGATATCGATATCAACATACCACATTGACCCCAGACGTTGCAACAGACATTCAGCGGGCAAGGGTTGAGATCAGCCAGCTTCTTGTCTCCCGAGGGCTTCTTGGTTCCCTTCTTGGTTGGCCCACATTGAGCGTTGGAAACAGGTGCAGGAAGTGGGGGTGTTCCCTTGCTCAGGCAGATGGTCTGTCCGATCAAGAGGTTCTTGCATCCGTTCCAGCCCCTAGAGTGGATTGTTAGCATGGAATCAAGTTGCAGATATGGCGTACTTACCAAGTCTCCTTGTTGAACCCATCGAGGTCCGTCGCCTTGAGACCGTTGGCAGCGGCAATCTTTGAGCAGCTGTCGTCTTTCTGCAAATCACGCATCAGCTTAAATCAATGCCCTTCTGAATGATGAGAAGCTCATACCTTGGTCGTGTAAGAAAAGCATTCACCGTCTGCCTTGGGCTTGGGCCTAAGATCTGGCAGCGACCCCGATGAACAGCAGACGACCTGGCCCTCTACAAGCTTCGAGCACAAGTTTTTGTCGTAGTTGTTGTACTTGGTAAAGTCAGCACCACTGATTCCGCACTTTGTGGCAAGGGAACCGCAGGAATCTCCAGAGATGACCTTCCGGGTGGTGCAAGTAGCTCGTGACATCAGAGCGTTGTGGTGAGAGTGGAGGTGTGAGTGGGAGTGGCCATGGGAGTGAGCGTGGCGAGAGAGGAGGCTCCTGGCATTCTTAGTGGGGATCAACTTGATCTTGAGATGGTCAAGATTCTCCTCGTCAGAGGCATCGCCAGTGGTGACACACTTAGCCTCGACCCACGACTTGATCGTCTTCTGAATGAAGATGAGATCGTTTTCAGTGGAGATGGCAACTCCCACAGTGTAATCGGCAGTGAGGTTGCCACCACACACCTGAATAATACCTCGGGATGCGTCAGTTGCTTGCGAGCGCTGGCTGATCTCCTCCAGAAGGGAAGACACGGCGTTGGTCTTGTCGACAAGACCACCGAGGTAGAAGCCGACAACAGTGCCCTTAACGCTATTCAATCAGGTTAGAGACAATGCCAAAGATGGATCAGACGTGAAAATTTTGACGTACTAGCTGAAGAAAATGGTATCCTTCTTGGCCTTTTCATCGCGATGAAGCTGTTCCTCGATATGTTCGATACCAGCGACAATGTGCTGCTCCTTGCCAGCAGCTCGAATCTCGGAAGACCACCAGGCACCGCGGGCACCCTTCAAGGAGTCTCCATCATGCGGAATCTCAGCTTCAGCACAACGGGCTAGTCGAGAGGCAGTCTTCTCATCAGAAGTACAGGCTCTAAACTTGGCAGTTGTCTCCGGGTCATCCAGAGGGTTGAGAACCGCAAAGTCAAACAGCATGGGCTTCTCGCAGCGTGAAAGGCTTTCAAGAGACCCATAGACGGCCCAGTCACTGGGGCCGGTGCCGTCACACGCTGAGGGACATGGCGAAAAGTCTGTGCCGGCCACGACCTCCTCTTCTTTGGCGAAGCCGAGGGTGGCCGCTAGCAACAACGACTGAAGGTTGGAGCCGAGCTTCATCTCCAGTCGGCAGTGAAGAAAAAAGAATGAGGGTTGTTCTCAATGAGAGTAAAGATGAGAATGTCTTAACGAAGGTAAAGTATTAGAAAAGAATAAATGGGAGAAAAAGAGTAAAGATTGATCTGAAAAGAATGAATGCAATGAAAGGTACGCAGCGAGGCTTGTCTGACAGATTCAGGGTGGACGATTCCAACATTATATGCCACCCTCCAAGCCCTCAAACAATCATCTTAGTAACCGTCCGACTATGATCTCGCCGTTGCATCATTAACCCCTGTAGACCAGCTGAACCGAACAAAACTCCACTCGCAAAGGATCCTTCTGTTTGGGAGATATTGTCCGTCAGCTTACCAGCACCATCGTGAAGGATTTTTTCCCGCTCCTAGTTTTAAGATTGTTTGTTTCAACACGGACGTGATCACCAGACCGAGACCGTCACAGCCTCACAGGGCAGACTGGGGCTGGGAGATAATCGGTGGAGATGGTCAATGGGGGCACTGATCACTTTTGCATCGCTGCGTTTCTCCAGGAAGAGAAAGGTGTCGGATTCCTTGGTCCTAGCGCTGAGACAGGAGTTTTTCTTCATGCAGGGCAGCGCGAATTAATCAAGGGTCGGAAAAGGTCAATCAATCTGAGCTGGTTGAACATGGCTGAGCCGTGGATGAGCTGACCTCGGCACCACATTATTCGAGACTTGAAGTTTCATTCTTCATCTGAGATGAGCCTCTGCTCATTAATACGTCTCCTCGTCCAGCCCATGTGAAGTTTGCAGGGTAAGTCACTCGTTCACGTCTTTTGTCTGTAAAGCCCTGGTGTCTTTACAACCACGACAATACTCATTCTCTTTCACTCTTTCTTGACAGTCATTCACTAAGTCACTATTTTACAAAATATTGAGTCGTTCTTTATCACCCCCACTCTTTCAGAATGAAGCTCTCTTTGGGCTTCCTCCTCTTCTTTCTTTCCGTCTATGTCATTGCCGGTGGCATAGGCGGAGCCTACGAGCGCATCTTCATCTGGTTCGCCTACCAAGCAACCATAGATGCGTGGTATGCGGACGAAAAGAAAGTCGACGTCAACAAATTGGACATTTGCAAGGGCAAAAAGGGCAACGGACGCTACGGCACCCTCAACTACAACGAGTTCATCCAATTCACCAACAAGTTTACCAGTAATGGTCAAACAACTCTGCCTGCTCTCAAGTCCTTTACTTCCCCTGACGGAAACGTCGACCGCGCTGCACAGAATCTGCTGGATAATGGTGGCGTGCGGCCGACTTGGTCTTCTACAAAGGACATTGTTCAAAGTGCCAATACCTACGACTCTCTCGTGCGCAGAGCTGGCGTCGTCCTATGGGATGCCAAGGGCTATCTCCCCAAGAACGGCGCCGACAGCAACTTTGTCATCAAGGCCGAAGACGCAGTCCACAAGGTGGTCCAATGCCGTACGGTGGCATACGACTTTTACCGAATTCCAGAGATGAAAAAGTACCCAGCCTTTGAAAAGTACAAGATTGAACCCTTCTACTACAACCTTGGCACCGTCAAAGGGAGTCAGAATGCATACATCGACATTCCCCAGATGGCCCACGACAATGGTGTCAGTGAAGCGACCCTGAGGCAGGAGATTGCCGACTTTGAAAAGAACCATCTCTTTCAGGACCAGACTGGCAGCGGGCAGTTTGACAGAAACGGTGTTGAGAAGACCAAGGGTAAGAGTGCTGAAGGCCACAAGTGGGCCATTGAAGGGGCCGAGGATGGAGAGTCAATTGCCAAGACTGGGTCTTGCTAGAGGCGTTGCTGCGGGTGCGTCGATCACCTCCTTTTTTTTTATCTTTGAGGGACATTTATTACGTTTGACTTGGATAATTCCCTTGTCTAACGTTGAAGGAGTAGATAGAGTTCGAGTAGGTGCAGTAGTTGCAATTCCTTTGTCAGAGTGTTCAGCAGAAGCCGGCCAAGCCGGCATCAGATCCGAATCTGGCGAAACCCAGCGATTGTGCCTTGCCAAAAGTAAACGATCCACTTGGCTCTCTCCTAGTCCTTGCAGGATGCAATCTCTCCTCTTTCCGCCGTTCGATCTCCAGATGATTGATTATCTTTGGGGCTTGTTCGTTTCATGTCAAAAGTACATCCCCTGCTCGGGTGGCGGAGCGGCCGCGGCCCCTCCCGTCCCATGTGGGGCGTGTTCGCCTTGGTGAACTTGCCGTTTCTGGATATCCTACCCTAAATGCCCGAGGCAAGCACGTGCGATTGCAGCAGGAAGAAGAGTCTGTTGGTGAATTCCAGAACTTCTGAATGCTAGGATTGTTACGATCCATCATAATTTTACTGATAGGGTCGCAATTACGATTATGCAGCCACATCCGCTGTGGCTGTAACTCACCACCGTCCCGAGCTGAACACTAACCGTCATGAGCAGGGCCAAGCACAACCACATGCCCCTGTGGCTTCATTGATTGCCCGTCCTTCACTAAACCTCCTTTAGAAGGTCTCAATTGTCTTTAATTGATGTGAGTTGTTTCCGGCTGGCTTCGGCATGTCGCCCAGCAGGCCGTCTCCTGAGTTATCAGGTAAGGGTGGGAATAAGGGACATTGTAAGAATGGCAACATTGGTTACCCTAAGGATTCTTGTCAACATGAAAGAAGCTAGGAAGGAATAGCAAGGTTTTAATAACCATTATGCATTCCTACAAAGTCCCTTGGAAACTTTAGGAATTTCTTTTATAAATGTACTCATCACCACAGTCGTAGCCTTAGAGGTGGTTCTCTCCAAGGTGGTGTCAGGTATCACGGCAGATAAGAGGTCTGGCTTAGGGTATTAGCGACGCTCCAACTAGGCTTCATCACTTACTGTCGTCATATAATGGAATGCATGACTGAAGAAGCCATTTCAGTTAGCAAAGTTAGTTGCGGTATTGACCTTCTGGACCTTTGGCGCCTTTGAGACTCATGCTGATAAGATCATCATCCAAAAACATTGGGGTAGGGTTTCCCTTGGGTTTTCGCCTGCAGCTGAAGCAAACTTCCCGAAGCCATGTGGAAGAATGCAGCAAGGGTAGGCCACGTGTTTGTTGCATCTGTGACGACGAACGACACCAGTTTCCGTCCAAGATGGAGAGCCCTTGTGCCGACTTGACAATATGACGGTGATTTGTTACACCGTTCTATCAGCCTTTTTACAGACATTGACCTGCAAAGCGATTACCGTGTTCTCGACTCATTTCATTACATGCAAGAGTAAGTTGACAGAGTTAAGCAAGTCAATTGGGACAAAGCACCTTGAAAGAAACGTCGCTCATTTTCATTATCCTGGTCCTCCCAAAACAAGCCCTAACTCCTCAATTCCTCATTAAGAACCTCTGCAATATCCTTTGCCATCTGCGACTTGCGACCCAAAGACCAAAGCGCCCCAATACAATACTCCGTCCGTTTAAGACTCTGCTGCAAATCCTCATTATCATGTCCCAGCGACAACTCATGCTGCCTCAAGTCCTCTGCTACGCCCAAGTGGAATATTGCAGCCTTGGCGAACCCTCGAATCAAAAGAATGGTCCACGGTTCTGTAAGCAATGGGCCTTGGTTCACGGCAAAGTGGAAGTTTGGGAGTTGGTCTGCTGGACTGCCGGTCATGTCTGGTGGTGGTGATGTAACTCGTGCGAGGTCGGCCAGTTCAATCGCGCTCGACTTTCGTATCCTGGCCGTCATTTTAGAGTTGATCCGAGACATTGTGGCTTCCTTGCGTCCCAAGTTGTTCCTGTCCACAAAGTCGATCAGGTCGGAGAGCATAAGAGAAGCCAGATGCCATGGTATTGCGATGCAAACGAACCATGACTTCATCCTGGGAGGCACTGAATCGTAATCGCGAACTAAATCTCGAAAGAAGGCGCCATATGTCGTGTTCCAGTATCGGTACGTAGAGATGGTGCTCTGGATGATCTCTTCCACTTGCTGGTAGAACTTCTTCCGCAGGGCATTTTGCAAGTATGAAACGTGGCGGAATAGCAGCACTTTGATCGGCGCTGCCCTCGTCACAACCTCGGCTGCAACATCCTGAGGACAAGGCCAATGAAGTGTGTTCGGGCCATCTTGAGCGAACAGATTGAGATCCCAACGCATGTTGGCTTGTTGAGCCTCTGATGCAGCCTTGCTCGCCAGCTGCTCTTGAGCCGCATCATGTTCACAGTCCTCATCAGCCAAGGCAATTGGCCTCTCATTCATGGATGAAGAGACGGTGTCAAACATGACGGCGAGCCAGAACAGCAACCCTATCGTGCCTCTCTCCTCCATGTCGACACGAATTTCGTTGTGTTGCTGATACAGTTGACTCGTCTCCAAGAAACCTGTTTCATTCGCCTCAAAGTTGTACTTCAGAGCCTGCATCTTACGAGCAGCCCTCTCCATGAATGTGGGAGGTCCATCCTCAGACATGAGCTCCAAGACTCGAGGTAATGCTGAGATCTTGGCATTCCCAACCTTGCTCTTGCGGGGTCTGAAATCGTCCAAAGAGTCATCGTTGGTTCGAGGTCGTTGCGTGAGACCAAATATCAGCTCCGCGTAAACAACTCTGTAAGATTCAACTTCAGAAACATCTTGCAGAGCCTTCTTTGCTTGTTCCCAAACTGATAACTGAAGGTTCTGCTCAAACTCGTCGGCGAGTTCATCGGCAATGTCTCTTGACGGTTCTGGCTCCAAAGGGTCGATGGATCCTGGACGATATCGCCGCCGATGCTTGCTCCCTTGAGAGAACTGGGTCGCAAAGGCCATTATCACCAAGTCAAGAGCCCTCGATGCAGACTGACTCTCAGCGCGTGTGAGCCGAACCAGCTTGGCTGCACGTGCCACCTGATCAAGATGCACAACCCGACGGTAGATTCGGTTGGACCACACCGTTCCCCATTCAGGAAGTATCGGGGCATCTCCCGGCATGAAGGTTGATGCTACTGAGTTCATCCGTCCACGCCTGTTGCTCCTGCTCTGCATCTTGTATGGGCAAGTGTCGTCTGCAAGCCAGCACGCAAGATTGTTCTCCAAGACATCATGATAAACTTGCAACAGGCTTTCCGTCATGAGTTTGCTATTCTGTCGCTCCATCAATCCAAACTCGGGATGAAAAAGTGAAGGCGATGCACTGTTGTCAAGCCAAGTTGGGGGCCGAGGCCGACGATGACGATGATCTCTTCGAACGTTTCCCCTCAGAGGTGCTGACCGAGTGGAAAGCCCGGATCCATAACTTGCTGACAGCTGTTGAGTAAAGTCCCATGAAGCTTGAAAGTCAAACTCGGATGGTTGTGACCCAAAGGTAGCCGTGAGGTTGGACAAGGCATCCTGCAAAGACTCGTTGGATCCATCGGTGGAACCCCCGGGCGCTTCGGAATTGGCATCCCCAAGTCCAATCTCGGAAGGATCATCCGGAGATTCCGTCTCCAATCCAAGAAAAGCAAAAGTATCATCCGCCGGGAAAGCCTCAGGGCCTTCCAAGCTAGGAATGGGTGCCTCCCAGTATTGAAAGTTGCTAGGAGACGGGGTCGGAAGTAGGTTCAACATGTCGCTCGAGCTGAGATCAAAGTCTCTGGATGCAGAAGTCGATGCATCTCGATGTTCCGTTCTCTGTCGCTTGCTGCGAGAGTTTTTTCGTGCGCTATTTTCGGCTGCTGGCGATGCAGACGACTCGCTCTTTGGGGCGGATCCAGCGGACCTTGCTCGAACCCAATGAGGATTCAGAGGGCATTGCTTCTTTGTTCTGACGCAGTAGGAGCAAGGCAAGATCTTGGGGTCTGCTCTTTGTCAGAAAAAATCGTGAATATCAAGGCAGTTCAGTTTGGGACTTACCGGCTGCATCACCAGAAGCCTCTGCCTGGGCCTTTGCACTATTGAGCGCATAGCCATCGCAAAGCTTTTTCGACCTTTTGCAAAAATCACAACTGTGGTTTTGACGTCTAACCCTGGTAGTCGACATTGAAGGAGTCAGCCTGAGGTATTACCAAGTTACAAGCGGTGCCGTGACAGATATAAGAAATGTGCCAGCAACTAGGGCTTCAACGATGCATGATAGAGGAGTCGCGACGAGGGCCTGGGTGGACTCTCCCCTATTAATACTCGAATCCGGTCCACCGAAAATCCCTTCCCCGCATTGCACTAAAGCGTTGGGACTGCGCTGAAAAGTGAGGCCTTGCCATTGCTGAGGCTCTCATTGGAGAAGCGTGGCTCTGGCTAACCCGGGGGAGCGTAGTGCGTGTCCCAAGTGCGGGGGAGAATGGGGACGTGTTCATGAATTGCCTCTCCCCGCAAACGTCGGCATCGCCAGTGGACATGACTAGTAGGGCTTGCGAAGGCTTCAACTTGTGGTGGGTGGGTGTGTGATCGGCAGATGCTATAGGAGAGTCTTGTCACATAGTCTTGGTCCTCGGCTTAACGGAAATGCATTCTATTGACACCTTCTCGATAGTTCGTCCAGTTGTTTGTTCGTTGGATACCCCTGCTACGTGATACGTAAGATTCAGCGGGCATTTCCAGGATAGGCAATAGATCGATGTGCGGAAACCAGTAGATTTTCAAGCTATCTCAACTTCCCCATCTCGAGCATGGACCTAAGAGTAACTACCTAATCAGGCGGTCTTGGGCATCACTTTTAACAGTTCAGAAGCAGCGCCATCGCAGATGCGAGTCATAACTAGAACCCCACCCATTCCATCCAACATTCCATCACGACAACAACATTTTACTCCACGATTAAACCATGGTCCTTAAACCTCATCCACATCCTGCTTGGGCTGATCACCACGTCCTCTAATGACAGTCGAGAGGTCTCCGAGGGGAAGACAGAAGGGAAAGTCGACCGACAGAAGGACAAGAGCAAGAAAGATATACCAGCCAAGAAGCGACACGGCGAGGAGCAGCCCAGCACCGGCGTGTTGAAAGGTCAGAGCGTTATCAGAGGCACCATGGGCTACGGCAAAGAACGAGGCGGAGAGGCAGCTGACTGTTGAGAAATGGGTTAGCTATTGTCGACATTGCAGGGGATAGAGTCTTACAGCAAGGAACGAGCAGCAGGAAGATGAGGAAGAAGATGATGTTGGTTCGGATGCTTGCTACCAAGAAGATTGCGCAAAGAATCGCCATGGCAATGAGGAAGAAAGAGAAAGTCGAGTAGAACTGGGGCTCGGTCATGCCATCGGCCACGTTCCCAGTAGTCGAGTATGAACCGTAGGCGCCGGATCCTGGGACGACAGTTGCACCGAAGGTAAGCCAGAAGCCTCCAAAGAGACAAAAGACTGTCGCGGGGAACGTGTTGCCTGAAGAGGTCAGCTTGCGTGCTGTCAATACTAGGCAAGCAACTTACCAAGGATCCATTCACCAATTCCTCCCAGAGTGAGGAACAGACCACCAAGGCCGAAGTAAGCACCAACGTTGGCCGCCGCAGAGAACCCACCAGCTCCCTGCCACCCTAGCAGCGACATGGAGACGGGTGTGGTGCATAGTAGGAAGCCTCCAAGAGCTTTCAACCGGTTAGCAAGATCCAAGACGTGGAACAATTGCAGTCATCCTTACCCACTGGTGTCGGGTTGCCAAACTTTTGCCTTAGCTCTCCCTTGACTTTATTCTTCGGCGACAGATACAACTGCTCAAACAGCTCGGGCGAGATGGGTATGCTGGCCGCGGTCTGGATCTTGTTGAGGTCATCTCGGTGCTCATTGTGAGGCTTTCCGTTGGAGCTTGGGCTTGGGCTGGACATTGCAAAGGTAAGTCGAGGAGACGGTAATGTGCTGAGAGAGAGGAGTGAGCTGAAGACAGTGGGACGCTGGAGAACAAAGGCAAGTGGGCTACGTGTTCAGGAGCTTCCCCACATCAGGGGGATGAACAAGTTAATATAGTTCCTGCAAACAGTCAATCACAGGCAAATACGATCGACCCAGCCATTCCATTACCCCGGATTAGTTGTGGAGGGCAACGGCGGGGATTCGGGGAGTAAACGCGGAGAGGATCAAGAGCGAGCAAGGAAAAGATGCACCCCACAAATTGTCAAATTGCAAGCTCTGGAACAACATGTCCGGAACCCGACTCCTGGATTCTTTGCAAATGCCGAAGCGGGTGCAAGATCGGCTGGAGACAGGCTCCGGGGTTAGTTCAGGCGGAGATGGGGACTTGACAGGCCTGAGACCGGATGTTGGCAGGGGTTCCTTTCCGGTATGGATGCAATCTGAGTGGCGTTTGGGACAAGGCAATGATTCCTTCTGGGCAGTAGGACCGTTACTCCAACCTAACAATGCCGCTCATCTGCCGTATCTAAACAGGTACACCATCTCGTATTCCTTCGGACAAAAGGGAAGATGCAAATGCATCATCTAGATCAAACTCTCTTTTTCTCCTCACCGTCCTTTTGTCTATCAAATCTCATCCCCCCTCTACGCATCTTCCCAACATTACCCCAAGTTGAATACCCCAGATAATCACACCAAGCACGTGGCACACGGCTCACCTCCCTAGCGAAGCTTACCATTCCAATTCAGGACAAGCCAAGGCGGCTTAACATGGTCGACGCGGAGTCGGTGCCGATCAAAAAGACAGTGCCGACTCGGTCGATCGGCTCCGCGTGGAATCGGCTCCGCACCCGCAATCGCAGCCTCAATTTTGACGGGTTTGTTTTGGGTGTTGAATCATGGATGGACGAGTATGGCTTGGTTGAAATGACCACTCGGATGCTGTGGAAGGGCACTGGGGAAATATGAGGGGGGGAATACGATGCTAACGCGTCCCATTTCTTCCTCTTTCAAGTCCGCCCGAGTCATTCGCTATAATCTGGGGTATTCGGCATCAACGCCAAGATGATGCATCTGGCATAGCGGATCTGTCGAGATCCCCATTACGCTTCAACAAATACGACTTCCCCACGTCATGTGAGTTGTCACTCAAGGATGCTGCAGGCAACTTTCAAGGTCATGCTTGTCTCTCAAAATTCTAATGCTTGGAGCTGCAGTACAGCTACCTAATTTCAATCTGCCCAACACATTCGCTCGCGCACAATCCGATCTTACACTTCGACCTCATCGCTCCCCACGAATCCGCATATCCCTCCTACCACTCACTCGGCCGTGCAAATTGAGAGTTGTGACACATTTTCAGAAGCGCCGAGAAGTTCACAAGCTGTCAGGTCCGTCAATCTTGCTGCTTGATCTGCTTCTCGCCTTATTGGGTAAGGTATCCCCTGGTGCGGAGCTTACTCCGCGAGCTTCATGCTGATCAGCTGCTGCAGCTGGCGCAGCGTATCAACGCTCATGGTGACATTGACCATCTCCGCTCCCTCCAGGCCGTTAGAAGTGGCCACGTCGGGGTTAGGATAGTAATAGCTGGCAATCGCCACAATGGCATAAATAACCTAACAAAGTCAGCATCGGTAACAGACACAAAGGTGAGTGATACATACAACAAGCAGGGCGCCCTCCAGCCAGTTAGATTCACCATCTCGAAGGAAGTTTCCAACCACGAGAATGGACAGGACGAGCAGAACAATCATGAAGATCTCAAAGTTCAGGTCCAGGGGCTTGCCCATGGCCCAGGCGATGAGGACGATCAGAGGACCGTTGAAAAGGGCTGTCTGGATGCTAGGTCCAATGCAATGGAAGAGAGCTACGTTAATGACGCCATCTGGAAGGTGTGTGTTAGTAAAAGTGCTACTCCAAGAGATGCGTCTGTCTTTGGAACTCACCCCATGCCTCATCAATGGCAGTCAAGTGTTCAGCCGCCTTCTCCACAAGAGGCAGTAGAATCAAGCCCAGGAACTGGTCGGGAACACCACTCTCAACAACATGCTCAATCTTTTCAACCAGGAACACGAGAAGTACGGTCACAAAGACAAGCGCGATGCCAATGGCAAGCAACGCTTCAGTCATGGTGAACTTGGGCTTCTCCATATCCGCCTCGCGGTCTGCGTCACGGTGCTCATCCATCTCAATAACCTCGTCAAAGATGCTGTGCTGGCTGCTAGCCTGATACCAGATGTAGAGGAAGAAGGCCACAATCAGGGCAATAGAGGTGGCCTGGCTGATACGTAGAACATCCTCTTGCAGTTTACCCTCTGTGAACTTTTCGTGAAGCACATGCAGACCTGGGATATCAGGCACCACCTCGGACTTGAGGGCCGAGTAGAACGCGCTGGGGATGAGGAGACCAAAGGCAGCGACCAGTAGCAACCCACTGCCCACTTCCGACACGATGGCGTGGAACTTTTGAGTGGACTGTTTAAGTCCACCGAAGAAGAAGCACAGTCCAAGGCAGAGGAGCAAGTTTGTAAGGATACTGCCAAGAATTGCAGCTTGAATGATGGGAATAAGGTTGTTTTCATCCCCATTCCCTTCCGAAGAATCCGAGTCGTGCTTCGCGATCAAGACAATAAACAGGATAATCTCAATGATGGATCCAAAGGTCGTCTCGATGAGAATACCAGCCACCTTGGGCATCTTTCGCGCAAACTCTTGACCCGCAAAGCCGAGAAGATTAGCGCTAGGAATGACGGCGATGTACGCGGTTGCAAATTTCCAGAGATGAAGACCGGGGAAGAATTGGAGGATGATGGCGATTGGGACAAACGGCCAGAGCACGTTGACGAGCATTGAAGCCGTGCATGAGCTCCTCCATAGCACAGTCAGGAAGTGACGAGGATGGAAGCCTCTTCTGCCACTCTCGCCTTCATGCGCGATTGTCGGAAGACGACTCGTCACGGTAGGAAGAAGCGGGGTCGATTCAGAGTCCCCGTGTCCCGAGCCATTGGCAGAGTGGCCGGGGAGAGCGGAGCTGATGTTGCTCGTCATGGTGGTGATGCTTCACAGAAGTCGCGTAACAAACAACAAAACAGCCTCAACAGAGGATATACAATCAGAGAGAAGGTCTTCGAGAGAGGTTGAAAGAAAGATCAAGACGAACGAGCAAGCGTGATGCCTCGTCACCGCAATAACAAACAGGTTTTAGTCCGTCCCTAATGGTGGCGCAGCATTGTCCAATCACAGGGGGCCAGTGAGATACTGGACATGGGCTCTACGCAATAGTCTAAACTCTAAACTGAAGAAGCTCGTTTGCGTCGGCGCTTCTTCTGAGACAGGGGTGATTGTGCGACTGCACAAAGTGTTGCACAATGTGCACAAGTATCGAGTTGTGCTCGGATGATCTGGTTTATGACGGTAATGAAGCATTTGTGATCTTGCATGAAAGACGTGATTGGTTGACTTGTACTTGCTTTTGTTTGTCCACTAATTGCACCTGAACCATCCCCGTCTCGTGTCATTTCATTCCAGCCATCTCCGTGACAACTAACCTAAATCTTTTGGGACAATTCCCAATATTGACCAGCGACCTCTTTCACCACGTCTTCAAAGCTTTGCAGTTTCAAGCCCAGCACAGTCCTTGCCGTGTCATCATTTTGAGGAATCCGTGTGGTTGCTTGTCGGCATGTGTCGGAGAAGATGCCCTTCGTGAAAGCTTCTGGAAAGTGTTTGCGTGCAATGCCGTTTGCATCTTCGAGGCGCTCGAGTTGGCCAGCGATGAAGGCTTGACCACCTGCCACAGACGGGTTAAGGGCCAAAAGATGCGCCTGAGCACAGTCATGAACAGAAACAACAGCCGAGTTGACTGGAACCTTGGATTCTGTGCCCTTCAGGATGTTGAGCAAGGTCGCGTTTGATCCGCCCATTAAATCATCGGCCTTGGTGGCAAACTCGTTCGTTCCAAAGATCCAGGCTGGTAAGATGCTCACGGCATCGAACTTGGCACTGTGCTTCTTCATCCAGGCTTCCGATGCATTCAAAGCAGCAATTTTGCTGGCTTGATAGGCGAATCCTGGAGGATATGGGGGAGTTGCATCCTCCAGTCGCGAGTTGGCGTCAAACACGTGATCTTGAGGAGGTGTCTCGCCCATGAAGTGTTTAGTCGGGAAGATCGCGACAACAGAGCTGGTGATGACGACGCGCTTCAAGGTTGGGCTATGTGCTGCTGCGCTTTCCAACATGCCGATGACACCAGATACGGCGGGTTTGACAAAGATCTCTTCGTCTGACAAGGCTGAATCGCCCCAAGTTCGAATATCGCCTACAGGTGAAGCGACGTGGATGATATACTGGACATCAATAACAGCTTCATCGTAAGCTCCAGGTGCCGTAATATCAGGGACGATAATCCAAGAGATCTTCCGGGTGAGGGCTGCAAGCTTCTTGACGCTTTCGGTGGCGAGAATCTTGTCAATGCCCTTTGCTGAACGGACGGCGCAGCGAACACGGTATCCAGCTTGTAGGGCGAGGACCAGGATATGATGGCCAAGGAAACCAGTTGCGCCGGTCAAAAGAATCAATTCGTTGGTCATGGTGATGAGCAATCTTGTGTTCTTTAAGGTAGTTGAAGCCTGGGATAACTGTGTCGGTAAGAGTATCGATATCAATCATTCACCTAATGTCCACCCCGACGGAAGCTTTATATAGGAACATCGACGCATCATAATCCCGGAATCACGGAGTAACTGGGTCAAGGAATATCGGAAACCCAAAGGAACCATAGCGATTGGCAGACGTATTTCTAATCCTGTGGACGTCAGCTATAGGATGCAGCTTAACTCCGGGCTCTCACCAGTCTGACCGGATTTATCGACCAAAGTCCGTCTTGGCAAAATAATGTTTTATTTTGTAAATGCTAAAAAGTATGTGAAACCTAGTCTTGGGGTATCAGACTAGATTCATCGTCCGCGGATGGTGACCTAACTCGTTGTTTTGCACATCGTCCTGTTGAAGCAAGTGGGGATAGAGACAACCCCGGCATCTTGGGGCGAGTTGATTTGCCTTTCGCGAGTCCTGACTAATAGTTCAAAATCAAGAGCTGAAATCAAAGGGTTTTTATTTATACCTGAGTGGCATTCTACCTCTCCGTATCTGTATTCGCATCCTCCTCACTCGATGGATCCGGCTCGCCTCCATCTGATCCAGTGTCCTCGGGCAACTGCTTCCTCAACCCCTCGAGAATGGACATCAATCCTTCCTTGACTCGAGGATTCGCTGCTGCTTCAATGCGTTGCTCCAGTTCCGTGATCTTGGCCTGCAACTCTTTGCGTTTGACCTCTTCGGGGTCAACCTCTTCATCCTCCTCGTCCTCGTCAGCATCAGGGCTCTCATCTCGCAGGAGTCCTTCACCAAATGCTTCTGCAAAAGCTTCAGCCATGCCTGCATCCTTGATAGCAAACAGGACTTCTTCCACCCCATCCCATGTCTCCTTGGTTCCCTTCTGCTTGCCCTTGCCGTTCTTTCGTGGTGGCAAGAGAACCTTTTTCCACGCCCGAGCTATCTCACCAACAGGATTACCGTAAGCACCACATCCCCAAGCACCCGCCACCAGTCTTTTGACGCCTTTGGCCTGGCAAATTCGCATCACCATTTTCATCTTCTGAAGAACCAACTCGCGGTCTTTCTCGTTCGTGTAGCTCCCTCTCCCCAGCTCGTTGACGTCTATTTCTGGGCCTCGAAGCATGGCGGATGTGATGCAGTTGACAAAGAAACGATCGTTTTTCTCAAGCACATCCTCTGCTTCTTCGTCGCGGAAAACCAGCACATCAGGTGTGAAAATTGCACCAACTTCTGGGAGTCGGTAGTATTCGTCCTTTAATGAAGGCAGCAACGTAGTCCGCATGCAGAGATATTCCTCCTGACTACCAGCACCATTCAAGAATCCGCCACCAGGGGATAAAGGTGAGGCCATGTTCAAAATAGCAACTCTGGCATTCTTATTGCCAAGATCAAGGGTAACTCCTGAAGGTGTATCACGCGCCAGGAGAGAACGGGCAGCCGTGAGTGTGTCGGCCACTTGGAGACAAAGCCGGGGCCCCGGTGGATCAGATCCGTCTTGGCCGTTTGACTTTTTGATCTCGGCTTTGCGGTCCCCGGGAGACGGGTCGACGATCAACTCCGCCGCCTCGATGCCTCGTCGGGCTCGGGGATGTGCCGACAGGAGCTGGGGAATCGTTTGATTGAGCGTGGCTTTGGCCTTCTTGGCGCGTGCATCCTTGCGAAAGGCCGCTGGAGGTCGGCCGATAGAAGGTTCAGTTCGACCCATGGTGATGAATCAATCTCCGTGTCGCGGAGATTTTGTAGGGAGTTGCGGTGTTCACGTAAAGTGTTGATGGTGAGTGTTGACGCGTTGATGGAGTCGCGAGAATTGACGTGGTGACTCTTGTGAGGACCTTGATGACCTAAGCTAAGGGCATCTCCTCTCGCCCACCAGAGATGCAATCATCCATGCAATGGGGAGTCACAATCATTGGGTATCATTTCGAGATATGATGAAATGCCGGAGGTGGCGATTGTGCTCCCGTAAGCCAATTCCAAGGTCAAGATCTAATCGTCACGAGAGTCCAAGATGTGGCTCCACGTGATCCAGGGTAGGTCGGAAACAAGTCACGATACCTTGAGTTACGAGAACATGACAAACAACGGAAATTCTGACCCGATTTATCCCGCGACGCCCACTTTTGGAGGCTTCGACGTCATTTTTTCTCATTTTTTTATTATCGAATGTCCCAGAGGCATTCGGAAACATCTATGGATCGCAATCAACTTCAAGCTGCACAATCGGCGTTCCATGCAGCGAGGATCCGACAGCGCTTACTGGGGTATTTTCGTTCCCAAACCACGCTAATTCTTGTGCACGTTCGCACCCAAGTCGATTAATTTGACTTTCTGTATGCTTATTTCCTTAATAAGAACGTTATTTATTCGTCTACCCTGCTCTGATTATCTGAGTAAAGAACTCAATGACTCTGCCCATATATAGAAGGTGCTAACTCAAGGCACAATTGTGCCGGATAAGCGGTTGTGCCCAATTATGAACCCTTGGGCTTCCACGTAACCACCGAACCAACACCGACAACTATCGCCAAGACCAATCAATCCAGCCTCAGCTATCGCCTTGAGTGACTTGTCAGGCATAGGGTAAAGAGATAAAACCCAGAGTCGGCATTCGCTAGTATGCGTCGCTCCGTGCCGTCTCCACCTTGCCGTCGGATCGCTACCAGCATAAAGACCGTCGGGGATTATACATCATGTGTCTAGGGGACGATGCAGCCAAGAATACCGACCCGTCGGTCTCAGCCCTTTTGAAGCTCGGTAAAAACAGCCCCTTTGGCTATCACATGCTAGAGTGAAGCCCTGTAACAACTCAGATCTTCCAGGGGTCAGGCCCACATCGTTGCCTATGAGCCGGAGGATCGCGTGGTTTTGGCCGCCCAAAATCTGGGTCTTACGACGGCAGCCCAATCGCGGACTGCGCCGTGACCAAGGGGGCTCTGCTGCCATTTGAATACGGTCGGGGGTCTGAAAGACGCCGAAGGAGAGAAATCACATTATTCTTCGTCATGTTACATGTCATGGTGCAGCCGAAGCTGCCGGAGAGATTTGATCCAAACCTTGGCAGATTCGTCCCAGATCGTATAAAGGGTTGCCTCCTGAATGCTTCACCTTTGCATACATATCTAGGTGGCAGACCAAGATCCAAACCCCTCGGCATGGGATGATAATACAACTTACTCTAGTACAGAGCACACTCCAATATGAACGATCACACAGCCTGTCCATCCACCAGTGACGACGACACTCTCCGACAGGCCCCCGAGCCTACTCCTCGGCCCCGATCTCTACTCAACCTCCTTCTTGATCGGACCCGAATCGACGATGCTGTAGAGTACCACGAGTACCCCGGCAAAGGAACAGTTGAGGAACCTTACATCGTCTCTTTTATCCCAGATGATGCAGGAAATCCATTCAACTGGTCCAAACTCGCACGATGGCGAATCACCATGGTTTCAGCCGCGACCTGTTTCGCCGTTGCATTTAGCTCCAGTGCCTACACAGGTGAGTGAGTCTCGTTCGATGCAAGGTCTATACTGACCAAGACCAGGAACTATGAAGGAGCTCATGTTTCACTTCCGTGCAAGCAACACCCTCATCACCGGCGGCGTGAGCTTGTACGTGTTGGGCTTCGCCCTCGGACCTCTTCTCTGGGCACCACTATCAGAAATTTACGGCCGACAAATCGTCTTCTTCATCAGCTACGGCCTGTACGTTGTTTTTAGCGCATCTTGCACAGCTGATGATGGCGTCGCTACTCTTCTGGTTCTCCGTTTCTTTGCAGGAACATTCGGCTCTTCACCTCTTACAAACGCGGGTGGTGTTATTTCTGATGTTTTCCGCGCGGATGAGCGAAGTATCGCCATGGGATTGTTTTCTTTGGCGCCTGCGATGGGACCTACTTTGGGACCATTTATTGGCGGCTATCTTGGCGAAGATGAGGGATGGCGATGGGTTAGTTCAAAGAGCCAACTTCTTAAAAACACTTACTAACAATTTGCAGGTCATGGGATTGATGGGCATCATCGCCGGAGCTTTCTGGCTCCTTGGAATTTTCCTCGTCCCGGAAACATACGGTCCCCTCATCCTAAAGAACCGAGCTCAAGTGCTCTCCGAAAAGACCGGAAAGTGCTACATCTCCGAGTACGATCACGCTGGCAAGGCCGATCCTCCAGCCGTCGTTCTCAAGAAGGCTCTTATCCGACCCTGGTTGCTGCTATTCGTTGAGCCCATCGTCCTCATCCTGTCAATCTACACAGCTATTGTGTACGGTACTCTGTACATGCTCTTTGGCGCCTACCCAGTTGTTTTCCAGCTCGAACGGGGCTGGTCAGCTGGAAAGGGAGGACTGGCCTTCCTGGGTGTTGCAGTGGGAATGTTTTCCGCCGTACCAACCGTTTCTCTGATAAACCTGTGGTACATGAAAATCACGAAAGCAGCAAAGGGCGGCGTGGTTCCCCCTGAATACCGTCTCCCTGGCAGCATGATTGGTGGCATCTGTGTGCCAGTAGGGATGTTCTGGTTTGCATGGTAAGTTTGACTCGATCACGAGATTATCCTTTAATCTCGACTAACAACGGAAATAGGACATCGTACACTGACATCCATTGGATGTCCCCAGTGGCAGCTGGTATACCATTCGGTCTCGGCATGACGCTCATTTTCCATTCCATCTTCAACTACCTTATCGACGCCTACGCCATCTACGCCGCCTCTGTCTTGGCAGCCAACACGGTGCTTCGATCACTCTTCGGTGCCGCATTCCCGCTGTTCACCAAGCAGATGTACGATAAGCTGGGCACCCAATGGGCAAGCTCAGTCCCTGCTTTCCTCGCCCTCGCCTGTCTCCCGATGCCCTTTATCCTCTGGAAGTACGGTCCTGCCATTCGATCAAGATGCAAGTACTCTGCCAAGGCTGCTACGGCGACGGGATCGCAGGAGACCAAGGGCTGATCTCTACTGCAACTCCACTCTGCCAACTATTTCTTTTTAATACCTAGAGGGTTTTCTTTTCGATATTTACCGGGATAGACGCTGGCTTTTGAGTCGCTGGTTAGAATTTTTATTAGACTGGACTAGATTACAATAACTAGACACAAGAGGCGACTCGAGGCCGCTGGATAGTAAATAGGACTGAAGGAAGTATATACACGTACATAGCATTAAAAATTACACTTGAACATTTTTACCCATTGTTACTTTTCACCTTATGAGTGTTGTTCTGTGGTGCTAGCACAGCCTTAGTTAAGAGGTGCGCCACCTGCTGCCGCCTGACACTGCCATGTTCAAGGTGCTGATACTCATAATTACCGGCTCCTCATTGGCATGTTGGAAGCACTCCAAGTACAACTTGCATATTCAGCTCTGACTAAGCCCTTTTCCTGCTCAGCCACGTCAGGCAGTTCCTGCCCAATAATGAGGTGGCCAAGTGAGGGGATATCAATCAGGCCTCCAAAATGAGGCCCTTTTTGCCCAATTTCAACCAATTTCAACCATCATCAGCCATCCCCGAACCACTGTACCGAGCGCTCATCCCCGACGATGGATCCCATCTCTGCGATAGGGCTTGCATCCTCCATTATCGCCTTCATTGACTTCGGGTCGAAGCTCTTGAAAGGCGCCAAAGAAATTCGCGACTCTGCCAATGACAGCCTCGAAAAGAATGAGTCGAGGGAAGTCATCGCCGAAGCGATGAAAGAAGTCGCAGCCAAGTTGAAGACGCCGGAGCCAGCACAAATATCGCCAGAGCAGCAAAAGCTGTGTGATCTCGCCGTTAAATGCAACGATCTCTCACAACGCATTCTGGAGCTCCTGAACAATATCAAGCCCAAGAACAAGAAGTCGCTTCATGTGTATCGTGCAGCATTCAATGCCTGGCGCAAAGAGGATGACATCAAGCTGCTGGAGAAAAGTCTGGGCGATTGTCGTAGCCAGCTTGCGTTGAGTCTCAACCATCTAGCCACGTAGGTAGACGCCTATTGTCAGTTTGTACGAGGGAAAGCTCTAACATGCCATCCAAGCAAAAACTCGGCAGAGAACTCAAGCAGAATATTGGCCATGGTCCAACAAGACTCATCCAAGCTCGAACAGCTTCAGACTCACATGAAGCAACTGCAGAAGGGCGTGGAGGCCCAGGTTATCGGGGAAGAGGCCCTCAAGCAACTGCGTCTCGTGCTTGGCATTCACGACAAAGCCCTAAGTGCCATTTACCAAGACCGGATCCTGCGTAGCCTGCAGTTTGAGAAAATTCATCTCAGAGACAACGGAGTCCAGGATCCATACGAGAACACTTTCAAGTGGATTCTGGAGGATGACGAGGGTATCATGTCCCACGACTTTCAAGAAGATAGGAAACGCCATTCAAGAGACATGTTCTTGACATGGCTCTCTTCAGGGTCTGGCATCTTCCATATCAGTGGAAAGCTGGGGTCGGGCAAAAGCACACTGATGAGGTACCTTTCCACACATAGCCTTACCCGGATTGAAATCGGGAAATGGGCTGGTAAGTTGAGTTGCTCTACGTGTTAAGACTACCGCTAACTTTTGCGTCAAAAGGTGATAGAACTCTTGTTCTGGCCAGCTTCTTCTTCTGGAAGCCTGGTTCGGAACTGCAAAAGTCCCTGCAAGGCCTTTTCCGTTCACTTCTGTACGACGTCTTGACGGCTTGTCCAGATCTGATCCGAGACACACTGCCAGAGTATTGGCGCCTTGCAGAACAAGCACCGTGGCAGATTCAAACTAGATTCAACATTCCATCTTGCACTGTCAACTCTGCACTCCAAAACGTCTTTTCGGATGTTCGTCTCTACCGAGGCCACCGCTTCTGCTTCTTCATCGATGGCCTCGATGAGTATGAAGGAACCGACGGACAGGACCCTACACACCTAGTGGCACTGTTAAAGAGCTGGGTCAAGGACTCTCACGGATGTCTCAAGTTGTGTGTATCGAGCAGGGAACACAATGTCTTTATGAACGCCCTCTCCAAAGATCAGCGTCTTAGACTCCACGAGTTGACCCTGTTCGATATGCAGGAATATGTTGCAGGCCACCTCAAAGACATGCCGAGCGACACCCTCAGTGAGCATCTGAGAAACGATTTGATCACGTCCATACCAGAGAAGGCTGATGGCATCTTCCTGTGGACTATCCTTGTCGTGAGGACCATCCGTCGCAAGATCGAGGACAAAAAGTCTGAGGGATATCTGGTCAAGCTCCTGGACAGTCTCCCGCAAGGGCTGAGCGAAATCCTCCAGCGCATTCTAGAAGATCTTGATGCAGACAACCGGAGAAGGTTATATCAGACTATAGCTATTCTCCGCGTGGCAAAAGCCCACTCTTTAGATTTCTCATTGCTTGCTTTCTCATTCCTGGACGACTACGAAGAAGACGCCGAGTTCTCTATAAAAGGCCACATCCCGACAGACAAGAAGAGAGAAATTGCCCTGCGGTGGCTTCGTGGTGCATGTGGAGGATTGGTTGAGGCCGAAGTTTGGCTGTTTGGAGAAGAAAATAGGTGGGAGATCCTCGAATACACACACCGATCTGTTCCAGACATGTTTGACGAGGGAGCTCTGAAACATGAAATGGATGTTTTTCTCGAGGGATTCAATGCCACGAAAGCCATCTTACACCTCAACTTCGCGGAAATTCAGTTTATTGGAGACCGCAAAATGACCTGGCGCTCCTGCTTTGACCTGGTTAAAATGCTCCTCATAAACGAGATCGAGGATGCACCATATCCTCTTCTGGAGCGCATCGCGTCTTGGTCAGAGAGTGGGAATCAACAGCTGAAGCCTGGATACGAGCTGTGTTTAATAACCGGCTTTAATTCCTTTGTTTCTTTTGGCTATCTAACTTCAAACGAGTTGGTCTCTGAGCCTCGCGAGAGGCTCTTTTATCATAGCATGCTCTGCTTGGCTGGGCACTTTGGGTGTTTCAATTACGTGAAATGGAGGATTGAGCAGGCTCCGAAGGCGATGAACAGTTCTCTCGAGACGGCTATGCTTGCTCACATGGTCCTACACAAGTCCACAACCAATTTCTGGACGAAGGACTTTTTCTTTGACGCCGGAGTATTCACTGACTTGACAGCTACCGGGTTTATTGCGGCATCGCCAGTTCATGGCCTAGTCAAGGCTGGAAATCTGACGGTATGGCAACGATTCCTGTCATTTGAGTTCCTGGATGGGGCCTTGGCTGGTTTCAGGGAAGACGGAGGCTCGGAAAAGTCTGGCCGAATAATCCAAAGATTCCTAGAGCACGGGGCTTCTCACCACTTTTGTATTGAGGCGGAACACAATGAGTCAGACGGAGGGCCCAACATTACCTTTAGGTTCGAGACCACCGAGGTGATCCTGAGACCGCGAGAATACTTGGGCGCTCCCCGCATCTCACCGTGGTTCTCAGATATGCTGGGTCAGAGTCGGGCTGTAAGCCGACACACGTTTCGGGATTGGATCCGAGCGAGTGATTACCCGAACAGGAGCCGTATGTTGGAGTTGCTTGGTGATGATGGGAAAGGAGCGGGTGGGACTGGCGACGATGAGATGCAAGATGCATTGAGTAAGCCATAGTTTTATACTCTCTGAGAGGTTGAATACTTCCTACAATGCAGCTAGGTATAAGTCTTCTACTGTAGACAGTAGAAAGACTAAAAAAGAGACCACTGTGTTGGTTGGCATTGGGATATGATGCTATGATGTGTTGATAGTGTGGTCGTTTTGTTACTTATGACAGACTTGATAAAGCTTCTTCCAAGACCACTGTATTTTACGTCGCCAGGAATACAGGGCACGACATTCGCCCTCTTACTAACTCAGGAGGTACGAGACCAGCCCGAGACCCCACTGCATTACTGCCACCGTGGTTGAGACCACCCTCCGGACCTCTCCTCATTAGGCCCGACACCTTGCGCTGTGAAGTGATGCCAGCAAATTTCAGCTTTCGCTTCTAGTATTCGAATTTGTTCTCGTTGATCATATATCCTGTAGCGCGGAGTTTGTCTTTGGTACCCTGTTGACACATGTGTGGCAGGGGACTCAACCTCGCGGCTATGTATGTGAGTCATATTCGTAGGATCATAAAATCACAGTGCCCCAGGAACCAAGACGCTCATTTTATTTAACCTAAACCCTTACTCAGCGATGATGACATCCCTCTTGAAGCTTCCGCGAGAAGTTGCCATCAAATCATCGAAGAATTCATCTTATCCTCGCGCACAGCCCCAAGTCTTGCAGCTCTAAAAGAGCCAAGACTTCTTTTAAGAAATGATTTCCATCCATTCCACACCTGGGTAACCAACATATTTGTCCAGCGGGATCAAAGCAAGTGGTTAAACAATGCACTACTGGGGACCAATCGCCAACTCCGTGCTGAGACTCAAGCGGTCGCCCATAGAATGAACAGGGCGTCATATACTCTCGACGTCGTGTTCGTCAAGAATGTTGGCCTGATGCCAACTTGGCTCTCATTCCCACTGTGGCGGAAGCACATTGATACGCTTCGTGTCAACTTCCGGATCTTTGACAATATAGGGGATGTTGATGAGGCTTTTCCTTGGTTCGATAAGGAAATGAAGTGGGAGGGTGATGAGAGAACCTCGGGCTACTTGAATATTATGGTGCTTCTCAGCTGCTACATACTGAATCTGCTGGAGGATCCTGTGCAAGATGGCACCGGTGTCGAAGTGCTAACAAGCCCCGAAGACCGAGATTACGAGTTTGAATACTTTGAATACAGAACCATCGCCCCGTATACGATCAAGAATATCCTCATCGACATCACAGGCCCAGGGCCCGAGACTTGTTACGAGAAAGCGAGAGTGGATCCCAGAAATGTCAACCACTGCAAATTTGGTGACGATATGTTTGACAGGGACGACCTATGGCCATTGCATCTACTAAGGCCGGAAGGAAAGCCTGAGCTTGCACATTACCTCGCGAGTGAAATATTCGGAACCCTTGATATGATGAAGACGCCGGATCCCCTTGCGGGCTATGCGAAGATGTGGTACCAGAATATGGGCGACTTCGAGATTCGTGTCAATGGCCAAGATTGGGACAAAGTTGACGGACCGTATGCCTCTTGCACATCACATTACATGCGCTCACTTTTCTGCAGTGAGGAGGGCCATGCTTATCCAGAGGGCTTTGATGAAGCAAGAGAGATCGTAGAACGAAGGCGACAAGGCGATTTTTGAAATGAGAACACCTTTGAAAGGATTCAAAAAGACCAGGACTAGATCACTAATAGAGTTCTGACTTCCCTTTTGTCATGCCATGAGTGTTCTCGGCACGGTTGGCTTTCCTCAGCTCAAAGGGCTGAACGTGATATTATTACTGCGTACGATGCAAAAATTAGCTGGCATGCGTGGAGAATCGCTGTTCATGGAAGCGGGGAAGCCGAGGTTTCGGGTCAGTTCTCTCGCCTTTTCCCCAGCCTTGTCTTTCCTAGACCAAGTTTTAAGAACCGATCGGGTTGCCACCCAAAGGAGCCTCTTCCCTGTCGACTTGTCTCAGTTGCCAGCTTCGTGGCTGGGCTGTCAGATTTTAGCGTTGCGAGGTGCATGCTTGTGTTGGTTGTTTGTGGACCAACACTGAGCCCAAGACGGGAATTGCTTCCTGGTTCTCGATGGCAGATCAGCCTTGTGTGGGCTCAATTTGAAGGCCTTCGACACGTTAATTACGTACTGAATATCTCCTTCCTGCACGTATAACGCGTGCACGTATAAGGTCACGAAAACTTAAGTCAGAATTTCCTAGGCTGTTGGGCCCAAACAGCGGCCCCGTTTTAGCCCCCATTTTGCCAAGCCGGCTGAGGTCTTTCCTCTGCTTCTAAACCCAAAGTGACTCTGTTTAAGCGAGATGCAATCTTTCAAGATCCATTATTAAGGCTCTTCAAGCCCTTTCCCGTCATGGGTTCAAATCTCAGATCTCTTCACTCGGTTCCCGGCCTCTTCTACAACCATACACTATGCATGAGTTGAGGAATTTCTCTGACGATGAGCAACGTTTGCTCCCTGCCGACGACTATGCATTCCCACAGAAGCAGTCTCATGCCACCACTCGCCCACTTCTCGCCATACAGGGCCCAGGCCGTCGATATTGGTTCCGATCACTGGTGCTGATTTTGTGTCCTTTGATCATTGTGGGATACTTTGTTGTCATTTGTTACTGGCTCAACCGTGAAGGTGGTGACAGCGCTGTCAATTTCGGCAGACATGGAGGAAGATGGGTTTTCTACTCTTGGTTCTTCATTGGCGTCATCGGACTTGACCTCTCGCGATATGGTCTCCTCGGAGCTGAAGCAGCAATGCTTGAGCGGACACGCTGGGAGGTGCCCAACCTTGTCGCCCTACTTCAGCACAGCAACAATACTTGGAGCTCTCCTTCAGGATGGGGTCGCTTTTTTGCGAGGCTGTTCCTTCGCAAGAGGCGAGACACACATCGCCTATGGATCATACTTGCTTCTCTGAGCATCGTCTTTTTCGTCGCCTTGCCCATCTCTGGTCTTGCAATCGAGCAAGCCGATGGTTACACCTACACATCCGGAAGACCTACAGTGGTTGGCCGCAAATGGGAAAATTTTCATGCCAGAGACAAAAATCACTACTATCCAAATGCGAAAATTGCTTGGGAGGCTGGTGCACCTCCTCAGGTCCCTGGATTCGGTGTTCTTTACACTCAAAAAGGCCTCGATCGGGAAGAGTACGATGGGCTCGCGAAAGTTCCCAACACTCTCCCCCTCAACGAAAGCATGCCCGAAGTATTTCTCGCGCCTCAAGCTGAAAATCCCGTGGCAGACAAGGCATGGGGTCTGATAGCAAGCTATCGGTGCGAGATTATTGACAATGTCGACGATTTCGTTCTTCTCAACCCGAAAGTCACGCCCGACGCCTGGAAGGACTGGGGGTCACATCGAGACTCGGAAGCAGGTTACTCTGAAGTCACTCAACGTGGCCGCGGTATCTTTGACTATTTCGAAGCGGCTGGCAACATCCTGGCTTATGGCCAAGTTGCGTTTGGCCAGAAATGGACAGCCTACAACGGAAGCGAGGTGGACTACTACAAACCCGATGACTTGGACAACGGTGACCTCCTGGAGTATGCTCTCTGGCAATATCGTATCCCACCCTCGTACAAGGAAATCGAAGACTTTTCCGATGACCTTGATCCCACCATCGAAGGCTTCGATGGTAACCCTATCGTCAAGGCATCCAATGGTTCATGGGTTCCAAACACAACATTCTTCGGCACGCTTTCCAAAACCCAAAACAACATGTCCGATACCACGAACCTTTTTGGGGACCACGGACCGTTCAATACGAGCATCGCAGGGTATAACATTACCCATTTCGCTGCACCTATTGGCGTCCAGTGCAGAACGATGTCGACTCTCGGATACGCCATGTTGGACCCCTGGGATTCTACCTTTAGCTCGTTTGAGCCGATGAGTGACCCTCTCTTCAACTTTAACATTACCGTGAGCCGCGCGCCGACACTCGGCGCCATGGCCGCTACTACACTGCACAGAGGACGATACAGCAAGATATTTTCTTCTCTCAACCACCCTGCGGCAATCATACAGTCAAATTCTCATGCCTATGATGGGTATATTAAGCCCATGGATCTAAAGAGGACCGTCATGCGGGCGTATGCCATGGATTTGTTACAGCTCATGTACGACGGCAAGTACGGCTTCGAAGGCGGCTGGGAACACCCGAACCTTACCGCGACGGAAGAGTCAAAGGTACTCACACTGGGTGAATTTCCGATCCTGGTACCTATTCTAATGGTGATGTTCGGTTACTGGGCCCTTGGGTGCCTTCTGTTGGGAATCTTTTACGGGTTCAGACGGCGACAAAATGAGACGATGGATGGGTATGCGTACTTCCGACTTTCTACGGACTTGGCGGATGATGTCAAGCCACTGGTTGGCGCTTTGATGAATAACAAGCCTGATGAGATTGATGGCTTGTGGAATGTTCCGGGGTCTATTGTACGCCGTGTGCGATAATGCATACCGCGCATCATTTTTACGCGAATACGAATTGCTAGCTTGAATTAGTTAATGAATTATCATATCAACTAACGCTCTATAATGCGACTCGTTTGTAGAAACACGCGGTGATTGTCTGAGAGCATTCGTTAGTCTCCCTGTGGCGGGGTTATGCAGCTCGCTTCAAGCAAGCAGGCGGATGTTGTCGAATCTTCATCCGATGTCGGCACCTGCGCAGTTGAAACGCGCCCCAAGTACCGGCAGATCCAAGCTGGAAAGTTCTCGCTCTTTCACAAGCCGCTATTAATTTAATGCAAGCAAGCAAACGGCTGGCCCTCTGAGAAACCTGATGCCGTCTTACACCAGCCACACGCACCGCCACGTGTCAAGGTAGCTCGGTACCTGGAGCTTGAATTAAGCTCACAAGCTTAATTCGGCGACAATGTTCAATGACGAGGAAGGTGCAACCTGGGTACCCAAATACCGAGCATCGACAGACCGAAGAATATGTAATTAATGCAAATAGCTTTGCTTCGAAAAGAAGGCAGGGAAATGGGCCTTTGAAGCCAAGTCATCTTGGTGCGGGGTGATTTGCTCAAGACGCAAGTTGACACAAACAGAGGTCGGACAACGGCAAGCCGACAACCGGGCTGTGCATTCAGTTTGCCGCGACAATATTTTCTTGACGTATCAGGAATTCTTTAAATTGCCCATGAGCAGGTAAATTGGCTTTTATTGGTCGACAAGATCTGTTTCCTTGGCAAGCGAGGCAAGATTCTGTAGACCAACGGCATCTTGCAGATGACACCACTCACCGCTGCAGAAAGCAGGGGGGAAGGGCCTGCAATTGCGTTTGCTAGGACCTGGCACACATCACATGGCGGGGTTGCAAACGGAAACCACACATTGGAGCATCACTCAAGTCTTCAAAGGTTCAACTTAAGCTTCAAGACATAATAAGAACTGTTCATTTATTGATCGCTGAGGGTAAATAGATGATCAATCCAATTAGGACTCTTCAAGTACGTCCTCGTAAAAAATGGCCATGCGTTTTCATTGGTTACGTTCTGGCACTGGCAAACACTGCTCCCGCAGATCATCACAACGGCAACATGCATCTCTAGCACTGTCGGCTATGAAGCCACAGAGCAAACGGAACGGCACAACCTGGATTTTCAGAAAATACCCGAAACAGATATGAAAGCCAATCTGTTTTCTCCCCCCTCGTTTCTTTGTTCATTCCCATCTCCCCCTTTCCCCTCTTGCTTTTCTTTGCTCAGTGATTCACGTCCGCCCAACTTCACGCACGCTACGAACACGTACTCTTCATTGCAACCACGCCTACACTGATCTTCAATCTGAGAAAGAATTGCCATTGCCTATCACTTTCAGTGACCAGATTCTGGTACGTCCAATGCATGATCCCGTTGCTTGTGATCCGCCCAGAGCCCTTGGCCCCATGCTTCACTCCATCTGCCGTCTCATGCCCCATCCATGCTGACCTTCAGCCAGAAGCCCAACCTTGAGCGACAATGAACAGTCCACCGACCGAAAGGTCTGCCTCTGGCGACATTCACTTTATGACCACGCATGACGAGCGAGTCTTTTGGCTCGACCAGGCTTGGAAGGGCCCATGGTTCCCAGCAGACGCTAGAATCGGCTGGCTGGGAACAGATTCTTCCCTTGCATTCTACATGGTCAAGGTCACCCACGCCGCCATCGATCGAGGGATCCCACTCGATTCTCTCTGGGATGCCGAGTCGCCCCATGGGCACCTGATTCGAGCTGTCATGAAGAAGTCTACAACCGTGAAGAATTCCGAGGGCTCTCAGCCTGATATTTTGACCCCCGAAATTGTCACCAAGGCTTACGAAATCATCATGGCCTCTGAGAAAACTGCACCAAACAACACACCTTCCGAACACTCAAGCGACAAGTCTGATGACGGAGGTTCTATCGACTTGCCTCACACTACTGAGACTGAGGCCCAAGCGACGACGACCGCGCGGTTCGAGCAGTTGGTCAAGACCGAGCATGAGTTTCGGCTCAAGCGTCCCATCGAACAGCAAGATGGGCTCTCGGCGATGCCTCTTCATATTCGTCATGAGGATCAGTCCAGTCCTCTGAAACGTCTCTTTCGAACAACTTCATATGTCTCTACCGGCACGCTAGGTCATCAGCCGACCAGGGAAGCGACTGCAATCACTGGTATCGCGACCCAGGAAGAACCGATCGAGAAGAACCTCCGGTCTCGGCCAGCACCTGAAGCATACATGGGCTCCCCAGACCTGTCGACGCGTTCCGAAACGTTTGTCAGTCCCCATGGATTGCTCCAACTCCCCTCCTCGCCCGTGCAGTCACCTGAGCACAATCTCCTTCCATATGTTTCATCGCCCCCAGCCGATGAGCAACTCGAGAAAGCTCCGACTCCCACTTCTCCGACGACGCCAACCAAGAAACGCAAGAGGGACCTGACCAGCGCGTCCTCGCCGCTGGCACGCTCGGTCAGAAGTGAGCGACTCACGGGGCCACTGACAGTTGAAAAGATCCTCCGTCAGCTCACCTGCGATGTTCAGCTCACCGACGACGTTGTCGAGCTCGTCTGCCAAGCAATCGTTGTCGAACACGGAGGCGACAACGTACGAGTTCTCAGCCCTCTGTGGTTCGAAGCAGACGAGCTCAGTGCTTTGCCCCAAACAATTAGGAACCTGGACCAGGAGCAGACCATCTGTTTTCCCATTCACCACAAGTTCCCCAAGCATTGGACAATGGGTGTTGCGCGCGTGACTGCCGACCAAGTGGTGCTGACCTTTCACGATTCCATGCAGTCTTCTGAACGCGCTAATGCCGTTCGACGACGATTTAAGGAATGGATGAAAACAGTGAAACTCAAGCAGCCGCTCGCATTCCAGACCAAGGTTCGTGCATACTCCGATATCCCCATGCTTTGTCAGTCCATTAACTTGATCAGGATTGCACCCAGCAGAAGGACGGCACCAGCTGCGGCGTTCACGCTGCTGTTTGCCTTCGCCGTGACCTACGCAATGAGAGTTGCTGCGACCCGATCGAACCTTTTTTAGAAAAGCGAGCAATGCTGGAGGGCCTACGAACTGTCAGAGAGATTTCTCCGATCCATTCGACCACTTTCCCCCTCCTCCGAGAGCTTCGAAGCCGAGAGAGTCTGGGCGCAGACGCGTCTATCGTCTCGACACCTTGCCGTGGTGGTAACACCATGCCCATCACGACTCGACAAGAATCTGAGGTCCAAGTCATTCAACCTCAGATGGGTCTTGGGCATGTGCTTGATGGCCTTCGCCTGGAGACATTGCAAGGACGCCTCAAGGATGCAGAGAATCGACTCGACGAAGCGATCAACTCCCGCGATAACGCCCAGGACACGCTCCGAGAGCTAGAGCTCAGCCAGAGACTGATCCACGACATGTACCCCCGCATCCTCTCCCACGTCCGGTCTTGCGGTATCAATATGGATGAATACAGCGACGCCACGATGGCAGTCGAGAGGAACGGGATGCCCGAGGGGATGGACCCGGGTGAAATCTTTCAGCAACGACGAAACATCATGGGAGACTTTCTGAAGGCCTCTGAACGTGAAGGAGTCGACCACACTCTCGCGGCTATCCGAGAGAACCAAGCCCAGATTTTTGCCGACATTGGCCACACCCAGCAGATCCTTGGCCAGCGGAATGAGGAAATTACGAGCATCGAGAACGAGGTTGCGAGTCTTGAAGAGATTTGCGAGGCGAAGAAGGCATTGAAGAAGTACTCTGGGCCTGAGTTCTTGGCCTATTTCCAGTCCATGCAAGGTTTGCTCACCCAGTACTGAAGGACATGGAGAATACTTGCCGTGCACGGGGGATGGGGACGGATCAAGCAGGAAAAGGCTTGCTTACAATGATGATGAACGCAAAAATGATGGCTGGGGATAAGGGATCAAAATAGCTTTTGGGGGCGCGACTTGTAATAGAAGTGTATGTCTTACTAAACTGTGCTAAGTGACCTTGATCACATTGTGCCCGGCAATAGCAAGGTGAAAGAAACAAGAGTCGTCAGATTATGTGCCATGACTCGCAATATTTACAAGTGCATAAGTTGATAACATCGTCCATATCTTCCATCATCGTGCATCCAATGGCTCCTCTCCTAAAGTCCCCATCATCTCCTTAAGCAGGGCAAATGCTCGCCTGTCGGCCAGCGCCCTCACCAACAATGCTGGGAACATCCTCAGCAGCGTCAGCAGTATAGTCGTAAAACTCCTTAGGGTCAAACACATCGCCAGTGTTCTTGGCAGTAGTGCCCTTGGTGCTCTTGAAGACGCTGCCTGACTGGTTGAGCTTCGCGGTGCTGTCGGCGGTGATGGGGTTCTTGACGTTCTCGAAGTAGCAGTTCTCGAGGCGCATCTCGGTGCTGCCGCGGGCGTAGTGGCCGTATGAGGTCTGGCCGACGAGGTAGTTGTTGTACAGATGGGCGTGCTTGACGTTGTCGACTGAGGGATTGCGCTGCGTGGTTGAGTCGAAGTAGTTGTGGTGGATGGTCATTTCGGTGACGACGTTGTCAGTCCAGCCTGAATGGTCGGTCAGTCACGTACATAGTATTTGGCGTGCTCGATTACTTACCAATGCCAAAGGCCTTGTTGTGGTTGCGGAGAATGGTCCAGGAGACAGTCAGGAAGGTGGTGTCCTTTCGGCTGTCGATGAGGCCATCACCGCCCTTCTCGAGGTGAACGTGATCAATCCAGATATTCTCGCAAGTGTCCTACAAAGGTCAGCGCCGTTTCAGCCCGATACTTCAAGTAACGTACCATCTGAATACCGTCAAAGTCCTGGGTCTTGCCCTCCTCGTCACCCTCAACGTAAGTGTTGCCGATCTTGAGGTTTCGGAAGATGATGTTGCGTTGGCTCTTAATAATGAAGCCACCTTGGTTGATCTCGGCATCGGCACCGATACCGACAATGGTCTTGTCAGACTTGACCTCGACCTCCTTGCCCTTGGGGGTGATGGTGATGGTTCCCTTGACCTTGATGACGTACTTGCCCTCTGAGCCGGCGTACTTCTCAAGATCCTCCTGGGTGGAAACAACGACGACTTCACCGCCCTTTCCACCAGTGGTTCCTCCGTTCAGGGAAGCGAAGCCATCAGGGGTACCGCTGCAGTCATCGTCGGAAGAGGCGGGAACAGCAGAAGCAGAGGCGGCAGGCTCAGCGACCTCTACGGCCTCAGTGGGAGCTTCAACGGGGACTTCAGCAACGGGAGTGCTAACCTCCTCAGGCGCAGCAGTGTTGACCTCAGCAGCCTCGGTCTGGCGAACAAGAGTCTGGAGAGTGGTAGGGTTCTGCTTGTCCATCTGAGGGAAGAAACCACCCCAGTTCCATGTGGGCTGAGCACCGTTCCACCAGTCGTTTCCATTGTTGTTGGTTTCAGCTGGCTGGGTCACAACGGGCTCAGCAACCTCTTGAGCAGATGTGGCCTCAACAGGAGCAGGGTCGACAGCCTCATCGGCACCAGTAGGGACAGCCGCAGCAACGCTGGTCTGCTCGTCAACAACGGGCTCAACGGCCTCGACAGCGGTAGTGGGAGCGGTAGTGGGCGCAGCGGTAGCAGGCTCCTCGGTCTCGGGGGAAGAGTCGCCAGTGCTGGGCTGCTCAGAGGAGCCAGTGCCGCTGACATAGCTCGAGTCAATCCAAGAGGTAGAACCAAGGATTTCGTCAATGGAAACAGCAGCGCTCAGCTGCTTGGAGAAGCTGGCGCGGTCACCGCTAGCACCGGCGCCAGTGTTTCCAAACTCGCCGTACTCGACGTTGTTGGTGGGGTTGTCACCCCAGGCAAGCCAGCCAGCAGAGTTGATAACGCTGCCGAGTTCGGTGTTCTGGAAGACAACGCGGGCAAACTCTCGCCACGGGCGACCAAGGTAGACCTCGCCGTCTCCGGCACCGGCAGCCTTGACAACTGACTTGTTGATGACGTAGTACGAAGGGTTCTCGGCACTGTCACGACCGTTGGCAGTGATGTACCCCTTTGCAACAACACCGATGTCGCACTGCTCGAACCAAGCAACGGACTCTTGGCCAAAGATAAAGTCGGTGGCACCCTCAATGTAGCTAGCGTGGAAGTAGTGCTTGCCCTTGTTTGTCAAAATGGTGTCTTGGTAACCAGTGAACTGGCATCCGTAGTAACCCTGCTCATCACCGTAGGCGCTCAGAGCAATGGCCTGGACACCCTGGCCTCGCGAGTTGGCGACATTGATGTTGTACACCTTGAGGCCGTTGTTCTTGGCCCGGAGAGTGCCAGACGAGTCGTTGTTTCCAGCCTCGTCAGCTCCGAGGCTGTGAGTGAGAGTGACCTGGTTCTTGGAGTAATCCTGGTCATCCTCGGTGTATCCGTAAATGGTAAGAGCTCCAGCAGAGTCGGGAATGAGAACCTGCTCCTCGTAGGTTCCAGGCTTGACGAAAATGACAGAATCAGAGCCAGAAACGGAATTGACGGCTTCCTGAATCGAGGTGAAATCGCCACCTTCACCAACAACAATGGCACCGCTAGGGGCTTCAGTTCGAGCAGCGGCAAAAGCGCCGGCCACCAACGATGACACGAGAAGGAGAGAAGAGGTGAACATGGCTAAAAACTGTTCCGTATCCGGACGGAACAAACGAAGAAACGAATGAGTGTGAAATGAAACGAGTGATAGCAAACAAACAAGGAAAAGAATGAAAGACGCGTATGACGAAAGACAAGCCCTCCAAAAACAACGCGAAGCCCCCAAAGCATTTATACAAACTGTAACCGAGCTATAAATCACCAGTTAAGATGCGACAAGGTGCCCCAGTAAAAACCCCTTGGCGGAACGCTGTCTCGCTGAAACGAACAAGTTTCAAAACGCGATTTCCCACCAATTGACCAGGTTTGCTGACGTATCGACCCTTGCGAGGTTGCATCGGGACCTGAAACGACGTCCGATGTCCACGACGGAAAATTTACTTTGACTGTTGCGCTTGTTGTTTAGCTTAAATATAGAGTGTCTGTTAGTGTCAGTTCTGGACGTTTTCTCTGCGGCGTAGTCGCCTGATGTTTCAGATACCGGCTCGCGTTGATCAGCTTTTATGTTTATCAATACACAATACACTATTCCAGGGCCAACGCTTACGACATAACATCTCCACAGTCGCCTCCTTGCGAATTGGCACGTTCATGCATTTAGGCACGTGGAATCTGCGGCGGGTGCTCTCCAACTTACACTCCGATCTCCTTTACTAGCCTCAAAAATCCCGTCCTGGAAACCTGTCTTCTAAATCCGTCATTCCATGTTCATATGCTTTGAGATAGAGGCTTAGAGCACATGAGCCTCAACTTCTTCACAAGTCTTTGGAATGTACCCGTTGCCCGTCTCCTAAGGACAGACCTTCGCCCAAAAAGAGGATATCAACGCTGCCGCCGGGGCTTCTCGTCTTTCATCAGGCTTCCTTCTGCCTTTGACAACTTGCTGAAAATGCATGTGAGCCTGTAGTTTATGTCTAATAGCAGACCTCGTGATCGCAGCTTTTCTGTGCCGTTCTTGTAGGCACTGGATTAGGTCTGACTCCCTTCTGGGGAAGCCTTGCAGCGGGAAAGACTGAGACAGAACCAAGACTGAGTCGCGGGTGAAACCGGAGGCCAGGGATGAGATAATTTGCAAGGCTGTGAGGCTCGAAGAAGAGATGCCACTCGACATCCTTTCCCAGACCACGGATAAGGTGTACTGGTGGCCAGGATGTGGCGGCCGATCGTTGGTTTGGTCGAAGGACTGGGTGAGTTCCTTAACAGAAAGCTCACGTCGCACAATGCGGTCAGCAGCGCGCTCTAGGGCAAGTGGGAGCCCACCAAGGTGATTGCTAATAACCCTGAAGTCTCCGTCCATTTTTGTGCGTTTTTTGAGCATGTCAGATGACTCTTGGATCGTAAAGGGCTTCAGGGCAATATCCTCAGCCCCAGTTGTGAACCAGAGACGAGAATGTCTGGTAGTGAGCAGCACGCAACCGGGTCCATTGAGAGGCAGGAAAGGCATAACCAACGAGTAATCGTCGGCGTTGTCGAAAACAAGCAACCACTTAGCTGAATGGGCCATGCCGCCCAAGAGTCCTCTATGTTGGTCCAGATCGGACAGCCAAAGTTTCACGGCCTTGATGATTCCATCGTCCGAAGACTGCACCTGGGCCAGGTCGAATTTGAGAGCTATGTTCAAAAATCCCCGCATCAATGATTCATACGAGTCAGCTTGAACCCATAGCACGGTGCCAAAGACATGATTTTCAACGCAATGATGACTGAACTCGACAGCAGTTTGCGTCTTTCCAATGCCTTCCAACCCAGATAGAGTACAAATGACGGGGCACCTGGTAGCATTCCTTTTAGTTGGGAAAAATATGTCCATAAGCCCGTGCAAGACGTCCTCGCGTCCATGGAAAGATGCCATGCGTGACGGCAATGTCGCTATTGAGAAACGCAGCCGAAAATCGGCTAGGTCGATCAGTCTATTGACCTGTTGGGTATCAACACTTTGGCGAACCTGGCGTAGGGTTTTGAGTTGATCAATTCCAGGATCGGGCACATGGTGTAGGTGGTCCAGGACTCGTGTCGGGGCAAGTTGCGAAGGAAGGTTGAATCTTTGAAGAATTGTTCCCTTTATCTGCCCCATGTCGACCTTGCCCCATGTGGGCTCAATGTTTTGCTCAGAAACAGAAGTGAATCTTGGCAGGACATAGATATCCTGTGCGGCAAGCTCGTGTCGGCCAGAGAGACTAAACCACCACTGATCACCACGTTCAATGGGCCCGTTGTTGGAATTTGTCCTCCAGAAGTGGCCAGGCGGTGTGTCGGCACTAGCCCTCAGGAATATTGCTGACGGGACTCTGATTCTGTTGTCGGTGCATGCAAGAAAGGCAGCATACAGTCCTTCAGCTGCCTGAATCTTGAAAATGGGCAGACGGATTGACAGTCCAGCATTCGTTGTTGCGAAGTCCAGTTTGCATCCGCCTGCTGCTAGGGACTTGTTATACTCCCCAAGAGATAGCGGTTTGAAATCAGATGAATCTTCGAACTGACTTGGGGACAGTGCCAACATTGTTGAGGTGTGTTCCAGCCCATGGCCGAGAGAAGCAGCGGGCGGAGAAGTCCAGGCAAAGATTGTCTGATCATTGGAGGTTTTCATGATGGCTTCCTGGAGGCGGATAAAGGCATGTGTTCCCTCTCCATACAGAGGTGGCATATACACGCCAAAGATTCCCATCAAGGAATAGGCCATATCCTCCGGTCGAGTCGTCTCCCTCCGAGCTGCCCACGACATCTTCTTGGCAATGCTCATCACCTTGATCGTCGCTGGCATGTTCAGCACGATCGAGTCAACACCGGTGACTCTCTCGATAGTCGCCGTAAGCCTCTTATCGGTTTTGTGTCCTAGGAAAGACCATGATGCGTCGAAGAATATGACGTGCGTCGGCGCTATGAGCTCTTGAAGAGTTCACCCTCGAGTGAACCACACACTCCGGGAGAATGATGATGGAGTAACTTTGCCTCCAGCGTTACTCTCACCTCGCACGTCGTCGAGAAAAGCATAGCACACTTTAGCTCGCTCGTAGTACGCAAACATGGAAGCGATTGCTTCGGAAAGCTCAGCACTGCTGGACTTGTTGATGCAGCAGGTGTCAATCCAAACATGGCGCAATCCATCTCTACGAGCCTGCTTACAGCAGCCCACCAGTTTCGCGTAACCCTTTTTGTGTTCATATCCACCGGCCAAGATGTCTTCGTAAGACACTTCGTCTTCAGGGTTGCCCCATCTGTGAGAAAGGATGGCGTAGTCAGAAACAAACGTGTCCCGTTGGAGTCGTATCTTGATCTGATCCGTGTCCCCAGCTAGGGTTTCCCAGCTTATGAGGTGCATGTTGGCTTGGTGATCTAGGGTAGGGACAGAGGGGGGAGTCGTGTGGCTTCTTGGCAAACCACAATATGACCCTTGACGCTCACGTTGGAAAGGTGAGTTTCAATTCCAAAGTAACTTGAGGTTAAACTCAGAAGGAGGCTAAACGGGCTCGGGGACATCACTTATCTTTTATGATACTCCTATAATGTGCCTCGAAGTGTGCCACACAGAACGCCCTCTGCATGCTCCGCCACCTTTGGCTGACTGCGCCTGCAGGCTGCAAGTCCACGTCGCCTTCAGTAAAAGGATGTGTTGATCAATCAACTATCACATAGTCGATATGTATTTCCTTGATGGACGTGGTCGCAGTCCCGTGATTCGGAGGCGATGCTCCCGAGTTGTCATCAGAACCACTGGGGGATGAGACATGGGCTTGACCGTTGTGGGCTAGCGAGCCCGTATTGCCCCCGGTGGATATCGGCTGGCGGATGCGATCCGACCAGTCAGATCCTCGTTTCAAGGCGGCTTCAACGCCGAGGCTGCGCTAACATGTAGCCTAACATTAATAGTTCCGATTCTGAAATTGCAGTCTGCTCGGAATAACATCAGCGGCTGACAAGTAATTTACGATCTTGGGGTAAATATGAACGGGTCCCACCGTCTCTAAAATCCCATCCTTGATCAACTTCAATCTGGCATCTCAGATATCCACTCGTTCATCACCAACAATGGCTCGCTTCTTGCTCCTCGCCCTCGTTGCGGGCACTTTTTCCCGCGATTGCCGTCCCCGTCCCCCTATCAACGATGACACGCCGATTAAGGACGGCGACTTTGAGGGTGGTAGAAACCCTTTTACAACCTCTGGCGACGATGAAGTCGGAGGCCATATCGTCTCTCCCGGATACGACTCGGAACACAAGTTTCAATCTTACAACATGATCGACAACAACCTGCTCGAAATGTACCAAGACGTCTACACTTCAGGAGGCGTCACCTACACTTGCACCTACAACTGGTACTTTGACAACTACTACGAGACCACATACAAGAACGGGAGAACTTATGTTCCCTACCTCCGATTCTATCACAACAACGATTTGGTTGGCAACCGCTATCCGACGGGAGAGTCGCAGGTGGGCCACTGGTTGTCTGGCAGCTTTACCTTCACTACGTCGGAGGGGGGATGGGATCGTATCTGGATCGATGCTGCGAGTCCACAGCCGCCTACCGGAGAGGGCTCCGGTGACAATGCCCTTTCGATAGACAACATTCAGTGTTTCAGGCAATAATGGCACAAGTCGCGGCTTATTGTGGCACGGATCTGTTAGAGTTGCTTGTGGTTTAATATCCTTGCCACCACGCCTTTACTACCCAATCACAGAGTCTATGCCCTAAAATACTTCGAACACCCGTTAAGTTGCCAAGGCAAGGGACTTAACGGCTGAATATCCAGCCCGAAGGGTAAATACCGTATACCCGCTATTAAACTCTTCTGGGGGAACCCCCTAGATCCCCTTTTCATCTACGGCGATAACCAGCTATTTAAACCACTTCAAACCTATGGTAGGGAGTTAACTAATAGACATAGGGGTCCCTCTACCACTTCCTGCCAGGCCCAATCAACTATATACCGTATATCGAGTTCCCCTTTCCCTGTAGCTTATAGGAAAACGTCATTTAGTCAATATACCGTGGTGGATACGGCGGATCGATCAGCTATTGAGCCTAACGGCGTTATTAGTCAGCAAGGCGCATCTTCATCCCTACTTTATAGTTAGCCATAATCGCAGTACATAGGAAACGCAGGCGTATAAACCTTCCGTGGGCGTATGGTTATAGAGGCTATGACGATCGAAAGGCGCCTCAAGCAGTAGGCCTTTCAGCGAGGTAACTCATGAGACAGCAACATAACTAATACCGGCCTAGAAGTCACGTATAGCGAGGTCAGTAACTATCTGATCCTTTGTTAGACTCTGGCATTTATGAACAGTGATAGCAAATGCCACGATCAGGGGAAACTACTTGCGAGCGCAAGTCTCATTGCCCACTAGGAAATCACGCGTAACTAGAAGGATAGGTACGATTTTCCTGCCCTCGTTAGTTATTAGATACGGCGGTCCATCGTAGCTATCGAAATCCACCATAATAACGGCCAGAGGGTCTTCCTATGGTTTAGTGCCTTTATTCTAGGCGATATCGTATATAGTACCCTAGGCGCCATTCACTAGGCCAGCTAGCTGCCATAAATTAGTCGTGAGCATTACCCTAGCGCCCTTAGCAATAGGAAACTTATTAGATAGATTGCCAGCATAGTCGCTTAGCGCCTGCCCCGCGCCGTTGCCCTAGTTCTTTGCCTCTACCTATATTGCCGGGGCGTTGAGGTGCATCATATGCTCGTAATTATACTCGTTAACGCGGGCCTTTATAGAATATACCTGCATAGCGGCCTTGAATCTATTAACCTCGCTGTGCGTTAGCTTGGCCTATATATGACTACTAAGGAGGTTCCAGGAGGGTATAGATAACTTGACTTCACGCAGTTCTTGCAAGGCCTGACGGAACCGGGCCTAATCGTCACCAGTCTGGCGCTGTACCGTGGTCAGGGAGACGGTGCAGTTAAATAACCGGTAGGCCACCTATCCTCTCCTTTCCAACGAAGACAAGCTAGTGCTAGTGGTTAAATATAGGGGCTTTTATCGGACAGGTAGTAGCTAGAAGAAATCGCCCATAAGCAAGACGCTCACACCACCAAAGAACTCGAGGCTACGCTGTGGAAAGGCCTGTCGCAGGCGAGAATCAATTCGCCCGAGCTATTTAAGTCCTAGCATGCTCTTCTCATCAATAACGAGGTATTTAACGTGCCGTAGGCGGGACTAAAGGGCGGCTACGTCAGCTAGGCGAAGGTCAATAAAGGCACCGCCTACTAGGAGACGGAGCAGCGAATATATGGTGCTGCCCTGTATCTAGTTACTCGCAACGCCTATTGGCGCTATGCGGCAAATAGGGCTAGGATTCGGCAGGGCAGCTACCTGAAGGTGGGAGGAAAGCACCTTAATAAGGAAGGACTTACCCGTGCCACCACCACCGTTAACGTGGAGAAGGATTTAAGTAGGATTTTGCACCTGGAAGTGACCCATGAAGGTATCATATACTAACCGTTATTGCGGGTTGAGATGGTCACGCTAGTGAGGGCCAAGAACCTCCACATCGTTGGCTATAGGGTTACTAGCGATGAGGTCTTTCCAGTAGCTATCTCGAAATTTCAGATAAGTGCCCATATGTCGTGTCTAGTCGTAATTAACGTCGATATCGCGGCGGCCAAGTAGGTCAAGGCCTTCCTAGGTAAGGGGGTTATTAGGTAAAAGGGCGGCGAGACGGATCTAGTCTTCGTCATTAAATTCCTCCTCCACCGGCAAAGCCTCGTACTAATCCTCTTAAGGTTATAATCGAGCCTCTTTTGGCCGGCCGTAATGGTCATCACTATGACTATGGTGCTACTAACAATAGGAGAAGGCCTAAGCGTGAGAATTAAAACGCTGGCCGTCAAATGTGAGGAGCTCATTATACCGACGATATGGGTGGTTCAATGTTAGCTTTACGCGGCAGTAATCTGGCTACTATTGACCTTCTGGATCAGCCTAATAGCGAGGAAAGTAAACCAATACACGAGGCCTGCCATTAACGTTACCTGGCTACCATTGCTTCCACATGGAAGGGTTTCTAGAGAGGAAATTCTAGTATTTAAGAAAGGAAACGTAGGTCAGGTCCTCTAGGGCTTCTGGGCGTCGACAGTACTTTTCGTAGACGTTGGGGGCCTCGTTAACCTCATCGCCGTTGATCCGTAGGGAGCGGGAATGCCTATTAGGATTACGGCAATCAACGTATAGGCAGGTTCGTGAGCCCTCTTGCAACGGCAGGCCGAGGAGCAAGTAGCTAACCTCCTGCTTAGAGTAGTCTCGCTCAGCAACTAGCTAATTTAGGAGCTTTGACGTGAAGGAAATCAGGGGGTTGTGGTCCTTGACCCGGGGCATCAGAGCCTTCCCAATCTAGGCAAAAGACTTGCTCTTCTTTTCTAACTTAGAGCAATATTTGGCTACGTAATCGATCACCTGCTATAGGCTCGTGCAGGGCGAGACATCCGTATTAGCTAGCCACGCAACGATAAGCAAGCGGTTATAGTGATTAATCTGGGCATCGTTGCGCTCGCCCCTAAAGCTCCAGTGCTTAGAATAAGGAATCTTTTCAAGGGAGGCTAGGAGGCGCTGCCCATAAGGAAATCTAAAGCGGCACTCTACCTGCTTAGTATGCTTATTGAGCTATATATAGTAGTTATTATAGCGGTGGCGTTACACGCGGTTGATTACTATTAATAGGAACTAAACGGTAAGGGGATAATCCAATAGATTACTAATCAGGGGATTCCCTTCCCCAGGCGCCTATATCCGCCGAGGCTCCGGGTTAACAGCAGATACGTAATATCCCCAGATTCGGGCGAATTACTCTCGGGACTAACTATTATTAGGATCTAAGTTAGGGTAGCCATTTAACCAATATAGGCCGTGGTGGTGACTAGAACCCCTGCCCTGCCACTCATAGCGACCCTAAAAGTCCGTTAGGTTAAACTTCTACTTTAGGACAATAGTCCTAAATAGCGTATAACGCTTATGGAAGTAATAAGCGGCAATATAGGCGTTATCTCGCAGTAACTGCCGGGACAGGACCATCCGCGCCGCCTCAGGAGCTACTTTCCACTCTTAGAATCGAGGCATATAACGATATAGGGACTCCCAGTGGTAATTAGCCGCACTTACTATAACGAAAAGGCCAGGCCTGCCTAGATTATAGGCATATGCCTCCAATTCCTTCCTTTACTTATACCAATATGGACGGGTGCCCCAGATTACGGCCGCTTGGCGCGTGATCGACTGGATCAGGGCCTAAGCCTCTGGCTCGTCAGGCTTAGCCATCGCTTCCTCTATATCAGCGCGCGTAAGGGGTTAACGGCGGCCTTCGTATTGCTTAACTAAGTAGTTGCTTCGCTTTCTGACCTGCGCACGTAACAGCGTATTAAGGGCGACGAAAGGCCACGTCTTATAGCGGGCAAAACGTCCGTCTTGCCATCTTATCGCATAGGCAAGGTAGTCTTAGTACGTGACGCTCCGTAGGCGAGGCTCCACGAAGTCCGCCTTGCCGTCAGGGTAGAGAGTAGGGAACGCGAGCGTTAACAGTGGCTAGGAATGGTTGAATTCGTTGATAGGAGTCCTACGAATAGAAGGTAGTGGCATCTAGTGTTAAGCCTACGCGCCGGGCGGCATATGCTCAAGATCGGCTATACGCTCAGGGTCAGGGGTACCATAAAGGAATTGGGACTATAGGGCATTAAATTCGATATCGGTAACCTATAAATTCGGGATCGCCGATGCGTCTACATCGCTAGGATCCTCTTCTATAGCCTCCTCAATAGGGCCTTAGGGGACCTCGCCGTCGGGTACGTCGGCCACTTGGCTAGCAATGGAAGCAACTATGCTGCCGTCAAGAGGAAGCCGTTGCAAGCGATCCTGCCTCACGACGATATCGCGATAGCCCGGGTGGTAGCGCTATAGGTAATGCAGCTAGGTCAATAGGCATGAGCGGCGTACCTAGAAATCGCGAGCAAACTACTGCTAGAAGTAAGGGTCGCCCTCCATATTAGGAGGCCGCAGGAGTACGATATCTAGATCTTCAGGTAGGACTGGGAGCTCTTTAAATAGCCTACTAACATTACGAAGGAAGTGGACAACATAGCCGCGGTATTTATACTAAGAGCCACGTACCTATAGGACCTTCATGTATACGTGAACCCTAGCAATCAGCATCTCCTTAGCTATCGTTAGATCAGGTAGATTGCCGGGGACTTCCCCGAAGTCAAGGTTATTCGCAGCGCTAAAGAAGTAAGGCTCGTTAGAGGCTCTTTCCTTATCTCGACTAATGCAGCGGCTGCAGATTTTCAAGCTATTTCTCTTCATATCGAACCAATGCTCCCGGCAGCGAATACAACTATGCATCTTATCGTCATTCAGGGCAATATAGAACTCCCGCACAAGCGCCCAATCCTCCTCACTAAGGGCAGGCAAGTCAAGGTCCCCTATAAAAGGTGGATCAACTATCTAATCAAACTGTCGCTCTTCAGCATGTGCGCTTTGACGTATATAGCGGCCGCGACGATGACCCTATGGCAATAATGAAGGAGTGGTAGGGAACGATTCCTATGGTATAGGCGTTCCTAGCACAACAGGAGGCGTTGGAAGAGTGCCTTGAGGAATTAGCGTTTGAGGAATCGGCGTGCCCAGAACTACTATTGGCAGGCAAAGGGTAGGAGGGATAGGGGAAGGTCCCTCTACCGCGCTTAGGGTAGATAGCCCCAGCAGAGGTCTAGGCGGTCCCTAGAGAGCGGGCGCCAGGCCACGGAATAAAGCAGGTGCGGCAGGAGGTTATAAGCCGTGCACAGACGCAGGCGTTGGCGCAGCCCGCCTTGGAGGCGTCAGGTTAGCTAGAGAATCGGTCCTTTTCGTGGCTCGGCGTGGCGATAGCCTTAAGGCGATATTTCGCATGGCGGCAACGGCAGCTCGGGATCCGGTTTCCCGTTCCCTTCGGCGTGCCCTACAGCTAGCACACTCTCCTATAAGCTTCGCAGGGTCCTTGACGCTTCGAAATTCGACTTCGGGCAAGTCTTACTTGCAGGTACGGCAGTTCCGAACCGCCTAGGGTATATCATCCTCCATCTAACCGTATATATATCCACCTCATACCCACCTAGACTACTAGATATCACTCGGGCAGAGAGGCTTTACGACGGCTTACGTCCAATACCATAATAGATCTCGATAGAGAGGTTATCTTTGAGGTAGTTAGATCAGGTCTGAATAATCAGGGAGGAAACTGCACTGCTTCCCGGAGGCAGGGTAACCGAGGAATCTTAAGAGGTAGGCCGGCTGCGGAGGTAATATATGAACCTAGATACCATTAGCAACCTAATGGGTTTAATTTAATAGATTCGACGGAAAGGGAAGCAGCCGCCACGTAGGTTAGTGTAAGGAGCAAGGGGCACGGGGCTTATTCAGTCAGAATCATGCTTAGAAACCCAACATATTAATTGCATTGAAGAAAAGAAGAACCTGAAAGCTCTTAGAGAGCTTGCCAAGCTAGTTACCTAGTCAACGCTCAGGGGTTTATGGGCCTTCATTTTGGTGGCCGACCAATTCGTGCACGAGTTAAGCACAGGCCAGGCCAATTAGCCAATCAGAAGAGGTTTTATAGTCTTCTTTCTGACTAAGTAAAACGCCCTTCGGGCTGAATCATCCTCCCTTAGACAAGATGGAACAGCGTGATCTTCCCGCAACAACGAGCCTTGTTTCTCACCAGCCCAAATTCTCAAAGCCGCGTGAATATCCAGTGAGAAATACTGCAAGTCGAAAAACTCCACAGGCAGTGGATGTGAAACCGGGCTGCCAGCATGCTCAGCGGAAGCAGCCTCAAGGACCGTGTGAAGCAATTTTGCAAGATGCCAAATCTGCCCGCATACACGGAGGGCGTAGATGAAGAGGTAGAGCTTATTGGGTAGAGGCAGATCCATAGCCTTGGAATAGATGAGATAGAATCTTGCCGCGATAAAGACGCAGTAGATGACGTGGGGGTTGATGATCCCGAGAGTGTCGTCGTTGGCACCTCTAATTACTTCAGCCATTTGATCACAGCTGGATAGGCATCTCTCCGCTGCTGCCTCCCAGTGAGTGGCGTCCTCATCTGCCAGAGAGACAGGAAATATGAGTCTTTGGTGAAGTGATATGATGGCACTGTGTATTGTGCAATGAATGAGGATCGAGTTGGGCTGTTGTGTAGGAGTTCCGGAATGTGTGAGCAAATCAGTGTAAAGCGGCGTGTGCACCGTTAGGAGTTGCTCGAAATCGTTCTGCCACGATTTGAGCCTCTGATAGACGGAATCGCATTCCTCCTGCCTTTGAGATAGAGAGATGATTGAAAATGGTTCGCAAGACTGTTGCAGAAAATTGTGGACATGCCAAAGCTCGTTGGTAACAAGTCGTACGTATAACGAGAAAGACGAGGGCCCTTCAGAGCTACCAAATTGGTACATGTCAATGACCGACTCTGGGAATCGCCAAATTTCCTCGTCGCAGGGCAGGTTAGCAGCTGGCTCTGGCCTGGATACAGTGAGGTGCCACGCTACTCCTAGTGTCGAGGTAGAGTCGAGAGCATCGATGGCCCAGAAGGCTCGAATCTTTTCTTCGCGTTCAACGGCGGTGGTAGGAATCTGTAGCATCCGAGGCGGCAGGACGGAAGGAAAGCCAAAATTCATGGCACTGTAGGCGACCAAGTCTCGAAGGCCTAGCTGTGTGCTGATTCTATGGTGGTGCTCATGTCAGCACATCTTTAGTGGTGAGTGGACTCGCATATTACGTGCCTCTTGCATAGCGAGATCAGGTTCCAAAAGTCAATCATCCGACCGCTGCCATATTCTGCCATGGTCAAGATCAAGAGAGCTTGCAGTTTGCGAAAGGACATGTCGTGGATTGCGGCGAGAATGATCTCGTCGGTAAGGTAGCGACAGAACTGATCCCGGTCCAGACCCGTATCAACTGGAGCCTGTTGAGTTGAGATGATCACCACAGCAATGGCATCAAGGATCAGGGAAGCCGGACTCCCTGGCTGGCTTGAGTCATCTTCGCACAATCCTAGGATGGTCGGCTGGTGAAGAATGGGGAACCAAGAGTGGTATCGGTCAAACCAAATCATGCAGTAGTTTTTGTAGCTTTGCCGCGACGGTCTACTGAATGGCTTTGCGAGGATAGAGGCCTCAAAGGGAGGCTCTGTTAGGTCTACTGTTGTGTGTGACTCTGGGCTTTGCGGCTGTTGGGAAGTGGTGGCAGTGGCGAGGTGCTGATTAACATGCGACTTGAATACCTGGAATTCTTGCTCGAGATCAACTAATGTCCAGCTCTTAGTAATAGTCAGGCAGCAAACAATCATTCCAAGACTCACTGATGCGCTGTTCCAGCTGGCTGACGTAGCCGGCCCGGAGTCCAGGAGTTCTGTCGCGTTTGATGTATTCGCAACGAAAGGCGTTTTTGATGCAAAAAGTACAGCTTGGACGCCGACGATCGCATTTGATCTTTCGCGAGCGGCATGCGTTGCAACCGTGACACGGTTAGTAGGCATATCAAGACGAGGCAGATGACTCACACCGCGGAACCACTACCAGCCTCCTGCGGCGAGTTGGGCATGTTGGTTGCAAGTGGCCGGTTATTTCCAAATTGTGGAGGCTAGTCGTTCTGCGCTGGGATGTGGATATGAGAGGAGAGATGCATTGGGAAGAAGAGATGAAGAAATGGTTGGCAAGGTCCTTGCGGGGTTTTACCTGGCACATATGCGGGGACACCTGGGGGCATGTGCATGAACGTGGATATAATTGGAAGATAAACAAGCTGCAGCTTGAACAACATGCCGGCGTCTTCTTCCGGAAGATGACTTTTGGGTAGCATCCCGAGTAGACAAGGTCTATAGAGGTAGGACTGCAGGTGAACATGAGTTGACTCCGAAATTAACCACCAATGTTTATCAGCTTTCATTAATCACACCAATTATAGCTACTTGCATATTATCCAATTCGTTCTACTACTCTTCGATTTGCTAGGATCACTGCTTGAACAACCCCTCCTCCACCGCCTTGATCTGAAGGGCAAGAAGCCGCGAGTAACTACGGCACAAAGCCAGGTTACCTCCCATGCACCAAAAGTGAGGGTGACCACTAGATCGCCACATCTGTGAGAAGTTAGCCTTGTTCTTGCACTTGCACTAGGAAACTCACCGATCTGATTTCACCTTGTTCATCCAAGTCCCAGATATCATCAAGTCTATCAGCAACCTTCTTCCCCAACGCCCTCAGCGCTGTGCTTCGCATACCATCGTAGCCAGTTGCGAGCACAACAATGTCAGCATCCAGCCTTGATCCATCGGCAAGAACTATGCCGTCGGCGTCAAAGTTCTTGATTCCTTCTGAACACTGCCGGACTTTAATCTTTCCATCGATGATCAACTTGCTGCAACCGACGTCGATGTAGTAGCCGCCACCTTTCGTGATGTACTTGCGAAAGATGCCACTCTTGTCTGGACCAGAGTCAACGAGGAAGCCTGCCTTGGCCAGCCCTTCCAGTGACTCCTTGTCCACCTCACTGATCTTTTGGGCCTCAAAGACTTTCAGGGCAAACTGAATAGGGATGGGGAGACTCTGAGCGTAAATGTCTGCATCTTCAGTTGGCGGCCCATCCTCGTCGTACATTCCCGCATGCTGGAGTGTTACTCCTTTGTCCACTGAGATGACATATGTGCCTCCTCGCTGGAGCATGGTAACTTGAGTAGCCCCGTTCTCGTAAAAGTTCTGGCAGATGTCATGACTGCTGTTGCCAGAACCGACGACGACGACCTTCTTCTGGCTCAAGTCACCAAAAGTGGTAGCATCTTTGTGGCTGATACCGTGATACAACATCCCCTTGTAATATTCCGTACCAGGAAACACTGGGGTGATGGGGTCGCCAGACTGCCCTGTTGCAAGGACGATATGCCGAGGCTTGAGAGTCCTCTCCTTGCCTTGACGATCAACAGTGACGGTCCAGATCTTGTTCTGTTCATCGTACTCGGCTGTCTTCACAAATGTCCTGTTCCAGACGTTCAACTCCATGATCTTTGCGTACGACTCGAGCCAGTCGGCCAATTTGTCTTTTGGGACAAACATGGGCCAGTCAGAGGGGAAAGGGATGAATGGCAGGTGGCAGTAGTGAATGGGGTCGTGTGTCATAAGAGTCTACAAATGTGTTAGTAGCGGATATGGCACGGATAGATGGCAACGCACTCTGTATCGCTGCCGCCAGTTATCACCAACTTGCTCATTTTTGTCAATGATCAAAGTTGGCAGTCCAACATGTCGCAGGCGGACAGCGATTTCGAGGCCGGCTTGACCTAGAAAGTGTCAGACAAAGGCGACTAGGCAAAAAAGACAGACTTACCAGCTCCAATCACAAAGACAGTCGGATCCTCGTCTAGAAACTCTTTCTGCCTCTCTCGTCTCTCTCCCCAAGTTCCTCCTCGCGGGTCAACATATCCGTGTGGGCGACGTAGCCCGGATTGCTCCTCGGCACATTTGAGCTCTTGGAGAGTGAAGTTGATAAGGTAGGCCTTCCAACTGGGCCTGTCACCGGAGACCAGACGCACCATGCCCTTACCACGGCCGATCGAGGTTTCGAACTCAAACATGGACTCGATCCAGTTAGTTCCTGGAGCGGGCGTCTTGAAACTGGGTTGGAATTTCCCATGGTCACGGGCGCTGATTGCGACGAGACTCGCCGCATTCTGGCTCTGCTTGATGTAGGCCGATACCTTGTTGGACCCTTGGATTGTGCGAAAGTCCCATGAAAATGTCAAAAAGTCTCGGATCCAAGCATCCTCGTTGAACAACTCGGCAAGGTCATCAACACTGCCGTTTCTTACGGCTTGTTGGAAACCGCCAAGCCATTGACTAACGATGAGGCGAGCAGTCTCTGGAGACTTGTCCTCGTGTTCTGGGAATTGAGGGAGGGGGACAATGTGCTCGTAGGCAGACATGACGGGCGATTTGAATGCAAGACAGTTGTTTGAGAGGTTGAAAAGAGGAGTGCGCACCTCTTTAATCTTGAGCAACCATTGCCATGGAGGCGCTATCTGCAAGCCCGAGAGGGGAAACGGGTGCGTGATCGGCCAAGCTGCAGAAGCTATCAGTCGCTGGCCAACGCCGCGAGGGATTCTGACTGCGCGTAGTTGAGCGTATCACAGCAATCATTGGGGGGTCGCACTTCGGGCCGTGTCTTGGCCGAGGAGGAGACACGGCCCGCGTCTGGATGGCCTCAGGCTTGATGGTAGTGGAGAGCTCATGCATGGGATCGTCACGAGACGGCGAAGGATCGGGAGAATGCGAACCGAGGGCGCCAAGAGTTGGTCACGGCGAGCTATTGGGTGCCCCAAAAGACTGATTTGTCAGCTAGTATAGAGAGGATGCAGAAATTGCATGAAGCGAATCGCAGTTGAGTTGCTGTTGAGTTGAGATGGAATTGTGATCATGATCAGAAGCCAGGAGGACGAAGGAGAGGAAATGCTAATGAATCGGCTAAAAAAAGGTTAGAGTTGCATGTTGTAGGCGACCAGGGGTTGGCGCAAGGCCTCCACCAAAAAAGTGTAAAGGGCAGCTGGTGCGGCCTGCAAAAAAAGGAAATATATTCAACCGTCAACAATTCACATTTCATCAAAGCTCTTAGAGTATGTCATCACACTTACTCCGGTACTGAGAGGATGTATAGGGTATATTTCTGCGAGTCTGTGAGGTGAATTGGGCCCCCTAGAGTTTTCAGCGTGTATCATCAAGTTTGCGACGCATTGGGCCCAGGATCCATGCCATGGCGGCTACGACAAGCGGGGCAGGAACCGGACTCGAGCAGCCAGGGCAAATCCTTGCTACTATTCTTAAGGGGCCTGGAAGGAAGGTATCAAACTGAACCCAGATTAAACGACTGGGAAGGATGCAGATGGCAATAGGAATAATGAGAATAGGCGCAAGGTGCCTATCTTAGCCTGGATAATAGGTTTTTAGAGTGAAGTTACTGGATAAAAGGTATTACTTACATAGCGAATTATATCAAGAAATTACATCACAATAATAATAGGCTACTGGGGTAAACGGACGGCGGGGCCGAAGGCGAGGGTCGACCCTGTACCGGATCAGTCTGTACACTCGGCATATTACTTCTTTGCCTAGGTATACTTCAAGATGTGCCATGCCTTTGATCCACGATATCCAATTGGTTTGTAGCAATTATTAACTGCCCATGTAGATATCCTCCAAAGTCATCTCCCCTCCCACCTAGACGCTGCCAACCTCCATCGTCGATTCCAAGCCCTTCGCCAAGCCCACTTTTCCGACGGATATCCAACATCCCTTAATTAAACCCTGAACAAGAGATGAAACGAAACGAGCAAGTTACAAACCGGAGGAACGCGATAGGAAGGAGGCTAACGCACGGGGAGTTTAATCGAAACTCCGCCAATAGCAAAAATGCGATTTGAAACGATGCGGCAGCAAGCGCCGTTGGTGCGCTTCAGGAACAAGGTTGTACCAGGGGGTTCGATCCTTGATGACCAGGTGGATCCCAGATTGAGTGAATGTAGTTGACGGAGGATCTCGAATTAGGATGATCTGCAACACGGAGGATCTACCGAGTCTTGATCCGTCGGCTTGGCCCTGGTGTGCCGCAGAGCACGTACGTATGTGTGTGTTTGACCGATATGAAGGAACTATGCTTTTGTGGACCCGAGAGTAGAGATATAATACTTGTACAGAGCCGCCAATTCTTGTCCTTCTTCTCTTCAACCTCAGCCGTGTCCTCTGTGTTCGCTTTTTCTTCCGCCGCAAGTTCGGTGCCCTCACTCTTTTTCTACCGCTAGCTCGGTATCTTCGTTCTTTTTTGACCCTGGCGGTCCTACATTCACTACCTTTTTCTTCGGTGTAAATACTAGCCTCTCTTTCATCGACACAATCGTTCGAGTCTAGCAACCATGCGATTCAATCTCTCCAGCATGGCGGCCCTCCTTGGGCTCGCCGGAACGACGACAGCTCAACTGCGAACCACGCCCGTCACCGACCCCAACACTGGCATCGACTTTCAGCAATACCTTAGCGCTAGCTACAGCTTTGGTATCGCCCTTCCCGAGACTGTCGGCTCTGACTTTATTGGTCAGATGGTCATTCCCACTACCGGTACCAACAAGGAAGGATGGGGTGCTGTCTCTCTCCGGGGCGGCATGTTGAGAGGTCTTCTCTTTGTCGCTTGGGCTGATGGTGAGGATATCATCACATCATTCCGTCTCGCCTCCTCCTACGCCAACCCCGATGTTTACACTGAAACCGAGGTCAAGGCTCTGCCAATTGCCAATGGTACCTTCATCAACAGCACCCACATCTCATACACCTTCCTTTGCGAGGGCTGTCTCGTTGAGGGCAAGACAAGTATCAACACTGAATCGCCTGTTCTCGGATGGGCCATCTCCGAGACCAACCCTACCGATCCCTCCGACCCTGCGAGTGCTCTCTCCTACCATGCTGCTGGCTTCGGTCAGTTCGGCGTTGACGTTGATGCCGCCAAGTCTGCCAAGTACGCTCAGTGGGCTTCTTGGGCTGCCGCGACTGTTCCTACCCCTGACCCCGGCAATGGCGGCGGTAACGGTACCATCCCTGGAAACGGTACCTTCCCTCTTCCCACCACCTCCAACCAGACCTATGATGCCATCGTTGTTGGTGGTGGTCCGGCTGGTATCATCGCTGCTGAGCGACTTGCCGAGAAGGGTATCAGCGTTCTCCTGATTGAGCGTGGTCCCGCCAACACTGTTGCTCTCGGAAACGCCGCTCAAGCCCTGCCCTGGAACGATACCCTGACCCCCTACGATGTTCCCGCCCTTGGCAGCAGCATGACCAGTCTGTCTGGTACCAAGTTCTGCAGTGACACTGCTTCCACTGCCGGCTGTCTCTTGGGAGGTTCCTCTTCGATCAATGGACTCAACTTCATCCACCCCCCTGAGCATGACTGGCAGCGTTGGCCTGCTGGCTGGAAGTGGGGTGATGTCTCTGAGGCTGCTTCGCGTCTGTATGAGCGAAACCCCGGCACCACCAAGCCTTCTGCGGATGGCAAGTACTACAATGACCACGCCTACAAGGTCTTGCAAAGCTTCCTTGACTCCAAGGGGTGGTCAGAAATTGACTCGATTGAGGAGCCCAACAAAAAGCACAACATCTACTCCCGTCCCTCTTGGTCCATCAAGAACAATAAGCGTGCCGGCCCTGCTCGTACCTACATGCCTTTTGCTCAGGACCTCCCCAACTTCACTCTCAAGCTTGAGACCAAGGTCGTTCAGCCCCTCCGAACTGGTAGCCAGATTACTGGTGTCCTGACCCAGGCGGCAGACGGTAGCCGACAGATCATCAAGGTCAACAAGGGTGGCAAGGTTATCCTCGCTGCTGGTGCCATGTCTACCCCTCGTCTCCTCTGGAACGCTGGTATCGGCAAGTCTGATGCCCTGGCCATTGTCAAGCAGGGAGCTTCCCGAACTGGTGTCACCCTCCCCGCTGAGTCCAGCTGGATTGACCTCCCTGTTGGTCACCACCTTCAGGACCACGCCCAGGTCATGCTCCAGTTCAACGCCAAGACCAACTTCTCTGCTTACAACTTCAACGGCATTGCTACCAACCCCATTGAGTCTGACCTCGACCTGTACTACCAGGGATCTGGTCCCATCACTCAAGCTGCTCAGCGCATGCATCTGTGGACTTCGGCCAAGGGTGCTGACGGCCGTGTTCGTTACCTCCAAGGCACAGCCAGTGCTATGGCCTCTGGCGTCATCACTGTCCGTACCTTTTTGACCCACGGAACCACCACCGTCGGTGAGCTCGGTATCACTGCTGCCGGCAACACTGTCCTCAACACCAAGCCCTGGCTCATCGACCAGGAGGACCGCAAGGCCATGTCCGACTTTGTCCAGTGGTGGCTGGACCTCACCAGCGGCAGCAACTCGACCCTCTCCTACGTCACCCCCGGTGCTACTCCTGAGGAGATCATCGCTTCCAAGATGATCAGTGGAGACCACTGGGTCGGCAGCGCCAAGATGGGAGTCGACGATGGCCGAAGTGGCAACGGCACCAGCGTCGTGGATCTCAACACCAAGGTGTACGGCACCGACAACCTGTTTGTCGTTGACGCTTCTATCCACCCTGACCTGCCCACTGGCAACACGCAGTCCATCATCATGATCACTGCTGAGCACGCCGCCGAGAAGATTTTTGCCTCTGGCTCTGGCAACTCGACTACCCCGGCTGCTCCCACGCCGACCCCTGTCGCGACCAAGTGCAAGCGTGGAATGACTCGACGCGCGCCTCGACAACCCGTGTACCTGAGGAGGAGATCGTGGTACTAAGCGAACTCTGGTTGACAAGTTGTCATCCGACAATCTTTACAAGCTTTTGTAGATACATCTTCTGTTCATAGTTACATGGTAGTCCTCCGTAAATAAATACCCGCGGGCTTGCCTAAATTCGCCCAGGAACTTGTCTGCAGGTATCTACGACATTCCCGTGATCATTCTTGCAAAGAGCTAGTTCAGAGCTCATTGGCATAGGCGCTGATTTTAGCTTAGCCTCAGCTTCTTCACATTGGTATGGACATAAACAAGGGCCCGCGCCAAGGGTGTAAAATCCTTCTCTTCCTTTACCACCGTTTCAACACAGCCAGCAACACGTTCCAGCAGCTCAAAATCCGACATCATCGCTCTAGGATTCGGAGAGGAGATAATATAATTTGCGACGAATGAATATGCAAGATGAGCTCGGAAAGTTCCCAGAACAAGAGAAAGAGTCTCAAGTCCAGGCTGCTTCACCTCGTGAAGCATGTGATATATGAGCTCCAAGATTCGGCGAGAGGCTCGTAATGCTGTTTCCGTCAGGGGAATGAGTTGAGCGGATGAAGCATTGCCAGGTGAGCTAAGATCAATGTCCATCGCTTTCCGTTGCATAAAGAGGATGGATGTGTATCCGGCCAGCGCGAGGTCAACCAGGATCCACGTATATACATGGTCATTCCTCAAGGCTTGAATCCATTCATGCTGCGTTAAATAACGTTAGTCCGAAGTCTTTTGGGTCTGACCTAGGCCACGAACCAATTTCCAGTCTTGAAATACGTCTTCAATTTGCTGGCACAGAGGCTCAACCGCATCCACGGTGTCTATTCTGTCTTCTTCGTCATCCAATAACTGGAAAAATGACGCAAGAATCAAAGCCAGTCGGCTTCGTAGTATGAATGTCATAGTAGGTACGGGCGCGTTGTCGTCTGGGGGCGAGTCGACAGAAAGCCATGGTAGATTGACCCTCCACTCTTGAATGCTCGATGAGAAGGCTGCCGGTTTATTATAGATCAACCTGTAAAAGAGATCCATTTGGATCAGCTCCCACATGCCTTTGCGGTCATCGTCAGTTGAAGGGGGCTTATCGGGTGACGAGTTGCTGTCTCGGTCAAGGTTATGCATCTCTAGGCCTTCGGCGTATTCACATGCCAAATTGTGCATTTCCAAGGCCGTCTCAAAATCGAAGCTTTCTGCAGCAGTTCGCATCTAAAATTCTGCCTTTCAGTGACTACTGCTGCAGGGAAGAAAGTGTGCCGGGCGTCGACCAACCTACCATATACAGGGCAGCTACGAGGTCTGTCACACTCCCAGCGGACTCTCTCTGCCAACTCGGTATGATGCGCAAACAACAGAGATAAAGTTGCCTTGCGTACTTTCGGTCGGGGCCTATGAACAAGCGTTTGCCAGGCAAAAAGCAGCCCTGCCAGAGTATGGCGTAGTAAATAAGGAGCATGCAGGCATCCAAGTGGACATGACGCATAGTGATCAAGTCAGGCATCATTTCAAGAAGCCTCCTATCGACCAAGGTCAAGAAGAGCTCGGCTGACATGTGCGCAAAGTAATCTAAGCAAGCAATTAGCATCGGTGTCCCATGGCTGGTTCCAGCACTGACTTTGCATCCAGGTCCTCGCCAGTTCTGGTGGAATCGAGACGCCTTCTGTGGCGATGCGATGCGCACTTCTTGCTCCAGCCTTTCTGCGAGCTTGAACCTGTTTGATAGCCATCTCAAGTATAGAGGTGTTTCCCATGCCCTTCCAGGCGTCTTCTTCACTTAGGTCTGGGTCGTTAAGCGAACTGCCGAACCAAGGAGTCGGTGGCGCAACATTGGACACTTCGGTGTCTTCGGAAACAAAGACCTCGTTATTCAGAGAATATGCGGCGTCGGTATGTGGCCTGGATCCTGGGCTCTGAGCTGATGGATGGCCTGTTGCTTCGTCTGGAGGCTGATCACTGGCTCCCTCCTCGGATGAGGAACTGAATACACCCCGTGCGGCTGAGGGATGTTTCTCGATTCGATCAAGGCGCTCAATAATTCGTGACAAGGTGGCATCCTCGGCTCTGAAGAGGTTGTCAGCTTTACACATATATGGTCAGACGGTGCTGCCCGACTTTTTGGGTTGAGGTCTTCTCGGTCGCCTCATCCTCATTTTTCTGCGAGGATAGTCACATTGAATGGCATTGATCGCGCAATTTTCACAACAAGGTAAGTGACGAGTGCAACGGATCTAGAGTCAGCGAACACAGAGATGAGATCAGCCACGGATGGTATGTAACCCTTGCCCGTAGGCAGTAGAGAAGGCATGGATGTATAAAATTATGCAGGGGTTGGCTACCTTCTTTTGTCGACAATTGGTGCACTAGATCAATTAAAGAAGTGAATTAGTTACTGAACGATACGTTTTGACGACGACAAGGTTGATGCAGAATGAAACGATATGCGGCCACATGCATCCTGCACGAGAGTGCGAGACATTGATCATGCAGGTTCAAGTCAGCTGCCCCTCGACAGTAACTTACAGCGATGCCGCTCAGGTTTGTATCATTGACTCGGTCCATATTGATGGCTTCTATAAATTTGCACGATACCTCTGGCGTGAAGCGCAACTGTTTGTTGCAATGCGCGACGGCAGGGAATGAGAAAAGATGGGGTTGGACTGGTGTCGCCATGATCTTTAAGGTTGCAGCTACTGGGTAGTAATGTCTACCGGGGCTCGAACAATACGGTTGTCTACGATATTCAAGTATCCGCAACCACTGATAAGAGGGTCACTTACTCCATCCATTATCAATCAAGCAACAGCGTCTTCACTCGCGGCTGAAGGTATGAATAGAATTAATACTAAGAGATACTATGATCGAAGATATTCTGCAACGCTCTTCCCCCAACGAACCGCACTCTTGTACTTGAACATGCCAGGAGCATTTCCCGACCTCAACCCTTCGATGGCATCTGCAAGGGCCGGTCCCGAACCCTCCTCTTTGACATCCTTGAGTGGGTAGAGATATGTCTTGAAGGAAAACAGGACGAATCGTGTTTGAGGAAGTCTCGTGAGTGTCTGAAGCTCGATTCGCAAATGGGCCTAAATGATGATAATGTTAGTGATGGTTTTGTCAAGAGCCACGTTACATGCCTTGGAGCAGTCTACTGCCTCATCGGCAACGAATTCGTCACCATCCTTGATGTGATTTCCTGAAATGTTGATGAGGTCTCCGTGTGTTTGGACCACCCACTACAGCAGAGTCAGTAATAACCCTGACCTCGGCTACCATGATTATACTTGCATTCATGCGCTTAACACTCTTGCCTACTTGCAGCTTTCGGAAAAATCGCTCCATACTTGGACCAATCTTTTCATATGATGGAACCGGATCATGAATCCGCTTCAAATCTTGGCCTAACTTGGTCGATGGATCGAAGCCGGTAGGGAAGCAACACAGAAATGCCAGGCAAACGTGTGTCGTGTCCGTTTCTTTCAACAGAAAGATGTCTTCATCGACCGTTTCCGCAAGCGTCCGCAAACAGATCTCAGGGTCGTCAGGGGGGCTCGGTGGAAACGTTGCGCCGGTGACTTTGTTGTGAAAATTGCCCTTTCCGGTGGTTTTAAACATGGATGGAAAGCGAGTTGGCAGGTGGTATCCGAGAAGGTACGAGTAAAGTTCCTTCACGGCGGCCTCACCGCCTGGGAGACAGCCATGAACTGTGTTGTTGTAATTGGCGACAATAGAACGGCGAGCGGTCACTCGGTCCAGGTAGTCTTGGTCAATGGTGATGAGTTCGGACAAGTCGTCGGCTTGTATGCCTGTTTGTGAAGGATGGTCAACGATGCTCTCCCTCGGCTCATTCCTCTCAAACGTACCCATAGTGATGTTATAAGTCGGCTTGAAGGGGCGCAGTCGTTTCCGCTTCTCTGCCCGCCAATCGAAATCATGAAGAGGATCAATGGGAACTATGCCCTGCCCAGGCCTAGTTCTCCATCTGCCTAGGAAAATCTACCCAGTGAAGTCGTAATCAGCGATGAAAAGTGAATTTAAGAAGGCGTTGATTCTGGAACAAAACCCAGTAGAAACTTACGCCTCTTTTGATCCAGCAAGCACACAATAGCCCCAGCACGGCGCAGGCCGGAATTATGGCCGTCAATGGCATGAGTTGGCTTTCCGTGTTGAGGAGCCGAAAACTCATCTTGATAGAGATTAAGTGGCCAACAAGAAGTAACGAGAATAAATGGCGAGTAATTATGGAAGTAACAAACAACTGCTCTTCATGGGTTGGGGCCGCGCCTTATTTATGAGGTTTGCAGCCTGACAAGACACTCGGACACCAACGTTGAACCCCCTCTTGCGGTTATAACCTGTCCTGATACCGAGCGTATCTTCTTCGCAACCCGGGGACCCACCGATAAAGCTACTGCACGTTGATTCCATTGCGGGGTTGACCAGTCAAATGGGTTGCCGCGTTTACATGTGGCGACCGGCGCTCTGAAAGACATCGGTTAGGTAGCCCAGAAGTGGAATGCGTACACGGCAGACGCCACTGATGAGATCTCCATCCTGACCTCTGTCAAATAGAGGCTCAAATGATTACTTTGGAATTACTCGAGATCGATGACGTGAACCGCGATTGATACAACGGAGACTAGGGAAACGCGCACACTCAGGTTGTGGTTTCCATCAATTCTGTTCTCTTCACTTCCTTTAGACAAAGTAAACTCGAATTTTGGACCCTGCAAAGAAGTACTCTACGAGAATCATGGTTAAGGCTTTCGATACCGGTGGTCTTCTGCAGCCGGCTGAGTGGCCCTGATAAGACAGATTAGCAACCGACCAACTGGAGTGTGTCAGGTCTGCCGGACATTCGGACTCTCCGGTATCATCCGGAGTGTCCGAACGTCCGGATTGGCCGCACTTTCCGGGCGCTCCTTAGCGCCTGTCTGGATTCACCCTCGAGCTGGCGGTCACGCCCACGCATCTTCTTTCGCAAATATTAAGCATGATCTCCTCTTGTACTTGAACATTACTACTTCTTGAAGAATTTTATATTTTAACTTGATACCTTACTGCTTGCTAATTGGCATCTTGAATGATCGGCGCTGGGTGTAAAGCATCTCTAGTTCAAGGTACGCTCCACGGCGGAGGAAAGGGGTGGCAAACCTAACAGCATCGGCATGCTCATAGGAAAATATGCTCCTCGAATTCTATGGACTTTCTCTATACTTAATATGACATGCTTGCATCCAGATTTGGCCCTCAAATGCAACTAGGGGGCATGGCGAACCTAGCCAAGCCTAGCTCCATCCATACACCCCGAAGCGGGCGATCATAATATCATGTGCTGGCGACTTAAAACTTAACAAGCAATTTTCCTAGTTTTCAAGTTGTTAAACCGCAGGGATCAGCACCAGTATGGGCAATTCACCAGTGTTGGCTCCGCTAAAGATCCCTTGCAGAGCCTGTTCAGCGACCTTCAGGCCACCATCAACAATGGTCGCTCTGGTGTGGATCTTCCCATCCGAGGTCCACTGGGCAAGCTGGCGTCTGGCGTCGTCGAACTCGTCAGCGTAGTCTAGGACAATGAACCCTTGCATTCTGGAAAGCTTAGGTATTGCCTTGAGCATCAAGTCTCGGCCTTACCTGATACGTTTGGGTGTCACCCATCCTAAGTTCTAACGTGGCAGTTAGATGAAGCAAGTCATTGGGCTGCCATGTAATGGTGCATACCTTGGGGCCGGTGGGTGTCGCCGAGTTGTGCTGTGTGATTGACCCCGACATGACAAAGCGAGAAAAGAGCTGAGCCCCCGAGAGTGCCATTTCCAGACTCTCACCGCCGACTTGCATCAAGGGTTAGAACAATTATTCCACTGCATTCGTCGAAGTATACTTGGCGTTGTCGAAGTACACATCAATAAGGTCCGGAGTAGCCTCCTCAAACTAACTCTTGAAGTTGGCGCTTGTAAGTCAAAGCCACATCAAATCCCAGCTCCTTGAGCCAGCAGCACTTTTCATCGCCTCCAGCTATGCCTATGACTCTAGGCCCGGCAATCTTGTCTAATTGGCCTGCGATGCTCCCCATGGCGCCGGCCGCCCCTGAAATAACAACAGTCTCCCCTGCCTTTGGCTTACCGATTTTGTCGAGCTCAAAATAGACCGTGAGGCCTGTCCAATGATAAGCACCTAGAATGCCAGTGATTTCGGAACCAGGTACTAGCTCTGATGCTTTCTCGAACTGGCCCTCTGGGAGGGTGGCCTCCTCTCTCCACCCAACGTGATTAGAAACGACAACATTGCCAGTCCCGATCTGCACGTTCTTGGAAGCAATGACTTGAGCGAGAACGACGCCGCGCATTTGTTTGCCAATTTTGACGACGGGGACGTAAGTGTCACCTTTTAAAGCACTTTTGTAAGCAGCTGCAATTCTTCCTGCGTCTTGGAATACCATACCTTTGATCCACGCCCGCATCGCCGGCTCAAGGCTCAATTAGAGAGTCCTGACGAGAATCTCGCCAGACTTGAAGTCATATTCATTCTGAGATGGCAAGACCTTTTTCTTAAAGGTTTAACCGGGAATAATCTTCTCAACCGGCCTCTCGGCGAGCACGACGGAAAGGGTGGTCCCCGACATGATTGGAAATGAAGCAAGATGCGGTAGAAATAATTGGTCTTGTGCTGAGTGTAAAGAGTGCTGATAAATTGCAGCACGGGTGAACAGACGCCTCGATTTGCTCTCTTTTTGATTGCCTCTTTGGGTGGTGCCGAGGCCTAGTGCTACGGGCACATGCAATGGGACCGTTCACACTACGCCGGCTGAGACTTTTTGTGGCTCTACACAAGTGGTTAGCTTCTATTCCAGGGAAGTTGAACCGTATGAGGATGCTCACAGCTGACCTCACAGTCCAGCAAAGTGGTATTCCGTTGTTACAAACCCTGCGTAGACAATTCACCCCCCTTATCGAGATATCCACCGCGATGACTTGGCTTCCCAAGAGGATCACTAGACACTGATCTTAGAGAGATTGGAAATATTAGACCTAGAGGGGTAGATTAGTAAAATCAACTAAGTATGACTTCTATTTAAGAACATTATTCTCATTATTGTCCTGAAACTTTGTCAATTCTCTACCTAAAACTATCAAGGCCTCATCTCGTTTTTTGAGGACCCCATTGATCCTTCTGTCGTCCGCGGCGTTAGCCCCCAGCTTGATCGAACCTACCGTGTGAACGTACATGTGAAGCTCACACAAACCAGACTATTCACGACCTTGCTAGATACATCAAGGCCTTTCTTGCGTGTGATTTCTCTACCTACTATGCTCGCCCTTACCGTAGTAAGCCAAAGCACCATTAATAGAATTTAATGCAGTGACAATAATCATCACCATCCACCTTCAACAGACCTAATCTGCTATCAACGTTAATAAAACATTCTAAGTCGACTATCTGAGGCTACCCTACATGTGCTGTGGTAATCCGTTATTCCACCCAAACGATCCGTCGCTTTGTAACCCGCACAGGCCACGTTATAACGTTGTGATAGAATAGTCCAAATTTTGTCAGTTGGAATGTCATTACCAAGGTGGCTCTGGGGTAGTCTAGAGCAAGCCGAATATCCTTAGTAAAAAGGGTGAGCTGTATATTACGCTGATCGGACATCATCTTGTCTTCTACATTCACCAGTACAGCCTCAGCTCTTCCTTCTCAGGCCTAGTTAGCTCTTACAGTATCAACCCCAACTCCCGATTTACACGATCCATTTTATCAGCTATCAACATGGCAAAGACATCTATTCCTGTTGGCTTCGTTGGGCTGTCGTCCAAGCCGTGAGTTCCAAAAACACACATGTCGCATGTAGACTAACGAAACCAGCGAGTGGTCCTGGGCCGTGGCAGCTCATTTACCCTACTTTGCGCAGTCAACCAACTACAAGATTGCAACGCTGCAAAACAGCTCGGCCGAAACAGCCAAGAAGGCCATCGAGGTCCACAAGCTGGGAGATGATGTCCACGCTCATGGCGATGTTCAGTCGATTGCCTCCGATCCAAACGTCGATCTGGTCGCCATTGCAGTCAAGGTCCCACTCCATGCTGCTGTTGTCGAGGCAGCTTTGAACGCCGGCAAGTCCGTCTTTTGCGAGTGCCCTCTGGCACGAAACGCCGACGAGGCTGAGCGCCTTGCGTCTCTTGCCCAAGAGAAGGGTGCCAAGACTCTGATCGGTCTCCAGGGTCGTCAGGATCCTGTCGTCCTGAAGGCCAAAGAGTTGGTCGCCGCGGGTACTCTAGGAGATATCCTCCAGACCACCATGCTCTTCACGAGCCCTTGGTTTGGCGGTACTATGCCAGAGTCCAATGTGTATGGGGTCGACATTGACAATGGAGCCAATCTGATGACAATCTCTGTCGGTCATTCGCTTGACACGTTGTGTTACGTACTTGGAGAGCTTCACGGAATCCAGGCCAATCTCGCCAACAACCGACCAGAGGTCACTGTCACTAATGCAGCCGGAAACCCCAAGGGCACAGTCAAGAAGACCTCACATGATAATTGCTCTGCCACTGGCACTCTGCCAGGTGGTGGAGTTGCCACAGCTATCTGCCAGGGAGGCACGAGTACCATCGACAAGAATTTTTTCTGGGAGATCATGGGAACAAAGGGCACGCTACTCCTCAAAGGACCCATGGGCAACGTCCAGGGATTTCCACCAACCATCAAGTTCATCGACGCCAAGCCCGAAGCGAAGCCACAGCCGATCGAGGTGCCACGTGCGACCGGCTTTGAGTACAACACTGGCAAAGCTTGGGATGCTTTTGCAGGGGAGGGAGCGGGAGAGACGCCTGATTTCCAGGTCGCTCAGACAAGACATCGGATGTTGGAGGCCATCTATAGGAGCAACGAGAAGGGGACGAGGGAGGATTATGTTTAATTTCTGTTGTTGTCACTTGTGATAGCTATTGACTTTATGGACATGATTTTATGCCCTTGACGCTTAGGTTTAAGCCTTTGGTAATATTAATCTTGCAATGACTCTGGTGTGCTGCTTTAAGAACCTACTGCATCGACTGGACAAATTAGCAAAACTTGCTGGGTCTAGATACACTTATTAGCCTCTATTTCCAGGCCTCTGATTCGCTATCCCGCAGAAAGGCTGAAGCGGCAGAGGCTGGCTCTAAACTTGAACTCATGGGGCCTGAGCCAATTAATAACTTACGATTAGGGTATGACCAAGGTAGTAAGACCCACTAAGTTTTGCTAATTTGCCCAGTCGATGGGCCCTACCGAATCTTCAAGAGTCGGTTATAGAGGATAGAAATTGCCTCAACGGGAAGCGTCAAATTTCACGGCAATGAAACCGGAAATGTTTGGGTACTGTAACCGTTCGTGTTCAACTGTCAAGGACATGATTGGTCTATTTCCGAGCTGGTCAACTGCCTTTATTGGCAAGATCTACCAGTGGACTGCCGCATTCTGCAAGGAACGGAGGTTGCCGACATTGACCTTGGGATTGACTGGGATCAGGGCCGGCACAACTATTCGGCTGTGTCTTTGTCGCCACTCTGATTGTCAGGTGTCCAAGAGGCACGGTTAATTGTAACCTATAACTACAAATTAATATTGGGTAACCAATCGAAAGCCTCGAGATAGCGAGCCAAAAACGCCCGCAAGACTCCCGACGATACCACGACCAAGGTTGTTGCTATTATCCGGACCCATAGACCCATAGTAGGCAGGCTTATCTCGCCTTCCAACTGTTCCCCTGCTGTTCCCGGCGTTTTCACCTATGCAGCAAGCGAGGACGGATAGACGGCCAGTTCTGGTATGGCGGCATCGTCAATGAACAAAAGGTCCGGACCGTTAACTCAGCCTTAATTTAAGGCAAATGTAACCTTCCTTAGTCGGTGTATCGGAGTGACCAAAACGAGTGAGAATAAGCAGAATACCGAGGAGAGGGGATAACGGTTCTTGGCATCGGATCATATAGAAGAAGTAGTTGCAATAGGTTAAATATAAGCATACGGAACTCGGTGTTTGGGAGAGCTATTGGAAGGTCATCCTACTCCTTTTCACTCTTTTCAGGACCAGCCATCAACATGAGGCTCCTTTCTTTACTCTTGGCGATATCTCTCGCCGCCCACGCCCAAGCCAGGGCAGTCTTTGCACACTTCATGATTGGCAACACGGAACAGTACACCAACGCTGATTTCGTCAATGATATCCAGAAGGCCCAAGAAGCTCACATCGATGGCTTTGTGTTGAACATTGCTTACGATGACTCCACCAACGATCGCTCTATCCCCATGGCTTTCGATGCAGCCGGCAGCCTGGGTTTCAAACTACTCTTCTCTTTCGACTACGCTGGCAATGGAGACTGGCCAATGGACGACGTCATCAGCCTCATCAACAAGTACAGCTCGCACTCTGCTCACTTCAAGCGCGGTTCTCAGCCATTGGTGTCTACTTTTGAGGGTTTCAAGAGGGCTAGTGACTGGAGTACTATCAAGAGCAAGACCAACTGCTATTTTATGCCCAGTTGGTCTTCTGTTGGAGCGAAGCGAGCTGTCAGAACTGGCGAGACTGATGGTCTCTTTAGTTGGGCGGCCTGGCCCGAGGGTCCGAACACGATTGACATGGAGGTTGATGCATCCTACCTGATTTTCTTGAACGGGTCATCATACATGATGTAAGTCATTCGGATGAGAGTCACATACACATGAACCTCGCTAACTTTCTCATGAAGGCCAATTTCTCCCTGGTTCTACACCAACCTTCCCGGCTACAACAAGAACTGGCTCTGGCGTGGAGATTCACTCTGGCATGACCGCTGGAACCTAGCCTTTACCCTTGTCTCACAAGACCAGTGGCCCGGCCAACCAGAGTATCTATAGATCATCTCGTGGAACGACTACGGAGAATCTCACTATATTAGTCCTTTGAACGATAAAGCCTACGTCGCCTTTGATATTAGTGAAGCTCCTTATAACTACATCAAGGGTATGCCTCATGACGGCTAGAGAAAGCTTCTCCCATACGCAATCGACACCTTCAAGGACGGAATCGCTACCATCAACCAAGAGGTTCTTGTGGCTTGGTACCGACTCACTCCTGCATCGGCCTGCGGAACTGGAGGAACAACGGGAAATACGGCGGCTCAGCTGCAGCCTGAGATGGCCCCCGGAGAGTTGTCCCAGGACAAGATCTTCTTCTCAGCCCTACTGACCTCTCTGCTCACCCCACGAGTCACGATCGACGGCCAGAGACGTGTTGTCAACTGGGATGATGCTCCTTACGGATTTGTCGGCATGTATCACGGTAGCTTTGCATACAACGGCCGCGTTGGAAAGGTTCTCATCGAGCTGGTTGACAGCGACGGTGCTGTTGTTGCTACGCTGAATGGAGCTGATCTTACAACCACCTGTGAGAAGGGCATCACCAATTGGAACCCATGGGTGGGAAGTACAACGACATCGAGATCGGTTTCTGCAGCACCGGCGCTTTCTTTGTCAAAGCAGCAGTGTATGAAGGGCACTGGACGAGACGGTTTCAAGGAGCTTTGCGAGTTGACATGTTCCTTTGGATATTGTCCGTAAGTGAGAGTACAGACCACCCAACCGGATGATGATCGCTGACCTGATGTGCCCAACAGTCCCGGTCCGTGTACTTGCACCAAGCTGGGCAAGGCTCTGGATACACCGGACCCTAAGAATGTCGATGGATATCCCCTCGCCGGTTCCGATTGTACATACAAGGGCCTTTGTTCGTATGCTTGTAACTACGGTTACTGCCCACCCAAGTTCTGCACGACGGCCGCTTCGGCCAAGGACAAGTGTGTCATCCCGCCTGAGGAGCCCGACCCCGAAGACTCGAACGATGCTTGCACCGCGGGAACTGGAACAGGCAACTTTGAAGGACTCTGCAGCTTCTCTTGCGGACGTGGTTACTGTCCCCAGCCTCAGTGCAAGTGCACAGGACGTGGACCGACCATCACACCTCCGCCTGCGACCTCTGCCGGAGGATACCCTGCAAATGGTCTTCTAGGGGACTACACTGGCCTGTGTAGCTTCGCCTGTGCCCGCGACTACTGCCCTCCAGGTGCTTGTTCCAAGGCCAACCCCTACGGTGCTCTCTTCAAGGAGTCGCTTCGGACCTCTGGCGTGGAGATTCACTCTGGCATGACCGCTGGAACCTGGCCTTTACCCTTGTCTCACAAGACCAGTGGCCCGGCTAACCAGAGTATCTATAGATCATCTCGTGGAACGACTACGGAGAATCTCACTATATTGGTCCTTTGAACGATAAAGCCTACGTCGCCTTTGACATTGGTGAAGCTCCTTATAACTATGTCAAGGGTATGCCTCATGACGGCTGGAGAAAGCTTCTCCTATACGCAATCGATACCTTCAAGGACGGAATCGCCACCACAAACCGGGCAAATGACAACTATGACTGCGACATTATTGGAACTAACGCCTGGTACGTACTTGTGGAGCACTGTCTTGTTACACCTGCTAATCATGATAAACTTCAAGCACGAACCCCTTCAAGTGCGGCACGACGCAATACCCTGGCATGGATCTGGTCTTTGCCTCGTTCTCCAACTTGCACAACTTCATCACCAACATGTATCTTTCGATTGATGGTGTCTCTGCTAGCGCAGCAGCGAACTCAGCCTCGGTAAGTCAAGTGCATCGCTACTTGACTCTGTTACTGACCACTCAGCAAGATTGCCGACACATTTGGTGACCCCAAGCTGGACGAGGGTCTCAAGTTCCTTCAGGAGTTTTCTGAGTACTTTGGCCTAAGTATGCAATTTGCTGGTGGTTCATTCTGGAGCAAGGTAAGTAAGAGAACCAACTGTTAGAGAGACATACTAACGTTGAGAAGATGATCACGGATCCAGACGCATTCAAGGCATTTGGAGAAGTTGTTTCGAGGGTCGAACAGCTCTCGGGCACCGTCGAGACCTTCACTTCTCTCTACAGCACCATTACCGAGGCGCAGACAGAAGAGTGTGACACCAAAACCCCTCTTCTGACAAGATCTCATACTGACAGATTGACAGGGCTATGAATGCGCTCGAGATTATCAAAGATGTCAGCAAGGCAGGCGACGAGCTTTCCAAGCAGATGCGCCAGACGCTTGACAAATTCATGAAGCAGATCTTTGACGGCAGTTACCTATCAACAAAACGTCTGTACGCCATGATTGCCGACGGAACTTGGCTCGACGCCCCCAAAACCTCCATCTTTGACTTCCACAAGAACATCGAACCCATCATGAACGCCATGCTCATTAACAAGGCCTGGACCACCGGCGCCAACCGAAACGCCATTGTGATTCTCGTCAAGGAGGGACATGTGACATACCCACAGCCTCGACGCGGCAACGCTGCTCTCATGACCAACGACGACGGTGAGGCTACGCAGCACTTTTACACGAGTGAAACGGGCGAGAAGTGGACGCTGTGGATCGCCCAAGTGGATGTTTGCACACAGAACCGCTGTGATCGTCGATTCAAGGCTCCCAAGGGTCTTGACGAGATCAGAGAGAAGAATGACTATGGCGTTACCCTCGAGAACATGATTCTGTCACCTTTCTTCAACTGGCGGAGACAGGGCAACCAGAACTACCATCCGACAAAGCTTGATCCCTACGCCAAGAACGGTGACAAGTCGGCATCATCGCAAGTTCCATTCTCAGTTGGCCTCAACCATCCCGGCGCCATCCCGATCCCTGTCTGCGATATCGAGACGGCCTGGCAGAACATTGCCAAGTGGTGGAGGGATCCCAGCGAAGCTCCTTGTGATTACTATCCCTGCTGCAGTTACTAGTCTCAAACGCAGGATTAGTACAAAATGTCTGTTTTGAAACAGAGCGTATGTTGTGTTCGGGGATAGGTAGCACCAACTTGGTTAATCTGGGCCTTGACTGATTCTCTTGTATACGTGGAAACGGCCAACAATCATTAATCTTCATCACCATAGGCAGCACTCTCTAGCTTTTGGCTTTCTTCTGTATTAATCAATTTTTTTTTTCATGCCAAAATCATGCGTTTTCCATCAATTGGTTGAGAGACTGTCATGGGTCCTTCACTCTCTACTTTGTAGTATATGTTCTGTTCCGTAGAGCGGAGAATTTGATATCGATGACGTCCGTATTTTAACCGCGTATAACTATTTGATACTTGTCATTTATCCAAGTGCCCATGACTTGGTAGTCTCCCTTTCGAACCCCTTCATGTCAAGGCTTGAGGAGGTTTGAGCAGAAGCATCCCGACCCTACACACCATCAAGTACGAAGTAGAAATATCTGGAATACTATGTAGAAGCGCACCTATCAAATTTGGAATCATCCTCTCCAACTGCCCCTTTCGCCCGTCTCCCGGCAAGATGGAACGACTCGAACGAGTCATTACAAACGCCACTGACGAAAAGCTCCAGACCAACCTTTGCGCCACACATGGTTTCCACGTGGCTCTCTACTGCAAGCATCACATGCTCTACACAATCCCCAGCTCATCTGACTTGGAGATGGTTGCCACTAACTTCACCAAAGGCAAAGATCAACGAGGCCAAAGGGTTGCAATGTCAGACTTTAGGGCAGACCCTGTCTGCGCTCCCCCCGGGATAATCGGCAGTTCCCCGCGTGTTCCACGCGTTTCTGGAGACCAATTTTCCCTTTCATCGTTGCCGGCATGACCTTTCTGCTGTATGGACTCAAGAATTGGATCAGCTGAGGGAGTGTTGATGCTAGGTACTCCTCCAACCTCTGTTGATCTTGGTCCTCGTCGCGTCCGTGGACCCCTTGCGCGCAGTTGCGCATCAATTCAGCTGGAGCCGTTCGACCGACGACAACATGTCTAGTGAGGTTACGACGTTGATAGGCGTGAGCTCGATGCTTCTGGCGCTGGTCACGATATTCGTCACGATTCGATTCTTTGTGCGCAGTTTCCTATTACGGAGTCTCGACTGGGACGATGGTAAGGACCCTAGTTTCCGTTTTCGTCTATCATGGAGTCTAACGTGGAGAAAGCACTCGTCCTTCTCAGCTGGGTACGACACTTCTTACCGGTGCTTTGAATAATCGCTGATAGTCCTAGTGCCTGATGGTGGTCCTGTTGAGCACAGTAATAGCCAGTAAGTTCATCAGTCCAACTTGACGCGTACCAGAGCTGATGTTTATCCCAGTGACCAAAGTAGGCTTGGGGTCCTATGTCGACACAGTGTCGGAGGATCACCTCCGTAAGTTCCTCAAGGCAAGGGACTCAATGGAACGATATGTTTCTACGAACGCTGGCTAATATCTTGCTAGCTTCGGGTCGTCATCTCGCTTGCCTATATCTGGGGCTTCGTCACCGTCAAAATGTCCTTTGCGGTTCTTTACCTGAGGTTACTCCCTGGCACCGTCTATCGACGGCTCAACCAGGTATTGCTAGTTTTACTACTTGCGCAAGGCCTTGAGGAGTCCCTGGTCGTCATCTTCCGGTGCAACCCAGTTGATAAAGCATGGACGCCCGCCAAAAGGGGTCATTGCCTAGACTTGAGAAGTTTTTACTATACCTCTGTAAGATCAAGACCAGGGAGAACTTCACAGCACAGATGCTAACAGTAGCAGTTCGGTATAAAACTCGTTACAGACATTGTCCTATTTGCCCAGCCTATTCCGATGGTTTGGAGAATGCAGCTATCTAGAGCGAAAAAGATAGGCGTAGTGTTGATGCTTTCCCTCGGCCTGTTGTAAGTGCACCAAGCACCCACACGTGAGACGACACTGATCAGCTTAGTGTCTGTGTCATATCGATCGTCAGAGTTACCTACATTTCGGTGTTGAATACCGATGTCACACGTAAGCCGCCTTAATCACGCTAAAATCTGTCTCTGACAAGCTATAAGATGCCATTGTGTCCTCCCTTCTTTGGTCCGAGGTTGAGGTCAGCGCACTGGTCCTCTGCGCCTGCATTCCCTCGTTCCGGCCGTTCCTTCGCTGTTTCCCAAGAGTCAACAAGGCTCTCGGACTCTCATCAGGCGAGGACTCGAACATGCGGTATACCCGACGCGTGAGTCAGAATCGGCGGCCGGTGCTATTGACGAGCCAGAGCGGGAGTCATAAACATTCACGAAGGGCAACATGTGAGTCATCAGAGGTCAGACGGGGCGAGGGGGATTCTGATGAGTAGTTCAGGAGATCATTGGAATTAGGGTCTGGGTACAAGAAGCTTCGACCCTTGGATTTGCACAACAAAATTTTGGATTAGACCAGACAAAACAAGGAGTTCGATTTTTAACAGCCTGTTACATCTACAATCTATTCTGGTACGCTCGAAGCACCAACTATATCTGGTACGTGGCGGCACCATAGGCCAACGGAAGGCCACATTCCTGATCTTATCCCTAAAATAGACAGCGGCGTTTTCAATTCGAAAAATCTTGTCACTTAATTCATCTTACAACAGCGGCAGTTTTTCGAAGCCCAGTCAGATCTCCAGAGACACAAGGTCCACACTACTGCGACGTGTACATGCCACAGCCTCACTCATCTGTGGCGTTGCAGCCTAAACGTATTGATGCCCAACGTAATATTTATCCCATAATTAATTTGCATAAGTAAACAGATTATTAACCTCAGCGAACCAAGACTCTCCTACTAGTTCTGGGGCCCGTTCTTCTTTTCCCAACCGGACGAAACGCTAAACCGCACCCAGTGAGACCTTGACGCCTTGACAACGGTTTTCCAGTCGTTATAGTTAAACTGTTTTTAAAGGTACAACTCGAAGCTGAGACCCCAATCCCCTTCAATCATCCTGATCAAGTCGTGCGAGCCATTCGACACAAGATGGATTTAAGTTTCATTTTGAATCCGATTTGCTCAGTACCACTAAAGGCCGAAAAGACACGACCTCAAAATTTACAAGATGCTTCTGCAAATAATACAACCTACTCCTACACTGCTCTGAAATGCCCGGATGAGATCCGTTTGCTCATAATCGAACCTGGAAGACCTTCAGAAGCTGTGAAATGCAACCTTGTTCACACTCGTCTTTCTCATACGCCATCATATGAAGCCTTGTCATACACATGGGGGACAGAAGAGAAGCCAGGCCGGATATCTTGTGGACAAGAGGGGCACATTTCGGTCACTCAAAACTGTTTTCACGCCATCAAACGTCTGCGATACAAAGACCGTCAAAGAGTCACATGGATAGACGCGGTTTGCATCGATCAGCCTAGCATTGCTGAGCGCGGCCACCAGGTTGCAATCATGCCATCGATCTACCGGCAGGCGAAAAAAGTGATTGTATACCTGGGTGAGTCGACAGAAGATAGTGGTATCGCTATGGAATACCTCAAAAGCCACGAATTCATCAACGACGATGCAACATCATTATCACCTTCACACTCCCAACTGGCCTTATGGAAGCTTCTTTCGCGTCCTTGGTTCTCCCGACTATGGGTTCTTCAGGAAATATTCATGTCTGCATCTGCAGATGTGATCTGCGGTCACAAGAGCGTTCCTTGGGCCTGTTTCCGGCGACTTGCGAAATGGAATCCTCAAAACTCGCTCCAAAAAATACCTCTTGTTATGTCTGTCAGCAGCTATCGCACCATACAAGATCCTTCTATTCAGGACTTCTTCAGACTGCTCTGCAATACCCGCGATTGTGGATGCAAGGACCCTCGAGACCGAATATTTGCCCTCTTCTCGATGGGACCAGAGGACCTGCACAAAAGCCTGAATATCGACTACCAAGAGTCTACTGAGACAGTTTTTACAAACACGGCCATCTATCTAATCAATTCTATCGGTCTAGATGCGTTGTGTGGGGTGGGAGGAAGAGAGGGAAGCAGCAGTCTACCTTCATGGGTTCCCGACTGGAGGAGACCAGTCGGTTCAACACCAATGATAGATTTGGTGGACGAAGCTGGCTCTGCCGGAGGAAGGCGGCATGACCAAGCCTTCAAATTCTTCAACTCTCACCAGACAGGGCAAAAAACGGTTCTTCAAACTTTTGGCTGCCACTTTGGTAAGGTTGAATCTTTAGGAGACATCGTTTTGTCGGACCGAAGCAACTTGGGCCATGTCATTGGCCAGGGTTGGAAAGATTTCACTGGTAATGAAACCTCGAACCTTCAATCCTTGATTTTCAGGCAGTCATTCTTTCGGACTCTGTACATGGATGCCAAGACTACAACTCCATGGGCTGGGAGGCGTCTTGAGGAACCACCGGGTAACTCTTATGTGGCAATCAATTATGAATATGAAATAAGAGAATCTAGCTCTCAGAAGCTTAGGGACAAAAAGCTCTACTTGGAGAAGAACTTGGAGCAGATGGTGGACGCATGGGACAAGCTAAAACAAGAGCTATCTTGCGAGAGCTTCCCGTTCGCGAAGCGGAAGAGACTCTATTCCTGCTGTACAGGGCGCCGGCTATGCAAGACTCAAAAGTCGTTTATTGGGTTGTTCCCAGCACAAACACAGCTGGGTGACAAAATATTTATCCTGAGAGGAGCAAGATGTCCGTTTGTTCTTCGCAGAGAACATGATCGCTACGTCATGGTCGGGCCTTGCTTTGTTTGGGAAGCCATGGCTAGGCGCCATTCTCGTGCTCAATTCACGGAGATTACTATTTGGTAGAAGTGAGCCGGGAGTATCGGAATAGGTGTCGAACAGATAATATTGCCATTGTCATGGTTCTTAGGACCATAAAACCAAGCCATTCCCACTGTATCATCAGCGAGAAGGCTCAGTTCAAATTCCGTGATTGCAAAGGAGACCACCACGAGAAACCAAGAGCATTTTTCTTAGTGACCAATCGGTCAGATACCTGGTCATGCGAAGTTTTTGGCTACACCACAGACCCCTTTGTTGTGGGACATGGCAAACCTTGTCGTAATTGCAATGAAGTTACCTTGTACAGGGATCCATCGTTCTATTAGCCAAGCCACCAGCCTCTTGGCGCATTAATGACCTTTAACTGCCGAACTAGGCGGTGTGGCTCGGCTAGAACTTCCGGAAGTAATCCTGGTATCTAGGTTACTTGGTTATTCAAGAAAGACCGACGTTTGGGTCGACTTATCCGAGGTCACCAATTTTCCTTGCCAAGGAATGAAAAGAGGCGAAACACATCTTGGCTTACGTGGACAAGCTTGAGCTCAGTCGAGGTCTCCTACTATATAATTCTCACACTTTCCGGACTTGGCAGTGTAACTTCTCATCCCCCTCACCAGTAAACCCTTTTACTACCGCAAAATTCGACAGTACACAATGAAGTTTCAGACCTCTGCCCTTCTTTTCTTCCTCCCCGCAGTACTGGGCTGGTGGGTACGTGTCAAACTCGCCCTTCCAAGCTGACTATTGCTAATGACATGTAGAACTGCAACTTGCCCGCTGGTACTGGTGACTATGGGGCCTGCTTAGAAGATGGAAAGGCCGGAAGTGCCCTTCCTTGTACCAACGTAAGTCCCGTTCCCTCCTCTTCACAGACATTGGACACATACTGATGTCACGAACCTGATTAGGACCATCCCTGCGTAAGACAGGGCAACGGATGCATTGACGTTGGGGGTGGTACTGCCCACTGTTCTTGAAACAGTTCGGCTTTAATCTCATTTTTAAAGCGAGGTCATTATTGACGGATAGGCAAGTCCGTAAATAGCCTTACATCGAGGAAGGGTACGACAGTACTGGGAACACCCTAGTTCGGAGGATACTGTTATTGTCAAGGAATAGTCTTGAGCGCAACTGAAGAGTCATATCAATGTCATATTTCCACCGTTCTCATAGCCTCACTGCCAACACGTCTCGATGTTTTTCCTTCAGATATTAGGTTCACCGCCTCTTGTGCACCAGTGTCTTGGTCTGTTCGTTTCCAAAACCAAGGACTCCAGGAAAAGAATCCTTCGCTGGCAATGCCAGAAAGTATAAATCAAGGCTAGTGAGTTAGAGTTTATCATCGGTAATAACCGTCCTAGTGACAGTATGACCGGGGTTGGTATCGAGACCCATCTCATGTCGATCGTTATTTGTTTCGGCACTTGCGGGCCTGACATGTTTCCGGAGATGGACTAGGTAGTGGAACTTGTGGAAGAGTGAATGCGAAAGGAACAGGTCCGTATCTAGGCTTGCTTTATTGAGAAGCGACTAGCGTGGGGGCTATGTAATACAGAGAGCCAGCTCGGACGTGGTTAGGATGTGATCAAGACCAAGGTCCAAGGTGTCCGTGCCAGTGCCAGCAGAATAAAATGTGAGATAAATACCTGGATGTTGAAGTCAAGCCTTTAGGGTAAGTCTTAACAGTATCAAGGTGTATGTCTAGAGGGAAATAGAATATTAAGTCGGGATTTATTTTATTTTTAAAATATGAACATAAAAGAAACTAATAATATTAGATATCCTTGTGATTTTTTATAGTCTTAAAACATTTTATCTTACATTTTTGTAATAAATCCCATTCACGTAGCTTAAGCAGTCCTCCATCGAAAAGGCCGCATCCAATACATTTTGGTACGAAAGAACCCTCTAACACCCATCTTAGATATTAAAGTGTGCCCATTTTAGACTGTGTAATCTGATGACCCCGTCAAGCTCATCTTTGTTTCTAAATGCTCAACTCCCAAGGCCCTGACTCTCCGTTCAATATATCTATCCACCTCCGTTTCCCTTATCGTGCAATTTCGTGAGGCCTCCAATGGCGTTTACAGCCTCAGGCGGGGTAACACGTGACCGACGAACAACCTCCAGGCATCAGTCCATGATTGACCTGTCATCCTTACAACTCCTGTAGTCACTCACAAATCGTCCATAGCCACTTCTACAAACGCCAATATCTCATGTCTGTTGCACACTGCGCCCTGTGTGGCTTGAACATCCCTTCCAACAATTCATCCCTCTGGACCAGCAAGTTCCGAGCGGGTTGGTGTTCAACTACCCGATTCACGAGCTCTACTGACGTCCGCTAGTCTATACTGATAAGGAAAACTGGAATCAAGCTAGGCTTTCTGGCGTTGGTAGTATCAATAATGATGGAGCAAAAGCCCCCAGGGACTCCAAGCGTCGCTTTGACGATGACGACATTCAGCCGACAGAGTTGATCACGATAGATTTAGCCACCAGGTCTTTCACCAAGTTCATAGGCCCCAACCCATCTACCCAAGAGCCGGGATTCTGGGGCTTTGGGTTTCATGCGAGTTGCTGGGGTATCCTTACCCACCTGTTCCAGCCTAGCCTTGACGACATCCTGTTCGCGTGCCTCTCATTCCCGCTTAGAGACCGTGGCATCCTTGACTGGGGACACACCTACGGCGGGGCGATAGTCATAAAAGAGGACGATGGCTTGCCTATGCTGCTCCCACGATACTTTAGGGGCGCCAATACAATGGATCCTATGCGTCAAGACCCTTTCAATCTTTCTGCGATATTGGAGCTGGCGAGATCTGCAATACCCGAGCATCCAATTGATAAGACCAGCGCAATTGAGGTCTCTGGCCAGGACTCCGGTATTGATCCCTTCAGCTCATTGCCACCTGAGCTCATTGCGGCGATTCTCGAGTTCGTTCCGTCTCGCTATGTGCTATGCGTGAAGCTTGCCTCGCGTCAATTTGCAGCGTGCCCGTTGACAGAATCGTTTTGGGCGTCGCGATTCTTGGAGGGGCAAGATTTTCACCATGTATTTGAGGTATGGAAGTCCAAGCCCAAGTCTTGGGCAAGTATGCATCAAGCTTTGAGGGGTATCAGAAATCATCGCAAACTACTCAGCCGAAAGCGCGTCTGGGATCTATCTCTGAAATTGCGAGATCTATTGGACCAGTTGATGCCGACTTGCCATGGAGACTCCTTGCACAGCTACTTTGAGCCAGTAGGAAAGCATGATCCTCTGGACTGGCAAGTTGCAAGTCGAGGTCTTGCGAGACCTGAGGACGAGTTCAGACAAGGTACTAGGTCTCTTCGGATGCGCGTTATCGACATCCCCCAAGATATTCAGGAAGTCTTCATCAGCTTCATCCAGCTCAGCCTTGGCGAGTTCGTTTCTGGTATTCGGTTTCAGCGTCAGAATGGGGAAGATGTACGAATTGGTTACTCGGAGCCCAGTCGAGAATTCCCTCTTACTATTCCACCTGGCCTCGGAATTCGCGGCTTGTTTTTGGCCTTTAGCGAAATGGGTGTTCAAGCTGTCTCCGCGCTGATGGAAGATGAGACTTGTTCTCCTTGGAGAGGCGCAGAACAGGGGCTTCCCAAAATGCGGTTGAGTACAATATCTAGACTGACCACCCTGAAAGCAGAGTTTGATGTCTGTATACCCTATCCAAGATCACATTTTCCCTACAGAAACGCTAACTGATTACTTACACGTCTAGGCCTTCAAGCTTGTGGCACTCAGTATCCCTATCATCTCTCCCTACAATATTCCACCCCAGGAGACACACTTGTGGGACGAAATCCCACCAGATCACCTTTATCTCAATGGAAGTGACGATGATTTTCCAAAGACTGACTACCGACACATTCCTTTACCATACTCTACCGTGCTCTTTGGTGGTGCTCACGGAGAAGACCTAGCCCAACTCGTGCAAATCAGGTGGACATTTTATATCGACGTGATTTCTGCTCTACAGTTCATCTACACGGATCCCTTCAAGAACAAATACTTTGGAGGAAGAGATCCTTTTGCGGAGTCGGGGAGAGAGAGAAGACCCACTAATGTTCGAGATAATGAACAGCTCTTCCCTATCGACGGACCAGCTGGAGAGCGCATCATATCGATCGAGGTACAAGGCGGCAAGGACCGAGTCGAGGGTATGACTGTGAGTGTCCCCCCCCCCCCCCCCCCCCCCCCCTGCCGTTTCATGACTGACCATGTGGTAAACAGCTCAAAACCAACTTTGGAAGAAAGGTTACGTTCCCTCAGAATTATCTGAGGGGCGGTTCTGCATGGACTGTCATTGAACCCGAGGGCGATGTGATTGTTGGATTTTATTCTGTTGTTGTGAGTACCTTGCAACATGGATCTGAGCGGCGACTAACAATGTTCAGGAGCGAGGCTTAAGGAATGTAGGCTTAATGTCAATGAATGGATCTGTTACAAAAAGATACCTCGACATAAGAGCAGTGAGTAGTGCAACTTCCCAGGGCAAATATCGCTTGACTTATGGAACCTACTTTATAGCCAAATTGCTCCATCCTATAAGGGAATCGTTTTCAGCATTCACATCTGCAATGGTAAGAAAGAGGAGCCCAATGGGCGTCAAGTAACATCAAACGATTCACCAAATTGTGGATTAGGCTAGACATAACTATTGTACAGGGATCATCACGGCGTATTCCATGACAAAAGAAGACGGATATCTACTCGAATCCACGAGGAGACTTATGCTCCTGGAAGAAAGAGGCTAGAAGAGTGAAAAAGGTCGTTGTGCCTTAGGCAGAGGCGACGCACTGGGAGTACCAGGTGTTCTGCTCCTTGCAGGTGTAACCAGAAACGCAGGTGGTTGCGCCAGTCCAACCCTGGCCACCACATCGCTGGTAGGCACCAGCAGCAGAGGAAGAGTCGGAACCGCTGGAAGGCTGAGCAGAGGGTTGAGCGGCGGAAGGCTTGGCCGAAGGCTGGGATCCGGAGCCGGCGGTGGTGGCGGGCTTGGCACTAGTGGGCTGCGCGTCCTCAGGGTCAGCCTCGCACTCCTCCTCCTCATCTTCAGTTGCAACGGGGGTGTTCACCTCAGTAGTGGCGGGCTTGTTGGAGGGAACAGCAGCGGCCTGGGAAGAGGAAGCCTTTGGGACCTCAACAGCGACGGAGGAAGGCGACTGAACGGCGACGGAAGAGGGCTTGATCGACTGGACAACGGTGGTCTGGGGCTTGCTGGCGGCAACGCTGGTCTGGGCACCGGCGGAAGCGGACTTGGAGGCGACGAGAGCAGCGCTGCTGACGGCCTTGCTGGGGGAGGTGGAACTGGAACCGGAACCGGAGCTTGCAGAGTCGCCACCCTCGAAGGTGGTGCCGATGGGACCGAACTTGATGTTGGAGAAGCTGACCTTGGAGTTGGGAGCCTCGGCTTCGACCTCCTTGGGGACACCAGAGTCAGTAGAGCAAGTTCCGCGCTTGGATCCAGCGCCAGTAGAGTCAACGGGGTAGGTCGAGTCGAGCCAGAGAAGGTTGGCCTTGTGCTGTTGAATAGTTAGCATCACTTTGCATCAGACAATGTATCTGTATGAAAACTCACGTCGTCCCACAGACTCATGGTCAGGACCATGGGGGCAGCAAGAGCATCGCTCATCTGAGAGAATCCACCCTTGGCAACAAAGTCATCATCATCGCCAAAGGCCTTCTTCTGGGCAGAGCAGAACTCCTCAGTGACAGAGTTACCGGGGTTGCTGGCGACCTTGGATTCGGGGTTGCCAATGACCTTGCCGTTCTGGACGTAGAAGCGCTTAATCTCAGAGAGACCACCGCTGGTTCCCTTGATGAACTGAGTAACAACAGTGACCTTCTTGGTGGTGTCGACAGTAAACTCAGAGCCGGGTCCGTAGAATGTCTCGTTGCCCTGGCGGAAGGGGTTGAAGTCACAGCCATCGGGGTCGCAGGTGCCGGCGTAGCGGGTGGTGGAGTAAGTTCCGCCACAGTCGTCGCCCTCGCATGTGTGGTAGGTGAGGGTCTTGCAAGGGTGAGGAGTATAGGCAGTAGAGATGTCGTTGGCCTCCCAGATATCCATCTCAGGGCAGCAAGCGCCGAGGTTACCAGTTCCAGAGTTGGGGTCGGACTCGGAGGGGGTCCAGTTCTCGACGTTGGCCTCGCCGTTGATGAACTTGACATCGCGGGCACACTGAGCATCACAGTAGCCGGTGCCGTACTTTGCGCCAGCCTTGTTGCCGTCGGCCTTGGCCTTGCCACCGTCCTCGTCCATGGAGACAAAGTACAGGGCACCGTTGACACCACAGCTGATCTGAGAGACATCGACGTCAAAGGTAAACTCGTTGCCGAGCAGAGAGAACATCTGGTAAGTCTCGTCGTCCTCCATGAGATACAGGCGGCTGCCCACATTGGTAGCGTAAGCTCCCTATGAAATCCCGTCAGCATCATGTCCACTAGCTATAAAAGGATAGCATTCTCACCTTGGTGACGAAGCTCAGGCTAAGCTGGTCACCGCTGGTAGTCACACCATAGGTGGCAGCATAGTCGGCGCCGTCAACGCAGCACTTCTCAGCGCAAGTCTTGCCGTCGGGGCAGATGGATGTATCCCACTTGTTACCAGTGTAGCAGTTGGTGCTACCCTCGACGGTGTGAGTCCATCGCCAGTTGGCGTCAACGACGACCGAGCCGGAAACCTCGGTGCAGCCGCTGGATGTGCACTTAGACCAAGTCAGGGGCGGATGAGTCTCTTGAGTCGAGGTGCAGGCCTGCTGCGCGCGAACACTGGCGATCAACGCCGTAGCGAGCGAGATAGCGCGGTACATTTTGAAGGAGTGTAAAAGGGTTGGAAGTGTTTGAAATGAATGTAAATGGTTGGTAAAAAGAAAGAAGGTAAGGAACGAAAGCGCCAGGCTTGTGGTCCAAATGAAGGTGAGATCCGTGATGTGATGATGAGGAATAGAGCCATCTGAAGGCGAAGCATAGAACTTATATACCCTCACTCTAATCGGTGAACCACTCGAGCGGGTTTCAGATTCCCCATCGTATCTCTCTCATATTCCCGCAATCCTCGGTTGGCGGCCCGAAATGTTGGGATCATCAGCCTGGATCCCATGAACCTCATACCTGTATCTTACCACGGAAGTATTCCAGCAACCGGAGCCTCGCTCAGGGACTCACAAATGGGCTCAGAAGTGGCGTGGACAGTGCAATCTGCTGAGAACCTCACGATTCCGGTGAGGGGGGCCAGCCCTTCATAGTTCCAGAGGTTCTGCGATCTTGGGACCCTGATTAATTACTCCGTGGCGCACTCGACGAGATTTCGAGAACTATCAGAGCGTGGAATGGGTGGATAGTGAGCCCAATATCGCCTGTTTGTGATGATATTGAGCGTGGTCCGTTGTGAGTGCTGTCGCAAGGAAGGGCTCTGATTGGAGGCATTTCTATGCCTGTTGAGATGGTGGGCTGTCAACTTGCAGGGGTTCTCCTGAAACAGGGACCGCTCTGACAGGCCGGGGGGTGTACCTGCGTCGTCTCGTGGTCTGAAGAAGGGATGAATTTTTGTTTAAATGGTGGATGTCGCCCAAGATTAGATCAATATTCTTTACATGAACGATGCAGTGGTTGGTCGACATGATGATTGCCAAGGAACATGTTGGTGTTTGTGGAGGCCGGTCTATTGGTCCTGGCGAGATGACCATTTCTCATTTATCAATACACAATCAAGTCTTAATAGTGTGCTTGATAAAACTTGAGACAGTCACTGAAAGTTTACTGTTTTCAAGTCTGAATCTAGATCGTTACACATTCCATCATCACCTGACTTTCACAGGATCACGTTGCTGCCTGTTCCGGATTAATTCAAACACCGAAGATGGCGTCTCACATTGACCACCAGCCTTTCATTTCCCAGCTGACGCGGCATTTGAGTTGAAGACATTAAAAGATAAACTCAGCAAACATGTCGGAAGAACAAGTGCCCAATCAAGAACTCTTTTTCCGTTCATATCATGAATCTTCTCCGATTTCCATTGTTCTCCTCCACGGCCTCTTTTCTTGCAGCCTCGAGTGGGAACACGTCGTGCCTCATCTGAAAGACTATCATATCATAGTCCCCGACCTCCCCAAGCATTCCCAGTCACGAAATATCGGTCCATTTTCACTTGGCTTGGCTGCGGACAGTGCCGCAAATCTCATCAAGAATCATGCGCACGATGGAAAAGCCCACGTTGTCGGCCTATCGCTAGGCGGCTTTGTTACAATGGAACTCATACACCGCCATCCAACCCTTGTCGACTCTGCCTTTGTTACCGGATCGGCACCTTTTCTGCCTTGGCAAGTCTGGGCGGCAAAGCGACCGAATTTGCTACACTATGGCCTCTCGTTTGTGCACTCAACGGGACTCTACACGTTTATGGTGTGGAAAGCCGGCCTCAAGAAGCATGGAGAGCTGTCCAAGGAGATTGTCGCCAACAACGACTGGAACTTGGTAAAGGACGGTTATGGTGAGCTCGCCGATTGGCAGCAGGATGCTGTTAAAAGAGTTGCCGCGCAAGATAAGCGGATCCTGGTGGCTGGGGGTGATCAAGGTGATAACCTCAAGGGCACGAAAGAATTGGCTCTCGAACTTCAACGACAAGGACGTGACGATGGCAAGAAGAGTCAGGCCTATGTTGTCAAGGGAGCTACTCATGCATGGGACTTGCAGTTTCCAGAACTTTTTGCTGATGGGATCAAAGCCTGGATTGAAGAAAGGCCATTGCCCAAGGGTTTTGAGAGTTTGCTATAGGGTTGCTGGAAGAGATCGCTTTAACGGGCTGGGACGTAGAGCAGGACAGGGATTTTGCAACTGATCGCCGCGCCAAGTTTGGTGCCTGTAATAATGAAACATGGGCCTTATCGGATAAGATCCCCTCTTAAATCGTCTCATTACTTTCCATCCGCTCTCCGATCATTCATTGAGCTTTTAGACTTTATACATCCCCATCATCCAAAATGGTGTGTCAAGATAAAAGATCAACCGCATGTGTGCTCATCTAAGTAAAAACAGTGGCGATTTAGGTAGTCTTGTGCATTCTAAAGTCATATTTGAAATGCGGACGTCTCAATAGAAGGACAGGGCAGTGAGGAAGACACAGTGCAGTGAATATCCATGATTATGGGCGATTGGGGAGAAACCATGAGTCAAGAGACAAATCGAGCGGGGGAGACATGGCGATTACGAAAGCTACGTTCAAGATCGCTTAGATTCGATACGACAAATACGGATTCGCAAAAAGAAGTGCATGCACGACCAAGGATCGGCGCTCGGCGTGGGTTAAAATTGCAGTGAAGATTTTGCAAACTCAGTAAACAAACTCGATCCGTTTAATATAGTTCATGAAGGTCTTATGGAGGTCTAAAATATTTTATTTAAAACAAAATCTATAAGGCAATTCTCATTTAAGATAACCCTCGAGTATGTTGGCGCAGAACATCTGATTGGACTTATGGGCCGGGCCCTAAGAGGCCTAGTCTAGTTCCCGTTTATTGGCTGGTTGCAGCTCGTCTGGGTGGGAAGCTGAATAGCGGCTAAATGTCGTGGCTGGCTAGGTAGCTCGGGGCCTCGGGGGAATGGAGAGCGAGACACAAAAGACATGATACACGTGTGTATATATCTATGAGTCGGCATTCTTTCACAAAAATACCTTTAATTCATATCTCCCGTCGATTCTAGCTCTCTTTCAATCTCGTTTGCAACTATTAGCCATCAACATGGCATCTGCTGATATCGATACCACCTTGGCTAACCTATCTCTTGAAGAAAAGGTTGACCACATGCTAGTTATAGTACCGTTTAGCTCAGGACTAACACGTGGATCAGATTTCATTACTAGCCGGTGGCGATGTATGGTTGACCGTACCAATCCCTGACAAAGGAATCCCATGTGCCAAGGTACTTGAAACCTCGTTCGAATGCTTAAGTCCTTCTCTCTGATCCTCCACAGACAACCGACGGTCCAAACGGTGCCCGAGGCAGCAAGATCAAGGATGGAAAAAGCGCAGCATGCTTTCCAGCGGCTTGCAGTGTGGCCTCGACATTTGACGTCGACATTGCCCGCCGTATCGGTGTTGCCCTGGGTGAGGAAACATTGACAAAGGGGGCTCGTTGCCTCCTAGCCCCAACTGTATGCATCCACAGACATCCGCTTGGAGGTCGCAACTTCGAAAGCTTCTCCGAGGATCCTTTCTTGACTGGTCAGATGGGCATTGCTAATGTCATTGGACTTCAATCCACTGACGTGTCAGCAACTGTCAAGCACTTTGCCGTGAACGAGCAAGAAACGCAGCGCCTCAATGTCAACGCCGTCATCGCTGAACGACCCCTCCATGAGATCTACCTCAAGCCATTCGAGCTTATCATCAAGAACGCCAAACCGTGGGCCATCATGACAGCATACAACAAGATCAACGGACACCACGCTGATTCCAACGAGTACTTGCTCAAGAAAGTTCTTCGTGGTGACTGGGGCTGGACTGACGGCTTGGTTATGAGTGATTGGGGTGGCGTTAACTCCACCGCCGAGTCGATCAACGCTGGCGTGGATCTTGAGATGCCAGGACCTGCGCGTTGGAGAAAACCAGAAGTGGTGCTTGAAGCTATCAAGCAAGGCAAACTAACAGGAGAAACAATCACCGAAAGAGTTCGCAACGTGCTTTCCTTCCTTAAGCGACTGAATGCTTTCGAAAACCCGATCTGGAGCGATCCAGAGGAACACGCCATCGTCAACCCTCAACACTCGGCTCTCATCCGTGAAGCAGGAGCCAAAGGTATCGTGCTTCTCAAGAACGACAACAACTGCTTGCCTTTGGCGAGAGAAAGAATGCAAGGAAAGAAGATTGCTCTTCTCGGATATGCTAAAGAGTGTCTCGCTCACGGCGGCGGGAGCGCGTCGGTTAAGCCCCATTATAGGGTTACTCCGTGGGACGCCTTCCACGAGGCCTTCAAGGGTCAAGATGTGGAGTTTGTCTACTCCAAAGGTAGGAAGCCACCTTCAGCTCTTGGTGCTTGTTTTGACATGTCTAGGTGCACATACGTTCCGTCAACTCCCTCTTCTCATCGACCACGTTCTCGATCTTGAGAGAAACCCGGGCTTCACTTATCACATATATGAGCCGGGGACCTCGACACCCACCAAGACGATTCACGGTTATGACAAGTCTGAAACGTCACTCTTGGACGGGCACATTCTACACAACGTCGAGATAGATCTCATCGGCACATTCCACCCTCCCGAGTCAACCAACTATTACCTCACTCTAGCCAGCCTGGGTCCATCTCAACTGTTCATCAACGACGAGCTTATACTGGAGCAGAAGGCCAATTGTCCAGACGCAATGGGCTTCCTGTTTGGAGGAGTCCCTGTCCCCAAAGTCTGTGTCCCCATGGAAGCTGGCAAGAAGTACACTATCCGAGTTCATGCTTCACCACCCGTCCCCGATGGGGATAAGGACCTTGGGTTTTTGGAAGGTCAGGTCGGAGTGCGCTTAGGCTACATGTCCTCCACTGAGCATGATGCGGATATCTTGTCCGAAGCTGTTGACCTCGCCAAATCGAGTGACTACTCCATCATCTTCACCGGAAACGACCCGGCATGGGAGACAGAGGGCCAAGACCAAGCAAGCTTCCATCTACCCAAGGAAGGCAGCCAAGACCACCTCGTCTCTACTATCGCAGCTGTATGTCCCAACACAGTCGTGGTGAACAGCACCGGTGTCGCAGTGGCCTTTCCCTGGCTGCATCAAGTCCAAGGTCTCCTCCAGACGTGGTTCCCAGGTCAAGAAGCCGGAAATTCCATCGTCGACGTGTTAACAGGTGTGCAAAACCCCGAGGGCCACCTGACGTGTACGTTCCCGAAGAGACTCCCCGACTGCCCTGCCTACGGCAACTTTCCCGGAGAAAAGCACAGCACCCACGGACTAGAAGTCAAGTACGAGGAGGGCGTATTCGTGGGATACCGACACTTTGATCGGCTGCCAGCTGATGCAGTCAACTTTCCGTTTGGCTTCGGCTTATCGTACACTACCTTTGACTTTGAAGGGTTTACCGTGCGCAAGCAATCGGAAGATGTCTTTGCAGTTCAACTCAGGGTCCGAAACACTGGGGCTGTCAAGGGTGCTACGGCGGTGCAGATTTACGTTGGCAGCAAGAATCCGTCTCCCAGCGACCCTATTAAAGTCCTCGCCGGGCTGAAGAAGGTGACTCTGGAGCCAGAATCGTCTACTACGGTCAAAATTATTGTTCAGGTGCGAGACTTTGCTTTCTGGGATGAAGAGACTCATGGATGGGTCGTTAAGGCTGGGGAATACCAATTCAGTGTTGGCAGGTCGTCAACAGAGCTCGTGGCAACGTCAATGGTCCAGCTTGAGCGCAAGACGTTTGCACCTTGAGTCTTTTAATAAGACAATATTATTCATTTTTGCATACTGATACTGGAGAAGGCTGCTCGAGGTCATGATGGTCACAAGACAGCATTCCTTGGGCTGGCACGAGGCCCCTTCGCTCGAATCTTAGAAAATTTCAAAATCTCTGTCAGCAAGGAAGCTTACAAAGCGTTCGGTAATGGGAAGATGGGAACCATGCCTGCTGACTTTGCCAAGCACCAGCGGTCGTGAGGAGTTGTTCCAGTCACAGTCCACTCTCGCATTTCGATACGATTAATCGTATTCACGACATGATGGATCATGGACCCACTGAACTCGGTGCAATTCATGCCGAGACCAGTTCCTTGAAGCTCCACCAGTTTCATGATGAGCCTCACATTTTGGAATAGCCATGTACTTGGCGTTCCGAATGAACTGACACGGCCTTAATAATCATTGGTGAAGAGATCATTCTTTCCTTGCCGATGCAGAGATCTTCAGGCACGGCAACTCTGGCATGGCAGCCAAGGCCGATCTTATATCTGGAGGAGCAAGGGTCCAACGATGAAAGTCATCTATTGTCATCAAGTGAGTCTCTTCAAATTCTTCAAGTCTCACAAGTGTTGGCAGCGAAGACAGTATTATCATTACCCAACAAATCACAATGACATGTAGCCTCATAGGGACTCAAGTTGTAGAGATACAGTTATGTCTCATCTGTCTTCTATCACATGCATATGAAAAAGAAAGTACCGCAACTAATATAGATTTAAACTGCATCCCAGTCTGTTCATCGCAAGTTCTAAGCCTCGAAGATATTGAACACTTCGCGGCTCTCACATCAACTGAATCATAGTCCACAAGTTCAGTTCATCAAGATTGTTAGACAGTCTCAATGACATCCTCACTCGGGCCTGCTTTAGCGTTCATGTGAGCAGTGGCAGTGACGTTGACGTGGTCTCCATCGAAAATCTGGCTGACTTCCTCAAGGGTTCGACCAGCAGTTTCGGGGAACAAGAAATAAACGAGAACCAGCCAGACGCAGAGCATGACGATCCAAACAATGTAGTACTTCCACTCGAGGGCTTCCATAGCGACAGGGTTAGCGAAGCCGTTGAAGAGACCAGTGCCATAGGTGAAGATTTGCTCAATGGTGTAGCCCTTGGCACGAAGTGTATAAGGCATGGTCTCGAGGATGTATGTGGGCAGGACCGGGCCGATACTGAGATTGTAGAAGAGCTGGAAGACGAAGATCATTGCGACAACTCCGATGCCCAGGCTACCATCCTCAAAGTTGCGTTGCTGGTTGATGGATGAAAGAACAGTCCAGATCAGGTAAGCAGACGCCATGCCAGCGAAGCCTGCCAGAAGAATCGTCCTTCGTCCAAAGCGGAGGATACCTATGGCGCCGATAATAGCAATACTAGAATACTCGGAGACGAAACTTAAGCATATTAAAATCTATTTCTATTTCTCTAAGCTAAGTTAATACTAAGCTTGGGCTAAAGAGGCCTAAATTAAGTTTAAGGTAGGCTAAGTTTAAGCTAAGCTTAGGCTAAGGTGCCTATATAAGCCTACTTTTAGGATTATATACCCCTATAAGTCCTTAGATTTAAGATAATATATTATTTTTAGCCTTAATTAGATTTATTTATATTAAGAATCTAGGCCCCTTAAACCTAAACTTATAAGACTTAGGTAATATAATCTTAATTATTATTAAGTTTAATCTTAGTCTCTAAGGTATCTAATAACCTTTTTATTAATATAATTAATTAATTAAGGTAAAATTATATAAATAAGATTATAAATTTTATTTAGCCTCTAAATATCTTATTTAATATTTATTATTATATAATAAATACTCTTTATATATCTTAAGATATTATTATAAAGGTAATTATATTACTTATAGTATTAAGTTATAAGATTATAAGAAAAATTTTATAATTTATAGGTTATTTTATCTTTTAATAAAATAATTAATATTACTTTATATTTTATATATCTTTTTTTATATTTTTTTTTATTTAATTCTTATATAAAAATAAAAAGAGATCTTAGGGCTTATAATAAAGCCTAGGAATATAAATAAAAAGGGCCTTAGGTTTTAGGGTTAATTTATTAAATTAAGGAAAAGATATTATTACTTAATTATTTATTAATAGCTTAATCTTAGAGGTAATTATATTAATAATAGAATTATATAATATTATTCCTTAGATAAGAATATTATAATAATTATAGCTATATTATAGTTATTTTAAGCGATTAAGATTAATTAAAAAGTAAAATATTGATTTAATTAGTCCTTAAGGAATAAGCTTAATATTAAGAGTTTTAAGATAATTATAAAAAGAGATATAAAATAATAATATTAATAATTAATTAAGATAATAGATTTTATATCTTTATAAGTAAGGTTATAATAAGATCTTAATAGCTAAGGATAAAAATAAGAAGTTTCTAAATAAAAGATCTTTTTTATAATATATTAGTATTACTTACTAGGCATAAAAGCCTTATTATATTATATAAATATAAGGTATTTATTTTTAGTCTTAGGTTAAGCAAAAGTCTTATATAATTAATAAAAAGATTATAATATTTTAGGCTTCTTAGTTAATTATACTTAAAGCTCTTATAATAATATATATTATTACCCTTAATTACTAAGAATATTTCTTTTAGGTCTTAAGGCTTATTAAGTTAAGAGTATTTTATTAATAACCCCTTATTGTTGATTTTATATAAGTATTTCCTTAACTAGCTAAATAACTAAGATCTATTAAAAGCATTGCTATATATTAATACTTATTCCTATTCTACCTGCCTTAGTAGGCCTCCCTCTAAGCTAATATTATTAGCCCCTTAGGGCAAGGGTAAATATACTTAATTAGCCTAATATCTTATAACTTAGTAGCTAAATATAATAATTATAGGATTCCTAAGAGATAAATTAATTATATTAGGTTTATATTAGTAGAGAAGTATATTATATAGTCTTAAAAGGTAATATAAGTTATATCTAGTAATATACTTAAAGGTATTAAGTATAACTAAGCTATATTAATAACTAAGTTAATTAATATATAAGAAAATATACTAAATATATATTATATATTATTTCCTAAGTTAAATTAAATTAATTATATTTAATTTATATCCCTTTTCTCCCCTTATTAATTAGTTAAGTAAGTCTAGTTTTCTACCTATTATAACCGCCTTAGTCTATATTATAGTTATAATATAAGACTCCCCCTCTATTTATTTTATCCCTAAGGCTAGCCTTAGAGACTAATTATTAATATAAGTAACTTAGACCTATAAATATTTCTTATCTTATTAATATAATATTAGATTATATTAAGAAGTTATCCTCTTATCTTAAACTTATTATTATATATTATAATAATCTTTCCCGCTTAATTAATAAATATAGCTTTAAGATACCTTAGTATTCTATATATTTCTATATTAATTATTATTCCTATATAATAGCTAAGGGGAAATAATATTATAATTTTTATATTAAGAAAAAATATATAAATTATAATTTTAATAATATTTTTATATAGGCTTATAAATTAATTATCTTTTAATAATATATATATATTAATATATTCTTAATTATTTATATTTCCTAAGAAAAAAATTATCTTAAGAAATAAAAGGAAAAAGCTAAGGTAAATCTCTTAGATATTTTATTTTATTTATTATAATTTTATTATTAAGAGAAATATCTCTATAAAAAGACTATTAAGATAATTTATTAATATTATAAAGATTTAAGTAAGCTAAATAAAGCTAAGTTTCTTAATAAAGAGGCTTAT